TGCCCGTTCGCAGTCCAATCGTCGACTGGAAGTCCTTTCAGCGACGAAGCCTACCGTCCCCCCACGCCATTCTCCGCCCCTCCGACGCGCTGGTGTAGTCGACACCCACGCTACATCCGAATCTAGCGCTTTTGTCATACCATGGTGTACCTTCGTTGGCGTGCCGTATAGGGTCGGGTATAGGATAAGGGTGCTGGAGGTTTCGTCGAAATTCTAAAGATGCATGTGAACAGTGAGTTTTTTTCTCAGCGAGGTTGAGTCCAGCGGCATATACAGCTGACCCCCTGGCGAGGTCGGAAGTGTGACCTCCACGCAAGTCTAGGGGACTGTCGTCCTGAGTCTATTGTCAAAGCCACGCTGGCATGGAGAAGGCGATTCAACCGGTGCGTCTTTGAACCACAGCGGTGATATCGGTGCCTTGTACCTCATTGTAAGGGTGCCCCTCGTACAGCGCAGGTATTTGAAGGCTTTCCAAGGGCAGCGTGCCCTACACCGACGTGCGAAGAGATCTTCCGTGCTATGTTCTCATTTACTGAGGATACTTTCATCTTTGTACGTCGTTGCTGCACTTCTAGTTTCTATTGAAAACCTCGGACGCTTACAGCTCGCTGAAGTCCGGCGTCGTTTCCTCCCTCCGGTACGTACCTTGACTCTGCACGCATAATGAACGCTGAGCCTCCGATGAACTAGGAAATCCCAACTGTAAAGCCTGGCTGTGTCAACTCCGGTATCGCCGACGCGGAGACGGGAGAGAAGGTCTCGTAGCACTACATGGCATGACGAAAAACGTGATTACTACATGCTCAAGAAATCTCAATATTTGTACGTCATCCCTACTTTCTTTGGCTGCATATTGATATCGGTACTGATACTGGTACATGCTACAGCATTTGGTCTTGTCGCCTTCTGGCGATGGCACGCATCTTGACGTACATATCCCATCCCGAGCTAGTACGTATTGACACCCCTCCGATCGAGGGAAGGTCTGCGAACAGTCAGGGGTCGCGCCGATACAAACTCTGGCAAGATGGATGATAGCGATAGGTGGCACGACAAACGACGTGAGACCTTCGTGCTCTGTACGATAATTCGAAGCTCACGGTTTCCAAGGTCACGCTCCACATCACCGTGCTCGAGCGCATACTCCGCGCCAGGTGTTATACAGTACTAATACCGGTCAGGTGTTTCGCCGTTCGGACACTTGGGATCCGTCCGTATCTGAAGTCCACTCAATTCGAGTCAAGCTGTTCGACCCGAGGTGCCGTTACGATTTCTCTGCCAGAAATTTGACTGGTGACGGCTCCCCTACCAGTATTATCCATTGCCGGGCGTATCTCTGCCTTCAGCTTCCGTCCCATCTCCTCTTGTGTGATTCGGGCGCCTTCCGCGGCCGCGGCCAAAGTTCTCTCAGCCTCCTCTTCCATAGCCCCCGCTGCTTCTTGCTTTCTCGGCTGTCCTGCTGTCCTTCTACCCAGTGCTTGTCCTCGTTTGTGTGCCTCTTTTTTCATCTTTTTTTTTCACAATGTGCATCTCAGTTTTCGCGTGATCTGCCGCCTCTGCCTTTGGGTCTTCCTTTTCGCTTCGTTCACAAAACGCTACTCCTCGTCCGCCTTCTATTTCTCTTCATCCGAGTGACGCGTCTCTTCCTCAATACGGTGGCGCTCTGGCTCCTCTGCGCGCCCTATCATAGCGCCTCGCCGCGCACTTATCTCGTCTCCTCTTCTCAGCACGCCATCGATCTCCCTCCACGTGCTGGCGCTCTTCGTCTGCGCGTTCTATATTCACCACGCGCTCTGCGCCAATTGTCGTGCCTCGTCCCCGTGGCATCACTCATCTCGGCCTGGCATTTCTCGCACTCGCCCTGCTCGTGGCGGCGATGCTCCTCTCGTATGCACCCTTCTAGCTTGTGCGTAATGTTATCTCTTAAACTGGCTCTCCTGGACAATCAAAGCTGCGAAGGAGACATACCGTAGCCACGAGCTGCCCTCACATGTCAGATCGAAAGCCAATGGGAGAACGGCAGGAATCCCCCGTTCTCATTGCAAAGACAGGACATGATTTGCGGACTTACAGAGGGCCGCTGACCTAGGTACTGGGTGCGAGGAGGTCGTCTCCGTAGTGAGGTGGACCTGAGCGGGAGTTCATAGATAATGTATTATGTCGCAAGTATTACAGGAAGCTTTGGTTCAATTCACTAAACCGCGTTGTGCTTGGGGGATGCAGAAAAGGGTGAACGGCCGGTGTGCAAGTAGCCTCTAATGTGTAATACATCGCACGTTCTGAGGAATTACTGGGACAAACGCGATCATGAACCCGCTGCAATGTGAGCTTAGGCGGATATTGACGCACCACGCAGGTGACTGATTTCATTCGAGACAGCCCTGGCAGTATTCTGAAGCTCGGTGTAGTTCAACAGGGATGTGACGAGGCACGAGATACGTAACGTGCAATGAATTAACGGAGAAGTCGTAACCCTCACCACCAGTATATCGCGCATGATCTTACATCGAAATATATTGGAGGCCGGCGTTGTCCACCGGAAAAAATGGCAGACAAAATAACATGTTGTCGAAACCGCGGAGGGATCCAAGTAGGACACACGATGAGCGCTGAGCATGCATGGGAGGTCGATGAACGAAACTCATGTCAAATCTTCACCTAATCTGTGAACCAGACGACCGAGCGTTGCACAGAGAACAGCCAAAATTCAGATCAGAGAATAGGATCTGTGCAACATACCGTGTAACTCCCGAACACCGACATGTAATCGGCTAATAGAATGATTCACTAAATTGGGGACAAGGTCATGCTGACCGGAGGGCCCAGGACAATCAATCGTGATAGATATGCGCCCCAGACTTCTGAGACCGGGACATACTCAGTGAGACGTCGTGCGCAGGGTGTAGAACTTGTGGAAAAGACCTGCCAAGGAAGTAGATGAGCATTTGCATGCATGAGACCAGCACTTGCAAATTAGAGTCATATGTCGCCGCCTCTGTGACGTCACAGGTGAACGCGCTACGAGCGCTTATTTTGGGTTGTGTATCGACTCCGTCTTCACCGCGTTCAAGCCTAGTCTCGGAACCAGCCGTTCTGTCAGTGCGGGCCCCCAATCGGAGAGCGAAAAACACCTGCACAGCCCGCAGACAGAACGTCTGGTGAAATTCGTATAGGCGGGGGGGGGGGATTGTCACATTCACGTGACCTTGACGCGTCTTTCTGCACGTCAGGCGTGTCGCGCGTCGCGTCTAGAGATGTAGGTATCAGGTACAATGTCGTACACAATATATATACCCGGACCTTCTACATGGTACCCGGACTTGCTACACCCGCCTGTACCCGCTATTACAGAGCAATCCAGCCCCAGAACGAAGGCCTCTCCAATGTTGATTTGCCAGCTGTAAGGGAATTTGTTATTTGCCTCTCTGAACCGTTCAATGAGGCGACAACGGCATGCGCGTGAGTCATACCCGCGCAATTTGGATGCCTCTTCTCACGCAGTCTGCAGGATTCTCGCTGAATTTGCTCTCTGGTTCTTATGCGAGTCATGGGGAGTCTGCGCCGCCATCGCCGGGATTTCTCTTGAGTTTGCGTCACTTGCGGAAGTGGTTGCAGATGCGTGGGTATGGGTTGAAGCTGCAAATGAGCTAGAAGTCGAGGTAGAACTCTCAGGGCAGGACATAGAAGCAGAATATATATGAGGGGAAGGCATATCGTGATTGCTACAGACACTACACAGAAGACGCGTACTACTACACATCGCCCGTAGGACATGTCGCCCTGACGCGCTGGTCACGAAGTGTGACAATCCCCCCCCCCCCCCCGCCTATACGAATTTCACCAGACGTTCTAGGTGGTAGCTGTGCATCTCTTTTTCGCTCTCCACTGTCAGTTTCACGTGATTCCCTGCTACCACCGAACGTCTGGTTCCGAGACTAAAATGGGCCTAGGCTGCGTAGTCGGTCAATCCAAGTCTATGACATTCTTGAGATTGCTAATAGGTGTGAGCACGTGGGGTAACTTGATCTGGACGGCGCGTGTCTGCATGAGGCAGTCGTGATGCCGACTACGTCCCGACTAGCTCATTAGTCCAGCGTCTATCTGACGTCTTTGAATACACAACTTTTTTATCCGTCAAGGACCTAGCTGTTCATGCTTTGACTCGGCCAGCTTCTCTGAGATGGGGACTTAGGAGATTCAGCTTCTGTGCAAAGCCCTTCACCCTGATTGAACCACCACCGCCCTCGCTGTCAGCAACGTCGCGTCGGCGTCACTGAGATTGAAGTTTCATTCTTGTTGCATCTCTCTAGTCAGCGTGCATTGAGTTAAACATATCATCTATCTGCATCGAAACTGTACGGGAAGCTGGAGAGGTCGTGTAGCCCGCCACCTCTGTGTCACCCACATCTCTGAGAGGTGAGCAGCTATCTTGCTGTTGATTTATTGCATCTAAAATTTCAACAATGTGATCGCAGTTACCGGCAACAGACTGACTGTTGTGAACGTGGATAGTGCCACTAAATAGAGACACAGATAATCGAAGACAATCTGGCGGGAAGCGCGTTAGATACACAGCCATGTCAGAGATGAGGCCAGTGCGTACTCAGCAGTTTCTTGTCATCCTAGCTCACACAACTACAGAATACTGGCGATACAAGCTCGTGACTTGCGACTGTCATCGCTGTGGCGGTATCGAGGTACCATACTACCTTTGGCAGCAACACACGGATAGAGATGCCCTTGCACAAACAACGTTCGGTGCTCGTGGACGTGCAAAGGCAACTGCTGTGTCATCACACACAGTGATAGGCACTGCAATGGCATCTCGAGGTCGAGGACAAAGACGCAGCGCCATTGCCGAGAGCAGCGCTGTGTCTCGCGGCGGGGGCCCGAATTATCGAAGTCGAGGTGTAGAAAGAGAAAGTGCAGCGACAATCCCCTCTAAGTGGTCACGGTCGCAGTCTCCAGATCCGCTCCCACTTCCTCACCCTGCAGTTCGTATGGCGCAGGGTTCGACTATGCAAACGGCAGGCAGTGATGCCCCGGATTACTCTGCACAGGTTTTTTCCAAGGACGCGACCATGACGTTCACCACCCCCTCACCTCGTGGCGATATGCCAAGTGCACTCAGACCATCCTCGGCTTCGCGTTCCCCCACCCCTGTACACATGCTACGAAGTTCTAGCCCAGCCAATCAGCAACGTGTACTTGGATACTACAAGGACCCAGATGATGATGAGGTACAGCGTGTCCTTGGGCTGTCTGTTCTCGATGGCATCCCATTGGTTGGTGAGACAGAGATCTCATCAGCTTTGGAACGACGAGCAAGCATTGCAGCAGGTGATACAGTTGGCGCTGCCATCCCCATCGTACAACCCGCAGAATCTGCAGACACCCATGACTCGGATTCATTCATAGATACCAGAAACTTGCCGCTGATCGAAGCGCGGCTCTCGGATGAACAGGCATATCTCAATTCCCACCCGAAATGGTTCGTCCGCGCCATCTTGATGCTCGTTGGCACCCTACACATGAAGAACCATGTAACATTTCACGCCTCATCCTTGATTCTATACACGATCTGTGCCATTTTTCTCGCACTCCGACTTCTTGCGGAAGAGGATTCTATGCCTATAACACTCACCACCCTCCTGAAGCATTTCGACTTGAAGGACCGCTTCCATATCCTACCAGTCTGCAAAACGTGCAAGTCCCTATTCGAGCCTACAGTTAACCGCAAGTCCTCCTGCCCAAAATGCGGAGAAAAGTTGTTTCCTCCCGGGGAGCATGCGGCGATACGTGAGCTAAGACGACTTCTCGGCAGAGATCCGCCAAAACCACCTCCCATTCTCGCAGCTCCGTATGCGCCACTTTCGGCAGAGATCGCTGACTTCCTCAGCCGCCCGGGCATGGACGAGGAAGTGGTAGCATGGGAGATGGAGCCTTCAACACCAGGACAATACACGCGCATCATGGATGGTGATGTTTGGAAGATGCTTTCAGGTCCAGACAAATAGCCATTCTTCAGCAAGGATAGCAGTAGACCACCAGAGATTCACCTCGGGGTGTCTCTGAGTCTGGATTGGTGCGTTGTATGATTCTCTTGTCACTGACTGGCGCGACTCAGCTCAATTTTTCACAGGTTTTCCTGTGCACGTACATCCTTTTCGCCATCTCATTCATCTGGTCCTCTTGCCTTCTGTGTACAGAACCTGCACGACAACCTCAAGTGCATCTCATGCCTTTGATCTGTGCTAACTTGTGCTGATAGATCCTTTACAGATATCGACCACAGAATATCCTGGTTTGTGCGATGACACCGGGCCCTACAGAACCAACAGCAGAGCAAGTGCAGAATTATCTCAAGCTTGTTGTCGACGACCTGTTGAATTTGTACGAAAATGGTGTCATCATGAAGACACCATCATATCCGGATGGTGAGTTCTGTATGTCCTTTTCTCCATGTCGAAGGGTATGAATTGTATCTCCCTCCTTCAAGGTATTCGTGTTCGTGTCACGCTGGTGGCAGTCGTATGTGACCATCCTGCTATGTGCAAGGTCAGCAGTTTTGCAGACAAGAATCACACTGAGGTGCCATGCACGAAGTGCAATGTGCAGCAAGAGGACTTTTTTTCCGATGCGGGCTTATCTAATGGTATATACTACTCTATTTTCTGCACTTGTATTGTTATCTGATCTCATGTAGGTTTTCCAGCATGCGACGGTGAAGAACACAAGCGATTAGCACGAGAGTGGAAGACACTCTCTTCAGAGGAAGAACGAGCCGATTTCTTCAAAGCTCATGGTGTTCGATGGACAGAGCTTGCCCGGCTACCATATTTTGATCCAGTTCGGATGACCGTGATCGATCCAATGCACAATCTTTTACTCGGTAAGTTTCTGATGTTTTGCATCTTCTCTGTACTGATTTCGGCTACCAGGTGTCGTCAAATTGCAGTGGTACGGGCAATGGATCAAGCATAATGCTCTGCGCGCAAATACTGCAAAGAACAAGTGTGAGCTTGCTCTACTACATGAATTCCTTGAGACGATGAGTTGTACACAACAACGCAATTGACACTATCTTATGCATGGACTAGTTCGAGGCTCCCCCATGGGTGGGGAGGCTTCCACTTCACGTGGGTGAACCTGCGGGTGGATCACTGTCAGCAGATGAGTATAAGGCTCTTGCAATAACTGTGGGTCCACTTATTGTGAGTACATCTTGCTTGTGATCGTATACTATTATTCATATGCTGCTGGACTAGTTACCAGTGATATGGGAAGAGTCTTGCCCGGAAGCGGAGGAGAACCACCAGAAAGCACTAAAGAAGTGGAAAAAGGCAAAAAAGAAGTGGGAAAAGAATCAGCAAGAATGGGAACTCCAGCAGGAGCAAGGTAGGGCTATGCAGAGTCAAAGTGTACCTGCACCTCATGTCTGTCAGTCTCCCAGCCTGCAAATAATGAAGGGACCTCAATGCCTGTGCACATAAAGACCGGGCGCAAGGAGAAGACCAAGGATCCTGGTCCACAACCCAAAGAACCACGCCGATGCATGCGGCCTGAAGAGATCAATGGGTACATGAAACTCGCAACTGCGCTGAAGATTCTTCTTGGTGGATCAATCATAGAGGGACAAATCAATCATGGAGAAAAACTTCTGTTTGAGTACTTGCGCGAATTCAAACAGGCATGTGCATATTCAACTTGCTCAGCTTGCTTTCTAATTGATATCACTGGTGTAGCTCTACGGCAATGATGGTATGATGCCAAACCACCACTTCTCTACACATATCGCTGCGCAGATACGTGATTACGGACCTGTATATAGCTTCTGGTCATTCCTACCAGAACGACTCAACAAATTGCTCAAGAGTTTCCATCTAAATAACTGGGGTGGTGGTCAACTCGAAATCAGCATGTTATGAGCCTTCAAACGAGATGCTCAGCTTCAATCCATGGTCAGTCAGACTCCACTCACGTGTCGAGCCACTCACCTTCTCCGTTGATTTCAATTATCTTCCAGGTGCGATTTGTATCACAATCACAAGTTACATCTCGAGAAGATATCTCTGCATCCATCGCACAGCACTTGCTGCATGAAAGTCGTGAAGCACGTGGTACGGTCCAATCAATAGGGCAAGGCTTTGTGGATGCTGCAGACGACGGTTAGCATTAACTAGTTGCTTTCAATAATATTCACTTCACTCACGTACTCTTTATTCAGCACTGTCGTCCTTGTCGATATCATTAGGCCCGACAACAAGTCAAGGGACAAAGCTATCAGATCGTGCAAGAGCTGCCCTTTATGCACTCTACAATCGTGACCACAAGCAAGTTTACTATACAACAGAGTCTGATGCACCGCGCAGCGCGCATTTCCTGCAATTTCGTGGACAAATGCATGACTAGTCACTATGTATTGATAGATAGTCGGCAAATAACACCAGTGACTCGATCCAGCAAGCTATCTGCTGCGTCTGCCATAGTGAAGGCAGACCTCGATGGCGAAGTTTTCTCAGGTGAAGTTATGAACGTTTTCGAGCACTTCCAGTCTGGTACCACAGGTGATGCCGTATTCACTGAGATGCGATGGATGAAGCATCTCAATAAGACTCCATGTAGCGATGACATCTGGAATGACTAGTGAGGTCTCATTTATGCAGTGAATCAAACACATAGCTCATACAGCATTTCACTAGTCTGGAGCTCGAGACCGAGTTTTGGGAGTATCAAAAATACCATACAGATATTGATGGTCCTCCTGCAGTTACCCCTCTGAGACTTATTCGCTGCCAGCTCGCTCGCGGTGTATGTCGTACAACTAAACCGAAAATGTGGATGACAACGTCATTGGAGCGGGTGCGTTATCTGAATTTTCAGCTTATTGTGATACTCAACATTTTCCGTAGCATGCTGTGTCATTGGTCATAGAGGACTGATCCTGCCAAAGCACATGCCACCTTGAACCAGTGAAGTTGTTTGATTTGCCGCTCGCCATTGAACGACATAGAGGTATGTCTTATATTTTGAATGATCTCTATTTTTATTATCACATTGATTGTTGATTGCCCTATAAATATCAGGAATTATAGCGTATCTAGGCTACAATACTCAGTCGACTGAGCGTAACAGCAAGGTAATGACATGCAGATGAGGTTATAGCACTACGGTGACGTATGCGATCGGCGATTCAATGAGACTTTTTGATGAGCAGGATAGCATTCGAACAGCAGGAGCAACAAGGGTTCAAGTGGTAAGCACAGCAGTGTCAGTAGCAAGAATAACGAACAGCTTGAAGCGAGAGCAGCAAACATGCACAGCGAAGAAGCCAGAACAGCAAGTACAGCGCAGAAGTGAGAATAGAAAGAACAAGCAGTGCAACAAGCACCATTCAATTCTCGGTCCAGGGCATGAAACAGCGGCATCTACAGCAGCTTGTGCATTAATTTGAGTTGTCGTCACTGGACTCTGAGTCGCTGCCGGAAGGTGTACCGGAGTGGAAGCTGGGAGATTGCGAGCGAGACCGGTGTGTGGAACAAGTTGATCCGTGTGCTCCATGGGCATTGGGCTCATCCTCATCTCCCCCGACAGCAGGATCATCGTCTGCTCCTCCCTGAGTACTGTCCGCATGTTGCCCGAAGCCAGCAGGATCACCAAAGGTATACCAGTCGTGCAGCAACACGGAGTTTGGGTATGTGTCCTTGTGTTTCTCGTACCACTCACGATTGATGCCGAAGTTGAATGGAGCAATGGCAGGAGGATGATCGCTTGATCGTGTTTCTGAGTACACACGCTGATTGAATTCCTGCCGGTCTTTAGGTTGCAGAGTCGCCCAGAAATAGTCCCACAGCTTGTGCAAGATATCGGAGTACTGGAACCTCTTGTGAGTCACGCAATTTTAAGTTCTCTGAGTTGTAATACTACTCACCTCTTCAGAACGCCAATTGGGCCTTATGATCTCAAAAAATCTAAGCTTCTGCAAGACAGAGTCCGGCAGCTCTCCCATCCCAGCTTCCTCTGCCATACGTTTCCTCCAGTCGTCCTTGGTTTCTTCACCTACAATCTCAGGTCCGGAGGCGTCATCTGACATCATCTCGGGGGTTATCAGCTCCCTCGGGTCGACACCATGTTCTTTGATATAGGTGGGAATGCCAAGTAGAAGTTTACTGGATTTCTATTGAAGATCGTTGATGTCGAAGTTTATGAAGTAGGGTAAGTAGCACTGACCAGTCTACGGCACTGCATACGTCTTGTATTCTGCGCATTGCGTTCCTGCAGCACCTTCTTGTCCGCTCTGATTTGCCCACGGTAAGCCTCCTTGAAGCCGCTCCATAAGGTTTTTGCTAACTCGTACACTGTGTCCGCAGTGATCAACATGGTTGAATCATTCATGAACTCCGGTCGCGTCTTCTCATCCTGCATACAGCATCAAGGACCATCGTCAGTATCCTAGCAATGAATTTGTAGGGGGAACTGTACCATTAGTTCGCCATACACAATGTCACGCACTCGGAGCAGCAGCTTCCTATTATCTGCATGTTGTACCCCGAAGTCAAACGAGGGATTCAGGTATGTTTCTCCAGCCTGCTCATTCTTCCGCTCCAGCATAATGCCCTGATCTGCAACAGGCCACTTATCCTTCACACTGACACCTGTCACCATTCGAATGCACGATGCGGTGAGTTTCTATGATGTTTGTCAGCAAATACCGTTGTCACAAAGCACATATAGCCTACTCCGATGGACGTCTTCGCCTTGCGCTGCTCTCCCGTTAAGTCACTTGTTTTGCCTTTGCTTATGTCTATGCGCTTCTCATTTGATATGCCCGGCGTACAGTCTTCAACATTCTGATCAACTGGATTGGGATGGCGGTGTAAGAAATTGCGCTTGGCTGCAGTAGAGGCACCTCGTGATGCTGAGTGGGTGCCACGAGCTGTGGAAGTTGTACTCCTGTCTGTGATGCTAAAAGTATGTTCCTGATCATCTGCGTGACCTAAAATAACCTGGCTGCTACCCGGGACTGCAGCTGTGAACGAGCCCAACATGTTTTGCTGAAGAAGACTGATTATATGCGCCGTCAAGGCAGGCGGAGGAATCTGCAATATTCTAGGATCGATATGATTACCAAGCACAGGGGGATGTAGCAGTGGAACAGGCTGTTCCTGGGCACGAGGAGTGGGTATTTGCTCGTGAACAGTACTAGTCGGCCTCTGCGACCGCAACTGTGATGGGGATCTGGAACGGGACACCTGTTGGTGACAGCTTGGCAAAATGTAAGTTTTTTGTAGTTTTTCATACGTTGTGCTGTGCTCATACTTACTTCTTTCTTTTCCGTCGTTCCTTTCGGCCCTGGCAATTTTCTTCGCGCTCCTCATCTGTGATGGTGGCAAGTGCATTTCTTCGTCTCTGCTGCAGCATGGCTGATGCAGCTCCATCTTGGAACGGCATTCCCTGGAAACCTCCTGCAGGCTGAGTTCTTTGCCATTCTGCTGTGCGTTCTTGTTGCTGATGAAGCTGTCCCAGGTATTGCTCTCGAAGCTCGCGAGGAAGGGTTCCCCAGATGGCTTGCATGGCCGGATCTTGGATTTCAGCCAGTACGGAGTTCATTGTAGGTGATATTTGTGTGCTGATTGCAATGAATAGCGCTTAGTTGAATTCTATCGCGATGAAGTGTATGAGGGATTGTGAGCCGGCGGGGACGCGACGCGACACGATCACCAGATCGTGTGTTATCTAATCTTATCTGTAGCTATAAACAGAAATCGATGACGTGCTTGCAGTCCGACTTGACGAGAACATCTGGCGAGTCTGAGGAGCAGGAGATGGCTTACATGCATATGCTGGTTGCGCAAACAGGACCTTACAGGACGTCTACCCTCATCTAGTTGTATTCCAAATGCTTGAGCTGATATCAATGCATAGAATTGAATAATACGGATATATACGGTGTTATTTAGATGTGCTCGAGTCACAAATAGATGGACTTATCGTGCCCCAACTAACTAAATAATTTGCGTGTGTTCATGCCTATCCACGGTACAAAAAGCTTATTATCCTAGCAGTACTCGCACCGACGCAGCTGACCATCCTGCCCCTCACGCCATTAATCTCCGCCCCCTGCGACTGCAGTCGGAGACACACCCGGATCTAGTGGTTCTGTCTTGATCACCGTGTCGCGTTATGATGTACTTTCGTTGGCGTGCTGTATAGGGTCTGGTGTCGGATAAGAGTGCGGGAGGTGAGATTTTCCGTGCTATGGTCTGAAGATGCCTTGATCTTCGTACGTTGTCGCTATACCTCCTTCTAGTTTCTATGCCAACTTCGGATGCTCACAGCTCGCTGGAAGTCCGGCATCATTTTATCTGTATCCTCCCGCTGGTACGCACCTTGACCTTACTCGTCACAATGACCGCTGAGTGCCCAATGAAGCAGCAAACCGCCCGAGCTGCAAGACTGGTTGTGTTAATGCCAGTAACGCCACCGACACGGAAGAGAACTTCTGGTAGTGCGACGAGTCAAAACTCATTGCGACGGGCCGCATAATGCATCGCGCCTTTTCTCAATTTCCGCTTCTCCCGAGGTGCTCAAATTTTGACGACTAGTGTTTGTGTGTTTTCAATGATCCTTTCATTTTCCGGCCCAGGTGTGCTGGCTGACGTGCCCTGATTCCTCTCTCAATCTCGTCGTACGCCTCACTGATAACGCGCTCCCTTTAGGGTGTACTGGATAGCGATTCAACATCGAAGACGCTCGCTGTCTCATCGCCGATCTTTTCAAGGGTGCGCTCGCCGCCCGAAGCCTGACTGGCGATCACAATCGAGAAACTCAACGTCCTAACACTTCGAGTCCTCCTGATCACGTTCGCAAGTTATCAGATCTCCAACCTGTCCAGCACCTGTCCATGGTAGTACCAACATACGACACCTCGGCGCTCCTCCCAACAACACTCCTACGCACCGAAAGTTCTCGTCGGTCATCTTAGGATCAATTCATCTTTCCAAGACTATCTGATCGGATCGGGATCTTTATGCGTCCGTGTATTCCTTACTCAACTGCGTGTCTATATCACAGCTCAAGTAGCAAAAATTGCCGTTCTCCGCGTTGGTGTGGGTACCCATCGCGCCGGGCTACCGCTGCCGAAGGGCCGTATCCAACATGTGCCATGATCAAGTATTGTCATCATGGACGGTCGTTCAAGCTTAAGTGGCGACTCCTTTGGAGCTGAAGTAACTCATAAGACCCTTCGTTTTGCGTTCGAGACTACACAAGATGTATCGTGCCGCTGGATCGGCGCATAATCGCGTTTCGCTGCTTCCGTGGCCAAGCAAACTCATCATATGTGCGTGTTTTTCTGTCATCATTGGCTCAACGTTGACTTCTCTCGTCGTTAGGATTTCTGCGCAGTAACGGCAGTAGTGAGCAAACTTTTTTAAATCGCTCGGGATCGGGTGTTCGGTGTCTTCCCTCCGCAAGATCTGTGTACCCCTACCATCAATATGTACAAGTTGAACAGTTCTGTCATTTCAAGCACCACCTTGCGGTTAGCGGTGCGATTTCCGGAGCTTCAGAAGTGACAGTAGCACAAGAATATGCAGATGTAGCCCAATACTTCTGAGTATGTGACCTCGCCATATCCCGCTGGAAAACATTGTGGTACGCCGCGTGTGCCGAGCTAAACAGTCTAGTACTTGTGATCAGGGATGTCGCCATCTATATTCTGCATATTTTTCGCCCGTGGACGTTCTGCCTGACCATATTGTTCGCCAAGGCATGGTATACCGGTGCGTGCTGTCGCAGGTATGCAATACCGTCAGTATGCCTGATTTTATCGCGCTATCAACTTCATGTATACGTATCTCTGTATTGTACATTCAATGCAATCAGAACTTCAGATCTACAAACTGCATACTCGGCCACTATCTACTAAGTACAAACTGTAGGCAATCCGGTACGCGCAGCCCACACGTCTTGCGCGATTCGCGAGACACTTGTAAATCTGTCAAATTACAACGGAAGGACAATATTATCGCAGCTGATGCATCAAGCGCTCCTGACCGACGTAGATCTTCACAACTGACATTGTCTCGGCCCAGCTCGCCGACGCCTGTTTCAGGCGACATCATCTTACCCCTCATGATCTTTGCCGTGGTCAAAGCCAATCCGCCCCGGCTTGTGTCAAATCTTCTCTATATTCAACGTTTTCGCCGCGAGGGCACTGGAGGAGGCGAGGAAGGCTACTGTCTGATCAACCTGATGGCCGTCGCAGAATTCTTGGAGAACGTTGATCTAGCAGCCCTCGGACTGGGAGAGAGCGAGAAGAATGTCATCAGGTATGTTCCTTTTGTCTTACTTTCTGGCCTACCCCCAAGAAAGACAGCCTGAGTTGCTGGGTTGCGCCTCTGTCGTTTCTCGCACCCCCTTTGTGCTCCAGCGTCTCACTAACAATTGTGCCCATGATCATTACGCACAGTGCTGCCGCTCTCAGTCCCATCCCCGTTACACGCTCTGCATACGTATCTCCGGTACATCAACCTGCTTCCGAAACTTGCGTATATACAGTCCCACAAAGAATGATATCCTGCATAGAAGGACTCGCACCGTCTGTACATTCTAACTCCCGAGTTACTGTCCTCCCCGCAACGTTGCAGCCTGCCAGCTGCGCTCGCCGAATCAGAATGCATCCACTGTCTTGTTTCTCCTGACCTTGTCTGCTCAGATGCTCAATTGGTGCTCGTCGTCATTAGATGTAAGAGGCACTCCAGACAACTGTCTGTCTTCAATGTGCAACTCGGGAGTCTTCGATTGGCCTGCTGATACAGTGGGTGAATCACTGTGATAAAGGTCGCCATCGAAAAACAGCCTAAAGTCGACACCGCGCCGACGCAAGGCATCGAAACAGCCCAAAATGTGCCGCTTCTCTTCCTCAGCAAAGTCTTTGCCATTAACACCCAGCTTGAACTCCCGCAGTGTGAGAAACTGCAGCTCGTCCACGATACGGGCCGCGCTCTCCCACTTGCAATCCACTTCTCTTGGCTGCATTGATATGTCAAGTTTCTGGAGGCGGCAATTTGGTGAAATGATGCGCAGGATCTCCGCCAAAGAAATGCCTAGCACCCACTGCAAAGTGAGGTTATGAAGTACAGTGCAATGACCTAGTATATCTAAGTGCTGCACTGTGGGTGGCATTAGGTTGATACTACTGTGATATAGGGTGTAATCCTTACCATTGGATGCAGTAGCAGCACCAAAGTCTAAATCTAAATCCTCCAGACTAGTTCCGGCATGCATGAGTAAGTTTCTCAGAGGAGATAGAATTTGGTCATATAGAAATGTATCCAGCCTCTGTAGACGATGGATGGATGCCGGTGTCAAGGTCAGCCACCCAAAAAGTGCTGAAGATAGGGCTAGTTGTGTTTCATCATCTCCAGTTTTCACCACAAGACAGGTGAACGTGGGAAATGGTGATGCTGCATGAGTGATTGGGGATGTCTCGCATCTCTCTAATCTTGAGTAGAGCACATTTAAAGTCCGCAGCCGAGGTAATGCACAGATGAGGTGCCGAAATTGGCAGAAATTGCGGAATGTGCAGTTTCGTAATTGCATCTTGGTAACACGTCCAAACTGCCCAAAGCTGATTAGCAGTGTGCGTGGATGTATAACAACTTTACCCCATTCGAGGCCCTGGATACACAATTCCTGGAGAGCTGAGAACATTCGTCCAAGGACAAGGGGAAATTGATACACCCATGCAGGCTCTGTACCAATCAGGGTTATTGCTCGCACTACGCGGAAAGTGGCTGCATGGAGGTTACTTGATGCTCGCGATGCTCGCACAAGAGCTTCGAAGAGGCCGATGTCAATCTTCAAGTAGTCCTGGCTGTAAAGACGATAGACGCTAGCTGGGAGCCACGTGCGACAAACGAGAGCACAGCTGTACACCGTGACCGTACTCTTCTCCGTGATGTAGAAACGGGGGTCGCTACCCACAAAGTTAATGATGCGATCTGTTAGCTCGGGGGGAAGCCTTGGTATGTTCATGTACTATGGATGAGAATGTTGATTATTGTATAGACAGTGGTCAATATTCAGATAACGGAGTAGGATCTAAGTGACGTACCGGTATGCATTCCCAGATCGCAGCCTCCCACCATGCAAGGTGGTCCAATTGGAAGTAGTGCTGATTAGACTGTGCTGAAACTAGAAGAGGCAAGACAACGAGCCATGTCAGTCGTGCGCTTTGAGAGTTTAGGAGTAGGGACTTACTGGGCGAGGCGAATTTGGGCACGGGAGTCAGGAAGCAACTCATTGGGTTGAGTTCGGGATCGGCAAATGCATACCCGGTGAGTTCGGAAAATGGGAGCTCGGACCACTCGACTTCTGGACAGGCGAGTTCGGACGAGAAGAGTTCGGACATGGCGAGTTCAGACGAGGCGATTTCGGACAAGGTGAGTTCGGACTAGGAAGAACTGATCGTGTCGAGTAAGACGGGGTTGAACAAGGGGGAATTCAAGGACTGGAGGAAGGGGGTTTGGACATTGACAATGAATTCAGAAAAGCGGGGCATCAACTCACACGCCTTGAACGCGCATTAGTACTTGGGGTGTTCATCGCCACGCATCTACGCTTAAATATTTAGGGGCCACGAAACCGGAGTAGAGCTGTCAAAGCCCAGAGGAACGGGACATGACGAAACGTGCTTCCTACATGGTGAACCTTAACAGATGAGTGGTCTATTGCGGCAAGTGACAGGTAGACGCACGCATAGCTGTATATATTTTAAAGAGGCCGTGCGTGCGCTCTGTCGACCTGTCATGAGAACGCGGACTGCTGTAGAGCTTGTGCATAGGACGCGCTGTCACGAGCGGTTCCTCGAGCTCCTTATCAGCCTGCACCTACACCGCAAGGCTGTCCATGACTGCGGAACAGATGCCAATGAATACTGCAACACACTTACTTGGAGATGAACCTGTGAGATGTCGGCTATTACCACTGACTGGCACTGGATCGATTACGCACCGGCGAGGGCGTCTAGGCGAGAACCAGTGCTCCGAAATTAGCTGAGTAGTCCGAGTTGCATCTAATATTAGGCGCGACCGTGCGTGAGTCCTATGGACAATGAAGTTTTGCAAGCAACGTTCATCGCAGAAATGGCTTCAGCGAGGGGAACATGAACCGAGAAACATACAATGAAAATCCAGGGCGCACTGGCATCCTCGTCTTGTTTCGCGGCAGACCTATGTTGATACTCCGGGACCTGCAAGGTGATCTCTACACCAGATGACTGAGCGGAGAAGGTGTCCTCGAACTGAAACGCTTTGCACGAGAAAAGTACAGAGGATGTGCTTGCCGTTGGTGTTCGCGCTCGACGAGTGGCAAACCCTTCGAAGACCAAGCCAAGGGAGGTTCCGATTAGGCGCCATCGCGTTGCTCGCTGAGATGACGAGAAGTCTACGCGACGCCGTAATTTATATGAAGAAGCTGGGAATTCTTCATGTCAAATTTCTGGGAAGTCGGGCGCGGTGAGGTGCCCCGGGCATGCAATACAACAATCAGATCACTCAACTAGATGCTTGTTGGGTAGTCGGGACAAGGATATCAGAGAACTGGCGACCGAGGTCCAGATCGTGCATAGAGCTACCGCTCACTGCGTCTAAAGCATTAACGATCATCGCGGTCCTGGGAGCATGGCTGGAGGGCGGCTGCGCTGAGTAGGCGGACGAAAGCGAAGTCGCGGCGTCAGAATTAGTGAGTGGACGGGGAATTGAAAAGGAAAACCCCTTGCTAGTAGCATATTCGCGTCAAGTCACAAGTCAGAAAATATTCTTCCATGACGTACTCCAGTCAGTTTGATGTTGATTGGCTTTGTGTCGATAGCGTTGACAGAATTCGCCGAAGAGAGGCTAGAAATGTCGCAACGAGGAAGAACGACTGTAATACTATTCGGCAGAGATACATGCACAAATGTATCTCTTTGCGGAATCATATCAGCAACGTCGAAACTGCTGCCAGTCCTTGCAAAGTTAGAGTTGAAGACGGGCGATCATAAACCAGGGCACGCACGTCTTTGCCCCAAGTTCCAACGGCCGCTACCCTCCCTCTGCGCCGCACCCGAAACTACAATTCCAAGAAACTCCTGGATCGTTTTTTTTGCATATTGGCGGTCCTTCCGTCAGCGGTCTTGGTGAGTTTGGGGCACCCTAGTGAGCCATACACAAGAAAATCGAACCACGCACCTTTCCCCAGGCTAGTATACCTCACCTGGGACCACCCTGGCGTACCGTGGACGTCAGGCGGAGTCTCGGAGGCACGTCACGGCGGCACGTGATCGTGACAGACGCGAGACGCCACACACGGCCCGGCTAGTCCGCTCTCACCGCAACCACTAGCGTGTGCCAGTGCAACCCCCACACAATACCGCTGTCTGATGGGGCCATATTGGGAGCACCTCTGAATATTCTCAGTCACCGATCGTTCCTGCGTGTCGCTGTTCTGAGCTCTCCTCCGTCTACGTCGCCCTGCGAGATGTGCGAGTCCCAGTTTGCACCCTGCGGGACGTCGAGGACATTGCGAGCAATTAATTGCTGGAGCAGTACTTGTCGACAACGAGGCGGACCCTGTACATTATTGCATTCCCTCTCGCCACTTCTCCCACAGGCTCCGCCGTCCCTTGCCTCCCAGTCCCTGGAGAGGCTGACCTACTACCAGTTCCTGACTCCCCGGTCTGCAAAGGAACATCAGGGTATTGCCCGACGCACGATTTCAAAGGTTTCTTAGTTATGGGAAATTTAAGGAAAAGCGGATCGCGGAAGGTGAGCGCCTCCAACATTCTCTCTTCATCGCGCTAATGTCTGTTGAAAGGCGAGATGCAGCGGAAGACGTTCCTCTACGGCGAACAGCTCGTGACCATCCTAGACTTCGAGGAACTTGCGTTGCAGTCTGTGGACCCATCGCTAGAGGTCCGTAAGGACTTAAACATACCCAGCAGCAGAGCTCAATAAGTTTCATTTGGATCCAATTTTCTCAGTGTTGAAGTCAGAGCGCCAACCGCGTTCGTCCATTCAACGCGAGTGTCGTAAGGTTCTCCAAGAATGGGTTCCCCTGAAATCACACAGGACGCGAGCTACCCATTGCCTTCGGGCATCTCCGTTATTTGTACGTCGTCGGTGTTCCTTGTTTCGGTCCAGATGATACTCCCTGCGCAAACTTCTCCTTGGCGAAAACAGAGGAAACTACCATCAGTCACAAATGCTGAAGTTTGCAAAGGAATGTAGATGGCTGGACTTACGCGGCTTGGGCTTCGTGAGCGAAAGATGTACACATTACCATTACACTAACGACCGACTTCGAGGTACTATTCTCAGCATTGCTTCGCCCGCACGACGCTTCCGGCAGCTCCTCCGCCCTCTATCGCCATATTGACTTCAATCGGACGACAAGGGTTGCCTACTTTCAATCCCTGCTTTCCACTGTCGTCCAGCGGCCGCATTGAAGCTTCGTAGAAAGACGTGATTGCAGCCGATCTCCCTCGTTATTCTATTTCTATACCTTCATTCTGTGCTAGACGCCTGGAGCACGACGCGCGAGGTACTGGGGCGCAGGCATCAATAATTTTGAGGTTGTCTGAGACAGAGAACCCGATCTGCTGTGAGTACATGTTAACATTTGTATTGTTTACTCCAGTCTCCGATTTCTGTAAATCAGCTGAATATGCCGAACCTCCGACATCCAAATGCAGTCTATTGGTCGCAAAGCGCAGCAGGCCACAAAGGAAGCATTTTTTCAGAGTGCATTCGCTATAGCAGGATCTCGATACGATGTTTGCGGTGTTGATAAATAGATCGATCACGATCTTATTGGTCCACTGGGAACTCATACATTGTCATCTTGGATCACTTAATAAGTCCGGTCTCAGGCAGATTTTACGCTCGGCGAGTCGCGTTGAAGAACCCTCAAGTGGCACCCCCTAAGACATTCTGAAGTGTACTTGCACTGTTGGATGGTCTCGATAAGTTATCATGGACCAAACGAACACCCGCCAATTGAAAGCCATGGTGCGGGAGTTTCTAGTGGAACGCATGCAGTGACCACTTATGTAACAAGTTCCAGCTCCACCAGTGGATGTTACATGTGCATTCCTGCAGATTTGTATGCTCATATATGCCCCTGATGGTCTACTCCCAACACGTGATGAAAGACACTCGACAGATTAACCTTCTCCACCAGGCCTCGGATAGACATACGGGTACTCGAACGAAACGTCCGCGCACACACCTCGGTTGCACAATGCTTCGACGGCCTCCGTAACACTCGCATTGGCTTCCTGAGGGAAGGTACTGATAGTGAACCTCTGCAGCTCGGCGAAACGTGCTTCCTCGAAGATGCTGAGGAGGTTTGGTGAAGACTCCATTGTGTTTACCCGCAGCCAGAGGTCGTGGATCCGGCTGCTGGGTGCAATCACGCCCAGCATGTGTTCCAGAGCGATTGCACGGGAGCCTCGAAGTCCGAGGGTACGCAGCGATACGCAACTGCGCACGTTCAGCTGCTCTACTGCATGAGGTATTTGTTATTAACATCGCATGGTTAAAAAATCGCGCGACAAAGTACTCACAATCTGATGTAGAAAACGATTGGTCCAGGAACAGTGTCAAGTCCTCCAGAACGCCCCCAACCACCTCCAAGAATTTGCGGACTTGCGGCGTGACGTTTCTTGAAGAATACAATTGGAATTTCCGCAGCGCCGGCTTGAGAGATGCGCATGCGAACCACTCCAAAAGCGACTGTACAAGCGGCTGATCCACATTGGGATCCATAGATACTTCGATAAGCGGAGGAAGCCGCAAGGGTGCGGGTGCGGTGTCTGCCACAGCTGTCTTCGCCGAAGACACCGTCGCACTGATTTTCAATATGTTCAGCCGTGTCAGAGCAGAGACGAGGCACTGGAATTGCCGGGGACTGCGAAACGTGCAGCCGGATAGCGATAACGTGGTAACACGTCCGAACTGCATGAATCCGAAGGGGACGGTATCGGGGTGCATGCATATTCCGTTCCAGTCGAGGTGCTCGATCAGAAGTTCCTGAATGTCTGAGAGTATGTGTCCGAGGACAAGGGGTAGCCGGTGCACCCACCCCGGCTTCGTATCCTGCAGCTCCAGCCTGTGCACGGAGCTCAGAGACCTTTCAACATTGCGGATCCTCGATGCTCGTATGAGCGACTCGAGACTTCTGCGAGTGTCCAGATGAATGCTGTTATACAGGTTGTAGTGACTGCGCGGTAACCAAGTATGACAAGTAAGGGCACATCTGCAGAGTGACGGAGCGTCGTCCCACAAGAAATCAATTATGCGGTCCGTCAACTCAGTTGGGAGACCGGGGATCATCGCGGACATTCACTTGTTGAGCTTGAGCACTGCGCATTGTGAAGAATAAGAATAACAAGTTGAGGCTAACAAGTTGCCATTGAACAGAAGGATGGCAGAGTGCTTCACCTTGTGCGTCAGTCGTCTTGATAAGTATCAGGCCGCAGAAGACTAGGCTGAAAATTTGGTACCGTAAGCGACATATCGCCACATAGAATAAAATATTGAGAAACGTACAGCGAGCAAGTGTCCAGACGCAGAGTGGGCTTTCTTCAGTGGGGGAATGGTGGAAGAGATATGCGACTCGGATACTTATTCGAGGCACCCAACGGTGGACGTGGCAGTGTGCGATAGGCTCGTTCTAACAGTCAAACACAGCCCCGCCCAAATATGGACCTGTTCCTGGAAAGTACGCATCACAAGTCTTCTTGTCTCTGTATGACAGCAGGCATGGGAGCAACTGTCAGTAAGTTGAGCTTATAAAATTATAGCCATGTAAGGGGGGATGTATCCGAGCGAAATGGGGACGAGGCACTGCAATTGGCGAAGAGCGAGCGTCCGCGGATCAAGAATGAAAAGAGCGCGCGGACTATGCGTGGTAGAAGACAGAAGAATATAGAATGCTCAGGCGATTAGCGCCAGCGCGTGAAGGCATATTGATGGCGCGCTGAGAAGGGGAAATGGCGCGCAGGGCATGTGAAATGGGAAGCAGAAGACGAGAGAACCGTGCGATGAGGCGCTGGGGTGCGCAGAGGCAGAGCGCTGGACTGCTGAGGAGAGATATATCAATTGAGTTAAGAGAAATAGAGGTGATACGAGAAGTGTCTCGAGAACGAAGCGAAGAGGAAAGCACGAAGACAGAGGCGACGGACAACACGAAAACAGAGACGTGCGGAGTGAAGGACAGGAAACAAAAATGTACACCGACGAGGACAAGCAGCGGGTAGAACAAGATAGCATGAGAGCCGAGGAAGCCGAGAAGCAGGCGAGGGCTGCACAAGAGGAGGCTGAGGAAGCCTTGGCTGTGGCTGCAGAGGTTGCAGAAGACGCCCGAAACACGCAGGAGGCTGGACAGAAGCTGAAGGTTGAGATACCTCCTGTGGTCTATGTAACGGATGTGACACTGGGTAGGGGAGCCGTCACCTGTCAAATTTCTGGCAGAGAAATCGTAACGGCACCTCGGAGCGAACAGCTTAACTGAAATTGTGTGGACTTCAGATACCGACGGATCCCAAGTGTCCGGTATTGGTACTATATGACACCTCGCGCGGCGTATGCGCTCGAGCACCGTGATGTGGGGAGTGTTGGTGAGCAGGGCTACCGCACCGATATCAAGTGCAGTCAAAGAAAGTACGGATGACGTACAAAGACTGAGGTTTCTTGAACAGGTGGTAATCGTGTTTTTCGTCATGCATTGCTACCAGACCTTCTCTCCCATCTCCGCATCGGCAATACTAGAGTTGACACAGCCAGGCTTGACAGTTGGGATTTCCTAGTTCATCGGAGGCTCAGCGTTCATTATGCGGGCAGAGTCAAGGCACGTACCGGAGGGGGGAGGGAGACAAAACGACGCCGGACTTGAGTGAGCTATGAGCATCCGAAGTTGGCGTAGAAACTACAAGAAGGCACAGCGACAACGTACGAAGATCAAAGTATCCTCAGCGAATGAGAGCGTGGCACTGAAGGTTTTTCGCGCGTCATTGCAGGGCACGCTGCTCTTGGAAAGCCTTCAAATACCTACGCTTTATGAGGGGTACCTTTACAATGAGGTCCGAGGCACCGATATCACCGCTGTGGTTCAAAGATGCACCGGTTGAATCGCCTTCTCAACACCAGCGCGGCATTGACAATAGACTTAGGGCGACAATCCCTAGACTTGCGTGGAGGTCACACTTCCGACCTCGCCAGGGGGTCAGCTGTATATGCTGCTAGACTCAATCTCGCTGAGAAAAATCTCACTATTCACACGCCTCTTTAGAATTTCAACGAAACCTCCAGCACCCTTATCCTACAACCGACCCTATACGGCACGCCGTCGAAGGTACACCATGGTATGACAAAACCACTAGATTCGGATGTAGCGTCGGCGTCGACTACAGCAGCGCGTTGGAGGGGCGGAGAATAGCGTGGGGGGACGGTAGCCTTCGTCGCTGAAAGGACTGCCAGTCGACGATCGGACTGCGAACGGGCAAATTCCGTGGATGACGGCGACGCGGAGATCTCTGGCTGCTGCGTCTCGGCGGGGAGGAAGACGGAGCGTTTGGGCTTGTGCCTGGGCGCAGGTTCGGAGAGCGGGGTGGCGGTGGCTGCGGTGAGGGCGTAGCTGCAGAAGCGGAAATGGGTGCGCCGAAATCGACGTCCTCGGTTTCGCCGTAAATGGATTCACTGAGAAAAGAGATGCGAGAGGTGTCGTCATAGCCATAGTCGGCGCCGGGGCTCTGGAGGTCAATTCGGATTGAGATGCGAGCCGATAACTGGAGAATCAACACCTCCTCCAGCGGATGAGCCGGCTAACACCTTGAGCGGGTAGGGGTGATGTCGCGAGGAGTGTGGCAAGGTGTCCTGTTTGTGCACTAGTAGAAGCATTAAATCATGCATACCTTTCGGCCTCGGGGTTGGCCCAGGGATATCTGACCGTCCGTAGTCATTTGCGGACTTCAGGATGATTTGATAGCGAGGACATTGGACGGTGTAACTCGAAATCACTGCAAGGTCGTTGTGCGGGGATGGCGAGTGCACAAAGGGAGGGACTCGCGACTCGGAGTAGCCGGGCCGTGGCGACTCGCGTCTGTCACGATCACGCGCCTACTACGTGACATGCCTCCCGCCTCTGGCGCCTCATGTCCCTATGTGCCCAGGGTCGTACCAGGTGAGTACTCCTGGGGGAAGTGCATATTTCAGCTATCCTGTTTATACCTGCCTAAGGTGCCTCCAGCTCGTCAACGCTATTAATGGAAGGATTGCCAACATGTAATGACCCAGGTGTTTCTTGGAGTACAATTGTAGTTTCGGGTAGAGGGTGGTATTCGCCGTTGGGACTTGCGGTAAAGACGTACGTGTCCTAACATATGACCAGTTATCTTGGACTCTTACTTTGCAAAGACTCACAGCCATTTACTTCTCATCAATGTAATTCCTCGGAGAGATCCCTGCTTGCATGTATCACTTGTACTCGTGAATACATTCATTCTCCCCCGCCGCGAGATTCCTATCCTCTCATCAGCAAGTGTCGTCTACAACATTGACTCCAGCCAACCGATTTCAGAATGACAATAACTCGAGATGGGCCGAGGAAAGACTCTTGCTCGGTAAACAAGGATATTTTTCTTCAATTCGTTGTCCGTTCGCTGACGATACTGGAGACACTTTACTGAAACCGTGACTTCCCATTCGTCCACACTCTCTGCACAACCCTTCCCAACTACAATCGCTACGATCGCGACGATCGTGGATGCTATGTATGCGGGCTAACCACTAACCCTCTTTCACGTTCTCTGGTCCCGGTCATCCAGCGATTGTCGAGCAGAATACTTGTGAGTAATCTAACTATTGTAGTCCCTCTCCCCTGAACGTCCTGCTCCCCCCGGTTTCCCAGAAAATCGGACTGCTCGACTCCACCTTCTTCACAATGTCAATACCGCGCAGACGTCTCGCCATCTCACCACGCAACGCGAGGACACCGGACAGGTGTCTCAAAACGCACCTCCCTCGACTTCGTCTTCGAAGGGTTTGCCGCTTGTCGAGCGCGAACATCGACGACACGCACACCCTGTACTTTTTCATGCAAAGCGTTTCAGCTGCACGATGACATCGTCTCCCCTCAGTCGCCTGGCATAGAGATCACCTTGCAGGTCCCGGAGTATCGACGGAGGTTTGTCGCGAAGTGAAGACGCAGGTGACGGTGCGCACTACCTTTTCTCTGCATTCCCTCAGTTAACATTCCCCTCGCTGATGCCATACTTATCCGTGACGAACTTTCATTGGCAGCACTTGGCTCTTTCGAGCGCGAGCGCACGGTCGCTCACAATATTAGATAGAACATTGCTTTCCTAGGACTACTGAATTAAATTTCCGATTACCAGGTATGTCCACGCCTGTACGAAATCGATACAGACATTGGGAATGCAGCCAATGTCCTACAGGAGGTGTACTGTGATATTCGTCGGTGTTTGTTCCGCAGTCGCGGACAGCCTTGTGATGTAGCAGGCTGGTAAGGAGCTCGACTCGAGGAACCGTTCGTAGCAGCACGTCCCGTGCACAGACTCTGCACCGGCCCGCGTCCTCATGGCAGGTCGACAGAGTGCGCGCACGGCCTCTTTCAAATTTCATGCAGATATGCGTGCGTCTATCTGCTATTTGCCGTGATGGACCACCCATTTGTTAAGGTTCACCATGTAGGAAGCATGTTTCGTCATGTACCGTTCCTCTGGGCTTGGATGGCACCATCCAGTTCCATCGCTTCCATACACGATAACCTATGCGCGTGCTTTTGATGCAAGGCCATCAACGCACCAAGTATGCATGTTCGAGGCACGTGAGTTGACACCCTGTCTTTTCTTGAGTTCGTCGTCCAACCCCCCTTCCTCCACTCCTCGAGTTCTTCCTCATCCAAACCCCCTCACTCTACACAATGAGCTCCTGGTCCGAACTCGCTTTGCCCGAACTCACCGTGCCCGAACTCGCCCCATCCGAATTTGCCTCTCCCGAACTCGCCTCGCCCGAACTCACCTGGTCCGAGCTCCCCTTTCCCAAACTTCCCTCGTATGAATTTGCCTATCCTGAATTCAACCCGATGAGTTCCTCCCTGCCCGAACCTGCCTTGCCCAAATTCGCCTCGCCCAGTAGGTCCCTATTCCTAAATTCTTGAAGTGTATGACTGACATGACACGTTGTCTCGCATCCTCTAGTTCAGGAAGATGTTCATCCTCGTAGGACGTACGAATGGTACCTTGAACATTGGGAGGCTGCAATCTGGAAATGCATACCGGTACGCCACCTAGATCTTATTCCCCGATCCGAGTATTGACTGCTGTCTGTGCAATGATCAACATTCTCATCCATAGTACATCAAGATACCAAGGCTCCCCCCCGAGCTGATGGACTGCATACTTGACTTTGTGGGCGGCAAGCCAGATTTCAGCTTCCCCGATCAGCAGACGCTGTACAGCTGTGCTCTTGTTTGTCGTGCATGGCTCCCAGCTAGCCGTTATCGGCTTTATGGCTCTAGACAGACTGTGCAATCCAGCGAGCACTTCAAAGCCCTTGTGCGGGCATCGAGGATCCCACATATGGCATGTAGTCTGCGATCGGTGCGCGAACTGCATCTGGAGGATTCAAAGCCTGCATGGGTCCATCGATTACCCTTTGTCCTTGGACAAGTATTCTCAGCAGTCCAGGAGTTGCATATCCGATACATCAGATGGGATGCAGTTGTTATGCATCAACACATACTGCTAATTGGCCTCACTCAGTTTGGATGTATTACCAAGCTGACGTTATCTGACTGCACATTCCGCAATTTCTGCCAACTTCGACGTCTTATCTGTGCACTACCTCGGCTGCAGATGCTGGAGGTGAAGAATTTATCGATGAAGACATCTACGGCATTCCCAATTACTATTGCGGCATCACGATTTTCTGCACTCACCCGACTTTCGCTCTTCTGTGATCATGGTCACAAACAATCACTAAATCTACATTCCGCACTTCTCAAATGGCTGGTATTGATGCCAGCATCCATCTGGAGTCTGCAGTCACTAGCCGTGAATAATTTATTCCGCAGAACTTCAGCTCCTGTGAGAAACTTACTCCAACATGTCGGAACTAGTCTGGAGTCTCTATATTTAGCTCTGTATGCGCTGACTGCCTCTGATGGTAAGTATTATAACCTACATCACAGTGGCATCCTGAGACATAATATCACCCACAGTGCAGGACTTGAATGTCAGCCGTTTCACTGGACTTCGCAACCTCAATTTGCGGTGGGTGCATGGGATGTCTTTGGCAGAGATCCTGCACATCATTTCACCAAATTGCCGCCTCCATGAACTCAGCATAGGGATGTATCTAGGAGAAGTGGGATGCGAGTGGGAGAGTGCGGCCCGTATTCTGGACGAGCAGCAGTTTATCTCACTACGGAAGTTCGAGCTGGCGATTCAAGACAAAACCTTGACCGGGGAAGAGAAGCAGTGCATTTCGGGCAGTCTGGATGCCTTGCGACGGCGAGGTGTCCGTGTGATTGTGGAGCTTACTATGCCACAGCGTTGCCTCTGGGGGGAATGTGAGATCTGGTTGGACGATATCTCCGCAGGCGGCATACAACGTCATATTCAAGCGATACACAGCAAGGGAAACTGGGTTCGGGAGCACTCTGGGGAGTGTAGGTGGAACGCAGAGCAAGGGCTATGCGGATGTCGGATGATGCAGGGCAGCTACGGCAAGCACGTAGCATCGACCCATTTGCGGTCTGCAACCCCGACATGTGACAAGTGCGAAAAGACCTTTGCGAGGTTGGATGCGCTTCGGAGGCACATGAACCGTTGCAGGGGTGTCACTGGTGGTCTGTGAGAAGGTGCACAGAACTACACTACTGTCTGCCAGCGGGGGAAATGGTTTTCATATCACATTAGAAGTTGAAGTACATACGACTGCTTTGTATAACTCATCTGCCCTTATTTTCGTTTCGAGAATATCCAACAACTATACAGCTGAATGACTTCCTCTGTGTGAGAACAACATGGTTTGTACTATGACAACAGTAAACCGACAGCTTGCAGATCCAAATTCACCTCACACAACACGGTGTAATCGTATCCGCCCCCGCGTACTTGCGCTGTTCGAGATCGTAGAGTGGCCTCGCAGCCAGCACTAAAGCCGTAGTACCTGCACAATGTCGGAGGTTAGCTGAAGCACGGGATTTTAATCTAGTCCCGGCTCTCTAAATGAGCTTAGTGGCAACGAGAACAAGTGAAGAGGCTGAAAGCGATAGAGGATGCCTATCAAACGGATTTGCGATACAACGAGGTCCGACGGTGGAGTCCCAGTCTCCAAGTTACTTGCATGGATTACCTGGCCTCAGACACTCTCGGGTATATCGCCGCGCTCGAGGGAGCGCCATGAAGTGGTCCGCCGACAGTAATGCAGTTGTACTCCGCGAATTGTGAGGGAAGGGTATGCAGATCTTGCGGAGAGAAGATGCGCGGCGAAAGAAGTCGGGTGATGTCAATATTGGTGCAGGACCAGCTCTTACTGTGCAGTAGTCTGAATGAAAACCTGAGTCAACTTATGGGCTAGAAGAAGAACACGAATGCACGATGAACTACTTGACTGCAAAAATGCGCGCCTTGAGCTGTTGGTCCGGTTGCATGACAGATCTTGGGCAGTCTTCAATCTTGGATCAAAATAAGCTTAGGAGTCATTGCAGCTGCGAAGGACTCACCGCCTGAGTTTGAGCGACCGTACCCGAAAACAATATCTGCTCGTAGTACATGTTTGCCACGGTCTTTTGGCAGCCGGAAGGCAGGTGGCATAAGTACCGCATTGATGGAGATAAGCGCACTTTTGATACCTAAGCTGCAGACGTGGACACTTGTCCACTGTGACCAACGACCTCACAGACGTGCGAATGGTCAACATGGTACATACCATCCTTTACCTTTCATCATTATCTTGAGAACGACGAATTGACTTCAAGATTGACAGTACGGCCATCCCAGCTGACGAGAGCTGGGGGTAGGTAGGGAAGTTGATGGGAGAAGTGCCGAGGCGTCGTCCGTTAGCACGATTGCACGACGCTGGGCCGATCTATTAGCCTCCGAATTCTGCGTACAGAAATATGACGACTTGCGAACATAAGCATGCTTCGTATCAGGAGGAATCGGAGGAAGTCGAACGATATTTTTCGACTGCGATCGTGAGTCAGCTTTCGTGCGGCAAGCGTGCTGTTGAGATCGCGATGAGAAAGCTTTGCCTTCGAGTGTCTTCTGTGCCTGAGTCTTAGTATCGGGGTTATACCAGTGCACTCTGAGGAGAGCAGAACAACAGATCAGCAAGGTGCGCGACAAGACTGAGAAAAATACCAGCATAAAGGCTAATATGAGCACCTCAGAGAAGCGCGACTTGTAAAACGATTCCGATGCATGTGCGGTGTCTTATTCTCGGTCGCAACGATCTTCTTGAAGATTCGCACGATGTAGTGCACTAGATGTTCTCCTCCATCTCTGCATCGGTGATACTGAAGTCGAGGCTCAACGGTCAGCGGTCGTTAAGGCAGGAAGGGTTAAGGTACATACCAGCGGTAGAGACAGATAAAACGGTGCTGACTTGGGATGTAACTGTCTCAAGGAGGAATTGGAACAAAACACAGGGATGAACTACGAAGAATGAAGCCTTGAGAACTCCTCATTGAAAAAAACCATAACGAAGGTCTACCCGCGTGCCGTGGCAGGGCACATTTCGGATACCAGTAAATTGGGTAGCATTCGGTACACTCGCGGTGGCATAGATTAAAGGAACCCGGTTTAATTCACTTTCGCCAAGGCAGTGCGCAACTTCTACCTACGACAGCCTTAATATTACAAACTGCCAACGCTGCCAGCCGTATGCACTGTTAGACTCAAGCTCTCGGAGAAAAAGTTCACCATTCACACACCTCTTTAGATTTTCAAAAACTCCTCCATACACATATCCCACACCCGACCTTATACGGCACGCCAACGAGAGTACACCATAATCCCCTGGGAGGGAAACCCCCCCAGCCCTGCGCCGACCTCTACGTGGTCCAGGGGACTAGTACCTTGCCATCCACTCGGTTGACAAGGGAAGCTAACAGGCGCAAAGGAAAACATTACGCATACACGAGGCACACCCTCCGTGTCACTCCGGCACCATTTCTCCTGGGATGTGCTACACACGATAATACCTCTCAGTGAGGCCTAACGCATATGATCATTACGCTACCACTCAACCTATAACAACTCGAGACTCACGTCACCCATAAAATTGGGACGACGAACACACATGTTTTCGAGACTTCTCTCACTCAATCATCCCGCTACGTCCGTGCATAAATCGGCGGGTGATCAACAACCACATAAACACATGAAACTAACTCCCCTAGAGCACAGAAAGAACTCAGAATACTACCTCTCTGCTATAGAACATCTCATACTACCCACTTAGCCTTCGGCTTAAATTGCCACGTCACGGTCAGTCCGGTGGATCTACCTAATCGGGGAATATTATATAAGCCACCATGGAAACACACCATGCAACTAGTTCAGGAGGACAAAACGAGACAAAAACAACCACATAACCAAGGAAAATTCACCTAACTTGACCCTTGCATCTGCCACTGAAACCACGTTTATAAAATGGCCGAAACTATACCTGACCAAGTAATCTAGCGCCTCGCACAAAATACGCGACAGACGCGCATCTATCCATATTAAAGTAATGCTGAACATCCCCACGTCCAGAAGCACACAATGTCCACCGACTCACTCTCCTTCTGGTTACCCCCCTTTAACCTAGCCACCAAACCTCCACGGGATGAGTCGCTGCCTCCCAATCCAATCTTCAAATCCATTGAAGGACTATACGTCCCCCTACTGCACCCATCCGATATAACTCCCTTAGGGGAAATTCATCCACGCCTGAACCTATGCACCCCCGGGAGACCCCTCCTTGAATCCTTCACGGGCACCCTCACCCTATGGATTGACAGGCCTCACCGTGTCCCCACGGTAGCAGTACCATGGACAGTCATCTTTCCGACATACCAACCCATCGTAATCGGATCCCTCATTAAAGTCCACCCATTGGGGAAAGGGATCATCACAGAGATATGCTACGTCGGGACTCACAATATCACGCTCAAGATCCCTGAAATGTCTTGAGGAGAAACAATATATGTCTCAGTCAAACACGACTGGACGAAGATCTCTAATCTTCAGATCGCACAATTCTGAAAGCACGTGGCCAAGAACCCCCGAGCAGCCTGTGCAGCCATACCCGGCCCCTAATCTGACACGTGTAAGCACCCGCAGTCGCAAACAACCCCTGACAATCTAACAAAACTGCTCGCAGAGTCCCCTCTTGTTGTACATAACCTGTATATTACACTGTACACACCAACTCTGACCCTCATTGTCCTCTACCACCACAACTCCCGGAATCCAACCTGAACCTCGAAAGGTGCCAGTGCTGGCATCAATCTAGATCGCCGTCTGATGACACGTCAGACTGACCGTCCCTAACCGGAAACAGCAAGGGATCGCTGCATCAACGACAAGGATGAGGATGATGAGGACGATGAGGATGATGACACCGAAGCCAAAACCCACAATACTCCCCCCTTGAACCCACAATGACATCCCCAACTTCAAGGGGTACCTACTGTGTATGTATCGAATACAGTCCGAACAACGACTTACCCCCAAAACATACATGCTGAGTATCACCCAATTCCAAGCATTACCACATCCCTAACGATGTCTCAATGCAGGGTCATGGCACGACAGATGCACGTTGCTGCCACACTCACACCGACACAACATTCAGGTAACCACTCAATCCGCTCAAGCCCAGAACTAAAGGAACGGTGGTCACTCTTTCCCCACAACATCTCCCGCTTTCTCCCAATGACTCACACTCATCAACAATCTGCTCGTCTGGCAGCAGCCCGCCAAGAAAAGCAAGCCCTTGCTGGCCACGAAGACATAGGTAGATCCAACCAAACAAACACCATCCCCTCTGACGAAAATTTTAGAATCTGCAGATACTGCTCTACAAGGCCCTACGAATTTCTCTAGAGTCGGCCGTTATGCTCGCGAATCCACCTTGATGGCACAGGAGGGCCCCGCACTGAATGAGGGTAACCAGACTGCTCCCTCTGTCATGTTGACCAAACTGGCCCCCATGTATGTGAACATTGCAGCTCACCCCCCTCTGGCCGCTCTCATCCCATCTCAAGCCCCGATGACTACGCAGCTGCTGCAGCAATCTATGGCTCTCCAGCCCGTAGACGCGAAGCATGCTCGCCTTTTGCAATGACCCCCCGGTGCTAGCTGCCCCAGTGCCCCAGGTCTTGATGAGATTCCACTGGCAGAGCTCCTCACCCAAATCCAAGGCCTTCCCCCTACACAGCAGACACAGGCTGTAGAGGCCCTCTCCAAGTACATAGGAGCACGAACAATGTCAGGTCAGACTGGCCCCCCGAAGGCGATGACCACCACACTGAGTGATCTCGCCGATGAACAGGAGGGAAATCAGGTGAATGAACGCGACCCTCCCACTGAAGGAATCGCAGCCAGGAACAGAATGATCAAGCTTGCTCTTGAGGAGCAGATGTCAGAGACCCACAAGCTGGTCTGATGCTAGAGGATGAGGCAGACACGTGGAGACACATGGAGATGGTCCATCCCCCCCTATAAATACACTTACGTATGCTCACCCTACCTAGCTCATCCCCGACGACCAGATATGGGTGCAGCCCATTACTCCAGTCCACCAACCCTGAGCGCCACCCGTCGCAGCGAAGAATCAACAGGACAGAGCGATCTCCCTGACAATCTCCTCCCTGCTATCTGACTCTGAGGAGAGGACCCCTTTTGCCCATCCTCTCCCCTAGAGGAGCACACTCAGGACCCTCGCCGTCGTAGCTTCTGCTCCCTGATCGCTCAGATAGCGAACGGACCTGCCACGGTCAGCACTGAGGCTCGGCAGGTGATTCCCCTCTCTGAGGCTGGACCTGCAAATCTAACCTATACCCTACTGAGACTCGAGGATACACCGCACCCATGCACGAGACGCGTTCTCAATGTCCCGAATGCCGCGAATCTTATAGCGCAGATCACCACAGCCAATTTGCAGCCGACGATGCAGCAACCCACCATGGTCTTACCCGCCTCCATGCTGATGCTCACACCGACGCCGACGGAGGGCTTCCCCGAGATTCATGGACACCAGCTATTTTTCTTCCTAGACGGCCTAGCCCTGGACCTCCTCGACGCCTGGTGCAAACGTAACATGGTTCACATCGCGATCATTATCAGGAAAATCACTTTTTCCCTGAGAGCACATGAGGAAAGTCAATCTTTCCCAGGATGTCTCAGAGCGATCAAGGGGGCCTGAGAGCAACTCAGGCTGATACAGGAGATTGCACAACTCCTAGGGTGTCCGAGAGAGTCATAGATGCTCCCAGTGCATTCACTTAATTTTACACCTATGTTAAGTGAAGTTTCTATATACTATTGACTACGGTGTAGGTATCTACTTGCATCAGAGGCAGTCATGCAGGGTGCCATGCACTACCATCAAGGATGACGGACTCTAACGAAGTAAGACAGTCTGAGGACAGACAGGCACCATGCTTGAGTGAGCACAATGCCCGCGTGCCACATCATGACCAGCTGCAGAGCACGTGTCCACATCATCGGAGATGTGGTGAACTTGGCGGGCACGCCGTGGGTGAACACCAGTAGGTCAGAAATGAAACCCATGCTGAACAGGAACGTGAATATGAGCTAGAATGGAGAATGGGAGAGCGGATAATAGAGAGAGAGAGTGGTGGTTGTGCTACATAGCAGCGACAGTGGAAAAGCCTTATGTAGTTGGGCAGCATGCAGGGCGTGAGCGGAGATGGCGGGCACACACCGCGCTGCCCACACCTCCATTTCCTTATCGACGCACACCTTTCAGTCATGTTACCTGAACTGAACTCCCATTTACCCTGACATTGTCATGAACTGGACAGCCAGCGGACGTCGGCCCATTGTCACCATGTTGACCTCTACCAGCAGTGGGCCCATATCTTTCATGTGTGGGATACTAGCAGTGGGCCCACCGCTAGTGTTCTTCTCCCAGTGCTCGGCCCACTAGCAGGGCATATTACAGTGTTGTAACCGTTAAGCAATGGGCCCACCGCCACAGGTCAGAGGGTGGGACGACGCCAGAGCATGTTATCGCCATCGATGGGCCCACTGCCAAAGTATGATCAATGAGCAGTGGGCCCATCGCCACAAGTGTAAGATGATGGATGGGCCCACCGCCAAAGGTCAGAGTGTTGGCCATGGCCAAAGCATGTTTGTCTGAGCAATCGGCCCACCACCAGAGTATGACGAATGAGATGACGGATGGGCCCACCGCCAAAGGTCAGAGTGTTGGCCATGGCCAGAGCATGTTTGTCTGAGCAATCGGCCCACTGCCAGAGTATGACGAATGAGCAGTGGGCCGATCGCCCAGAGTGTAACCTGAAGGATGGGCCCACTGCCAAAGGTTAGAGAGTTGACAATTGCCAGAGCATGTTATCGCCAGCAGTCGGCCCATCGCCAAAGCACCCTCAGTGAGGGCCTTACTGCAAGCACCCATGGGATAGGTCATCACCAGGACATGTTTCCGCCAGCAATTGGCCCACCGCCAAAAGCCAGTGGGTTGGCCAATGCCAGAGCATGTTTGTTTGAGCAATCGGCCCACCGTCAGAGTATGACGAATGAGCAGTGGGCCGATCGCCCAGAGTGTAACCTGAAGGATGGGCCCACCGCCAAAGGTTAGAGAGTTGACAATTGCCAGAGCATGTTATCGCCAGCAGTCGGCCCATCGCCAAAGCACCCTCAGTGAGGGCCTTACTGCAAGCACCCATGGGATAGGTCATCACCAGGACATGTTTCCGCCAGCAATTGGCCCACCGCCAAAAGCCAGTGGGTTGGCCAATGCCAGAGCATGTTTGTTTGAGCAATCGGCCCACCGTCAGAGTATGACGAATGAGCAGTGGGCCGATCGCCCAGAGTGTAACCTGAAGGATGGGCCCACCGCCAAAGGTTAGAGGGTTGACGATTGCCAGAGCATGTTATCACCAGCAGTCAGCCCATCGCCAAAGCACCCTCAGTGAGGGCCTTACTGCAAGCACCCATGGGATAGGTCATCGCCAGGACATGTTTTCGCCAGCAATCGGCCCACCGCCAAAGGTCAGAGGGTTGGCCAACGCCAGAGCATGTTATCGCCAGCAATCGGCCCACCGCCAAAGGCCAGTGGGTTGACGATCACCAGGATATGTCATCGCCACCAATGGGCCCATTGTCACATACAGCCCTGCAGTTTCCGGGTGCATTGGTGGTGATGACGTGCTCTGGTGATCGCCAATCCTCTGACCTTTGCCGGTGGGCCCATCACTCACCAGCACTCATGGCGGAGGGCCAATTGGTGGCGAAAACACAGCTTGGCGATGGCCAACCCTCTGACCCTTGGCAGTGGGCCCTTTGCTGGTGGAGCGATATTCCCATGCAGTGAAGCTTTCACTCAGGTCCTTTGGCGATGGGCCAATTGCTGGCAACAACATGCTTTGGTGATGGCGAGCGCAGTCCGCCCATCTGAAGAGTACACTGGAGGAGCGATGGGCTTTAGAGCTTAGTGATGCAGAAGTGAATGTATCCATTTTGTACTGGTATACAAGCTGTTACATAGCGGTCATATATTGCTAACACCAGAACGCTCAAAGACACTAGTTCAGTTGCTGTGATACGCCTTGCCACGAATGTCCCTCAGAATGTACCCCATTTGGAACACGGTCGAGCTGGCATTGAGGTTCGCAATGTGCATATCCTCAGTGAGGTTGAGCTCACGCTGAAGACGTACAATGCGCTCCTGCAACATGGCGCGACGACGACTAACCGCAAAGCTATCACCTTCGTCATCGTCCACTATGAATAAGGTCAACATCAGGCTGAAGGTTGCCAGGGATGTACTCACTGGAACTGTCTGCCTCTGCTGCGATCTGCGCAAACGATCTACCGAGGCGGGCCACTTGTGAGCCAGAAGCGGCATTCGTCTCTCCAGAGACTGCCATTGGCAGCAGCTGTGTGGTATCTGGGAATAAGCCTGGAACCTGTTCCCAATGGGTGGGACGATGGATCGGCAGCTCATCTGGAAGTGCTGCCAGACTTGGCATCCTGGAAGTAACAGTGACTGGCTCGATGCTGCCTTTCATATAGTGAATGACAGGTGCATCGTGGCGGAAATTGCTGTCATCGAAAGTGCGAGCTGGCGAGTGAGAGGGCGCCGATGGCAGAGGCGGTGGACTTAAAACATCGTCCAACAAAGGCCGCCTCTTTGGAGGCGAAGTGCTGGGACTATTTAGCCACTGGACCTGGCTACGCACAGGCATCGCACCAGGGCTGTCTATCACCAGAGCTCGCCGTCGTCCTGGCATGGTGGGAGGACTATTGTCAAAGTCCAGCAGTTTCGGCACTAGTTCCGTGTCAAGTGTCTCATCCACCAGCATGCCCCTCGCCATCAGCGTGCTTGCTTGACTATCGAAGTGGATGGATGTACGTGGCGTAGCGTCAAGGGGCTCAGCGATGAGCGATCATCGAGGGAGTTGGGAGGTGTCAGAAGTGCGAAAGTCGAAAGTGTGAGCTGGTGGAGGAAGGGGAGTAGCTTCCAACAGGGCACGTCGAGGGATTGGCGAGATGCCAGGAGTGTCGAAGTCGAACATTCCACTGGGCGCAGTGGGGGTGGAATCTGAGATGAGTGCACGCCTATGGATTGGCAAACTGCCACGACTTTCATCCCAAGCTGGCGCCAGAGGGTCAGGAATAAGTGCGCGACTTCCCTCCACAGGCACCACAGATCCAGATGACGCCTGTACCTTTGGCGAGGCGTGGCAGTGAAGATGCTCATGTGGCGAGTTGGATGGCGCAAATGGAGCTGCCAGAGACGGGGTAGTGTGGCGGGGCGTGAGGGGTGTCTGAGAAGCAGAGTGGAGAGGCAAGGAGATGTGGGCAGATCCAGGAGAGTCAAGGAGATCCGAAATGAGTGGACGACGGGGCTCAGCGATACTATCCTCCTCATCCGACTCGCCCATCGTAATGTCCAGCGTGTCAGGAGGTTCCGCGTCACTGGCCATGGCAGGTAGATTGTGGCGAGCAGACAAGTCTTCGATCAGTCCTGGATCGTGGGAGATCAGTTGTAGAAAGGGGATTGATATGACATAGAAAGGTCAGATAACATCACAAAGGAGTCAGATTCCACAAGGAGAGCAATAGAACTTACTGTTGGGAGCCATGAGAACTTGCGGCAGGTCACACTGACCTTGAGAGACTTGAGAAATCGCGCAAGTCCAGCGATCACGTGCAAAGCACGTGGTCGCGTGGTGTGTGAAGTTGAACTTGGTGCAGATCGCGTCTGCCAGCTCATAGCGTCGTCTGCTCCGCCTCCGCTGTACTGCAACCTCTGCTTTTGAAACACCCTCACACTTTCTTCTGCCAAGCTCACCATGCCTCTGGATATCGACCCCAACTATGTTCTGCAGGCCGCGCGACTGACGGCCATTGTTGCAGCGGCGCCTCGCCAGGACGACCCTCGCTATCTGGACTGGGAGACGAGGATTTACCTCGAAGTGGTAAGTCATCGGTCGAAGGTCTGGCATGCACTTACCGAATATGCCACACAGAGTCGGCTTGAAAAGAGTTTCCCGCAGCCCTTGAAGTCATTGAGGATGCCTGGGATCGTCATCAGCGCGTTGCTGGAATTCACCCGGGCATACCAGCAGAAGGCCCTGGCGCGGCTGGACCACATATCGAACGACGACGAGAGGATATACAAGAGGTACCCTCTGGCTGTGCGCGAGTATGGGGAGTGTGAGGACCTGGGAAGGCAGTGGTGGACTGAAGGTGAGTCACAAGCGTTGTGAGGCGTCGAGCGACACACTGACTGCACCAGATCCATATTGCAAGCTGCCACCAGTGAAGAGTATGCCAGCGGAGGGCTGGGGCAATGTGCCAGCCGATGACGACACCCAGGGATGTGGCGAGGAGGACCTGGCTACTGGGGACCTCGTCACCAAGGGGAAAGGCAAGGAGAGAGCTGACAACGACGTCGGGACAGGCATGGTGGGTGAGCGTATCGTCCACGTGGAGGCGGGGGAGGACAAGAGAAAGGGCAAGAGCAAGGAGAAGGCGCAGGGGAAGGCGGCGCATGCGATGAGCGAGGAAGAGGATGGGGGAGAGGGAGAGGGAGAGGGAGAGGGAGAGGAGCAGGAGGGCGAGGACGACGATGATGCCGACAGTGATGAGGACGACGATGCCGACAAAGATGACGACGATGAGATGGTGGAAGACGTGCCGGGTGCAGGCCAGCCTGAATCCATCGAGGTCGATGCGGTGTCGCCCCCTCCGCCAACTGCCAGACCAATATCGATCTCGCCAGCTGCCTCATCACTCCGAAAGCGCAAGGCGGTCATCACAGAGTCGAGTGAGGAGAGTGAGAACGAGGAGGCGGCTCCGAAGGCGAAGCGGATGAAGCCGATCGAGGTCGCAAAGGAGAAAGGCGAGGCCCCGACCACCTCTGGCCGAGCACAGCGTGCGCAGAAGAGGATGGCGCAGACCGAGGTGGAGGGCTCAAAGGTGAGCACGAAGAAGAGCGGGAAGAGGAAGGCGAAGGAGTCAAGCGATGAAGAGGAAGTACCGACCATCAAGCCGCCAAAGAAGAAGCGTGCGATGAAGGAATACAAGAGCAAGGAGTTCATCGAAAGCGAAGACGAGACTCCGGCACCGCCTTCCAATCTACCCGCCAAGACCGCAGGGGACTCTAACGACGGTGTTGTGAAGACGAACGCCCCTGCCAAACCTGTCAAACAGACAACGAGGATGACGGTGACGCCTCATGTCGCACCGAAGGCGAAGGGGAAGGGGAAGGGGAAGGGGAAGGCGACGGCGAAGGGGAAGGCGACGGTGAAGGGGAAGGCGAAGGTGACAGTGTCGCAGAAGGACATGTGGAAAAAGACGTCCACCCGCGTGTCTGACTTCATGTGGGCACATGCAACAGATTTGGTGAGTAACGATCTTGTGAGACATTGACCTGTGCTAATGTTCCTGCAGCTCGTCCCTTGCATTGGCTGCCAGGAGAAAGAGTGGCCATGCAAGCTCAACACTGCCAACTTCAGTCGCTGCCTCGAATGTGCAGCACGAGGCGTCAGTTGCAGCATCGCGCCGAGGAACACGGACGGCGTGCCCCTGCGAGGAAACTCACACACCGCACAGCGTGAGTTCCAAGAGATGTGCGCAGCACTGGTGGTAGAGGACAAGCCACTGCCCACGTCGTCACCTCCATACAACGTCAAGGTCGACTCCGATGAGCCCGACGGTGCAGAACCCATGGTCATGGGAGCGTCGAAGCGTAAGCCGCCGAAGAAGACCAAGACGCGCAATGCTGCGGCATCCAGCTCCAAGGTCAAGGGTGGCGAGGAGGTCGAGGCGACGAAGCAGAAGGCGACCATCATGCCTTATGAAGCCAACGCTGAAGGCGAGGCCTCAGTGGAGAAATCGTCGAAGTCCAAGCGCGCTGCCAAGTCCGCCACCGCCACTGGAGCTGTGGCTCTGTCCAACTCTGGCGAGGTTGCCAACTCTGGCGAGGTCTCCAAGTCTGGCGCACCTGCCAAGTCTGGTGCGGTCGCCAAACCTGGTGAAGGTAAGAAATCAGGACCCAAGGCAAAGCCGGTGAGGAGCCAAAACTCAGGTGCGCAAGATGGTGGCGAGGTCACCAGGACCTCAGTACGTGAGCTGGATGAGGTCCCGCCTGCCAAGTCTGTTGCGAAGGAGGGCGGGCAGACGACAAGGGTGGCGATGGGAGGTCGCTCGGGCCCAATGGTGCCCGTGATCACCAGGAAGGCGAAGGCGAGTGCTCCCAAGGCAGCAGCCAAGATGCCTCTGGCGGAAGGCGATGGCATGGAGGAAGCCGCCAGGCTGGCAATGGAGGCGGTGCGGGCTATGGCCTTCCAAACAGGGCCAGCTGCTCCGCCGCAAGCTAGCAGCAGCAAGCGCATGCTGACACCAGTCGCTGACGAACCAGAGGATGCGCCAGAGTATCAGGCAGAGGTGGCGGAGGATGAGGTAAGCAGGACATCTTGTCGCAGCTGGAGTCGATGTAATCATGAAACAGCGCGCGTCCTTGGAGCGGCCACACGACGATCGGCGGCGTTCGCTGCTGATGCCCCACGAGACGAGTGCAGGAGCTGCCGAGGTGGCACAGGAGGTGACGCCCTCCCTGGAGATATCCAAGGCATCGAAGGGAGCGAAGTCCTCCACATTGGCGAAGGCAGGACATCTCGATGAAGGGCAAAGGCCAGCTAAGAGGGGCGCCCCACTGGACCGCAAGGCAGTGAAGAAGGAGGCGGAGGTGAAAAGGGATGCGAAGGCGAACCGCCTCAGAGCAGTGCCTCCAACCAGCAAGGGTAAGTGTGCCCGCCACAGCTTCTAATCCATGCAGTGCTGACCAGGGATACAGCACCCCACTTGCGCGACATCCAGCGAGTGTCTACAGGAAGTCCCGCTCTGGTGAACGAAGGCGACACTCCCAGTGGCGAAGAAACCTTGCAGTCATCCAACGATGACTGCGCGAATTGTGCCGAGTTGCGACAGGAGTTCCTGGCGCACAAGGACGGGATGGAAGTCCAATTCCAGGAGAGGATGACGGACCTCAACACTGTCAAGGCAGAGATCACAGCAGCACTCCAGCGAATCAACCCGCCATTCGCATTTCAAGAAAATGCCCGGAGCATTCGCGAAGAGGTCAAGTTGGCGATGGAGGAGTTTTGCAGGCCGGTCACCATCGAGCTTCAGGAGAGCGTGAAGTTGGCGGTGGCGGACCTCGTCGCCAAGCGACATTGCCTGCCAGAGCTCAAGGAAAAGGTCAACAGGTTGGAGCAAGGCGCGAACCAGACGGTGAGCCAAGCGGATGTCGACAAGCTGCAGGGCGAATTGGCCGACCTCCATCATTCGATGAAGCTCCAGGCAGTGTGGTCAGACAGCATGGAGAAGGAGCTCAGGTCTTCGGCGGCAGAGGCAATCGCTCAAGCGAGCAAGCTGGAGATGGAATTGGCGCTCGCCAAAGAGGATTCGATGGCGGTGGCGACGTCCGCTTTGGATGAAGCGAAGAAGGTGGGGAAGGAGGTGGCGACGGCGAGAGAGGAAACCTCGCTGGTGGCGAAGTCTCTGGACGCATTCCGAGAGAAGGTCGACTCCGCCATGGTCTTCACCGCCTTTCGCCCAGATAGACACAATGTGTAGTCATTAGAGTATTGATATACATGCTTTTTAACCTAGCATGGAATCTCCATGCACTCGATTCGCCACTGCCACTCCAAGTCAACTGAATGCCTGCTGAAGTTCTTGCCAACTCCCCTCACCAGTGCCACCATCTCCATGGCTTTACCTATGTAGATCTATGGGTCACATTAAACAATGTGGAAGCCTACGAGTCTACTTTGAACTGGAGTTATATTGTCAAGGTCTGGTGCCGCCACTGCGGGTCTTGCGACCTGCGCCAACTTGGCCACTCTCTTTCACTTTGGCGGCTGCTTTCCCCAGACGGACCGGCTTCAGCTTGGTTTCTCCCTTGTCCTTGACCTCCGGGGTCTGAGGCAGAGCTCGTCTTCGCTTTGTGGGAGGCTTGTCACCATCATCCGAGTCCTCGGCCCTCGCATTCTTCTTCCTCGGCGAGGCCACTACCAACTCGTCCCGAGTACCACGTCCACGCTTCCGAGGTGGCGGATTGTCTTCACCAGAGCTGTCTTCGCCATCGGGCTCGGGACGTGCTGGTTGACGTTTCCGCTTTGGATCAGGAAGCTTCTTCAAATCTTTCACAGCTCCTAGTGGATGCTGACTGCGGGTATTCTTGGCAGGCGACTCATCCATCGCTTGACGCTGACTGCGAGTGATCCTGCCGGGGATATTACTCTGAAGGGCATCAGTGATCAACCTTCCCTGGAGCACTTTGGCTTGACCTGACAGACTGTCTTTCGTGGCTGCGGCCTTCCTCATCTTAGGTATAAACGAAGGCGGTGGCGGTCGTTCAGCACCACTGCTAGGTATGGACAAGTGTGCATCGTCCTCTTCGCCATCGTCAGAGGCCCCACCACTGGTCTCCTGGCTCGGCCCTTCGTCTCCTCCACTTGGAATGATTGGTTTGTCAGCCATGGGGGCAGGCTGGTGAGCCTTGTGAACTTTGGCAGCAGTAGCAGCGCCATCGTGAGTTCTTGCAGAGGCATCACCTTCCTGCTCCTCCTGGCCCCCAAGGCCATCGCCACCTTGTGGGGCACCGCGTATGGCAGGCTTGCTCACTGGCTTCACCATGGCATGGGTGACGTTCCCTTCCACCATGTCCAAGGTAATGATCTCGCAACAGCAAAGCAGCTGCTCTACTGCGTCAAATGAGATCGCCGAGTTCACCACATAGTCGGAAAGGTTGGTCGGTTTGCCCTCCTCAATGAACTGAGATCATGTGAGGTCCCTCAGCACCATACCAATCATGAGTGCAGATTGTTGTACGCCCTGTGGATGTAAGAACCGATATTTTGTCAGCCATGGTTTGTCGCCCAACCAGTTCTCGACGATGTCAAAGTTGTCCACCACATGAAATGACGGCGGGAGGTAGCGCTGGCCATATGACCATTCGCTCCAGGGAATCGGATCATACCTGGCAAAACGATACACCTGGGGCTATATGATGGATGATCAATAGTGGCTATGAATCCCCACGAAAGGAGCTCACCACAGTCGCAATCTTGACTTCCTTCAGCATATCCTGGTATCGCGGTTCGACGGAAAGGGTGGCGAGAAACACGTCTCTCCTTTTCACGAGGTGGGGCACAGTACTCCCCACAGTACTCCCGCCAGTGAGACGTGGGGCTCGGCCTTGAAGCTCAAGCCTGAGCTCCTTTGTACTGGGCTCCAGTTCACTCGATGCTTCATCGGTCTCCTCTGTGTCAAATCTGTGCAGTTCACCCAGAGGAAGGTCTTGGAGACCTCGCTTTGCCTTTGTCTTGGCACCGCTGCTACCACTCGCTTGAGGTGCACCACCATTGTTAGCCTTACGTCCATTGGTGGTGGCGACTGCCTTGCCCTTCACTTTATTCGCAATCACGCTCTCGCCATCCCCTGAATCTTCATCGCTGGCCATATCTTCTTCGGAAGCCATGCTGGGTATATCTGGCGAACTCCGATCAGAGTCTTGGCTGCTTCTGGCATCATCTTCCGAGTCGTATGCATCTTTCGTCTTGCATTTACGCCCACCGCCTTTGGCTCCGCCAGGGGCCGCTTTGCCCTTTGTCGCCTTCGATGCCACCTTTCCCGTGACCTTGCGCACAGGTTTACCCTTCTTCTTCGCCTTCCCCGCCTTCTTAGGTGTGAGTGCTTCTTGGACCTCATGTTCAGATCCTTCTTCTAATGCCTGTGCTGATCCGTCAAGTGGTGGAAGAGGATCATACTTGGCGGGAGCAGCTTCGCCATCCTTGTCGAAGTACTGGGTGAATCGCATGGTCTGCTCAGGTCCATGTTCCTCTTGGCGTGCCCACCAGTGGTCGAGGAGGGCACAAACGGGAACACTTGTCATCTTTGAGGGATCGATCCACTGGAAGTTCTCAGGTAGCATCTCTGCTGGAATAACCTCATTGATGTCGTCTATGCTGTTCAGCTTCGTCCATGGTGACTTGCAGTTCCGAACACCCTTCGCCAATGCTGTAAACTGGTCAGCATCTCTCAACACTGAGTGGGAGTGTCATACCATAGTGATGATTCATGAAGTCTCGAACTTGTACCTTCATCACCTTGAGAGGCGCTTCCGCCATACCTTCGGGCACCGAGGGGAGCAGAGGAAAACCATTGGCCATCAACCGAATCTTGTCCATGGCCCGCATGCAATCGGCAGGTGTCTTCTTCACCGTCACCGTAGTCTCAGTCACATCTAAGAAATCAGGTCAGTGTGCCAGCGACAATGCAACTGAGGTCTTCTTACCATATTCGCCTTTGGCCCACTCAGAGAACACCTTTGCTAGAGGCTGGTAAGCACGCAGCCACCCAGGATAGGCCCCGAATGGAGTTCCATTGGTGATGGCGTGGTTGACCTCCACCCTTCACTCGGGGGTTAGCAGATGGCGACAGTCGGATGGTCTACACTCACATCTCTACCTTCAGACTCCCCGCTTCCTTTGGATATGCTAGCATGAATGCCATGCGAATGCCCATGGTGTCCCACATAGTCTTGGCAAACTTCTTCAGATATTGCATCATTCGCTGCTCCCTCAGCCTGTCTTAGGTCAGGATTTGCCTTATGCTATGTGACAGGAGGTACGCACTTCATTTTCATCTTATCATCCAGAGTGCCATTGCGCCAACTTTTCGCCTTTTCCTCATACACCTTCTGCTCCTCCTCGGACAGTTTTGCCCATTTGGCACTCCATGCAACTCTCCACACCTTGGAGACATTGCAACCCTTATCTGCCGCGAGTGCTCGCGCGGCCTCAGTCACCTTGTCCCTCTCCAGCGTATCCCACACCTTGAAGGCATTGGGCTTGCCAGAAACATGCATACGCTTTTTCGTCACTTTCTCCTGCGCATGGCAGGCGTGGTTATTGAGCCACTCTCGGATTTTCTGCGGTGAGAGTTAGTGGGGACCTCACAGACATGAAACACTGCTCACAGTTTCCACAATGATGTCGTCATAATTTGACGTGTCGACAAACTGTGTCTTCAGCTTCTGGCGCAAGCTCTGAACCAGAGTCTTACGTCCCTTGGCATCTGCCATGTCATAAGACCGCAGCTTCTCAGAGAGTATGGGCTGATGCTCCGTCAAAATTACAAATCTCGCCGGCATGCTTTCTCGATGTCGAGGATGAGATTTTTGTGTTGGGACAGTGAAGGGGGTCGATAGTTCAACGGGCAGCGCTCTGTCCATTTCCTCATCGGCCACCCACAACTCAACATGCACGTGCTGATGGCCCATTTGGGCTTACACCAATTACCCTCCTCGCCATGGTGTGTGGTGACTGCTGAAGCATTGTATGTGTATTTTTCGCAGTGGCGGGAGGTGGTAGTAGGTATGCACTAGCATTCATGCCTGGTGAAAGGCAATGTTGAATGCCGCTTCTATGGCAGAGCACACCACGCCAACTTCATCTCGCGAATGCTGGGCAGAGGCAATCTGGCGATCATCTGCATGCCAATCTGTGGGATAAAGGGCTTCCTCGGAGTTAGGCTTGGCCAATTAGATGGTGATGACGAAGGGCCCAGACATGGCGGACCACCCGGCCCGTGATCCGGCATGGCGGCATCAAGTCCGGCTCGGCGGCATGATGAACATGTGAGATGTGCAAGGGACGTGCTTGCAAGCAATATGCAGGCAGAGGAATGCATACTGTTCTTTGCCATTCTGGCCCCTCCTACATTCTCCCCTGCATCTGCAAGCCAACCGCCTGAGCCCGCCATACACCTGTGCGTTCCTTCAACCGATGCATGCTGTAATTGTTCCATTGATTGGCAGACAGTATCAAGATGAGCAATCTGTCACCCATGCCACTGACCGATCAGATAGCAGGAGTCTTGGAGCTCATGTTCCGCCGAAAGCTCCATCTAGCCACTCATGCAGCCCATTCTGCGCCATCTATAGAAGTGCCTCCGTCCATGCCATCTGCCCTCCTATTGGAGTGCAATGGCATTGCAGATGCCCTTGTGAAGGCCATCCGTAATCCTGGTAGTCATTAGTCTTGCCGCAGGTCTGATCACACTGATCACGCCATTGTAATAGTAAGGCTGCAGTGGGACATTGATAGATATTGCGACAGCCTTTCGATTCAGCCCACGGGGCAGAATGAAGTCCTCGAGGCAGAACTGGAATGGAAGTGGCCTCCTCCATTTGGTGAGAGCGAAATACGCATAGACCAGCCCGCCACCCTCGTGGACATGCACGGACGCATCTTGGCTTGGATACTTCCAAGAGTGTTGATACCAGACCGCCAGGTGAGTGGCTTGCCCAGCCTTGCGCTGTGATCTGACAAATTTGTCAGACGAAGATGCTCCAAGCGACCAGGGCCCTACACCCAGCAATAGCAGCCAGTAAGCCTTCCAGCACCACCGCCAGTTGGCGACACAACCCATTGTACTTCTTGCCTCCTGAGGAGTGTGCCCAATTCCCAGCGGGCTCCTTGTGTCTCTCGCCAGGTTGGTTCCAACAAGTAAGAGAGGTGGGTCTCCTCGCCACGCCATTTGCCTTGCGTCTGGACAGCCTTTGCAGCATATGGAGTCTGGGAGGCTGGAGACCTCCGCCAGCCTGAAGCTTGAGGGCGGAAGAAGTTGGCTGCGTGATATTCATGACTCCTCCGCATTGCTGGGCACCATCCTGGCCGTCGTTCACCCAACACTATATGCCGCAGGATGCCAGTGCTTAGGTTTGATCCAGCAAGACCCAGAATTGCGAGAGATGGTGCTGAACTGGTCGTCGCCATTCAATGCGCTCCAGGTGATCGCCAACCGGGAAACTCCTTTCCACCGAGATAGCAAGACAAGATACACATTCTACGACCTGTTGGTGACGTTGGGCAACTACACTTGCGCGTGGTTGAAGTTCCCCGCCATGCGTGTCGCCATCGATTATAGTCCTGGAACTGTCATAGCCTTCTGTGGAAAGGCGATTCGTCATGGCGTCACTCGAGCAGATGGCGAAAGGCTCGTCTATGCATACTTCATGCGAGAGGGTGTCCAGAACAGGCTAGGCATTCCGGCGCCCCACTGGATGCAAGCTTCATATTACGCCTCACACATTGGCATGTGCACAGTTCATCACCGAGTCTGCATTCCTAACTCAGAACAGGTCCTAACTGGCTCGCTTATTAGAGGGACATCATGCCAAAGACTGATGGAGACGAGAACACTATGCAGGGGATGGAGACTGTCGATGGCAGCTTCATTGGTGGGACAAAGTTGGCGGAGGTGATGGCGAAATGTATGGAGTCACAAATTTCCGAATCCTAGCTGAAGGTTGGCGAGCGCACGGTACGAGTGCGCATTTCACATCTCGACAGTGTTCAGCTCAAGGTGTAGTTATCACTGATGACAGCGTATGGTTGGCGGACCTCGAAGTTGGCGGAGATGGTGGCGAAATGTATTCGGTCGAGAAGTTGTGAGTGCTAGTGGGGCAGATGGCGGCAGTGTTGGCGAGCGCGCGGTGCAAGTGCATGTTTCCCTTTTGAACATTATGCTACTCCGAGTCAAGGCAAAGTTAGCACTGAGGGCGACATACAATTGGCGGACCTCTCACTAACATGGCATCCTTATCTGCATAATGCTGATATGGTGCCTAAAGAGACCACGAGGTGATAAGGCCCAGGCATTGCAGCCATTCTTAACCACTTTGATGAGTAGTCTGATGGGCAGCAAGGCCATGTGTGATTTGCACGTGTTGTGCGATAGGGACACAATGCTCATCGATTGGCTTGGAATATGACTCCCCACTGACCTGAACCATGAGCAGATGCAACAAAAGCAGGCTCGTTGTCGACCTGGATGACGAGGTTGAGTTTGTGACCAAGGTAGCTAAGCAGACCACTAGAGGAGTACGCTATGTGGACGTACCTTTGTCCATGCCCATGGGTTCAAACGTGCCATCGCCTTCCAAAAGTCCATCGAAGGCTCCAGCTTCAGGCTCCTTGTTTAACTTGGATGATGGCGACGTCCTGGGCAACATAGGTATGCCGATTCAGCTGGATCTGGCGGCTCGCAAGACAAAGGTGGGCACTCTCGCCATGACCATCTGACGGTCTGACCATGCGCGATAGACCCAGAATGACTTCATGAGGGACTGGATACCCCACCGTGATGACTATCTTCATGCCATTGTCGAGATGGAAGCCCCGCCTGAGCCCAAAAACTGTGCGGAATGCAAGGTTGGTGAGGGACGGTGGCGATGCCTAGACTGTATGGGCAGACCGCTCACCTGTACTGACTGCTGTCGTAATGGCCATCAGCGTGCTCCTTTCCATCGGATAGAGCATTGGCAGGGTCAGTATTTTGAGCCGGCATCACTGTATCGGGTTGGCGTCTGCATCCATTTGGGGCATGGCAGAGATCCCTGCCCTCTGGGCGCCTTCACAGCACATAACAACCCTGCGCCGGTGGTGGCCCCAGGGTCCAATTTCTGGAATGCCTCCAATGAAGACCTAAATGCACATGATGGCGAGGTCTCAGATGATGGCGAGGTCCCATTCAACTTTGCACCTCTGGCAGGCACCCTTGACGGTGAAGCAAGGCAAACCGACGATGCTCCCGATCCCACTTGGGAGGAAGATGTGCCACTGGTGCTCTCCCGGCCACCTCGCCGTGATAGTTATGGGAATCGGATCATAGTCATTGTCGACATCTCTGGCGTTCACCATATCGGCGTTGACTGGTGCCAGTGTGAGATGGCAGTGGAGCGTGACATGCAGCTTCTTCAAATGGGACTTTACCCTGGTACCGTCAAGGATCCCCATACCGCCTTCACATTCGCCGTCCTCGATGATTTCCTTCTGGAGAACAAAGAGTGCAAGACGGCGGCATTGAACTACTACAGCAAGCTCAAACGGGTCACGAGCAATGCCTTCCCTGGCACCGTTCCTGTAAGTGTTCACATGCATTCCCATGGCCCAACCGTTCATGCCAGTTCCTCGCCAGGACCGTTATCGTGAGCTGATGCGGGTGTCCCGCCAATGGCGCCAATTCAAATATCGCAAGTGGCATGGCTTCTCACACGATGCCCTCCATCCTGTGGAGAAGGGTGGCCTTGCCATCTTTTGTCCCGCCTGTCCCCAGCCTGGGCTCAACCTGCCTTTCGATTGGCAAGCAGATCCAGTGCAGTGGAAGTTCAAATGCGGCTTTGTCATGGATGGCAATTTCAGTGCAGAGCACATGAAGATGAAGCACCCCGAGGAGGACGTCGCCCTCAGTGACGGCCAGGCATTCATGGTCGGCCAAGAGGATTACAAGGCTCATCTGGCGGTGGCCATGGAGTCGCATCAGGTGCATGTCTGGCTGCACGTTCTTCTTCCGCCCTTGACTCCTAAGCCCACCAGCGCTCCACTTGTCATGAGCACCGCGCTGTCAATCAGGCCAATGTGGATCGCGCCAACCTCGATGCCACAGGAATCGGGGCCACTGCTTGCGCCAGACATGGTTTCTTCGTCCCTCATACTGTCATCGATTTCCAGAAGGGAGAAAGGTTCGCATATGTCTCTTGTCATGATTCATTCTCACTGACGCACCCTCTGCAGACAAATGAATATGGATTACTCTCTCAGCAATGCGCTCCTGACCCTCACCGGTATCACCCTCATCCTCATCATGTACGACATCATGTGCCAGTATGGTGTCCATGTCTGCAAACGTTTCCGCCACAGCGCCTATCTGAGGATGCCCTTTGAGCTCAAGGTAGACCAAGGCATCGGCTTGTTTCATGTGCACGGACACCAAGATTGCTGCTTCCAACGGTTCTCGCCCAACTTTATAGTTGGCGCTGGTATGGTCGATGGCGAGATCATCGAGACCCTGTGGGCGCCGACAAATGAGGTCTCAGGCAGTACCAGGGGCATGACCCGAGCTCACCGCCAAGAAGTCCTTGACGATCACATGAATGACTCCAACTGGAAGAAGACGACTCGCATGGGTGAGCCTGGTTCCTCCTTCCATATTTGCCACCTGGCTTATGCTGCCTATAGTGCCAACCTTGATGACAAAGTGGAAACGCGTGCTCCTGGGCTTCCCACGAAGCAAGGAGTCCTTTGAAGCTTTATCTGCATCCACAGATGAGGATGTCCTTGAGGCATGGCAGAAGGAGTACGACGACGCTATGGAGGCTCGCCAAAATGATCCGAAGATCATGGACACCTTCGATGTCCAGCTCATGAAGGGTGAGTATTCTTCCATCGTTGTGTGGCATGTAGTTGACGTGAATGCAAGCCCCGGGTAAAGACCTCACCCAACTCAGACTGGCAGGCGAGGAGTCCGCCAAGGGCTTGGAGAAGGGCACCGCCGGATGGTTGTCGACTGGCCTCAAAATTCAAGAAGCACAGTGAGTTTGCCTCATCTTAACAAAAATACAGCTCTGACGACCTTCAGGCTTAAGCTTGCGAATGATATCCGCAAGGTGGGTCAAAATCCGAGCGTGGCGGAGGACCTCAAGACTCTCGAGCGCCGTCAGCACCTCGAAGTCAGCATTCTCACATTCCAACGTCGCTCTGAGAAGTTCATGGGAAGGTTGGAGGACGTTCCCGCCATGGAAGATCGTGACGATGGTGCGCTCTGGGATTCCTTGGATGAGAATCCTTTTCAAATACACCTGGAGGACGCTGAGTATGGCGAGGATGTGATTCCTCCCGAGCGAGCTTCCTTGAATTTACCTTCGCAGATCGGATTCGTGACCGCTGTCGCCAACGGGCTCCAGACCCTGGCGGCCCAAGAGTTGGAGTTGCGCAAAGGCCTGATGAATGACATCCTCCACGAGCTTCGCATGGTGCTTGGACTGAAGTCTTACCTCTACCGCAAGAGGGTTCATCCTGCCAACAGCGTCAGAACCATGACCTGTGCACAGGCGGAGGTTTATGCTGCCGATCAGACTGTCTTGGCCTGCGCCAGGCTCTATTCCGCCAACCGACACGCCATTATGCGCTTGGACACCACTGATGAAGACTTGGCCCTCTATCGCCCTTTGGATAAGAAGGACCTGCACGTGAAGACTGCCGTCATCGAGGCTAGCACCTCCGGGCTCAGGAACGTCAACCTGGCTTGGTTCTGGACCATGGATGTCGCTGGAGATCGAGGTTCATCAGAATGGATGGACGAGTGTTCGTAATTGTCCGATCAATCTCTAGGCCTCCTGCTAATTTACCCTCCAGTCTATAGAGTGAATTGGCTGCATGCCAGAGCTCAATATGAGAGATGGAGGGAGGAGCGTGTCTTGGTCCACTCGGAAATGGCCTGGACCATAGCCACCTTCAAGCAGAATGCGGAACGATGGGCTCACTGGCTCGAGATGACGGATCCTTCCTGGCGGGGTCATGTTTGCTATGCCGCCAGGCAAGTGAGTATGTGGCGGACCTTCGCCAGCCACGCCACTGACATCTTCAGCCACATCCTCGCCCTGGACATTGAGGACGAAAGGGCGGGCAATGAAAATGTGCTTTGAGTCAGGGTTCACTGGGGTGTACGCATATTCATGTTTGCTATATCGATGTAGTGATTGTCATGTATGTAATTCCTACTCACCAATATCACATTTGGCGAAGTGACCTCCATCCTCGCCTGAGGGCTTCATCTCGGCATGTGCTCTCCAATCGCATGACATCAGACATCAGATAAGGTCGATCAGATATCGACCTCAGCTCATCCACTCACCATCATGTCTGCCCAGTCTTCAACATCAGATGCGCGCCCCTGCCTGTTCTCCAGAGGGAGGTTGCAGTTGGAAGTCTACACTTGGAGGATCCAAGAAGCTGTTCTGGCACTGGAGCCTGACCCAAATCACTTCACCAAGGTCCGTTGGGAGGAAGGCTTGCACCGGGAGATGGTACGCCTTTCTTGCTGATATCGCCTGACCCTGCTGAGTCCTGTGCAGTTCGCCGTCAGGGGTATCTGTGGCGACCTCGCGTTGGCGGGTCATGCTGACCATATTGACCATGGCAGAGTTATCGCCAGTGTCCTCACCGTCTGCACTTTCAATCGTGAAGTTCTGCGCCCCATCAGCATTGACGTCAAGGCGATTCCACGCCCCACCACCCTCGTTCCTCATCCTAAGAACCTACTCGAGGATTCACCTGACTACTGGTGGAAATGGGATCATCAGGTTGGGCCGGCGGGGAGCCCTATGGAGGCCTGGTGGTACAAACTTGGTGATCCCTGGGTGAGTGGTATGTTCCAGCACCTTACAGTCTTGCTGAACCTCGAGAACATAGGAGAAGGTGTACACCATCTCCGAGTCTACACTGGTGCAGCTTGAACAGCTGCATGTTTGCATCGTGAACCTCACTAGTTGGTTGCACGAGAGGACAGATCAGAACCTGAATGTGGTGCTGGAAGAGCTGCAGGAGGTGACGCGGCAGCTGCGTGAGTTAGGAATGTAATCGCCCAATGCCAGGCGTCCGTTCGTGCTGTAGTGTGTCAAATATAAGGTTGTCATGTCTTTGAACCTGGGCAATGTACCTGGTGTGGTAAGGCGAAACATAGTAGCCACATACTCTCCTCAGGAGGGCACATCCCCAATGGTATCTGATGCATGGCTCGAGAGCCAATGCCACATGGGAGAGTTTGGCGAAGTCATTCTGGACTGCATGTTCAGATGGCGAGTGATATCCACCACAGTTCACCAACCCTACTCACGGTGGAAAGGACCACCATTCGTCTCCACATACTCTACCCAGAAGGGCACATCCCAAATTGTATCTGATGCATGTCTCGAAATGCCGATGCCAATTGGGAGAGTTTGGCGAAGTCATTCTGAACTCCATGTTCAGATGGCGAAGGATATTCGCCACAGTTCGCCAACCCTTCCCACAGTGGGAGAGAGTGTGATACTGCAAGGAGAGCTGATAGTGAGCTAACCAGAATTGGAGGGAATGATGGGTGGATTACGTGGAAATTATTGGCCGGCGGTAGCTCCATCATTGCCCTGTTAGGCGGTGGATCAATCACTGAAAAATATGCCCATGGCGGTTGACTGATCACTGAGAACTACACCTATGGCAGTGGGCCGATAGGTCTGAGCAAGAGGTGCCGCATGAGCAACGACTCGGCGTCGGAGCCCCCTTCTTCTGTGGTGTCCTTCGGCTCATACGCTGATTTGCACACGTCCACATCCTCGTCTACTTCGTGCTCTTCGGTTGACTTCGGGTACAATCCGTTCACTTCGTATGGTCTACTTCTTGGCTCGGGCAACCAGGTGTGGCATCTGCCCATGCTTCCCCCTGACCAATCTCCATGTTTCATACATCCGCCCATGCTTCCCCCCGACCAATCTCCATGTTTCATACATCCACCTATGCTACTCCCTGATGAATCATCCGGTATGTTCCTTCACCCACCCATGCTTCACCAAGATGACACGGACACGATACGAGCCCAGTTGACAACCTAGGGCAAGGCAAATAACTCAGCTATGCCCGGGCTAGTCAGATATTTCAGGCGACCCATGCTTATGGGCTCAGAAATATACCTATGGTGGTGGGCCGATGGCTGTATAATAGCACGGTGGCAGTGGGCCGATCGCTCAGAACACTACCTATGGAGGTCGGCCCATCGCTTAGAACCCTACCTATGGGGTTGTGCCAATGGCTGTATAATAGCACCGTGGCGGTGGGCTGATCACTTAGAAATATACCTATGGCGATGGGCCCATCGCTCAGAACACTACCTATGGAGGTCGGCCCATCGCTCAGAACACTACCTATGGCGGTGGGCCGATCGCTCAGAACACTACCTATGGTGGTCGGCCCATCGCTCAGAACACTACCTATGGCGGTGGGCCGATGGCTGTATAATAGCATCGTGGTGGTGGGCCGATCGCTCAGAACACTACCTATGGCGGTGGGCCCATCGCTCAGAACACTACCTATGGCGGTCGGCCCACCGCTCAGAACACTACCTATGGCGGTGGGCCGATGGCTGTATAATAGCACCGTGGCGATGGGCCGATCGCTCAGAACACTACCTATGGCAGTTGGCCAATGGCTCAGAACAGCTCCAATGGCAGTGGGCCGATGGCTGTACAATAGCCCCGTGGCGGTGGGCTGATCGCTCAGAAATATCCCTATGGCAGTGGGCCGATCGCTTAGAACACTATCTATGGCGGTGGGCCGATCGCTCAGAACACTACCTATGGCGGTGGGCCAATGGCTGTATAATAGCCCTAGTGGCGGTGGGCCGATCGCTCAGAACACTACCTATGGCGGTGGGCCGATGGCTGTATAATAGCCCCATGGCAGTGGGCCGATCGCTCAAAAATACACCTATGGTGGTGGGCCCATCACTCAGAACTATCACCGCGGTGGTGGGCCCATGCCTGTATAATAGTAGCATCATGGTGGTGGGCCAATCGCTCAGAAATACTCCTATGGCGGTGGGCCCATCGCTCCAGCATTCCCTTCATCGCCATGAGCCGATCGCTGACAGCTCCTTACACAGACCGATGGGCCGACGTCCGCTGGCTGTCCAGTTCATGACAATGTCAGGGTAAATGGGAGTCCAGTTCACAAACATGACTGAATGGGCTGATCGATGAGCGCGCGTTGAGTGAGCACGACACCCACACACCACATTGTGATGACATGGCGTGCATCCTCCTCTCTTCACACCCTCTTGGACGAGCAAGGAGGACGAAGGGCCCAGGGGTGCACAAGATGGTAGCGGGGGAGTCAGTCGAGCAGGGCGCCCGCATGCCACATCATAAAGACATAGAGTGCATCCACTCTTAAATGGGTGAGGTAGACAGCAGGGCATGGAGATGGTGTGGGAGATGTCCAGGAGAGAGGTCGAGGGAACCACACACTATGCTCGAGTGAGCACGATGCCCACACATCACATCATGAAGACGTGAAGCATGTCCTCCTCTTTTCGTGCCCTCTTGGATGGGCGAGGTGAGGCCCGGGGGGACGTGAGATAGTGGAGACAGAGTTGGGGAAATCAGGTGCCATGCTGGGGTAAGCATGACGCCCGCATGCCACATCGTGATGACATGGCGTGCGTCCTCCTTTGTGCCCTCTTGGATGGGCGAGGTGGATGGTGGGGCTCGCAGGGATGTGAGACGGTGATGGGGGAATTGGGGAAACTAGGTGCCATGCTCAAGTGAGCACGATGCCTGCGTGCCATGTCGTAATGACGTGGCACGCATTTTCCTCCCTTCGTGCCCTCTTGGATGGGCGAGGCAGATGATGGGCCCACAGGGATGCGAGACGGTGGCGGGGGAATTGGGGAAACCAGGCGCCATGCTCGAGTGAGCACGATGCCCGCATGCCATGTCGTAATGACGTGGCACGCGTCCTCCTCCCTTCACACCCTCTTGGATGGGCGAGGCAGACGGTGGGGCCCGAGAGGGCACAAGACGGTGGTGGGGGAATCAGAGGAACTAGGCGCCATGCTACACTGAGCACGATGCCCGCATGCCATGTTATGAAGACATGGAGCATGTCCACCTCTTTTTGCACCCTCTTCGACAGGCGAGGTGGACAGTAGGGCCCAGGGGGATGCGAGATGGCGGAGAGGGAGTTGGCACCTCGTGGTGCATGCAGCTTGGGATCCTGATGGAATGATGACCGAGCATGCTCAACAAGCACACTCGGTCGACATTGTAGTTAGTGAAAATAGCACAAAAGCAGAAGGACATACCTTTATTGCCTTTGTCCATCCATCCGAGTGCCCATCCGTCGTCATTGGAGTGTACTGTCGCAGAGGCTGAAGGACTTAGCAATTTCGGACAGCTGTCCAAAGTTCCAAATGCGGAAGAGCAGTAAATATGCACAAACAAAGAGTTAGTTTTTTCCATTGACCCGCTCCGTTGTATTGACATTTTCACAGATGCTAAGGTGTCCACGGTACAGACTCCTAGTTGCATTCCCTGCATTCATCTGTTCCTGACCATCGTCTTCAGATCTAATTACGGGCCGAGGACTTGTACGACAAGGAGAAAGTTGATCTTGAGACAATCATCGTGGAGGATGTATTCAGGCTCCTCCAGTGCGACGACAATGGGTCAATGATGGAGGAGGTGCAGCGCCATCTCGAGCTGTTCAGTCCCAACAAGCTCGAGTTGGAGGAGCAGAATGCGTTTCTTCAGGTGCGTATGTTACGCTTTGATTTTTGTGCGCAATGGAGGAGGCTCAGCACCGTCTCGAACTGTTCAGTCCCAACAAGCTCGAGTCAGAGAAGCAGAATGTGTTTCTTCAGGTGCATATGTTATGCTTTGATTTTCGTGCGAGCACTCATTTCTGCCATTGGTTTCTGAGTTTCATGTGGAACCCATTGTCCTGGGGTCATGGAGGCTGCCGCCTTGGTTGCCATTGCACTTTCGAATGGTGAACACCAGCCTCCCGACTGGCAAGATTTCATCGGTATTGTCCTATTGCTTTTGGTGAAGGTGAAGGTCAAGCAGGATGGTACCTGGCAGGAGATGGAGTTTGCTGGACTCGTTCCAGGTGATATGGTTTCGTTAAGCTTGGTGACATTTTATTGTACCGGCGGATTGTTGTCTGACGGAGGCCATCAATGTCTCCACCGATCAAGCTGCTCTCACTGGCGAGTTGTCTTCAGTCATGCGGCGTCGCTCATTGGCCAGGACGATGACACTACCGGACACTTGCAGAAGATTCTTGCCCAGATCGGATCATTCTGTCTTGTCGTTATTGGCATCTTCGTACTTGCCGAGATTTTCTGCTTGTATGCCGGCTTTCGTTTCCAGTACTGTCATGGTCTCAACAACATCTTGGTGCTCTTGATCGGTGGAATTCCAATTGCGATGCCTACGGTGTTGTCCGTCACCCTCGCTGGAGGTGCTCAGCAGCTTGCGAAGTACAAGGCCGTCGTTACCTGTATCACCGTGATTGAAGAGCTAGCCGCCATTACCATCTTGTGCTCCGACAAGACGGGTACCCTCACCACCAATAAGCTGACCATTGATCATGAGACTATTTGTACCTACGGTCCTTTCTCTGCCGAGGACATCATTCTACTGTCATCGTATGCATCACGCATGGAGAACCAGAAAGCCATCAACACTTGCATCGTCTTTGCTATCAGCGATCCATCTCGTGCTCGCGCTGGTATTAAGCTCCTTGACTTCATGCCTTTCAATCCCATCAACAAACGTACCGAGATCACGTACCATGAGGAGTCATCGGGCAAGCTCAAGTGTGTCACCAAGTGGTATGACTGGCATCATCATCGAACTTTGCATGCGTAACAAGATGGATAATCTTGAGGCCAGGCTGGAGGCTGACGTCAAGGAGCTGGCTAGCTGTGGTCTTTGTACACTGGCAGTCGCGTATGAGGAGGTGGATGGCGATGACCCCGAGGGTGATGGTAATGGCTTCGAACTCATTGGTATACTCCCCATTTTTGACCCTCCTCATAAGGACACAAAGCAAACCATCGACGACGTCATTGCTCTCGGTGTTCGTGTCAAGATGGTTACCGGTAACCAGCTCACTATCGCGAAGGAGACTGGCTGCTGTCTCAGTCTCGGTGACCATATGTATCCCGCTCAGGTTCTTAAGGACGGCCCCGCACCTGGTAGCAAGCATGCCTCTCTAGACCAAATGATCTTGGATGCAGACAGTTTTGCTGGGGTCTTCCCCGAGCACAAGTACGAAATCATCAAGTGCCTCCAAGGCCTTGGCCACCTGTGTGCTATGACCGGTGACGGTGCCAATGACGCTCCCACTTTGTCTCGCGCTAACGTCAGTATTGCTGTTGAGGGTGCCACTGATGCAGCTCGTGGTGTGGCCAACATTGTCTTGACGGAGCCCAGTTTGTCCACCATCGTCCATGCCATCTGTGGTTCGCATGTCATTTTCCAATGTATGTGGAACTATTCGATCTACGTGTGTGCTTTCACCATTTGTATCATGGTATGCTTTGCGATTATCACCTTTGCATTCAAGTTTCACTTCCCATCATTCATGATTCTGATCATCGCCCTGCTCAATGATAGTACCATCATAATGTTGTCAGTCGACTGCATCCTTTCTTCAAGCACTCTGGACATTTGGGACTTGGTTGAAAAATTTGCATATGCTCATGTGTGAGATCGGCATGCAGGGTGCAGCACTGCTCAAGAATATGAACGGTGCGCTCATACTTTGCAAGCTTATGCAGTGCTGCAGAAAACATATCTTTTATACTAATACCTCCCTATTCATGTATATGTTTGATACTAGTTCTTACTCTTATGATACTTGCTTTTCGCATAGTAGGAGAATGGCATCTAATATACTGGGATAACTGAGGACAAACCAGAGCATCTGAGGGCATATCAGAGCGTGATCAATACAGTGCAACCTAGGAAATCAGCTGTATTCTGTGAGCAGCTCAGGGTGACCCAGGCTGCCTCAGGAAAAATGCTGTAGAGACCTTGCTCTCAGAGCAACCTGGGACGCTCTGGCATCCCTGACACCCTGACAGCTCTGAGAGCATCTCAGAGCATCTTAGGACAGCTCAGGCTGCTCTAGGGCCACAGGTGATTTTCCTGATGGACTGGCAAGGAACCGGTCATGCCCTCCCTCCTAGATGCTGTGCCTTCTGCCACGGCGCTGACCACATCCACGACATATGCCCCTTCCTCACCATCCCCGGATGGTTCAAGACTCCGAGCCGCAACACAATGCGTGAACAGGGAGGCACTCAACCGTTGTATGCCCGCGGCACTTTCCGTGGTGGGTACTCCAGTCGTGGAGGATATGCAGACCGGGGCGGGTACTCCAGTCGCAGAGGATACGCAGACCATGGAGGATATGCAGACTGCGGAGGACATGCTGAACGCGGAGGATTCCTGGATCATGGAGGATTCCCTGAGCGTGACCATGGCAGCCGTCCTCGCGGATGAGGAATGGGTCATTTCTAATTGGTCACATTGCTCCATCTTTTATCCCTTTGTAACAAATCCCCATATGCTATCCCTGACAGCGCCTTGCAGAATATCGCCCATCCTTTACCTATCTATTTTCTAGTATCCTTGGCGAGGACAGAACCTCTTACAGGAACCTGACCTCCCCTACATACCTGATACAATATATGACTTTGCACTTGCGAAATCTCTCATCTGCCACTAATGCAAGAACACATTCGCTGATGTTTGCTGATGTCAGCTGACGTTGTAGTAACAGAAATGCAAAGCTCTCTTGTCCTGACCAAACACTGTTTCTGCCACCAATACTGCTGGTTAGGAAATGGGAACACATATCCACAACATTAATCCAACAATGCGTGCGGAAGCATGGCGCACACGCAATAGACTGAAGACACTAACACTATGAGGCATTTATTCAGGCCCGGACCCCTTGGAAAATGCTTTTCCAACCCCCCTGATGTACTGGCCTAAATCTACTGACCGTAAGCGGGACAGGAAAGCCAAAGTACAAATAGACCGCGATAGTGATCTCAAAGCGGAGGTCTATATAGGCTATGATGAGCCGCACCGAGAGGCTGAAGCCATAAGATCGGGTGCACTTCATTGCCGTGGAAGTAGTGCAACCATCACCTGGCATAGTCACCTTTGGAACCATAGGTTATTGGCTCCCTGATTTGATGTATAGCTGTAAGTCAGTATTTGGAACATCCAGCAACTACACACAACTCAGACTACCACTCTAACCTGGAACAAATACACGGTGATGGCTCTCGCCTCTCCAGTCCCAGAGGAGATGATGGGTTGCCCGCCACCCCTCTCTCTAATGATGGGACAGAAGAGTACAGTGACGGGCACTATAAGATACCCCAACGACATCGTCAACATTCCAGACATCGACACAAAATTCAACGAAAAACTAAAGCACACCTTCAAATCGCATCCCTAAACATGCGAGGCAAAGGACAGACCACAATTACACATCCAACCAACAAATGGACTCAGATCCACCAGCTCATGCATGACAAAAGGATAGGCATCCTAGCCCTCCAAGAAACCCATCTCGATCAGCAATATGTAGACAGATTGCATAGACAATTTGGACAACACCTGTGCATCCACTTCTCTTCACCGCCAGATATTACGAATGCCCAAGGTGTAGCTATTGTCTTGAACAGAGAATATACGAACACAAAAGATATCAAAATGACTGAACTTATCCCTGGATGTGCACTCTATGCCTCTCTCCCATGGCATGCAGACCTAACCCTTAATATTCTCACTATATATGCATCAAATGACCCACGTGAAAATGCAGACTTCTGGCATCAACTGGATGACACATGGGAAAACCATGACCTCCCTTATCCAGATGTCCTACTAGGAGACTTCAATGTAGTCGAAGATGCTCTAGACCATTTTCCAAGCCACATAGACTCAACAGACCAACACAGGCCCTGATGGACCTAAAATAACATCTCCTCCTGGATGGATGGAGACATGAACACCCTGATACCCGTGCCTTCTCCTTTCACCAACAAAGTACTGGAAGCAAATCTCATATAGATTGTATCTATGTGAGTGAACAGATTATGGAATCCGCTTCTGACTGGCGAATTGATGATACTGCAATACACACAGAACACAGACTAGTATCCCTAAAAATAACCAACAAACAAACTCCATTCATAGGGAAAGGAAGATGGACTATTCCACTACACCTGTTACAAAATAAACAATTCCTTAACACAGTCGACTTTCTTGGTCGGAAACTTGAACAAGATATACAAGATGGACAAACTAACCGAACCTCCGAAAACAACCCACAAACTCTCTTTAAGAAGTTCAAAGATAATGTTATAAAAGAAGCCAAAATAACAGCCCAGAAGACTATACCAAGAACACAAATACAAATAGATGCACTTAAGACACAACTCGACCTCCTTTTAAATGACCTAAACTATGTAAATGACACTAGCTTACAACTATCAGCAGACCTAGTTCAACACCATATCACAGAACTTGAAACTGCACATAGCAACAATGCATGAAAGATGTCCACTGCACAACACCAACTAGCAGCTGAAACACCAAGTAAATATTGGTCCAAAATAAATAAGAATATCCGACCACGAGACGTAATGTTCTCCCTCAAAGTCCCTAACTCATCTCCACCACAATATGCTACTCACTCAGATAAAATGGCAAAACTTGCCCGAGACTACTATGATGCTATCCAAGCCAATGGCCCTCACACATCACGACATGAACGTGAAATGGCAATCCAGCATACCCTGCATGCAATACCCTGTAATGTGAAACTGAACTCCCCATCCCGGCTATCAGAAAATATCACTGATGACTTGGTACTACAAGCCCTACTTGCCTCACAGAATGGAAAAGCGACTGGTATAAATGGTATCCCATATGAACTGTGGAAAGCCCTACACTCACATTTTCTCATCAAAACTGTTGAAGGCCTTTCTGCCTTTAATATCGTCCACTCTCCTACCCATGTTTTTAATGATATTGAGACCTATGGTACTTCACCAGAGGCAATGTTTGCAACTGGTTGGCTATGCCCAATCCACAAGAAGAATGACAGAAGAGACATATCAAACTACAGACCTATAACCCTACTGAACACTGATTACAAAATCTTCACCAAAGCCCTTTCTCTACTTTTATCTGATATAGCACCTAACCTCATACACCCATCCCAAGCAGGCTTTGTATCAGGGAGAAACATACATGACCAAGTCCGCCTGTCTCGTACAATGATTGAATATGCAGAAGCCATAGAAGAAAATGGAGTCATTATAGCCCTTGATCAAGAGAAAGCCTATGACCGTATTGCACATGACTATTTATGGCGAACACTAGAAGCTTTTCAACTTCCCAATCTGTTTATAAACACTATCCGTTCCCTCTATCAACATGCTGAAACTGTTATTATCATTAATGGGGAAATAAGTACACCCTTTTGCATAACAAGAGGAGTACATCAAGGTGACCCTATATCATGCCTCCTCTTTGATCTTGCAATTGAACCTCTAGCATGCCTCTTAAGAGCTTCACCTCTGCACGGCTTCCTTATTCCTGGGGTACCTGAATGCCTAATCACTACCCTCTTTGCAGATGATACAACAGTATACCTAGCTGAATCTGATGACTTTGATACCCTCTAACAAATTCTCCATGCATGGTGCATTGCTGCTAAAGCAAAATTTAATGTAAACAAAACAGAAGTAATTCCCATTGGAAATTTAAAATACTGCAAAGAAGTAATCACCAGCTGGAGAACCCACCCCACTGCTCTCCCATTTCCCCCCAATGTTCATATTGCTAAGGAAGGAGAAGCTATCAGAATTTTAGGGGGTTGGATTGGAAATCATATAGACCCTGCAACACAGTGGCCTATAATTCTGGAAAAAATACAAGCAGCCCTTACTCGATGGACCAGAAGTCACCCTACCCTAAAAGGCCACCGCCTTATAATTCAGATGATAGTAGGAGGCATGACACAATTTCTTACCACAGTACAGGGTATGCCAAAGCACGTTGAGAAAAACCTTGTCTCATCCATTCAAAAATTTATCTGGGACGACAGCCGCATACCCCTCATAAACATTAAGACATTATACCTCCCAATAAACCAAGGTGGTATTGGTCTCCTTAATCTCCCAAGTTGCAATCTGGCCATTGATCTCAAGTGGCTTCACTCCTTCCTGGACCTTTCACCATCTCGCCCTTTGTGGGCTTTCTTAGCAGATGTCCTCATTAACAAATGTGTGGCATCTAGCTCTGGAAAAGTAGAGAAACTATCTCAAATAAATGTCTTCCTCCAATCCTGGGAAACCACTACCCACTCACGCTCCAACCTCCCACTGGACCTTCTCAGAATGCTGCGTGCCGGTAAAACATATAATATAAGTTTTGCTGCACTCAAACTACCACCATCCCTACAAAAGCAGCTTCCCTTCTGGTATCACATTGGAGCAAGTGCATTGCTTCATCGCCTAAACAATACTCCATCCTCCAAATGTCTCTACAACATTCACAATGTTAAATCAGTTGGTGACCTGCTTGGCATTACCAAAAGAAACAGTGACCCAAATCTATCCCCCTCACACAACCCACGGTGGAACTGTCAATGCAAATACTGCGCTACTGACCGGTCTAAAGGATGTGAAAACCCACACCACTGTATGAAAGCAGCCCTTCATGCCATCTCATTACTTGGTCCCAAGTGGAACCCTGAAATAAACCCAACACCAGACAATCTCTCTTCAACCAAAACCACGAAAAGGCAAAATCGGGAGGCAGCCAAAAACCATGATCAAGTCATCTTTAATCCCTCTACCACTACACCAGGCCCCCTGGCAAATGTCTTTTGAATCTTCACAAACCCAGCTGTACCATACACTCTACCTCCAAAATGCCATGGAAGAGGTATTCCAAATGAGGCTGTTACAATCTACACAAATGGCTCATATATTAATAATGGTGAAGCAAATGCACAAGCAGGAAGTGGACTGTGGTATGGCCTTAATGATCCCCGCAACCAAGCCTATCGTCTCCCAGATAACCTGGCATCCAACCAGGCAGGAGAAGTAGTGGCCGTTCTTTATGCAGCCCGCATTACACCGATGAATGCCCCCCTCCACATTATAAGTGATTCACGATACGCCATTGATGGTCTCACAATACACCTCCCACAATGGGAAGACCATGGATGGATTGGAATTCAAAATGCACCTCTCTTCCAAGCAACAGCGACAGCCCTACGTCAACGTGCTGCAATTACCTCCTTCAAATGGATCAAAGGTCACTCCGGAGATGAAGGCAACTCTGAAGCAGATAGTCTGGCATGGCAAGGTGCCCTCAAAAATACCCCAGATGAACTTGACCTATCAATTCCAAATTCTTTACAACTGTCAGGTGCAAAAATAGCCAGTCTAACCCAAAAACTAGCTTACCGTGGTATACAAGAGTCTCTCCCTGTTCCACAATGAACATCAACATTGATACATCTTGATATCGCCCGATACATGGTACAATCACATACTGGCATCACACCTACAGACTCTACCCTCTGGTACTCCCTTCGCTCACCTGCCTTCACCAAACCAATCTCTGATTTTCTATGGAAATGCATGCACAATTCACTGCACTGTGGAAGTTTTTGGGACAAAATACCAGACTATGAACACAGATCAATCTGTCCTGCCTGCGACACCCTAGAATCAATTGAACACATCCTGTGCGAATGCTCAGCACCAGGCCAAAAGCAAATATGGCAGCTCACACAGAATCTCTGAATGAAGAAAGACCCTAGGTGGTACCCCCCATCACTTGGACTCATCCTTGGATGTGGAGCGATTACCTTCTGTAACAACCAAAACAAAATCCACCAGGGCGCTACTCGCCTCTTCCGTATTCTTGCATCAGAAGCAATATACCTTATCTGGAAGCTCCGCTGTGAGCGGCGAATATCCAGGGAGGATGACCCATCCCAGTGGCATACATCAACAGAAATCACTAATAGATAGAAGCATGCTATCAATAAACGCATACAACTAGACTGCTCCATGTCCAGACCTCGTTTTGGACCCAAGGCCCTTCCAAAACAACTAGTCCTACATACATGGAGCGGCACCCTAGCTCGCGAAGACCAACTCCCTGATGACTGGACACGATGTAATGAGGTTTTAGTGGGTATGGACCCTCCCCCGGTCGCCTGAACTGGCAGAGGGCCGAGTCCCACACTGCCACCTGTGGCGTGCGTAAATGCATTTTCCCTCTTGGAGATCAGGTGGAACTTCCACCCTAGCAGACAAGTGGGGACAGATCAATTATCTGGCTGCCCACTCCGTCGTCACACTCCTCAAAAAAAAAAAAAAAAAAAAAAGAGAGTACACCATAATGCGACAGAACCGCTAGATCCGGATGTAGCGTTGACCGTTACGGCAGAGCGTCACAGGGGCAGAGAATGGCATAGGGGAGGGGACAGTACTCACCTCCGTCCGTGTAATGACTGCCAACCAGCGACAGAATAGCAGGCTATACTAGGTCCTGGATACTTCCGACCCCAACGAAGGCAATCTAGATCTGTGGACGACCATCCCTCTCGCGCTGGCTTGCAAGACTACTCAGTGACGACAATTGGCATGCATCTCACCATTCTGCTTTTCATGTTATTTTCCATCGACACCGCTGCAGTCTATACGACCACTTGGGTAAAGATATTATAATATTCGTTTACCAACACCAACCTCGGATCGGCGCCAGTTACTCATCGTGTACTGGGCGACCTACTACCAGAAACACCGCTTTCCTCGTCTTCTCCATCCGACTCCTCCCCTCCTGTTCTTGGCACGCAAAACTCCACCACAATGCCAGCATCCCTACTCCATATTGGTGCTCCCGCCGGGGCCTTGTATGCTCCATAGCAGCACGCCTGGCCAGCAGTCTTCCACGAGACACGTTCGCCTCAGCTGGCAATACCATGGTGATAGCACTGCATCCTGGTGCACGTGTGAGGGTGATGGGATAGGAGCACGGCGAGGTCTACGTACTTGCATTTAGTGGGATCTCGTGTACTTACATCGTCGCCAGAGAATTAGCAGTGCCACTCGGTTCGGCTCATGCAGGTATGTACTGGGTGCGAGTGTAGGACGAAGGACCGGATCTGCTTTCTGACACGATCACTGTGCCCGAGTACGTGGATGCCGAATATCGAATGGTGACGCACGCATGCACGCATATGGGATCACGCAGTGGGAGGATTGGTGGTATGGCGAGGACTGCGTAAGTTCCTGCAGATGCGAGTGCAGACCTAGGGTGAGGTCCCGGATCTGCTTCAGTGCTCGAGGAAGTACTGTGGACATGAATAAATATTCAAATGGCCGAAGGGCGCTGTGCTAGTGAGATGCCCGAGCTCCGACTCTCAGAAAGTAGAATACTGAACAATGGAATGCATTGAGGGCAACATTGAAACTTGGCAGAGCAACGGCGTGGGTCGTATAAAAAGGGCATGAGTTCGTACATAAGTAGCAAAAAATGGCAGTACAGCATTGACAGTGACTAAAAAAATATACACAGCGCAAACGCGCAAGCCAAAAAAAGAAAATGCACAGGAAAAAATTTATATCAGAGGGGGGTACAGCCCTCAAGTATAATTCGCCAGACGAAGGGTAGCTCGATGGCCAGGTATCATCGTATGTAGCAGACCGAACCGAAAACAGACAGGATGGCGTGCGGCAGGTGGAGGGGATGGGGGCCCACTCAACGTCCCTGGGCATGACGTGCAGAAAGGGCGACAATGTGACCTCGGGCAGCGTCTACGAGTTGCTGCTGCTGCTGCTGTGCATGTCCGCGAGGGTTTGCATGCACCCCGTATGGGGTTAGCACTTGTGCAGGACCCGGGGTAACTTCGAGTACTTGCACCTGAGCGAGTGGCACACGCCCTTGCTACAGCAGCACAGCAACAGCAACAGCAACAGCAAAAAAAATAAAATAAAAAGAAAAAGAGGAGTAATATCAAATACCACACAAAAAACACTCTGCACGCACTTGCACCACAGCCCCATGCTGCCATGGACAGACGGCCCACATGCGATCCTGCGCTCACAGCAGAAAAGGCAGGCCATCGCGAGATTCTTCTTCTGGGGCTCGCACGTGCCGCCCATCATTGTGGGCTGGAAGAGCACCTGGCCGGGTTTGCTCTCTAGGTCCGGCACCGAGAGCTCATCGAGTGAGAGCAGGGCGGGTATGGCGTGTGGCCACACAGCGGGTTTCTTCTGTGGATGGCGGCGAGGGCATGGGGCGGGACAGGAGTAATGGTGGATGACAGCGAGTCGGAGGTCTTTGACTGCTGCATCTCAGTGGGGCGTTTGGGCTCGTGCTTGGGCGCAGGATCGGAGAGCAGGACATGACGGCGGCGGTGAGCTGCAGAAGTGGGAAGTCGAGGTCATCGCTGTCGTCGCTGTCACCGTAAATGGATTCACTGAGGGGGGATATCTGGGATGTGTCGTCATAGCCATAGTCAGCATCGGGGCTCTGGCCAGAGGTTGATTCGCAGTGAGATGCGAGCCGCAAATCGGAGAATCTATGCCTCCTCCAGCGGATGATCCGGCTAACACCTCAAGTGGGTAGGGGTGGTGTAGCAAGGGGTGCCGTGAGGTGCTGTGTTAGAGCAATATAGCCTGCATAGGAGCATTATCGTGCATACCTTCTGGCCTCGGAGTTGGCCCAGGGACATCTGACCATCGGTAGTCATTTGCGGACTTCAGGGTTATTTGATAGAGAGGACGTTAAACGATGTAACTTGAAATCACTGCAAGGTCGTTGCACGGGGATGGCGAGTGCAGCAGGGGAGGTGTACATTCGAGAGGTGAGGGCATTGGTGACTCGAAGTGGCTGGACCGTGGCGTCTCGCATCTGTCATGATCACGCACTGACGTGACGTGCCTCCGAGACTCCTCCGCCTCATTCCAGCCTCATCTGTCCACCCAGGGAGGATTAGTGCCCAATTGGATACTGGAGTGGAGGATTGGTCGCGAACCGTGCTGAGCAGTGGGTGCTGCTGCAAAGCCTCTCCCAACCACTACCTCTTGGCCTTAGGGGTGACCTACAAGAAGCCCACGGTGCATGAGGTGATTTCAGACCGGCCCTAAAGAGGCAGCTGTGCACTCGGCTCATGCGTATTCCAGTAGGAAAGAAGAGGGAGCCTCCTTTCTTTTCAACTAGTATGTGCAGGGTAGGGCCAGCCGTTAAGGCCCCTGATGAGGCCCCTTGGCAAGGGCCAAAACCCTGGTCTCCCTGTACTCATTTTTCCTCGCTACGCGCAGAAAGACCAGAGCCCTATCCTCGGAGACAGGCTCTGGATCTTTCATTGGGTTTTGACGCTTGGCTGGACGTGGTGGCCAGGATCGTTCCTCACCTGGCAATGTCACTAAGTCCACGGTACACCACCAGGCGATGCGGGTACCGGGCAGATACTGGGTCCGAAAACATTTGGCCGGTAGTTAGCATGTAACCGCCGGTTACATATCAGGCATATAGTTCGTAACTAAACTCAGCTAACCATCTGGTATATGGTTTGGATACCTGGTGTCTACCTACTGTTAGTTAATTTGTAGTCATCCACTAGTTACTTTCTATGTAGCTGGCAGTTACCGGCTGGCGCCATGTTACAGTTACCGGGTGGGTCACTGGAATTGGGTAACTGGTGGGTACCCAGTGTCAGTTATCTGCTGGGTACCCGTTGGGTAACTGTGTGGTACCGGCAAGCATCCATGCTGTACAACATTGCCTATCAGACTACAATATTTTCAGTGTTGATGGTGCAAATCTGTCAAGGTTTCCTTAAGCATGTTCATAATATCTCTCTCAGCCCATGCTGCTGTTGCTGTTGCTGTCGTAGTACGCGTGCGTACGGTCAGCAGGGGCGGCGATTTGGCGCGCAAATATTGCTGTCGCTGTCGGCATCATGTTTGAGTCTCCCTCTCTATGCATGCTTCTCAAAAGGTCCTCCATTGGGATGTTTGGGTTCCAATGAGGCCAATATTTACTGGCAGGCTAATAAGACGTACTAAACGAAAGCAGAACTTTGAATCTGACGGGCGGCGAGAGCTCCCGTCATTTGTTGTGTCTTATTTGGCTTGTTGAAGATCAAAATGGGCGTTTGGACTTAGCAATTTCTCACTGGTACTGCACGCACGTTCTCGGTCGACCTCTCTTTCCTTGCGATGTTTGATCTTGGAGGTATGATATTCTCATATTTCTGGAAGTGACATCATCTATCCCAGCTGAGCCACATTGATGTGCAGAGTGCGAACACGAGTGGGGAGCAATGGGCAGGGCGGCTTGCGTGAGGCTTAGCATGACTCAGCTTGCAAATTTGCTACTGGTGAGCTCCTGAAGTACCTTTACAGTGGAATTTCTCACAGGATGGGACCATAGCTTGCAGCACCTTACTGGCCTCTGTGAAGCTCGAACCCCCTGCTGCACTCCTCCTGCCATCTGGGGCTGCCAATGTGCTATCGCTCTCACTTGCCTTCCAGCCCATCCTACTACCTTTTAGTTTTCTAACTGTGTATTTACATGCTGTGTATTCCTGTACAGTACTGTAATGTAGTAATATTGTGCAATTATATGGCAGTGTAACCTGCCTCTTGTGATCCTCTGCCGGGACCACAGGTTGCATGCTAGACACATGCGAGTTGCTCAGCGGATACTGACACGGTATCCAGCTCCAGTTACCCGCTGGGTAACCAGAGCCAGCTACCGGTCCGGTACCCAGCAGGTACGTTATGTATATCCCCAGTTTACTTGCGAGATAGCCATCATTGGTTAAACTACAGTTAACTATATTATTTACACGGTGGGTACTGTGTCAAAACCCTCTGATGGGTAACCGACGGTTATCCACCAGGTAACTCCGGTCCTGGTCATCCATCCGGTACCCGGCTCATCTGGTAGTGTACGCCGTTGTATGTGCCCAGGGTGGTCCCACGTGAGTACTAGCCTGGGGGAAGGTGCGTGGTTCAATTTCTTCGTTTATGGATGACTAGGGTTCTCGCCAACGCCGCTGACAAAGGGATCGCCAATACGCGGCAATCCAGGAGTTTCTTGGAAGTAGTTTTGGATGTGGCGCAGAGGGTGGGTATCGGCCGTCGGGACTTGGGATAAAGACGTACGCTTCCTGGTTTACGATCACCCACCTTTGACTCTAACTTTTCAAGGACTCACAGCAATTTCGTGTATGTGATTCTGCAAAGAGATTTGTGCATATATCAGCTAGACTTGCGAATACATCGATTCTCCCTCTTTGCGAGATTCCTATTTTCTCTTGCATGAATACCATCTGGCTACTCTCTTGACCCAATGCTGACTAATGTTAAACAGACCAGAGGAAGCAACCCGAGGCGCATCATAGAAAGGTATTTTTCGACTCTCGTTATGATAATTGTGACTTATACGCTGCACGCAAGAACCTTCATTCCAATTCCTTGTCCGTTCGCCTATGCTATCGGGGACAATTCGCCGACACCGCGATTTCCCCTTTGTCCTCACTTTCAGCACAACCGTTCCCAGCTACGATCGCGATGATCGTCGACGCTTTGCGCAGTGAGCGATGGCTATGTGTACGGGCTAACCTTCGATTATGGCCGCTCTTTCATGCTCTCTTTTCCCAGTCATGCGGCAATTATTGAGCGGGATACATGTGAGTTCTCTAACTATTGTAGTCCCTCCCCCTTAACATCTCACGGCTCCCCCGATTTCCCAGAAAATGGAATTACTCGACATGCCGTAGATTTCTCGTCATTTCAGTGCACAATGTGAGCTCCCCGGACTGTCATCTCAAAGCGCACCTCCCTCGACTTTGTCCTCCGAATATCGACGGCACGCACATCCCCTGCACGTTCTCGTGCAAAGCACGAGGACGTCGCTTCCGCTCAGTCCTCTCGTGTGCACCTTGCAGGTCCCGGGGTCTCAACAGAGGTTCGTCGTGAAGCGAAGGCGAGGTCGACAGTGTGCACTGAATTTCCACCGCATGTTTCTCGGTTCATGTTCCCCTCACTGACGCCAGATTCGCGATGAATGCTGCTTGCAGCCCTTCGTTGTTCAGAGCACTCACGCACGGTCGCACCTAATATTAGATACAGCGTCGAACTCTAGGAGTACCACTCAGTTAATTTCCGGAGCACCGGTCTCACCTAGGCGCCCTCGCCGGTGCGCAATCGATCCAGTGCCACTCAGTAATAGCCAATATCTCACAGGTCCATCTCCGAGTAAGTGTGTTGCAGTGTCCATTGGTGTTGTTCCACAATCGCGAACAGCCTTGCGGTGTAGGGCAGGCTGATAAGGAGCTCGACTCGGGAACCGTTCGTGATAGCGTATCCTGTGCATGGACTCTGCAGTGGTCCGCGTTCTCATGACAGGTCGACAGAGCGCGCACGGCCTGTTTAAAATCTATACAGATATGCGTGCGTCTATATGCTGTTTATCGTGATGGACCACTGATTTGTTCAGATTTGCTAAACATGATAACCCACGTGCCTGTTTTAATGAACGCATCAAGTTCTTATGCATGTTCGGGGTGTGAGAGTCAGTATCCTACCTTTTCTTGAGTTCCTCGTCGTCCAACGGTCCAATCCCCTGTCCTCCACTCCTTGAATTCTTCCTTGTCCAACCCCGCTTGCTCAACACAATGAACTCCTCCTTGTCTGAACTTAGCTTGCCCGAACTCACCTCGCCCGAACTCACTTCATCCGAACTCGCCTCTCTGGAACTCGCCTGGTCCGAGCTCCCCTTTTCCAGACTTCCCTCGTATGAATTTGGATATCCCGAATTCAACCCGATGAGTTCCTCCCTGTCTGAACCCGCCCTGCCCAGATTCGCCTCACCCTGTAAGTCCCTACTCTTAAACTCTTGAAGCGCATCACCAACACGATTCGTTATATTACACCCTCTAGTTTTGGCACAGTCAGATCCTTTCTATGACCAACAGAACCATCTTCCATGGTGGGAGGCTGCAATCTGGGAATGTGTACTGGTACATTACCCAGATCCTACTCTCTGATCTGAACATTGACCATTGACCATTGTCTGTTCAACATTCTCATTTACAGTACACAGAGACATCAAGGCTACCTCCCGAGCTGACAGATCGCATAATCGACTTTGTGGGTGGCGGCCCAGATTTTTATATCACCAAACAGAGGGCACTGTACAGGTGTGCCCTTGTTTGTCACGGGTGGTTCCCAGCTAGCCGGTATCATCTTTATGGCTCTACACTGGCTCTGCAATCCAGCAAATGCTTTGAAGCTCTTGTACAAGCATCAAGGATCCCACATGTGGCAGCCAGTTTGCAATCGGTGTGCGAACTGGTGTGCCTGGATGGTATGCCAACGCCCAAATGGGTGCATCGGCTACCCCTTGTTCTTGGAAAAGTATTCTCAACAATTCAAGAGTTGTATCTCAATGTACTTGAATGGGATGCAGTTGTTATGCATCCAGACACACTGTCACTTGGTTTTGGACAGTTTGGACATGTTACCAAGCTGACTTTATGCAACTCCAAGTTCCGCAATTTTCACCAATTTCAATGCCTCATCTGTGCACTACCTCGGCTGCAGATCCTAATCACGATTTTGATATCAGTGAAGACATGCCAGGCTTTCCCAATTGTTATCACACCATTACAATTTCCTGCACTCACTAAACTTGAATTTGATCGATCACCAGTGCTACATTCAGCACTTCTCAGGTGGATGGTATTGATGTCAGCATCCATCCAGAGTCTGCAGTTGCTGACTACAGATATATATCATGCATCTCCATCTCATTTGAGAAACTTTCTCGAGCATGTTGGAGCTTGGCTGCAGGGTTTATACTTGTATGACCTTACTGTGACTGATTGTACGTATTACACTGGCACTACATCACAGTGGTATGCTGAGACATGATATCACCCACAGTGAAGGACTTGAACATAGATAATTGCACTGCACTTCATACCCTTGGTTTGGGAACTGTGCAACGAACATCGTTGGCAGAGATCCTGGGCATCATTTCACCAAATTGCCACCTCCACAAACTCTGGATATCAATGTTTCCAAGAAGAGTAGAGTGCAAGTGGGAGAGTGCGGCCCGTATTCTGGACGAGCAGCAGTTTCTCACACTGCAGAAGTTTGAGCTCAGGGTTAAGGACGCCAAAAACTTTACCGAAGAAGAGAAGCGATGCATTTCGGACTGCTTCGATGCCTTGCGTAGGCGGGGTGTTCATGTTGTGCTGCACTTCGACCCCTCGGGGTAGCAGGGTGATTCACCCACCTATTGAAGACTGCGGAGCGGCAGGTTGAAGATGAACACTCATCTGGAGTGCTTTCCATGGCTAGGGATGACGAGCAACGATCAAGCTCTGAGCAGATGAGACAGGAGAAATGGTAGGATGGCGGAGGCACTCTGGTTCTGCGAGCGCAGCTGGCAGGCTGCACCATTACGGGGAGGACAGGTTCGTAGCTCGGGAGTTAGAACGTTCAGACGGTGCGAGTTCTTCTATGCAGGACATCATTCTTTGTCAGGCTATATGTACTCAAGTTTCTGGGTCGGAAACAGGTCGACGTACCGGAGATACATATGATTTTTACCACTCTATTCTCAATATTGTTGTCCTTCCGTTGTAAGTTTACAGACTTAGAAGTGTCTCGCGAATCGCGAAAGACGTGTGGGCTTCTGCGCGTACCGGATTGTGTACAGTTCGTACTTAGATACCGACCGTGCACGTAGTTCGTAGGTCTGAAGTTCTGATTGCATTGAATTTACACATACAGAAACCCACGAAATCGGTCGGGTATCCTGACAGTATCACATCCCTGCCAACAGCACACCTGCAGACAATCCCTTGGTGAACAATGCGGGGAGGGCACACAACTCAAATCTCCAAATTTTTGCAGAATATGTATAGGACCTAGCCGTTCACAAATGCCAAGGATGAATCAGCGCAGTGCACACGGCATACCAGAGTGTTATCCACGACGAGCTCGCCGCTTGGAGAAGGTCTTGGACTGCGGGACACCATCCGAACATTTGTGTGCTGTCTCCGCCTACAAGTCCTGAGAAATTGTGTCGATAACAATGAGGCGGTGTTTGAGTGGGAGCCCAGTCGCACCTGTGTGCGCTGATGGGGAAGGGTGTGCAGGCGATGTGGAGAGAAGACGCCGAGTGCCAAATCCCGAGCGATCTAAGAATTCGCGCTAGACTGCCATGATCGCGCAGAAATCCTAACGACGAGGGAAGTCAATATTGAGCCGATGATGCGAGAAAAAAAGGACTCACAACGAGTCCGCTTGACGGGGCATGCGGCGAAACAACGTGCTGATCCTGCGACACGATATGTCCTGTGCAGTCTCGAATGTGAGATCAAAAATATTACGGGTCTTTATCGCTGCGAATGACTCACCTCGCGAGCTCGAACGATCATCCCTGAAGACAATATTTGATCACAGTACACACCTCGGCAGCACGCAGCTCGGCGCGACGGGTACCCGCACCAATGCGGGGAACGGCACTTTGTGCTACTTGCCCTGGGATATAACACGCAGTCGAGTAAGCAATACACAGACACATAAAGATCCCCATCCGATGAGATAGTCTTGGGAAGATGAATTGACTTTGAGATGACCGACGAGAACTTTCGGTGCGTAGGAGTGTTGTTTCGAGGAGCGCCGAGGTGTCGTATGTCGGTACAACCACGGACAGGTGCTGGACAGGTCGGAGATCTGATAACTTGCGAACATGATCAGGAGGACTCGGAGTGTTAGGACGTTGAGTTTCTCGATTGTGATCGCCAGTCAGGCTTCGCATGGCGAGCATGCCATTGAAGAGATCGGCGATGACATAGCGAGCATATTCGATGTCGAATTGCTATTCAGTACACCCTAAAGGGAGCGTGTGATCAGCGAGGCGCACGACGAGATTGAAAGAGGAATCAGGGCACGTTAGCCAGCACGCCTGGGCCGGAAAATGAAAGGATCGTTGAAAACGCACAAACGCTAGTCGTCAAAATTTGAGCACCTCGGGAGAAGCGGAATTTGAGAAAAGGCGCGATGCATTATGCGGCCCGTCGCAATGAGTTTTGACTCGTCGCGCCACCAGAAGTTCTCTTCCGTGTCGGTGGCGTTACTGGCATTAACACAACCAGTCTTGAAGCTCTGGTGGTTTGCTGCTTTATTGGGCACTCAGCGGTCATTGTGACAGGTAGGGTCAAGGTGCGTACCAGCGGGAGGATACAGATAAAATGATACCGGACTTCAGTGAGCTGTGAGCATCCGAAGTTGGCATAGAAACTAGAAGGAGGTATAGCGACAACGTACGAAGATCAAGGCATCCACAGACCATAGCACGGAAGATCTCTCGGATCGTCACCTCCCGCACGCCAACGAAAGTACATCATAACGCGACACGGTGAGACAGAACCACTAGATCCGGGTGTGTCTCCGAATGCAGTCGCAGGGGGCGGAGAATGGCGTGGGGGGCAGGACGGTCACCTGCGTCGGTGTGATGACTGCTAGGATAGCAAGACGGAGTCGATACACAACCCCGAATAAGCGCTCGTAGCGCGTTCACCTGTGATGTCACAGAGGCGATCTTGATCTGCTAGTTCCCCCTCCGGCCGCGACATATGACTCTAATTATTTGCAAGTGCTCGTCTCACGCATACAAATGCTCATCTAAGCTTGCTCGGCACGTCTTTTCCACGAGTTCTCTCGACACCCGCGCACGACGTCTCTGAGTATGTCCCGGTCTTAGAAGTCTGGGGCGCATATCTATCACGACTCATTGTCCTGGGCCCTCCGGTCAGCATGACCTTTTCCCTAATTCAGTGAATCATTCGATTCGCCGGTTACATGTCGGTGTTCGGGAGTTGCGCAGTATGTCGCACAGATCCTATTCTCTGATCTGAATTCTGGCCGTTCTCTGTGCAACGCTCACCCGTCTGGTTCACAGATTAGGTGAAGATTTGACATGAGTTTCGTTCATCGACCTCCCATGCATGCTCATCGTGTATCCTGTGCTGGGAACCTAGTTTCGACAAAACGTTCTTTTGTCTGCCATTTTCATCGGGTGAGCAACGTCGGCCTACGATATACTTCGACGACGTAAGATCACGCGTGATATACTGGCGGTGAGGGTTACGACTTATCCGTTAAGTTATTGCGCGTACAGATGGTTATGTATCTCGTGCCTCGTCACATCCCTGTTGAACTACACCGAGCTTCAGAATACGGTCAGGGCTTCAAATGAAATCAGTCACCTGCATGCCTGCGTGGTCAATATCCGACTCAGCTCACATGGCAGCGGGTTCATGGTCGCGTTCGCCCCAGTAATTCTTCAGAACGTGCGATCTCTTACACATTAGATGCTACTTGCACACCGGCCGTTCACCCTATTCTGCATCCCCCAAGCACAACGCGGTTTAGTGAATTGAACCAAAGCTTCCTGTAATACTGGCGACACAATACATTGTCCGAGAACTCCCGCTCAGGTCCACCTCACTACGGAGACGACCTCCTCGCACCCAGTACCTAGGTCAGCGGCCCTCTGTGAGTCCGCAAACCACATCATACCTTTGCCATGAGAACGGGGGATTCCTGCCGTTCTCCCATTGGCCTTCGATCTGACATGTGAGGGCAGCTCGTGGCTGCGGTATGTCTCCTTCACAGCTTTGATTGTCCAGGAGAGCCAGTTTAAGAGATAACATTACGCACAAGTTAGACGAATGCGTACGAGAGGAGCATCGCCGCCACTAGCAGGGCGAGTGCGAGAAATGCCAGGCTGAGACGAGTGATGCCACGGGGACGAGGCACGACAATTGGGGCAGAGCGCGTGGTGAATATAGAACGCGCAGACGAAGAGCGCCAGCGCGTGGAGGAGGCTCGATGGCGCGCTGAGAAGCAGAAGACGAGAGAAACGTGCGGCGAGGCATCACGGGGCGCAAAAGCAGAGCGCCACCGTATTGAGGAAGAGACGCGTCACTCGGATGAGGAGAAATAGAAGGCGGACGAGGAGTAGCGTTTTGTGAACGAAGCGAAAAGGAAGACCCAAAGGCAGCAGACCACGCGAAAACCGAGATGCACAGAGTGACAAAAAATGAAAAAAGGAGCACACAAACGAGGAAAAGCAGTGGGTAGAAGGACAGCAGGACAGCCGAGAAAGCAAGAAGCAGTGGGGGCTATGGAAGAGGAGGCTGAGAGAACTTTGGCCGCGGAAGGCGCCGAATCACACAAGAGAAGATGGGACGGACGCTGAAGGCAGAGATACGCCCGGCAATGGATGATACTACTGGTACTCAGTAGGGGAGCCGTCACCTGTCAAGTTCTGGCAGAGAAATCGTAACGGCACCTTCGGGTCGAACAGCTTGACTCGAATTGAGTGGACTTCAGATACGGACGGATCCCAAGTGTCCGAACGGTGAAACGCTTGGCCGGTATTGGTACTATATAACAGCTCGCGCGGAGTATGCGCTAGAGCACCGTGATGTGGAGCGTGACCTTGGAAACCATGAGCGTCGAATTATCGTACAGAGCACACGAAGATCTCACGTTGTTTGTCGTGCCACCTATCGCTTTCATCCGTCTTGCCACAGTTTGTATCGGCGCGACCCCTGACTGTTCGCGGACCTTCCTCCAGCTCGATCGCAGGGATGTCAATGCGTACTAGCTCGGGATGGGACGTGTACGTCGAGATGCATGCCATCGCCAGAAGGCGACAAAACCAAACACTATACCATGCACCTATATCAGTACCGATATCAACGTACAGCCAAAGAAAGTAGGGATGACGTACAAATACCGAGGTTTCTTGAACATGTGGTAGTCACATTTTTGTCATGCCCTATAGTACTCCCAGACCTTCTCTCCCGTCTCCGTGTCGGCGATACCAGAGTTGACACAGCCAGGCTTTACAGTTCGGATTTCCTACTCATCGAAGGCTCAGCATTCATTATGCGGGCAAGGTAAGGTACGCACCAGCGGGAGGAGGGAGACGAAACGATGCCCGACGTTAGTGGGCTGTGAGCGTCCGAAGTTGGCGTAGAAACTACAAGGAGGTACAGCGACGACGTACAAAGATCAAAGTATCCTCAGCGAACGAGAGATAGCACGGAAGATCTCTTCGCGCATCATCGCAACGCTGCTCTTGGAAAGCCTTCAAATACCTACGCTTTATGAGGGACAACTTTACAATGAGGTACGAGGCACCGATATCAAAGACGCAGGGAGACGGGGCGTTTGGGCTCGCGCTTGGGCGCAAGCTCGCAGAGCGAGATGGCGGCGGCGGCGAGTATGTAGCTGCAGAAGTGGGAAGTCGAGGTCATCGCTGTCGTCGCTGTCGCCGCAAATGGATTCGCTGAGGGGGGATATCTGGGATGTGTCGTCATAGCCATAGTCAGCGTCGGGGCTCTGGCCAGAGGTCGATTCGCAGTGAGACGCGAGCGGAAAATTGGAGAATCTACGCCTCCTCCAGCGGATGATCCGGCTAACACCTTGAGTGGGTAGGGGTGATGTCGCACGAGGCGCCGCGAGGTGCTGTGTTAGAGCAATATAGCCTGAGTAGGAGCATTATCGTGCATACCTTTTGGCCTCGGAGTTGACCCAGGGACATCTGACCATCGGTAGTTATTTGCGGACTTCAGGGTGATTTGATAGAGAGGACGTTGGACACTGTAACTTGAAATCTCTGCAGGGTCGTTGCACGCGGATGGCGAGTGCAGCACGTTGGCGACTCGGAGTAGCCGTGGCGTCTCGCGTCTCGCGTCTGTCACGATCACGCGCCGACGTGACGTGCCACCTCCGAGACTCATCCGCCTCATGTCCACGGCAGGGCCGTTGTATGTGCCCAGGGTGGTCCCAGGTGAGTACTAGCCTGGGGGAAGGTGCGTAGTTCAATTTTCTCGTTTATGGCTGACTAGGGGCCTCCTGCTCGCCAACGCCGCTGACGGAGGAATCGCTAATACGCAACGCAGCGCCTTGGCGGGAGTATCTTGCAACATTATTATTCTTGTTTCGGGTGTGTCGCAGAGGGTGGGTATCTGCTGTTGGGACACGGAAGAAAAATGTGCGTGTCCTGTTTTATGATCACCCGTCTTCGACTCTAACTTTGCAAGGACTCACAGCAATTTCGTGGTCATTGATGTGATTCTGCGGGAGATTGTGCATGTATCACCTACACTTGCGAATATATCCCTTCTCCCTCGTTGTGATATTCTTATTCTATCTTTAATGAATACGGTCTAGCTACACTCTTGACCCAATGCTGACTAACGTCAAACAGACTGGAGAAAACAACCCGAGGTGAGTCATGTAAATATATTTTGCGACTCTTCTTATGATAATTGTGACTTAAAGTGAATACGCTGCCAGCAAGGATTTTTCTTCAATTCCTTGTCCGTTCACTGGCGCTACTGATGACACTTCGCAACACTGCGGCTTCCCTTTCGTCTGCGCTCTCAGCACAACCGCTCCTGGCTGCCATCGCGACGATTGCGACGATTGTCGACGCTTTGGCTAGGCGTACGGGCTAACCTTCGGACCACGACCGCTCTTTCACGTTCTCTTGCCCTGGTCATGTGGCAATTATCGAACAGGGTGCATGGTACATGTGAGTAATCTAACTATTGTAGTCCCCCCTTAACATCTCACGGCTCTCCCTATTTCCCAGAAAATCGAACTACTCGACACGAAGAATTTCATACTTCTTCACTTCGAGAATGCCCTGTAGAATTCTCGTTCTTTCGGCACTCAACACGGGGACGCCGGACCGGCGTCTCAAAGCGCACCTCCCTCGACTTCGTCTTCTAAGGGATTGCCGCTCGTCGAGGACGAGTAGTAGTGGCATGCACACCCCTTGTACGTTCTCGTGCAAAGCGTCTCAGCTGCACGAGGAAGTCTTTTCCGCTCACTTCTCGTGTGGAGACCTCTCTTAAAGTCCCGGAGCATCGACAGAGGTCTGTCGCGAAACATGACGAGGGGCGACAGTGCGCCCTAGACTTTCACTACATGTTTCCCAGTTCATGATCCCCTCGCTGACGCCATATCCGCGACGAACATTGCCTGTAGGGTTTCGTTGTTCGGACCACTCGCGCACGATCGCACCTAGTATTAGTTACAACGTTGAACTCCACTCAGTTAATTCTGGAGTATCGGTTCTCACCTAGACGCCCTCGCAGGTGCGTAATCGATCCAGTCCCAGTCGCGGTAATAGCCGATGTCTCATAGGTTCTTCCCCAAGTAGGTGTGTTGTGGTATTCATTGGTGTTTGCTCCCGCGGACAGCTTTGTGGTGTAGGTGTCGGCTGGTAAGGAGCTCGAGGAAGTTCGCGACAGAATGTCCTGTGCTCCGGCTCTGCAGCGGTCCTCGTCCTCATGATAGGTCGACAGAGCGCGCGCACGGCCTCTTTCAAATCTATGCAGATATGCGTGCGTCTATCTGCTATTTGCCGTGATGGACCACTCATTTGTTCAGATTTGCTAAACATGATAACCCACGTGCCTGTTTTAATGAACGCATCAAGTTCTTATGCATGTTCGGGGTGTGAGAGTTAGTGTCCTATCTTTTCGTGAGCTCGTCGTTGTCCAAAGGTCCAATCCCCCGTCCTCCACTCCTTGAATTCTTCCTTGTCCAACCCCTCTTGCTCAACACAATGAACTCCTCGTTGTCTAAACTTACCTTGCCCGAAGTCACTTCGCCCGAAGTCGCCTGGTCTGAGCTCCCCTTTCCCGAACTTCCCGCGTATGAATTTGGATATCCCGAATTCAACCCAATGAGTTCCTCCCTGCCCGAAACTGCCTTGCCCGAATTCGCCTCGCCCAGTAAGTTCCTACTCTTTAACTCTCGAAGTGCATGACCAACACTACCGGTTGTCTTGCATCCTCTAGTTTCACATTGGCGCTACAACCAACGGGACCGATTCACATGGTGGAAGGCTGCAATCTGGGAATGCAGACCGGTACGTCCCCTAGATCCTATTCCCCCCGATCTGAATATTGACCATTGCCTGTGCAACGATCAACATTCTCGTCCATAGTACACGAATATACCAAGGCTTCCTCCCGAGCTGACAGACCGTATAATCAGCTTTGCGGGTGACAACCCAAATTTCAGCATCACCAAGCAGAGGATGCTGTACAACTGTGCTCTTGTTTGTCACGCGTGGCTCCCAGCCAGCCTCTATCAACTTTTCAGCCAGGATCTGCTGGGTATCAACACCAACTCCTTCGAAGCTCTTGTACGAGCATCACGAACACCAAGTTACCACTCTGCAGCTGCCTTGCGTGTAGTGCGGGCAATAACCCTAATTGATGCACAGCCTACATGGGTGTATCGATTTCCCCTCGTTCTTGGACAAATGTTCTCAGCTGTCCAGGAATTGTGCATCCAGTACCTCAAATGGGGTAAAGTTGTTATACATCCATACACACTGCTCATTGGCTTTGGCCAGTTTGGATGTGTTACTAAGGTGGAATTACGCAACTGCACATTCCGCAATTTCTGCCAATTTCGGCACCTCATCTGTGCACTACCTCGGCTGCAAATCCTAAGGGTGGTAGACTCAGCATTAAAGAGATGCGAGACATTACCAACCGCTCATGCAGCATCACCATTTCCTGCATTCACCCGTCTTGTGGTGAAAACTGGAGATGACGAAACACAACTAGCCCTATCTTCAGCACTTTTTGGGTGGCTGACCTTGATGCCGGCATCCATCCATTGTCTGCAGAAGCTGGAGACATTTCTAAAGCGCCACATTCTATCTTCTCTGAGAAACTTTCTCATGCATGCTGGAACTAGTCTGGAGGATTTAAACTCAGACTTTTATTATGCTACCGAATCTGATGGTAAGTATTACACCCTACATCACAGTAGTATCAATCTAATGCCACCCACAGTGCAGGACTTGAATATAGGTCAATGCACTGCACTTCACAAGCTCACTTTGCGGCGGGTGAAAAGCATGTCTTTGGCAGAGATCCTGCGCATAATTTCACCTAATTGCCACCTCCAGAAACTTGACATATTGATGATGCCAAGAGAAGTGGATTGCGAGTGGGAGAGCGCGGCCCGTATCATGGATGAGCAGCAATTTCTCACACTGCGGGAGTTCAGGCTGGACGTTCGAGGCAAAGACCTTGCCGAGGAAGAGAAGCGGCGCATTTCGGACTGCTTCGATGCCTTGCGTCGGCGAGGTGTCAAAGTTATGCTGTCCTTCGGCTACCCGTGGTTCAACTTCGTGCCACTGGAGCCTTATCACAGTGATTCACTCACTGTATCAGCACGTCAATCGAAGACTCCCGAGCTGCAGGTTGAAGATGTACAGTTGTCTGGAGTGCCTCTTACATCTAACGACGACGAGCACCAATCGAGCATCTGAGTGCACGAGGTCAGGAGAAACAGGATGGCAGAGGCACTCTGATTTGGCGAGCGCAGCTGGCAGGCTGCAATGTTGCGGGGAGGACATGTGGATAACTCGGGACTTGGAATGTCCAGACGGTGCGAGTTCCGAGTCTTCTATGCAGGACATCATTCTTTGTTGGACTGTATGTACTCACGTTTCGGAAATAGGTTGAGGTACCGTAGATATGTATGATTTTTACCCTTCTACTCTCGACATTGTTTTCTTCCTTTGTAACTTTACAAGCTTATAAATGTCTCACGAAAGACGCGGGCTGCGCGTACCGGATTGCAAACAGTATGTACTTAGATAGTGGCCGAGTGCGCGGTTTGTAGATCTAAAATTCTGATTTCATTGAATGTACACATATAGAGATACATATGCACGAAGTCGGTCGCGCGATATAATCTGGCATACCGATGGTATCATATAACTGCCGACAGCACGCACCGGTAGACCATGCCTTGGTGAACAATGCGGTCAGGCTGAACTTCGACAGACCAAAAGTGTGCAGAATATAAATGGCGATATGCCTGCTCAGGAGCACTAATGACCGTTCAGCTCAGTACACGCGGCATACCACAGTATTTTTTTCGAAGGTCACAATGAAGCCATATCTTCAGGAAGTAATTGGACGATGTGTAGATATTTGTGCGACGTTTCCACACTTGAAGTCCCGAGAAATTGTACCAATATCAGCACGGCGGAACTTGAGCAGGGGCGCAGTCGTATTCGTGCGCACTGACAGAAAATGGATGGGAAGAGAAGACGCCGAGCACGAGAACACGAGCGACGCCGATATTCATGCAATACTTCGTCGTTACATCGTTACTGCAAACGAAGCAGTCAAACATTGAGCCTGTGATAGGAGAAAAATACGGACACGCGATGGGTCCACTTGACCGGGGAAGCGGCGAAACATCACAATGTGCCTATCCTTCAGAAGATACATCTTGTGCAGCCTCGAAACGTGTAGGAGTGTTGTTGGGAGGAGCGCCGAGGTGCGATATGTTGGTAGAACCACGGACGGGTGCTGGACAGGTCGGAGATCTGATAACCTGCGAACATGAGCATGCTTCGAGATCAGGAGGACTCGGAGTACTCGAGGGTTGACTTTCTCGAATGCGATCGCCAGGCAGGCTTCACATGGGAAGCGCACCGTTGAAGAGATAGGCGATCGACAGTGCTTCTTCAACGTTGAATCACCATCCAGCACACCCTAAAGGGAGCGTCCGATCAGCGAGGCGCACGACGAGATTGAGAGGAGCCAGGGCACGTCATTTAGCGCATCTGGGCCGAAAAATGAAAAGGACATTAAAAACGCACAAATGCTAGTTGCCAATATTTAAGTACCTCGGGAGAAGTGGTGGGATACAATGACGTTTTGACTCGTCACGCTACCAGATATTCTCTTCTGTCTGCATCGGCGGCGATACCAGTGTTAACATGACCAGTGTTGACAGCCCACATGGTTTTTCTACTTTATCGGAGGATCAGTGTTCATTATGCGGACAAGGACAAGGTACGTACAGGCGAGAGACAGATAAACAACACCGGACTTCAGCGAGCTGTGAGCGTCTGAATCGGCGTAGAAACTAGAAGGAATTAGCGACGACGTACAAAAATTGAGGATCCTCAGCAAATAAAACCATAGCACTAAAAATCTCTGCACATTATCGCAAGGCAGGCTGCCCTGAGAGACCCTTCGAATGCCTGCGCTTTGTGGAGGGCACCCGTTCAATGAGGTACAAGGCATCGACGTCACCGCTGTATACAGGTCAAAGACCCGCACCGGTTGAGCTCACCACTCACTCGTCTATTTACATTTAAAGACACTTCCCGCACCCTTATCCCACACCAGACCCTATACAGCACACCAACGAAAGTGCACCATAATGCGACACGGTGACAGAACCACTAGTGCGTCGACTGCAGTAGCGCGTCGCAGGGGCGGAGAATATTTGGCATGAGGGAGTACGGTCACCTCGGTCGGTGTGAGGACTGCCAGGTCACACCAGTACTATGCAAGTACTGCCTAGGTTCTTTCTCTACGAGTATATATATGACCGCCTTCAGAACGTTAACTGGCTTCCTAGCTTCAACTGCATGGTCGGGAATCCGAGGCCTATACGAAGATTCACCGCCGCGCTCGGACAAGATTCTGCAAATCCGCCGCCTATGCAAGTCTTTCCACCCAACTGGTGTGTATGTTTTCTGTTTTCTTTACTCCTCCAATCGCCGTCCCACCGTGTTCTTACTGCTGCAATGGTGTGTCTCAGGGACTCCCTCAAGCTGCATCCTCGTGGACTTTGTCTCATCTGCTGGATGCAATGCCGCCGATCCCTCCTGTGCGCCACAAAAGCCTTACACGCAGCCGCTGCTCTCGCGTACTTGCTTCACCTGTACAGTAAGATAACTTCGAGTCCCACGAAATTTCGAAACTTTTATGTGAAGATACGATGTCACTCGATATGCTTTGGTTCTGAACATAGCACGCTCTTTCGCGGTAAGACTTCAATTCATAATTCTGCTCTCCACATATATGCATTAAGGCGCCTGACCTGAAACAACATTGGCTACGTTATGTACGTACGTGCGACATCTCCCACTCATTTCGATGGCTGATACAACAATCTGCGTCCGATTTACTGTCAACGCGCGGCTATCCCTGCTATGTGTGAGACATGAGGGGCTGCGGTCGAGTGGCAGAGCAGACTTTGTATTTCCACATCTTCGCAACATCTTGGCCCAGCGACGCGAGGACGTCGATCAGTTTTATTTGACTAACTTCCATCTAGTGTGGGCATCGCGTTTCTACTCCCGAACCTAGGTGGCCTGCTAGCTGATCAGACGCCCCGCCTGAATCACAGCGGCGAGACACGCATTATACTGCACGCATGGCGATCAATTCAGCGCATAACATCTTCAAAACCAGGAGAATAGCATCAAAGATAGTTACAGATATCGAATACGCGTCGCATATGACTGCTCTCACTCTTAGAGGTAGCAATTTGTCCTTTCTTACGCAGAGTAAAGAATTTAGCAATCCATTGTGTCGCCCATTCGCAGCGAGAAATAAAACATTTGCACCAAGAGAACCAATGATGGCACACGATCGAGAAGAGTACGGTATGTAGGACCGAGCGATTCAGAGCGTACCAAGGAGGCGCTGCATGCGTGCGGCCTGCATTGCCGTGCAACAGTTCCAACGCGTTCGTTTGGTGAATGATAACGTATCGAGATGTCCACCGTTGCACGGACTTCACAGAGCATTGAGGATAATGGATATCACTATCACACTGGTAGTAGACACGCACGAATGAGCCGGCAAGACAAGGTGACAAAGACGCACCATAACGATCAAATTGATTCCAGGTGGACCTTAGCATGCAACATGCACGCTTTTCAATGCGTACGTCTCACTCGCCTAGACCGGACTTGTTCTACTCAATACGACTCTCAGTGGACCAGTGAGATGAGATGGTGATCGATCTACCTAAACGGCGCAACGATCGTATTCAGATCCTCCGACAGCCAACAGCGAGACAAAATCGAAGCTCGGTGCGGCGTGCTGACCCCTGCGAGCAACAAAATGGGTTTGGGTTTCCGAGGTTCAGCATGTTCAGTGAATTTGCGGAAATCGAAGATCAGAATAAACATACTACATGCCCTCAGATGGGGGCTCCGTTAGTTCGGACAACGTCGAAAACTTTCGTGCGTTGCACTAGGCATCTAACGCAGAAAAATTATGAATCGGAGAGCTGAACGAGATCGACTACGTACAATGAGGTCTGGCTGCGTAGTTTCAGTGCTACAGCTGGAGGAGGGGGACTCGAGAGTTGCTGTAGGTTGTTGTCCGATCGAAGTTGATACGGCGATAGAAGGCGGAAAATGAGGGACGAGCGGACGGAAGCCTTGTGTAGGTAAGGATCACTGAGCATAATGCATAGAAGTCACTTGTTAGTGTAATAGTGAAAGGACTGGAACACTTACATCTTTTGATCGATTCATCTGCATTTATTCGCAAATTTCAGTATTTGATAGATCTGTTGACTGATTTATGCTGCGATTGCTACGAGGAGTCTCCGCGGGAAGTGCGGAGAGCCTGAGAGATTCATATTCAGTTTCCTCCCCACAAAAGCATCTTGCAGGAGAGGTAAACGACGAGATGGAAGTGAGAATGTCACTGCGTGAGGGTCATGCATCTGGATTTAAAAGAAGACTCACGGAACTAACGCCAAGGCCGATGACTGAGAATCGAGCATCTCGAGTCAAACACAGACAATGAAGAGGCACCGCGCACCTTTGCAGAAATTGGCGTCAGCTACAGTGTCCTTCTCAGCTAAATTATCCGCACATCCCAGTACAGGTCGCTGCCCTGCGACTCTACGTTGCATGCGTCGGCTTTAGCAAATACAGGCTGGGAGATTTCTGTTTTCGCCTTGCGTTATTGAAGCGCCGAAGTGCATTCTACTCCGGACAGGCCATATGACAGACTCGCACTGCTGGAAATCCACTACGGCCCAGCACGTCATCAGCTCCCGACGTTCTCATATGGACCAACACAAAATGCAGGCACTACTTACCATGGATACCTCTCCAGGATTCAATATTCAGTACTGCTGTAGCGCACAAGTACTGTGGCATGCGTCCATGCAGGGTATGGTCTCACAGGCGGGTCCTTGGCAGACATGCGTCGAAAAGAGGGCATCCAAGACGATCGGACCCCAGACGTCGTTGGGCAGGTGATGGCGGCGAGGGAATAGCTGCCGGCTAACCCCTGGAGTGGGTAAGGGTGACGTCGCAAGGAGCGTGGCGAGGTACCTACTGTGTTAGTGCAATAGTAGAAGCATTATCATACCTTTCGGCCTCGGTTGGCCCAGAGACGTCTGACCATCCGTAGTCATTTAATATCGAGGACATTGGAGGCTGTAACTTGAAATCTCTGAAAGGTTGTTGTGCGCGGATGGCGAGTGCTGCAGGGGAGATGTTGGGAGGTGAACACGTTGAGTTGGTGACTCGGAGTAGCCGGACCGTGGCGTCTCGCGTCTGTCACGATCACGCGCCTATGTGACGTGCCTATTCCCCCGCCCCAGCCGCCTCACGTCCACGATACGTCGCACGTGCCCAGCGTTGGGAGTCCCAGGTAGGTACTCCTGGGGAAAGGTGCGTGGTTCGGTTATCCTGTTTGTGGCTGATTAAGATGCCTACAGCCCGCCAACGTCGCTGACGGAAGGATCTCCAATACGCAATGACTCAGGTGTTTTTTGGACTACAATTGTAGTTTGGGGTGCGACGCAGGGGGAAGGTATTGGCCGTTGGCACTTATGGTAAAGACGTACGTGTCCTAACCTATGACCACTTACCTTGGAACTTGGAATCTTACTTTGCAAAGACTCACAGCCATTTACTTGTCGTCAATGTAATCCCTCGGAGAGATCCATGTTTGTGTGTATTACCTCCACTTGCCTATATATCCATTCTTCCTTGCCGCAACATTTCTGTTTTATCTTTTGCACGTGCAATCTATGCGATCGACGAAAAGCTAACCGACATTAAATGGAACGGAGAAAGCGACTTAACGTGCGTCACGGATAGACTCTTGCGATGATAATTGTGGCTCAAGGCTAATAATCTGTAAGTTTTTCTTCAATTCGTTGTCCGTTAACTGACGCTACTGGAGACACTTGGCCGACACGGCGAGTTCGCTTTCGTCCGCACTCTCTGCGCCACCGATCCCAGCTACGATCGCGACGATTGTCGATGCTATGTGTGCGGGCTAATTTTTGGCCACTAGCCCTCTTTCACGTTCTCTGGTCCCGGTCATCCGGATATTGCCGAGCAGGATACTTGTAAGTCATCAAACGATTCTAGTCCCTCCCCGTTAACATCTCACGGCTCGCTGATTTTCCAGAAAATCTAATTGCTCGACATCAAGTATTCCAACCTCTTCACATAAACGATGGCAGCACGTAGCTTCTCTTCACCTCATCACGCAACGCGAGGACACCGGATCGGTGTTTGAAAGTGCACCTCCCTCGACTTCGTCTTTGAAGGGTTTACCGCTCGTCGAGCGCGAATACGCACATTCCCTGTACTTTTTCGTGCAAAGCGTTTCAGCTGCACCAGGACATCTTCTCCGCTCAGTCGCCTGCAGTAGAGATCACCTTGCAGGTCCCGGAGTATCGACGGAGGTTTGTCGCAAAGTGAAGATGTGGGTGACTGTGCGCACTAGCTTTTCTTTGCATTCCCTCAGTTCAGATTCCCCTCGCTGATGCCATGCTCATCTGCGACGAACTCTCATTGGCAGCGCTTGGCTCTTTGGAGCACTCACGCACGGTCGCGCACGATAAGATCGCTTCCCTGGGAATACTGAATTAATTTTCTGAGTGCCAAGTATGTCCACGCCTGTGCGAAATCGATACAGGCAGTGGAAACGCGGCCAATGTTCCACAGGTTCTGTCCCGAGCAAGTGTACTGTGATATTCGTTGGCGTTCGTTCCGCAATCGCGGACAGCCTTGCGGTGTAGGGCAGGCTGATAAGGAGCTCGACTCGGGAACCGTTCGTGATAGCGTATCCTGTGCATGGGCTCTGCAGTGATCCGCGTTCTCATGACAGGTCGACAGAGCGTGCGCACGGCCTCTTTCAAATCCATACCGATATGCATGCGTCTATCTGCTGTTCGCCGTTATGGACCACCCAAATTTGCCAAACGTGATAATCCACGTGCCTGTTTTAGGCGCGTGGCTATGAACGCATCAAATTCTTATGCGTGTTCGGGGTGTGAGAGTTAGTGCCGTATCTTTTCTTGAGTCCCTCGTCGTCCAACGGTCCAATCCCCCGTCCTCCACTCCTTGAATTCTTCCTTGTCCAACCCCGCTTGCTCAACACAATGAACTCCTCCTTGTCTGAACTTACCTTGCCCGAACTCACCTCATCCGAGCCCGCCTCTCCTGAACTCGCCTGGTCCGAGCTCCCCTTTCCCGAACTTCCCGCGTATGAATTTGGCTATCCTGAATTCAACCCGATGAGTTCCTCCCTGTCCAAACCCCGCTTGCCCAAATTTGCCTCTCCCAGTAAGTCCCTACTCCTGAACTCTCGAAGCGCATGACCAACATGAGTGGTTGTCTTGTATCCTCCGGTTTCAACACAGGATGCTGACGAATGGATATATTTGGCGCGGTGGGAGGCTGCAATCTGGGAATGCATACCGGTACGTCGCCCAGATCCTACTCCCCGATCTGAATATTGACCACTGTCTGTGCAATGATCAACATTCTCGTCCATAGTACACGAATATACCAAGGCTTCACCCTGAGCTGACGGACCGCATAATCAGCTTTGTGGGTGACAACCCAAATTTCCGCATCAAGCAGGGGATGCTGTGCAGCTGTGCTCTCGTTTGTCGCACGTGGCTCCCAGCCAGCCTCTATCAACTTTCCAACCAGGACCTGCTGAATATCGACACCCACTTCTTCAAAGCTCTTGTACGAGCATCGCGAACACCAAGCTACTCCTATGCAGCCACTTTGCGTGTAGTGCGGGCAATAATCCTATCTGATGCAGAGCCTTCATGGGTGTATCAATTTCCCCTTACCCTTGGACGAATGTTCTCAGCTGTCCAGGAATTGTCTATCGAGTTCCTTAGGTGGGGCAAAGTTGTTATGCATCCACGCACACTGCTAGTCAGCTTTGGGCAGTTTGGATGTGTTACCAACGTGGAATTAATTGGCTGCAGATTCCGCAATTTCTGCCAATTTTGGCGTCTCATCTGTGCACTACCTCGGCTGCAAACTCTAAGGGTGGTAGACTCAGCATTAGAGAGATGCAAGCCATTCCCAATTGCTCATCTGGCATCACGATTTCCCACATTCACCTGTCTTGTGGTGCAACGTGGACGTAACTTGAATAAAGCACCAGAACCCCTATGTTTAGCACTTCTTGAGTGGCTGACATTGATCCCGGCATCCATCCATTGTCTGCAGAGGCTGTACATATTTGTTGACACAATTCTATCTCCTCTGAGAAACTTTCTTGTGCATGCCGGAACTAGTCTGGAGGATTTAGAGTTAGAATTCGTGTATGATACTAGTACCCCATCCAATGGTAAGTATTACACTGTACATCACAGTAGTATCAACCTAATGCCACCCACAGTGCAGGACTTGAATATAGGTCATTGCACTGCACTTCGCAACCTCGATTTGCTGCAGGTGCATGGAATATCTTTGGCAGAGATCCTGCGCATCATTTCCCCCAATTGCCACCTCCACAAACTTGACATATTCATGATTCCAGGAGAAGTGGATTGCGAGTGGGAGAGCGCAGCCCGTATCCTGGACGAGCCGCAGTTTCTCACACTGCGGGAATTCAGGCTGGACGTTCGCGAAATTGTCGAGGAAGGGAAGCGGCGCATTTCGGACTGCTTCGATGCCTTGCGTCGGCGAGGTGTTGACTTTAGGCTGTTTTTCGACCAATACCCTTATCATGGTGATTCACCCACTATATCAGCAGGCCAATCGAAAACTCCGGAGCTGCAAGTTGAAGACGAACAGTCGTCTGGAGTGCCTCTTACATCTAGCGATGACGTGCATCAATCGAGCGTCTGAGCAGACGAGGTCAGGAGAAATAGGACGGCGGATGCATTCTGATTCGGCGAGCGCAGTTGGCAGGCTGCAACGTTGCGGGGAGGACAGGTGGGTAACTCGAAACTTGGAATGTACAGACGGTGCGAGTTCTTCTATGCAGGACATCATTCTTTGTCAAGCTATATGTACTCAAGTTTCCGAGTCGGAAATAGGTCGATGTACCGGAGATACGTACAATTTTCTCTCATTCTATTCTCGAGATTATTTTTCTTCCGTTGTAATCTTACAGACTTACAAGTGTCTCGCGAAAGACGTGGGCTGCGCGTACTGGATTGTGTACAGTTCATACTTAGATAGCGACCGGGCATGTAGTTCACAGATCTGAAGTTCTCATTGCATTGAATGTACACATACAGAGATACATATACACGAAGTCGGTCGCGCGATAAAATCAGGCATATGACGGTATCGCATACCTACGACGGCACGCACCGGTAGACCATGCCTTGGTGAACAATATGGTCAGGCAGAACGTCCACGGGTGAAAAATATGCAGAATATAGATGACGACATTCCTGATCACAAGTACTAGACTGTTTAGCTCGGTACATGTGGCGTACCACAGTGTTTTCCCGAGGGATACGGCAAGGCCACATCCTCAGAAGTATTGGGCTACATCTGAATATTCTTGTGCTACCGTCACTTCTGAGGCCCCGGAAGTTGCACCGATAACAGTAAGGCGGTGCTTGAGATGGGAGCACATTCATATTTGTATGCAGTGACAGGGAAGGGATGTGGAGAAAAGACGCCGAGCGCGAGGACACAAGTGACACCGACATTCGTGCAATATCGCTGTTACTGCGCAGAAATAAGAACGAGTAAGTCAAGCATCGAGCCCTTGATAGGAGAAAGATATGAACTCGTGACAATTCCCTTGACTGCGGAAATGCACGTAATGTGCCGATCTTGAGGCACGATACATCCTGTGCAGTCTCGAATGCGAGATCAAAAATCTTACAGGTCTTTATTACTGCGAATGACTCACCTCGCGAGCTCGAATGATCGTCCCTAAAGACAATACTAGATTATAGTACATATGCCATAGCACCTTGGCAGCGGGGAGCTCAGCGCGCGATGGTGGGCACCCGCGCCGACACGGGGAACGGCATTTTGTGCTACTTGGGCTGGGATATAGACATGCGGTCGAGTAACGAATATAAAGACACATGGAGACCCCGATCTGCTCAGATAGTCTTGGAAAGATGACTCGACTTTGAGATGACCGACGAGAACTTTCGGTGCGTAGGAGTGTTGTTGAGAGGAGCACCGAGGTGTTGTACGTTGGTACAGGTGCTGGACAGGTCGGAGATCTAATAACCTGCGAACATGAGTCGCGAACGTGAACCTGTTTCGAGATCTGGAGGACTCGGAGTACTCGAACGTTGAGTTTCTCGAATGTGATCGCCAGTCAGACTTCGCGCGGCGAGCATGCCATCGAAGAGATCGGCGATGAGATAGCGAGCATCTTCGATGTCGAATCGCTATCCAGTACACCCTAAAGGGAGCGTGTGATCAGCGAGGCGCACGACGAGATTCAGAGAGTAATCAGGGCACGTCAGCCAGCACACCTGGGCCGGAAAATGAAAGGATCATTGAAAACACACAAACGCTAGTCGTCAAAATTTGAGCACCTCGGGAGAAGCGGAAATTGAGACAAGGCGCGATGCATTATGCGGCCCGTCGCAATGAGTTTTGACTCGTCGCGCTACCAGAAATTCTCTTCTATGTCGGTGACGTTACTAGCATTAACACAACCAGTCTTGAAGCTCGGGTGGTTTGCTGCTTCATTGGGCACTCAGCAGTCATTGTGACGGGTAGGGTCAAGGTGCGTACCAGCGGGAGGAGACAGATAAAATGATGCCGGATTTCAGCGAGCTGTGAGCATCCGAAGTTGGCATAGAAACTAGAAGGAGGTATAGCGACAACGTACGAAGATCAAGGCATCCTCAGCAAATAAAATCATAGCACGGAAAATCTCTCGGGTCATCGCAGGGCACACTGCCCTGAGAGAGCCTTCAAATACCTGCGCCTTATGGAGGGTACCCATTCAACGAGGTACGAGGGATTGATATCACTGCTGTAGATCAAAGACCTGCACCGGTTGAGCTCACCACTCACTCGTTTCTTTAGATGTACAAAGACACCTCCCGCGCCCTTCTCCCAGACGAGACCCTTACAGCACACCAATGAAAGTACGCCATAATGCCCCGCACGGTATCCTCGATCCAGACGTATCGACTACAGCAGCGCGTCGCAGGGACGGAGAATGGCGTCGGGGTCCTGCTCGGAGTAGGGTCACTCCCGTCGGTGTGAGGACTGCCAGGATAGTACAGACAGTACTGGAAAGATCTCAGAGTCGTGCAAGCCCAAATAAGCGCTCGTAGCGCGTTCACCTGTGACGTCACGCGTCTCTGCCACGGTCACCTCCTATGTCTAGATCGTAGTATGCTGCTCATGCGGCACTCAACATGCTCGCCATCTTTAACCGGCGACCACTCAACGGAGAAGGCTTTCTTAAAAATTTTCTTCGACCGCGCCGGTCTCGGGAACAGCGTGCGTCTCAACGTGCCATCCGGCCCCTACGCGACGTGCGCGACAACCGTGACAATGGTGAGCGCGACCCTCCGGTGATCTGCAACGTAAATGTTTCCTGCACTGCGAGATATGCTGTGCGCAACCTCGTCGCTGCGAGGTTATCTACGGTAGAGAGGGTTGCACCTCTTCTGGACGTGCCATCAAAGAGAGCTGGAGTCGTGGTTGATTATTGGCCGTTTCGACTTCTCGTAGATATCTGAATACCTCTGCTTACCAGTCTGTCGCATTTGCTTCCAGAGATGATGCGTCGTCATTCTTGTTGTCTGAACAGCAGTAGAGGATGGCAGCAATCGCACGAACCATGCACGAGTACAGGGCTTCAGCATCCGTACGGCGGCCTTCTTCGGTTTTCGGGAAGCACCGTGTAATATACATTATTTCCTGCCATACATGCCGACTGTGCATCCCTTCACTATCGCCCAGGCGCGACGCGCGGAAGCAGGAGAGTAAGTTCCACAGCCAAAAAAAAATGCACCTTGTCGCTTAACGCTGGTGCACAGATTCGATCCGCGGCTAGTGCGCGGTCCTCTTGGATAATATTCGTCTGCCAGATTCTGTATGGGTTAGGTCATCCTTGCTTTAACCGGTGCAGTGTGTTTCACAATATGTCCATTCCCACTCATTCCGAGATGTTGAAGCAGTTTAATGCCATAGCCGGTCTCGTTCATGGTGTCGTGTCTCCGGGGGATCAGGTCAAGAGGTGGCGCCCCATCCTGTATTTCAGGAGCTAGATAAACATCCAAGAGAGGGGCCGCGCCGACCCGAACAAGCTGAGCGTGAGAGACGGCAGCCGACGACGCGAAGCGTGCGTGCGAGGCGCTCCAGTATGCAGACGGCGAGCAATGACCCGTCGAAGAGGGGGGAAAATATGCAAAGCATGAGTCCGCAGTGATCCGACGAGCTTTGGTCTGCAGCTCTTGCTAGCTGACGAAGGCACAGCCGTCCAAGGGAAATTGAGACATGGTCTTCTAGACTTCTGCTGCTCAGAACGACTCTGAGCGCCCCTAATGGCAATAAGCACTCAAGTGATTATGCAGCACTCCTGTCGTAAGATGCGCTGGGAGACGCTGCATCGGCGTTGTGTCTTGCGATCGACAGGTGCGAGAACGCCGAAATCCATTGCCGAGATTTTTACCTTGAGACGCACTGATCCATGCTCGCCGATTCTCTGACAGACCAGAAATCCATAAACGTTGAAAAGTGGGGCTGAAAGTATACAAGGATTCCGGGAGGCCTTACCTCTGAGTACCGAGCAGGGACAGACTATTTAGCTATGCACGCCGACTATCTCATCTGACATCCGTCACTGGCACCCTACAAGGCAGCTTAACTTTGGATCGTCAAAGCCACGGATTTGACGTTGAACCATTGTTCCCTTGAATTGGATCGCGCATTCTCCCGTGGTTTGAGGTCAGGGTGTACTTTCGCGTGGAGATATTGGGGATCGTATTATAAAAGTACGTGTTTGTTTTTATATCCACCTTCCTTGGGAAGACTGATTTTGCAAAGCATCACACCTATGAATACCCAGAACCCCGGAGTCCGTATATCGTGCACTTGTGCGAATTAGTCTCAATCCGAGTGATTATCAAAGTTTTCAGCATCGTAGCGCAGTTCGCGTCAGCCCTCCGGCATCAGGCTGTCCGGCATCAATTCCCCTATGCATTTCATCCCGCAGGGCTTCTGCCAACGTATGGAACAGGACTCGCGCGTCCGCGATAGTTGTCTTCCGAGTGTGCGCATGCCGCCCTCATGCACGCACGCCGCCCTCACGAGCACAGGCCGCCCTCGGCAGCCCTTCGCTGCAACATAACTTCGGCTTCGCTCTCTTGGGTTCCCGGGGCGTGGCCCTTCCGGGCATTCTCACATAGTTGTGTCCAGCCTTGATTACAATTTATACATCCTGTTTCTGGGACTTTCCGGGCACAAGATGTCGACTGGCCTGTCCACTCGTGGGTGTGACTGATCGAGCCGATCAGGTCCCGTTGGATGCCCGGTAGGTTTTACTCCGAGTATGAGCTAAGTATGAGCGCTGCGATACTTAACCCGTACTGCTTCCCGGGCGTATCATACCCGCACTGACGGGTTGCGACGGGTATCCACGGGTAGGCTCGAAGATGCTTTACAGATCTCAATGTTTTTTCTGGCATGATTAAATGCCTGGTGAACATTCTGTGACGCGCTGCGGATCCGCGTTCGGTGCGGAGAAGGCTTGGCTAGAAAAGGTTAGCGCGCTAGGAAGCGCTCTGCTGCGTAAACGTTCGCATCGTGCTTTTTGTTTTCGCAAAGTTCTAGTATGATATCTAGCATCTCAGTGTGCACGAGCGAACGATAGAGTTAGAAGTGGTTAACGGAAATGAGTGGATCCGGAACGGAATTCGGTAGATAGATGCCGAGAGATAATGTGCGAATCAAGCATCCGTGCGATTCAAGTTGTAGCAGCCTGTTGAGGCCGCGGTAAACGCCGTTCAACTGACTTGCTTCAAGTCGATGTAGCCTGGCACCATCAAATTCGGTGTACTATGCATGTTTTCACGTCGTTGAGCATCGTGCGCCTTCGAGTTCGATGGATCTGACGAACTGTCTGTGATTAGCAACTCCTGCCATGAGTTCATCTCCTTCGAAACAATAAGGCACGAGCCCAGACATGAGCGGGCATGCACCGAAGATTCGTCACCGGCATCACATTCGTGGCCTACCTCCAGGTCGAATGACAGTCCTATTGTTTGTGCGCGCGCCCAGCCTTCCTCCCGATGTCGCATAAAACCTGAAGGCCTGCTAGACCGGGTTGCAGTAACAAAGTCGATTCTGACCTTGTCGTGTACTCACCTCTCGGATACCCTCGTCTTGTACATCTACCATGGACGCGTTCTTCACCATTGCTGCACCCGTCCCCGACGAAGTCGAGGCCCCGATTGCCCTCCCTGCCGACTTCGACACCAGCGGATCCGGTAGTGGGGACGGTTCGGGAACCAGCTCCGGCTGCTCCATCGCATGAATGCGCCTGTGTTGGTGGTATGTTTGACAACAGTGATACTGTCCATGCTGACGGCCACTCCAGGATACAGTCGCTCCAGACCACATCGGTTGACTTGGACATGATCCGTGGCATTTCGCAGCTTTTCGTTCTTGCGCTTTGCCTTCGCCATTATTATCCGTATTTTTTCATAATTTATTCAATTCGTACGAATGAGCAGGGGGAAGGCGAGGGGAAGAGACAGAGACAACAATAGCGCGCTGTAGAGAGAGGGTGACTGTTTTGACGCTTTATCCTGAACGCCGTTCAGTGACACGAATAATGAATGTACAATATATGACGTATTTACTTCGCGGTGCATAACTCCACGTCCAACAGAATCCTGCTGTGGCCTTAAAAATGCAAGGCATGCACTGGGGATGCTTCTGGCTTCCGGCTGAAGGGATAATGACCTATACGTGACGCGAATCATAGGCCAGTGAGATCCGGGGCCCGCTGGCACTACCAGTACCGTAAACCATGCGCATGTGGGGCACCATAGTAAGGAAAGATCCTTGACCAACTTCAGCTTGAAGATTGCAACGAATCACAGCATGATAAAAGGCGATGACGGCTACATGAGCGATTCTTGCCACCGACTGATTTCTCGGTTCGTTTCGTCCAGCCTGCACGATACGTATGTATCACATTCTAAGAGATAACAAGTTGACCAAGTGCACCCGGCGTCGAGAGATAACGCAATCGGGTTTGCACAACCTTAATCAACTGTTTGAGCACCTGAGACATGCTGCGGAGGCTGTATCGGTGTACGTACCTATATCGAAGAATACCGGAAAGGTGTAGTCGACGGAGAAGAGTACTTGCCCGATCGTTCATGTCGACACCCCTGATCAGTCTTTTGTGTTGCTAGACTTTTGGTTGACGCAGGTGCTTACTTGATGTTAGAATTCTAGCTGCATGCAGTTCGGTTTAGATCCAATAAACGTTCCAAGCTACTTCCGCTCACCGTGACACTTTGAGGATCTCCAGAGTGGCGCTTGCCACAGTACCTTAGCAGTGGCGCACCAAGTTCATTCATCGGTATTACGAGCACCATCATGAAGCACGCCAGATATCAAAGAGTGCGGGCATTCATGAGACGCGGCCACAATCTCAGATAGAGATTCATGCGCCTGAACTCCAACGGTGGTCCCAATTCGTAGATTTTCATAGCCCGCATTCCTTGAGAAACCGACAAGGCCGATGAGGTCACCGACCTCTACACAATAAGACGTACCAAGTGAGCGAACCAAGAAAATCAGATTTCAGATATCGAGTCAAGACTAACCTCAAGATCTCATCGCATTCTTATTGTTTTGCAGCCTGCAGCTGTGCGCATAAATACGGGCTTGACATTCGTCTGCGACAGCAACGCAGTCGCATTCGCACTTCGTACGCACCTCGCACCCGTTCCCATAACTGCATCGTCATCCTCTACAATGGACGCCTTCTTCACCATTGCTGCTCCCATCCTCGAGGAGATCGAAACCCCAGTCGCCATCCCCGCCGACTTCGACACCTCTGGCGGCGGCGGCTCGAATGGCTCGGGCACCAGCTCTGGCTGCTCCATCGCGTGAGCGTGCCTTCGGTAGCGGTATGTTTGATCAAACGCTGTATCATCGCTGTCACTGATGACGCGCATTTTCAGCATGCATGCTTTCATCAACGAATGCATACTTTCTGGGCACATCCACAGCTTTCGATCGCACAAGTTGCCCGCGTCATTCACACTTTTCGTTCAAATTTTGTCATAACTTATCCGATTGGGAATAAGAGGGAGTAACTGGGAGTAATGGTGGAGTAAGGAGGAACTTGTTGATTTGTCCTGAAGAGAACTTGTGACGTGAAAACACATACTTTGGTTGTACGCCATGAATCACCTTATATGAATGGTTCAAGGCCACAGCACGGAAAGATACTGTTTGCCCATTAACAGCGAAAATGCTCCGTAAGTACTTGCACTACCAACGGTTCTGATGACTCACTTGACTGCCCTTGACCGCCGACCTACCACTATAAGTAGACTGCCCACTTGACGCGCTGCCGGAACATAACGTGGTTAAAATAGATCAATCGGGACGCAGATGGGCAGATCCCAAGGATCCGTATCTGGTGCCTGGCTCACGCCTGGGCCCGACTATAGGAGGGTCTTTCGAGATGATAGTTTGACCTTAGTATATGAAGCGACGAGTGAAAGCACTACGTAACTATACTATACAGATGCAGGTGCCACTGAGGAGGGTGACGCTGGAGGTGACTGGACTTGGATCACCATGTAAAGGCTGCATCAGGAGCAGGCGGTACATGCCCGGCTGAAGCTCTGCATAACCCAACGATTCTCTGTCGGTGAAAAGCCGAAACAGCAGACAGAAATCACAGGCGTGAGTCAGGCTATCATTCTACCACAAGTCGTGGCACTTTGTACTCACTCAGCGGCAAGACGATGACACCGTTGCTGAATGATAGGTCAATTGCGCTCGTCCTCGTCTAATCAGCAATTCAGCTGGGTGGATCAATCACGGAGACAGAGCATCGCCTGCAGCTCGAGGTGCACTGATACACTGCAACGTACGAATACGGGCGTCTGGTTTCGTTGAGTAAATAAGATGACCGCAAAAGGGAGAAGGAGACGCACCCAGCTACACTGCCAGAATATTATATGTGCTCGTGCGGTTGAAAACGATGCGTGACACATTCCTGAAGCTGCTTCTACTCCAGAAACCGTTGGTGCAGGAATATCATATTCCTCATTCTTCAGCGATCCCGTCCTTATGGAAGTTCCGCTCTTTTAGGAATATCCCTACATTGCTTCGCCTTCCCGATAAATTCGAGAAGACAACTTGACGGACACCTATGAAAAGAGACGGCAATGGTTATGACGACTTCGAGCTAGGGTGGTCGTAACTGATGTGATTTATGCGGCAGCTCGCACGAATTGTTCTCTCCTACAACAAGAATCGCGCATCGCAGTATGTGAAACTCGATTTGATGCAAAAAATGGCCCAAATAGTAAACCGCAAGCATGATCAACGTTCTCGACTGGACACTTAAGACACTTACCAACAAACCGCTGGTGAGATGACTGTGTTTAATGGCATGTAACGAGAACAAATAGTCATGAAGGCACTATCCTGCGCCTATAGTAGTGGTCCGTGCTTGTCAGGGTTCAGTGGCATGGGTCTGCCAGTGGAGGTTCGAACTAACTTACTAGCATTCCGTCAGCGTTGTGACGCTCACGACAACTTGTGCATCGAGCGTTATGTAATTCAACCGGGCCGCGGTGACGAATGGCCGCCCGTCGACTCGGATTCATCTCTGGAGGGCCATGAGTATCGCCGCTCAACAGACAATGGCTGCCGCAGGGGGCTACAAACCTCAGGCTAATCCTCTCCAGGAGCCCGAATACGTTGTCGTCTCATGCAGCTTTGTGCATGGGGGCCAGATGTGCGAATTTGAGATGATAGGGTGTGCTCCTCATCCCATGTTTTGCACCGTGATAGATCTCAGGATTATGCATAGGCAGATTGTAGTTGTTTGCACAGAGGGTAAAATGCTGATGAACACCTATATTCACCCAATGTCAGTTTCATTCAGATTATACTGAAATTGGTTCATATACTTATACGCCTGTATACGAAGTATAGTCCCCAACCCCTGCCAAGTATCTGAGACATATACCCATTCACTTGAGCAACTGAACGGGGGTGAGATCTGGGTCATTTAAGAGGTGTGGCAGAATCTAAATATGTGGCAGGAATGACTCTGGCAGAAGCACGCCACGAGCTGGGCTCCATACTAAGAGATAAGCTTGTGGTGGGCTTCGCTGTTCATCGCTTGTTTCTGGTAGGTCACATTTCTTGTCCATGTGTTCTGGCTATACTGATCATTGTCTATGGTTCTGGCAGTTGATTGTTTTACAGCACCCTCTACGACATATCAGATATCTTTCTCTCTATATTCCACTGCGCAGAATTCTCCGGTGCAAAGATGCAAATGAAGTTCCTCTGTCGGTGCTCGTGTACGCTGTTTTGCGTCTCGATATCTCATACGGACCATACGACTGTGTGAGTGCGGATATGTGTCCGTTCACAACTGACGTCGATAATCGCGCGCTCTCTAGGTTGAGAATGTCCATGCCTGTCACCAGCTTTATCTGCATTATCAGCGTCACTGGGAATATTCCGAGTCAGTTGGTGATTATCAAAGTCTTCCCCCACCTACCACGCTCTGTTTTACGTAGCCATCTGCATGAGTTTGACTAACGGACATTTCACGTGCTGGGAGAGCGAATTCATCGGACTTGGACCAATAGTGCGCATAGCAGTGACTCCGCAGGTGTCAACTTACGAAAGCTCAACAACAATTTCGACCGCTGGGAGGAAGGACAGATTTCGCAGTGTTCAAAAGGTCCGAACAGCAGTAAGGCTCCGTATCAGCCATGCCAGAACGACCTTGCGGGCCTGTTGGTGAATAAAACTTTTCTGGTACGTAGTAGCCATCTCCAAGTAATCACCAAGTTTCCCGGCAGCACTGGTATCAGCTTCTGTGCAACCCCACTGCATTCAAATCCAGGCTAGCCTATCGTTCTTCAAGTACGTCAATCATTTGTTTCAGCTATTTGCAGAATGATAGTCGCTTGCATATCTCAGTCGCCATCTCGAGTTTCAGGCATGAGCCTTTTGGAGATATTCTGCAACCTCGCTATACCCCGTCTTTTTGCAATAGCTGAGGCAAGTTTTTCAGATATAGAAACCAAACTAGTAGCCTCAACTCGAATGCGAGCCAAGGTGTTGCTGAGAGAAGAGACAGTATTGATACATGAAAATTCATCTCCGTCTGGGTCTAACCGTGAGATTCGCAGTGAGCGGGTCCAACCGAATTACGTTTACAGTAGGATTCATGGTACACGAAGCCGAATCCCCCTTTCTTGTCGCCTCATTGAGACACGCCTGCAGATTGTGATTGGTATAAAGGCACTCTTTTTGTACGTTCCAATGTCAACCCCATCTATCTCAAAATGTCCCCTCTCAACACTTTTCCTCGCGTTGTAGATGTATTGATCGTTGGAGGTGGACCCACCGGTCTTGTCACTGCTCACATTCTGGTCCAAGCTGGCTTGAAGGTACTCGTAGTTGGTAAGTGGTAGTTGAGACCGCAGCGTAATCATAGTGTGATCTTCCTGGCTTAGAACAATACAACGCCCCCGGTCAGGCATTGTATGGACGCGCTGCCATACTGTACGCGGGCTCTTTGGAGTTCCTCGACACGATTGGAATTTACAATCGTATTGCCAGTATCGGATACATCGTCACGTAAGCTAGCCTACTTATATCCGCCCGTTCTGTGTGTCTCATCTCTCTGCAGGGATTCTTTGACGTTCAAGGACGGCAAAGAGATCCATGGTAGAGGGTGGAAGCCGTTCGTCAAAGCAATGGCCGGAAATACCTATTTTGAACACTGGTTGGTGATAACTTTTGTCACGATTAGGCATGCTTGCTGAAGGCCAATATCAGTCTCAGTATTCGGCAGAAATACGTCGAAGAGGCCGTGCGTACTGCGATTTCTGCGGTAGACCCCACTGCGGTGCAAGCACCAGCAAAGCTAGTCGATTTCACCATTGACAACTCCTTTGATCATTCAGTAATAGCTACAGTAGAAGCTGGAGAGAACTGCATCGAAGTCCGTTCGTGAGTGTCCTTATCCATTGGGGGAGTACGTTCCGTCTCATTGTCTTGTAGCAAATACATATTAGGAGCAGATGGCGGACGTTCTACAGTACGCGAGTTGAGCAAAATCCAATTCCCCGGTACTCCCGGAAAGTTCAAGTGGGTCCGCTTGGATGCCATCGTCCAGTCAGACTTACCAAGGATGACTACTGCGATCGAGTCTACGAGCTACGGACATGTGCTGTGGATGCCCATCGACAACGGGGCCACGCGGATTGGGTTCGTGTGTTCGGACGCGCTCTACGGCGAGAAGGGAGAAAACATCACCGCCGAGCTTGTCATGGAAGAGGCGAAGAAGGCGGTGGCGCCGTTCAAACTCGAGTTTGTGACGCTTGCTTGGTGGACTGTCTTCCAGTTCGGGCAGCGTGTTGCAGAGAGATATCAGGATGGCCCCGTCATCTTGGCTGGCGATGCCGCGCATACCCACTCGTCCGGTGCAGCTCAGGTATGTTTACTCATTTTTTGCATTTCGAGTCGTGATCCGAAAGCTCTGTGGTAACAGGGGATGAACACGGGTTTATGTGATGCGGCAAACCTCGGGTGGAAGCTTGCAGGGGTGCTACGAGGATGGTTCAAGGATGAAATCCTCGACACCTACACATCGGAGCGCAAAGCATCTGCGGAGCACCTTATCCAGCTCGACCGCGACGTTTCTACTCTGATTTCTGGCACAATTCCAGACCACTTCTGCGCGCCTCCCGGCGCCGATCCGAACATATATCTGCAGCAAGTCTTCTCTGCGAGTGCGGACTTCACTGTTGGTCTTGGAGTGTCGTACTCGGAAAATCTGGTCAACGTTGCGAGAGAGACCGATGCGGTGCTTGCCGCGGGTTTACGCGTCGGTCATCGAGTACGCGACGTACCGCTCTTCAGACCTGGCGCGGCTTTCCCTACTCGGTTGCTCGAGCTGACGCCCTACATCGGGAAGCTCTGGGTCTTCATCCTCGCGGGTGAAGTGGAAAAGACCCCAGAGGGCGTGCGGTTGAATGAGAAGTGTGCGACGAAGTACCACGCTTTGAGACAATCTTTCGACTCTCCGGGTTCGTTCACCCGAACTCTCGCACCCGCGTTTGACTTTATCACCATTCTGCGCGGTACCGGGGTTCTGCAACCTGCGGAGACGCTCGGAACACAGCTCATCGGAACGGTCGCGTACGACCAGACTGGAGACGCGTACGACAAGTATGGCGTGAGCACGACTGAGGGTGCGCTTGTCGTACTCCGCCCCGATGCGATCATCGGCTTTATCGCGCCACTGAACGGTGCGCTGGAGCTTGGGCAGTACTTGAGCGAGCTTCTGCGGCCTGTCGAGGCGGGCGTCGCAATGGAGGAGCAGCTCGTCACGACACTGGGGGAAATCGCTCTGGACGATCGTAACGAAGGAGAGTTGATACGGATCCCGATGATGCGAGTCCAGTCTGTGGACAACTCTTCTCTCTAGTGGTATGTTCTGCCAGCTGCGTGGTCCGTACTACAGGGTGGTCTTTTTTCATCTTGCCAACTGGTTGCAGTATAACTTGACTTCGCAATTGCTTTTCAGTGTCCAAAATTCTGCAGCGTGTGAAGGATAAGACGTAGGGATGTGCTTAGAATCGCGATGCCCGTATTTGTTCTCTCTTCCTTGGAACAGAGGCTTGTCTCAGAGATGGGAGAACACCTCTACGGGCGACCCGAGTCGCCGTTCAAGGTACATTCTCTGCACATCATCCAGATATAATTGTTTGTCCTGTGGGTAATACAGTGCCCGTCACATGCATATGTCTCTCCGCAATGGCTAAACATTCACCAGGTGACACCCCTTCACATACTCCCACCCGCACGGAGTGTGTCGCCTTCTCCGCCTTCCTCCGCCACAAAAGACCACTTACGATTGGACGAATTCCCGTTGCAGGCTACCTCCACATCTTGCCCAGTGCTACTCTCCTGATTAGCGGTATCTCCAGCAAAGTGTCCTCGAAGGCGTTACTCAGTACCTGCTGGATGTCCTCGTAGTTGGGGGTTGTCCGCCCGTCTGGTTTCAGCCCACATCCTCGTTCGAGCCAGCTTCGAGGTCCTTGCAGTCGGTGGATGACATGCGATACACCTACACGGCAGCTAATCGATAATCCATTAATTAGTCCACGCCCAGTCTCCAGAAGAACACGACACATCCAATCAGGCGCTTCGCGGGCGACCGAGCTTACTGTGCGTCGACGCGATCGTATCGCATACATCAGGCACCTCGTCAATTGCGCTGAAGGTGCAAAAGTGACGCAAGTTCCGATAGCGGAGGTGCGCGATCCTCCTCCGTTGTACATACAGGTGGGGATGGGACCGGAGCTCTGTCACGCGTGTTACCCCACTGAATGAAGTCCGTTCTCGCACTTTATTTCGAAGCAGCAATCCAATATGTTGGCTTTCCTTCTACTGGTATATGAGGAGGAGCCACACGCATATATACAGCAAATACAGTAGCAAGAATATTAACGCACACGACCGCAGTGTGCAGGATATAAAAGACCGAGCAAAACAGAACAAACGCATGAAAAGAGATGAACCGACACTGCTAACTACGCCGGATATCCCCTATCCGTCCTCGCCTTGCCGACGAACAGCTCCCTCCCCTTGAGGATGCTCGTCACCCAGTTCCCAACAGAGATACCCCAAAGCACATCGAAGTACCCCGCACCGTGATACTGTCAAATACACTTCAGTCATTCACGGCATCACATCCACTCGAAGAACATACCTTGCCAATGGGGATGACCACCATCTCGATGCTGCCCTTGTACGCCTTATTCTGCGGCTGGCCCGCAAGGAAGCTGAGGAGGTTCGGGACCGCGACGCCAATATGAGCCGGCGCCTTCCCAGCCTGCTTCTGCTCCTTCCAATCCATGATGTCGCCCGCGGCGAACACGCCGGGGTGGCCGACGACCTCGAGCGTCGGCTTGATCTTCACGAAGCCGGCGTCCGTGAGCACGTCCGAGCCGAGCGACGCAACGAAGCCGGCGTTCGGGCGCGCGCCGAAGGTGGGGACCTGCGCGGGGATTGGATCAGCCAGGGCGCAAGAGACGCGGGCGGGTGTATGCGTACCACGAGATCCGCGGTGAGGAACTCCTTGCCGCTGCGCGTGCGCACGCCGACTGCGCCCGGCGCGGGGAACTCGTCGACGAACTCGTTGAAGATGATGTTGACGCCGCGCTGGCGCACGCGCCGCTCGATGTTCTTGCGGAACTTGTCGGGGTACGTGGAGTTGAGGAGCATGCTGCCGCTCTGCACGATCGTCACCTTCTTGTTCGGGAACGCGTCCTTGATCTCGCCCGCGGTCTCTGTCGGTCACGGTCAGGTGAGTCGTGTGACTTGGGTTCGATCAGGGGAAATGGAACTAACCGATACCGACGGCGCCTCCACCGACGAGGAAGATATCATGGGCGGCAGCGTACTTCTTGCGCCATTCCGCGATGTGCTCGCGCACCTCGTCGTCGGACTCGGGGAAGTTGATCGCGCCGGACCACGACGAACCAGAAGCGAGCAAGAGGGCTGCGTATGGAACGCGCTCGCCGTCGTCGAGGACGACGACACCGCCCTTGCCAGGGGCGCTCTCCTCGATGGCGGTGACGTTGCCACGGAGGAAGGAGCCGTTGCCGTTGACGAAGAGCTTGTCGTACGGGATGAGCGAGCGGTCGTCGAGCCCTGGCTCGTCCGCGACTGTGACGCGCGCGCCGGCGATGAGGTGGACGTAGTATGGACGCTTGTTGATGAGAATGAGCTTGTACCGCGCAGGGTCGAGTTTCTGCGAGAGCTCGCGGGCGGCGGCGGAGCCTATGAAGCCGCCGCCGACGATGACCACGTTCTTCTGAGTATCGTTCTTCTTGGACATGGCTGGAGGAGGTGGGCTCTGTACTCTGCGAGGGGTGAGATGGGGGTTGCTGGCTGGGTTCTTTGGGAGGGCGGCATGGCTTTATAGTTTGGGCTTGCAGCAGATTGCAGGCTGTTGTCGTTGGATTGGGAGAATGAGCGCTAGATGAGCAATGGTTCTGAAAATGACTCAATCGTTCCCAGTCAGCGTCTCTCCCATTGGCTCCCCTGAGCCCTCGCTTATGTAATTCTGACTAATCTGTCGTCCTGCGTTTTCTCTGAGCTCGCACATTGGAGACCAGGCTTTGGCGACGCGAGGCTATAAGGTATCCATCATCTAGCGTACCTACCAAGTTTTTATACCTCCTCTAAATTCTATTCAGTATACGCTCAGTATACGACTAAACCTCAATTGCGCTGTGTGGATTTCAGGTAATAGTATGTAGTACTGAGGTGAGCATGTGATCGTGACGCGACGTGTCGCTGCAGCGACAAGGCGCGGCACAAATCTGTCTGGTACGGCAAAACACATCCAGATCTTTTGACGGACCACATGATGCAACAACCCGTGCAAGAGTAGCTGAATCGAACGATTCGAGTTGCACAACAAAAACACTACTGCTTCACATGTACGCCTTTGGTAAATCTCCTGACCTAATGATAGCAGATGAATTAGTGGGTAACTCGTAAACTCTTTACTCTGCGTGATCAGGTCGCACTAGTCGCGATCTGTCCGCACACCCTATGGCAACTAGAATTGCAGTCACTCTTTCCTCCTGATTCTCAGGAACGTCATTGTTAGGGTAATAGCCGTGGTATATCTTGCGTGACTGATGTCCATCTAGCCCTTCAACAACAGCAACGGAGGTGAGGGCCGGCAAGGGTTGATTCTAATGATTCTAAGGAGTTAGAACGTCTCTCAACGAATGCGTACGTACCCGATGAACGAATCCCCACGGGTATGTGCCATCTTCCCAGGGAATTTGGACGAACGGCACAGCACCGCCTTTGGCGTTTGTGCTGTTGTATACCTGGGGGAGAAAAATTAAAACCAGCAACATTAACATCTCTATCACATGTCATGTTGCATACCTTTCCCGAAGTCCTTTGAGTGTCCGCAAGCCGCCGATTTGTATCGTCAAGTCGCCGCCGAAGGCGTTGGAAACCCCTCCTCATATCACGGCGTAAATCCCTCATACTCTGGTTGAACCAAGCAGGTGCAGCATCTGGAGACAATTCAGACATAGGCATCAACAGCAGGACACTTATTCTCACTGTTATCGGAGGCGGCCACCACAGATGCCTTGTATTTGATTGCGGACGCGAACTGGGCGTTGTTAGCCTGTCGACGCACTGTTCACGAAAGGTGCCATTGAATTGCATTAATCGTCACCACGTTGATTGCTCACTGTAATTGTACTCTACTTCTCTCTCATATAACTTTGCCTGGCAAATGTCAAAGTCGCTGGGAGGTATGTGGGTTTGCGGCGGAAGGTCGAGTCCGGCTTCTATGGGCAGTTGTATCAGCACTGCAGGCTGAGCATTCTGAACATCTTCATCTTCAATATCCGTCAAAGATGAGTCAGACATATTGCTTTAGCCGCTGCTTTGGCTAGATAGAGTGGAAGCTGTTCGCGAGTTGTTCAAGTTGACTTTCACCTTCTCTATATATCGTGACCGCGTAGTCTCGGGATTTGCCGTTCGGCTGAAGGTGAACAATGAGAGCACCGGAAAGGGAACAAAGGCATGCCTCGACGGTGATCGATCACGAAGCACACTGACCCAAGATCACGAACGTTGAACGCGTCCACGTAGAGTCATTCTGCACCAAATGGGACAGGCTGTGAATGCTTTCACGCAGAGTCATTCCGCGCCAAATGGGAACGGTGCTTTCCCGCACGCCTCTCTCCTTCGTTCGATACAAACAGTTAGGCGTAGAGGCGGCATAGGGATAAATTGAAGGTGATCATATTTCATGAAAAACTTCATTGCACCTGTAGATACTGAGCCCCTCGACACTGCGCAGGAGACGAGTACGACCCTCATCTCAGCTAACCTAGAACCTCATCATGTCTGCACTCAACCGAGATCTGCGATCCGTGGGATCGTTCACGCCTTACTATAGTGGCACTTCAGCGGTTCCCAACGAAGACTTTGTCCTGTTTCACGGGAAAGACAAGGTACTGTGTACCTGCCATCTTGAAAAAACCTTTCTCGTTATTTTCGCAATGAAGCCGAATAGACTGGTCGAACGCTTCGGACATCCAGCGGATACTCCAAGACAGATCTCATGGAGGCGCCGATGCAGAAACCCATTCGTGCGGAGCTGTACAGATAAGTGTTTACAGTACGTCTCCTCAATAAATCGGTCACGCCAGCATGCCCAACAGCTATAGGACCCAAGTCGTTCTTCAAGCTTCAAGTCCCAGGTGGACGGTCTTCCTGCGCGTCTGCCCGAAGCTCCACCTAGACGCTTCCGTCCAGCTGCTGTTCCGGAATACCGACGACGAAGAGGGGATGCGGGCGACGGAGTGATCGAGATGTACACGTACGGACTTTATTGACACTTTAATTGACTGATTAATCGATTATCCTTGACTGATGGGGTCTGCATCGGTGACAACAAGTTGACGTTGCCACGGAGGAAGGAGCCGTTGCCGCTTGTTGATGAGAATAAGCTTGTACCGCGCAGGGTCGAGTTTCTGCGAGAGCTCGCGGGCAGCGAGGGAGCCTATGAAGCCGCCGCCGACGATGACCGCGTTCTTCTGGGAGTCGTTCTTCTTTGACATGGCTGGAGGAGGTGGGCTCTATACGGCTCTGTGACGGGTGCCAATGAGATGGGGGTTGCTGGCTGGGTTCGATGGGCGGGCGACAAGGCTTTATAGTCTGGGGTTGCAGCAGATTGCAGGTGACAGCGGCATGGAACATAGCTCACATATTTCACAATTCTGTGATGTCCTACATACTGAGAATTTGCTAGTGTCAACTAATATCCGGTAACCTGCTCTTGACCATCCACTTTGCCACGGACATTCACGTCTCTTCGAGTCTCCCTAGTGCAATGACGCCAGCGATCACAAAATACAACTCAATAAATTTTCACCAACTAATGTAGCACAGATATGGTGAACCATACAAGATTGCGGGTAACAAGATCAAACTACCAAGCATGCCCCTACCGACTGAATTTTATACATAAGTAGACGTACACCGGGGGTAAATGAGATACGCAATCTGGGAAATTTAAGGAACCTAATGGCTGTGACACCATTGCGTACCGGCCATCTATCATTGCATGGCAGGACTGTTCGGACCATAGTGTATAGCAATGTCCTTTTCTCTGTCTGTTCAAAATCAGCGAAGACGGTGCACCAAGATTGGTACCACAGCCGTACCAGGTCTCGTCTACTTTGATCTCCGTGGTAGTCTGCACCTGTATCTTAAGATCCTAGGTCATGTCAGGAACGTTGGTCGATACACTGTGTTCAAAGAACAGACCTTGTCATTGTACATTTTACCCACAAAGCGCTGGGAATGCTCATCATTCGTGACTCCGCTCGACACGTTCATCGTAGTCAAAGGTATCGCGGAGACAACAGCGTCAGCGCGGCTCTTGTACAGTGATTGCCTTGCATTGAAAGTGGCCAGGAGGGCATTCAATGATACTATGCGCATTTCCGTGAGCTGCTACGCAAAGCGAGGGGCGGTGGCTCACGCTTCGGGAGCATGAAGTAAATCGCCAGGGTAGTGAACGGAGTTGACATAGTCGCATACTGTGGGCCAACACCCTCAGCGGGTGCCTGAACACAACTGTAAATTGAAGTCACCGTCACCAAGCAAGCAATCATGCACATGCTGAGACATTCGGATTCAATAAACGTCGCACCAAATACCCGTGACTAAAACCTTACCAGTTGAGCGAGCCAGTATTGATGCTATACAACATGAGTACACGAAGTGCTGAATCGGTCGTCCTGCAGGAATGCAGAATCAGCGAGATTATGGAGGCAGTTCGCGATCAGACAAGCCTTGAGAAGCCGCTACGTTGCTTTTTCAACAGTACACAAATTGATATAGTGGTAAGACCATCTGCCACGATGCCACAGGAGAAACCTGTATAAAAAACCCACTGCAGGAGCACACGCATGCCAATGTATGGATCAGTAACGACGGCGAACAATACGTGTGAACTTCCCAAGATTACCGATAAAGCTGTCAGTCTCACGAAATCCACGGTCATGAACCTGCGCGTCCTCAAGGTTAGTTCAGCCACCAAGAATTTCAAACGAGAATGATCTTGCCCTCTGATAGCGAATCCTGTGCTCGAATTACGAACTGACATTGAGCCTGAGAAAGCAGTGAGATATCACACTTACTGACCTGCGGTGCTGACTTCACAACTCATGTCAACAATGAGGGAAGGCTTCTGACCTTGGCAGTACACTCACCGGAGGATACAAGATTGCTGACAAACTACAAAAAGTCGTTAAGGCATGCATGTCAAAAATGAAAGAAGGAAACCTTACTATAGTGAGACATAGAACTGCGAGACCTGTACTCTTCTTGCTACCCACTGGGAAATACATTCAGTTTCTTATCTTAAAGTTTCCGGACCTACAAAACATGGTTGCTCACATCTCCATACTCGCTGGCAAAACAAACTACAAAAGAAACCATTAATTCTATAAGGATCTATAGAACTAGTACATACCATCTCACGATCAATTCAATTATGCTCTTGCTTGATAATAAGTAGATGGTTAGTTACTTGTAAATGAGAAAACTGAACTCACAGTCGTGAGGATATGTGCCTAGCCAAGATCAGAGGTTGTGAATCTAAAGCTAACCAGCATGCACACACTCACCATCATGGTCCTGCACAGAGGTCTATATTGAGCTATTGAACAAGTGGGGAAAACACAGTACTAACCACGTTATAGTGAGGAGACGGATCGGGTCCGCGAAGTCAGAGATTGCATAGGTGTAGACCCCACTTGTAATGAATGCGAGATGTACACCATCGAGAATCCTTGGATCTAGTGTTATTTTCACGGAGACTGATTGGAGTAATCATCCGCATACCAGAGGGCGAATACCTGAAAACTATCATTGGCCAGGTTCATACTTTGTCTGACTCGGATATCCACATACCATGATCTTCAAGAGGATGGTATCTGTCTGACTATGTTGATAGTAAACAAATGTTTGAACACTGGTTATCCCATAGAAGCTATAAAAATACGAGATCAGGGCATCTGTACAGCTAACAATGCATGCGACCCACATTGCTGCTCCTATGTTGCCTGTCACATTGTTAAGAAACACATCCGGCGATGATAATAATGGTGTGCGAACCTAGAAACACCACACCTAACGATATACCTAATTGCAACGGCGAGGATGTCATTGATAGATATACCTCAAGCTGTTTGTGTCGAAGGGGGGGAGAAGATGTCGCCGACACGCCCACTTATAACTGGCCGGTCTAAGATTCTGGCACATTGATCAGTGGGTCAGAATCTCCATCCATTTCTATGCACAGCCAGCAGGTGATGATGATGATGACGAAACCTATAGAGTAGTATCTGTCACGGTGCTTCAAGGCGACTCGGAGACAGTGCGCCGCCGACAGGTCCCAGTGATTTGTCGACATTGTGGCACTCAAGCATATTAATTAACTCGCGCGGGTACATGGTTGCAATCTAGCTACAACACTGGGCCGGCATACCTGAATGGGACCAATGCTGCGGACAACAACCTACTTGAGCGCCGAATAACTGGATTCAACAGGCGTCCACCAACGTGCACTTCGCAAGGTCGGTGGCATTATTATTGAATTCAGTCCAGCCACTGTTATCGCGAGGCCAATGTATCTTTCGAATCACGGTAAAACCTTTCTCACATCGCGAGTGTCAGCCTCTCAAGTAGCCCGTTCAAAACGCCTACGTGCAGTTGAAATCTCCTCCAGCACCACAGCCTTCAAATTTATTACTAGTTATTATCGTGCTCTCAGCTTATCTCCAATAACAATTCTGACGTCGATGACCTATTGATACTGTCATAGTGTCGAGCAAATGTATATGGTCTGATAATGGCCCATCGGAGGTAAGACATCCCGGGGCAAACACATTTGTGTCGAACGCCTGCAATTACACTGTTCTGTGCCCGATAACGAGAGCGAACGAGGTCAAATCGTTCCATCTGTCCATTGTGTGACCACATCTCCATCACAATTTATTTCCATCATCTCACACCGAGGTTCGGGCAGTGATGAAGGCCACAACTGATATCCCAAATGTCTACGGAGAACTATCAAATATCTCACAAGCCTCAAAATGCTGAAACGAACTCAAGAGTCTCTTGGTACCATCCAAGACTCGGAGAGCATGGGTGTCGTTCTCAGGTGAGTTATTTCTTTATCCATCTCTCCGAGGCTCTCACTGACATCTTGTCCCTCGACTGCCCCGTTTTCCACCCTTGCATTGGCTCGGAGGTGAGGACATTATGCCATTCCACGCGGTATCACAATGTCGTCCAATTCCAGTGCTATGGTCATTCGCCCTTCTCAGCCACAACACTGCGCTATTGACGTCAAGCGTGAAACACGGAACAACAGGTGCTATCGTGCTTTTTGCTCTGCTCCTACTTAAGACTTGTTTACTTATGACACTGTGGGCCCGGTAGGTGCGTACGCTCATTCGCGTAGGCAGGCAACTAACCATGACTTGGTCGCACGCTATCGAAATCGAAGTAGTAGAGTGCTCGGTAATGTACTGTATTGGCTGCATCGATAACAACGGATTCAAGAATCCATCAACTACTGGTTCAATTCAGCTATACCTATACGGATTATGACACTGATATTGTGCTCTGTCGACAATTTGTGCTGTCAAAGAAAATGTGATTGATGCGGGACTTCCGACAAGTAGAGAATGCCTCTTGACGCGTCGTGAACGCACGGGTGGAGATGAAGATCTAACCTAATTGTTTCTTCATTTTCTACTGAGAAGAGGACCCCCCTTATAGATAGCCGCACGAACATCGAGAGTGAAGCAGAGTGTATACTCTGCCTGGGAAGACTATATGGTTACACAATGGTTATACCTGATATACTTCAAATGTGGTGTTGGTAGTTGCCTGTCCGCTCAAGGACTTCCAATTACTGTGGACACGTGGGAAGGATCATTCTGTTGCACGACCGAGTAATATTTGCACCACAAAGTAGATTCCAGAGAGGCAATGCAAGGCGCGCGATCCTGAATGATGTGACCACTCGCGCAATACCGCTTGGGGAAGTGGACATCATAAGGTGATGCTCCTACTGCTTGATACAACCTGTGCGGTCTCGAAACAGACATTAAAAGCTGCAAAGTGTTACGAAACATAGCAGTTGCGAAAGACTCACGGTATGAGCTTGAGCGACCGTGTCCCCGAAGACAATGCCTTATCGTGGTACAAGTTCGATGGAACCGTTTGGAGGGGGGGCAACCCCTTGCGAGTACCCGCATCGACGCGGAGAAGGGCACCGCGGACGCGGACAGGTAGGCACTTTGACGAAGGAGTGCACAGAGCACAATCGCACAAGGACGCTGGGCCGATCGATCACTCTCATGCCTTCGTCCATGGAAATTCGCTATCCTGTACGTTTCGAGATTAAGAGGACTCGCAGAAGTTGAACGGGCAGTTTCTCGACCTACCGCGTTCGCGTGGGGGGCTGGTAATGAGACGGCCTTCGCTTTTCAAGTTGAGAGTCCTCGGTGTCGGATAGTTGACCAAATGGTTTGGGGATCGTACCAGTTCCCTCTGAGGGGAATGGAGTGGGACATCAACGAGGCGCGAGACGATACTGAGATAAATGGTCATCTAGAGCGCGTAGAGGCTAGTCGGAGTACCTAGGAAGACTCAGCGCGACTTGGCAAACGGTCACGATGCATCGTGCGGTGTATTATTCTTGGCTGTAATGCCGTTCCTGACTTGTTCCTGCAGCGCTACCAGATGTTCTCCGTCACTGTGAAGGCCATGGCCAGGCTAGACAGTTCCGATGCATTCCTACTTCATCGAATGTAATCCGATTGAAAAGGCACGGCAAAAACACTAATGCGTCACATCTTTGATAAAATCTCCTGACCTCATGATAGCAGACATATTAGTACGTAACTCGTCAACTTGTTACTTTCCGTGACCAGGTTGCACTAGTCACAACCTGTCGACACACCCTATGGCAAGTAGAATTGCAGTCACTCTTTCCTCCTGAGCCTCAGGCACATCATTGTTAGGGTAATAGCCTTGATATATCTTGCACGACTGATATCCATCCAGCCCTTCAACCACAGCAACCGAGGTGAGGGCTGGCAGGGGTTGATTCTAATGGTTTTAAGAACTTCGAAGGCTCTCTCAATGACTGTGTACGTACCCGATGAACGAATCCCCACGGGTATGTGCCATCTGCCCAGGGAATTTGAATGAATGGTGCAACACCACCTTTAGCATTCATGCTGTTGTATATCTGTGGGGAAAAATAAACCCAGCAACATCAACATGGTCATCACTTGCCATGATGCATACATTTCCTGAGGTCCTTTGAGTGTCCGCAAGTCGTCGATTTCCATCCGCAAGCAGCCGATTGGTGTCGTCGAGTCGCCGATTGGTATCGTCAAGCAGCCGATTGGTATCGTCAAGTCGCCGCTCAAGTCGTTGAAAGCCCTTCCTGATATCACGGCGTAGTTCCCGCATGGTCTGATTGAACCAAACCGGCGCAGCATCTGGAGACAACTCAGTCATAAGCATGAACAGCAGGACACTTATTCTCACTGTTATCGGAGGCGGTCATCACAGATGCCTTGTATTTGATTGCGGACGCGAACTGGGCGTTGTTAGCCCGTCCACGCACTGTCCGTGCAAGCTGCCATTTAGTCACATAAATTAATCGCCATCACGTTGTTTGCTTACTGTAATTGATCTCCACTTGCCTCTCATACAACTTTGCCTGACAGATGTCATAGTCACTGGGAGGTATGTTGGGCTGTGGCGGAAGTTCTTCTCCGGCTTCTATGCGCAGTTGTATCACCATTGGAGTATCCTGAAGATCTTCACGGTCCGACAAAGATGGCGAGTCAGACATATTGCTTTAGACGTTGATTTTGCGAAATACTGTGTAGAGCTGCTCACAAACAGTTGAAGTTGACTTTCGTATATTGCGGTCGCGTAGTCTCGGGATTTGCCGTTCCACTGAAGGTGAACAATGCGAACTTCAAAGGACTCGCTGACGATTCAGTTGGGGATACCGGTACTGATAGAAAGGGTCCCTTTTCTTTTTCTTTTCACCCATCGGTACACGGTGAGCTACAGTCGACCTCCTTGGTTGGTGAGAGGACGGCAGAACCACAGAGCATACCATTTGCGGCGAGCTCGATCGACGTGGTGGCGCACTCCTTCGGTCTAGACCGGATGCAGCCCGAACTCCAACCCGGCTCAGCGGGGCGCTGCACAGTAAATTTACAGTACTCGTGAAACAAAATGTATGCAAGTCGAATGCAAGAACGACAAGACGAGCGCACGGTCGACGGGTATCACATTGCCGCAAAGATTAGCTCTACATCAGCGCGCACGAGTCCGCGCGGGTGTGGAAGGTACGTGGTCCAACTGCGATGGAATGAGAAGAAAAAAACTATGCGAGTAGTAAAGGGTAGCAAAATGCGGAAGAGGGGAAGCGGGGGACGAAATGCGAGTACGTGCGCTGAATGTGTTGTCCGTACTACAGTATCGCCGACGCTATCCCGACCGCCGCCACGGCCGACACCAAGCCTCCTATACTTCTGGGCCCCAACGCACGTATGCGGTCGCCCGCGTTTACTGCAAGGTCTGCCTGCACCGTGAGAGAGCCCGAGGAGACGTTGCGAAGCGCCTGTGTGGGGAGCATGTTCGGCGTCGTGGAGACGAGGCTCTGCTGCGGCATCGGCGTGCCGTCGAACTGGAATAGCTGCAGCTGGTAGCCGAGGGCGGGGTCCTGGTAAATCGACCAGCTCTGGTACGTCTCTGTGTCGTTGTACGACTGGATGAATTTCGATACGGCACCGCACGGGTCCTGGATCTGCTGAAACCCGTCGCCGAACGGTGTCATGAGGATGGAGCCGTTTGGCGCGAGCACGTATTCCCCGTGACACCAGTTTATGACGCCGACGATACATGTCGGCTGCGTGCCTTCACACCGATGCTATCAGTCGCAGCGGCGAGGAGACAAGCACTGGTAGCTAACCGTTGCCATTGAATCGATATCGCGCGATCTCGTAGAATCCGTCGTCCGTGCTTGATGGCCGGAGCTCATCAGCAGCGCACAGATAGACCCTGATGATCAGACTCACAACGAGTACGAGACGCCCGTTGTTGAAGGGTAGTTGAAAGTTTGATTTGCTGGGTTGGCGAATTGCTGCAGGTGCCCCGAGCATAGGTTGGCCCCAATTCTAGTGACAGGTAAATGTGAAGAGACGTACCGGACCCGTTACCACGTTTCCCGAACCCGACGCCCATGTCCCTGAAAGGGTTGTCACGTTATGGCCAGCATCGAGGATGATGTCCTGCGCCAGCGCGGGTACTGCTAGAAGCAGTGCGAGAAGCGGAGTGAGGAACATCGTTGAAAAGTCGTCGTCGCACGGGATGAAAGATGGCAAAGAGAAGGAACGAGCAGGCAGGGGGCCGTCGAGCGCAGATGGCGTGTAGGCGCAGGCTGGCTGGAGCGAGTCGTCACGGTGGGCGGTGGTAAAGAACGTGTTTGCGCTTGTTGTTCTGCTACTCTGCCGCCGCTTTCGGTGAGAAAATCGAGCAAATTATAGCTCTCGTTTCCATCGCGCACATGGCAACGAGCTTCCACTGGTCGTATGTTTCAATATTTTTCTTTCTCTTTGCTCGAACGTCCTGACCGTCGCAGCGAGCGGCCGCGACACCGTCCGAGCTCATTCACGGCCTGACCGGGAATCATTAGTGTTCATACTTGCCCGAATTGGCAGGTCTCGATGCGCTGCGATCCGGACGTCCCGTCACAGGAGTAGCTTCGGCGCAAACCCCTCCAGCCCCAGGAGCGACAACTCGCCCAGGTCCTCGAAGGAGAATACGTATGCAGACATCCTGACATTGGAGTCGATAACGTGCAATTTATATCGGGTATGAATATACAAGGCATGGTCGTAGTATCGCATGGCCGCTATACTAAGTTCATTACCTCGACATGCTGGGAGTCGGGTCGTGACACCATACAGTACGATTTCAGAATAGAACACCGACGCTTCATCTGTTCTTGTACCTGAATTTGTGCTCCCGGTGAGCCATATCGTTGACATTCAATCCTCCTTGCTGTAAATACTTAAAAGTTTCACACAGAATTTGATACCACCAGGAGATTGCTCAACGTTGCCATACGCTTCTGCTGGACCCAGACATTGGAAATCACGAAGCTGTCGCTCTGCACTTATCTACTGCCGCATTTCAATGAGCGAAGGATCCTCAGGCCCGCAAGGATAATTATAAAGTGTATGTGGGCGCTGCGGTTTAGTCATGTCCTAGGTGAGCTGCGTATATTCAATTTCACCGAATGCGTTTTGCCAGTGAACGACAGCTAGCGAAGATGCTCAACAGACGGGTGTAATTTGAGTGGTTCTTTACACTCGAAGTTCAGCCGGTTCAAGAACACCACGCTCAACTCAAGAAAATATGTCGGTCGTTCGCTCAGCACTGCTGCCTAGCCGGCCGGTCGGTTCACGACCAATATTTGAGATGGGCCGACACCAAGGGAGCTACCGGAAATTCTGATGCGCAAATGCGCAAAGTCCCGTCCAACGTTGTTCATGCTGGTACAGCCAAACACCGTCTGCTGGGACTATCCGTTCATCTTCCTGGTATGCAAACTTCTGCACAAAGTTTAAGCCGCGCAGATCCTCAGTGCGACCGCGGCGGCGTTCCACCCGTGCCCGCCAATTTCTCATAGCGGGAATATTTCTCGATTCATACCGAGGAAGATACTTGAGCACTCCATCAGAACACTCCCCTGCCGACCTTTGCACGAACGACACTTCCTTTTCACAAGCACGTCTACGCGAGTTGCTCCGGCCCGCGCTATATCGCTACACCCGACGGTGCGTGCGCAGCATTCCGTGAGTGCATCCCCACCGATCCGCATCTGCACCTCCCATCTGAGCTGTCCAAGATAGTGCACTATCTCGATCCTCCGACGGTACTTCACGCTTGGTGCAGCGGTAACCCTCCCTTGCGACAATATTCAGGTACCCGTCCCTACGCAAACCCCAACTCTAATCCCCTCCGCCATGATTACATTCCGCACGCACGCACATCCCTCCGAGAGGTCCCGCATTCCGATGCAGACGCGTGCAGCTGCAGGGTGCGGCTGCAGGCTCCCCAGCCCAGCCCAGTGATATTACAGGACGTCGAGTCTGCACACCCTGACTAGATCTAGTATTCACGGAGCAGCTCATGATCCAGTGCGTCCCTGGCCCTGACTGAATAATCCTATTCACTTGCAGAAGCTCCAGAGCATGGTAGCCTGCGCGCAGGCTTGGGAGATCTGTTTAAGCAGGTGTTCTGCTGACCCTGGCGACAGGCTCGCGGGGTGCGGACAAAACGATCCAGCTTGAGCGAGCACAGCGATTTACTTATTCCGCTGGCGGACATGGTGTCACTTGACTCGCGTCGCGTCGATAACCGGGGGAGCACGAGGATACGTGCTAACGAGCCTCTCCGCTGTGATTGTTCACGGCTGCTGTAACCAGGGCGAAAAAGAGGTAGTAGGTAAGACACGAAAGTGGACATACGGTTACATTAATTATCCTCCCCGCGGCGCGCACTCTAGCTGTGCACGCTGGGGCGGGTCGACGATAGTAGCTACTGCAGGCGGGCTCGCTAATGGCTAAGCACGCGGACCAAAAAGTGGAGGGTGTCCGTGCATTGCTGATGTCCAAGTGGGCCGCCTTACACGACGCATTCTTCGACTGAGGTCAATCCTTCTTGAGTTCTCTCCGGATCACGAACACGCGGTCACTGTCGGCCTTCGTGCTCACCTCCCGGATTCCGCTGATGCCCTCGAGGCCTTGCACGCTGCGCCCTTTTGCGAGGACGACGTACATCTCGAGACCATCTCCGACCTGCAACGGACAGCTTGCATGAGCTCACCCCCAAATATCTAACGCAGGAAAGAATCGCACTTCGATGTGACGCTCCGTGGCGCTTGTGAATGAGTCGATGACGATGGATAGTACGCCAGGTAGTGGCAGGTGCGTGGGATGCGGGGATCCGGGCGCCGCGACCTGGTTCTTGAAGTATATCTATGTAGCATCGGGGTGCTTGTTGTCAGGTGCCAACTTCCAGATGGAGAGCGAGCCAAAGGCTCGGAGACAAACCTGGTTGTCGAGGAAGGGCTGCACCAATGACTGTGCTGCACCCGCGGCCCGACATGCCTCACGCTCGTATGAGCCGACAGGGTCAAAGGAGTACACGGCACCAGAGCCTGGGGAGATTCACAAGTTCAGCATAGAAACCATGGGATGTCGAGCGAAAGGAACCTACCATCTTCCTCAATCCCTCCGAGGATGTTGTATACATAATAGGGGAAGAAGCGCTGGGCATACAGCATCGTCTGGATAAGTCTGGCAATTGCGCGGAGAGGCATATCCTTCGCGTGCGCGTGACGATACCACTGGGTGACGGTTAACAAGGTGGATTAGAGGCTAAACGCGAAGGCAGCCTACCTCGAGCCGCTGCTTGACTTTCTTCACGAACATGTTTCCATCTGCCGCGAAGCCATTTACAGCCAATACAGCTCGGTCGGTTCTACACCAGGGTCAGCGCGACGCGCAGGAGGATGCGGGTGAAGACACGTACAGTCTAAAGACTTTTGGCGCATATCGCGTCTGAATACTGTAACCTTCGCTCTGCCTCGTGTCACCCGCAATCACGGTGAAGTCCGCACCAGCAATAGCGAGGATTGTCCCACCGTTCTCCGTGTACGGGTTAAACTGCCGCTGCTGTGGGTGGTCGTATGAACCGTCAGGCATCTCGCACACAGACGGCGGTTAGAAAAGTGGTAAAAATGGGTGGATGATGATTTGTCTGGAAGAGCGAGGATGGAGGGAGATGGAGAAAAGAGCGAAGGAGGACGAGGAGGAGTATATGTGATGGGCCGCGTCAGTATGGAGGACTAATATGGCGGACTACGTAGACGCCACCGAATCATTGAAGCCCCGTTCGCGCGGTCTGCCAAGCGGAGTTGAAAATAATATATCCGAGATTTCCGCCACCAGACCTTCTCCTTCCTCTCTCTCTTCCACATTCCTTCTTCTGCCTTTCCCGTGTTGCCATCTTCGATGCTATCTCTTCGTTCGACTCTAGCAGAAAACAATAGCGGTTTCTTCTCCCCCTATGCCGTTAACCTCCGTCAAGAATTCTGATGCTCGTTGCACGCTGTCCGACTATTTCCCGGCTGTTCATCCTTCTCTGCCAATGCAAATAACTTTCTATGTTGGTTGTTGGTATCATGACACATATTCACCTGACGAACCTCGCCTTGCATTGCTTAAATGACAAGATGGAGCTGTCTCGACTCCCGAGCGCGACATTTCCGTCGCTCTATGTGCGTTAGATTATGTCCGCAGCTTCACTGAATCTTGGCAGCTGCCTTCGTCTCCGAGGTTGTTGCGAGCCCACTCTGTGCTCCGATGGCAGCCCTGCATGACATTCCTGCCGACCATTTAATGTGCGAATTTTCTGCTTCGGCGATTTGAACTATCCATTCTCGTTTGACCGTGCTGCGCTGCCCGGGGACCAAATACTGTCTCCTATCGGTAGCTATGCCATGCATGACGGGTATGTTATCTCCCGATAATTTGGTCAGCGTTTCGCGCTCTACCAGGTTCACGTTGGAATCACGCCGTTTCAAAGTATAGCTCCCAACTTCCACCATTTCTTCCTGGAATTAGGCACAGATACGCGCTTGTAACGCCTCAGATCTGGTGGCACTTATTGACACCGACTACACCGTCGCCCACCTTATTTTCGTCAGTCAGAAAGTTGCAAAGCTCCGCAAGGCCTCTGGTTCCGACGTTATCAGATCAATTCCGGATGATCTCGCTTGAAGCGCTCTGAACATCATAACAGGCGTTCATCCTGGCTGTCTCTCCACCGCCGCACCGACATCGCCGCCTCGTGCACAATCGCTGGACCTGCTGACTGTATCGTTGGACTGCCTACGCCTGCACCTGCGCGGCATGTCGTTCTCGTAATGCACAGCGCAAACCCATCTTTTACCTTCTACATACGTTGGATTCCCACACAGCACACACCCTCTTCGCGCTAGTGCGCTCCATCCTCGCATAATCTTCCGGCAAGAAGTCAGCAGGCTCTCCGGCATAGTGATCGCGCAGGAACTTTACCCCGGAGCGCCCTATTCACTGCACATCTATGTCCAAGCGAAGCAACCTTGACGAGATGCGACAAGTCGTTCCCCGGATGTTCTATTCTCTCATTACCTTTCTGCAGTCGCGAGCTCTCACCGTTATCCGTGCGGAGCCGAATATTGTGCAGCAACCATTCTTCCGTCGTGTCGAATCTGCACGTCTGCTAATGATCGAGTTGAAGGAGATCAGCGCGACCGTCAAAAGGGATTGATGTCACGGACTTTGACGTCAAGGCGAGCCTACCATGCGCACATCGCCCTTCGTGGCGTCAGTCAATCATCAGCGAAAGCTTCGTGTCTTGCGCTGCGGAGCCTCTCGAAGGCATGTTTCTCTATTCGAAGTTCTTCCACGATACTCAGGAAGGGTTCGCCGTCGGTGCGCGGTCATTTCACTTGCTATTCATGGCTTACTGCCAATTTCTGTACATGATAACTGGCCCCTTCCAAGCTATCTAGACAAAGAAGCCCGTTTGCTTTGCTGTATCTCTACCCTCGGGGCGTTACTGTTCACACCCCAAATTCCATCCGTCGCCTTGTACTCTGGCACGATCGCGCCCCGCCTATCCCTTGGATCGCGATCTAAGTTTGCTTTCTTGGCAGGTCTTCCCCTATGCATGGCAAATAATCGCCTCAATGGGAACGTTGTTGTACGTAGGAACGCTATCTTTCGTGCCCAGAATCTATAGCGTCCGTCTGAAGTGCATCTCCGTTCGATCTGCACATCGCGGTGCAAGGACACTAGGTCATCTAATATCCACCCATCCACTGGTGGTTGCAACGTCTGTGTATGGATTACTTTGGTTTTCTGCCTGTGGGTCTCACATCGGATGGTTTATCGAAGACTTCTGCTTGGTAGTCTTCCCTTTTTTCGCGGTCAGATATTCGTTGCTTCTCCGCAGGTGACAGATATAGGATCACCTGGTTTTGTCTGGCACGCTCAGAAGCTCAAACTCGTTCACACATCCTCCATCGGCGAATCTTGATCGGCAAGCTGTAAATGTCCGTGCTAATACTTCCGCACCATTGCCTCCGATCCGTGTAGCACTGTCTCGCTTTTTGCTACGGATTCATCGCGGTTCTTCCCTATACGTGCTGGTAGGTCTATTTCTTTCACTGTCGAAAGTTGACTCACGCGTTCCGCCACATGCAATGACCGAGAGGTCAATATTCGGGTCAAATGCGCTAAGCAGCAAGAATCTAACCTGAGACGATGCTCGGCCTCATATGGGGGCTGCTGACTGCCGAGTGAGTGGTAACCCATAGTACCTACATACGCAAAAATAGAAGCATGGCTACTGACAAAAACGAGTTTTCGTGTCAAGTACTGCTAAAGCCAAGGCCATGGTGCAAAATTCAAAATCCCCGCTTATGCTCCTGGAACAGAGGCCTGAAACACCATCGCGAGGAAGTGAGCCACCACTACAGTGGGCAACACGTAAAATTAGTGGACGACCAGGTGCAACAACTGTTATACGTCGGGTGAGGCGCAGCACATACAGGTCTAGCGAGCAGAATCCGAATATAGCGGGTGAAGATTAGCTAGAGGAAAGTATAATAGTACCAAAGCTTGACCGTCGTGTATAATTCTCTCCGCTTTATAAAGATTGTCGGGCTTGTGCTTCGGTGCAAATTTTCATGTGATTCATGAACTTCAACTCACTGCTTTGTGCAACATATGCCTCTGACTTGAATTGAGGGCGCAGTCGACACCCAGTGCGTCATGCGCAGCGGCTAGTGGAGCAGCTACTACTCTCTTAAAGCGGAACTAGTGAATCAAAGCTTCATCCACTACAGCACTATGTTGATTCCAGACAAATGCTACGCGCTCACGCACTCAGACAAGACACTAACCGCGGCACTGGCCTCTTCGCCGACATTTGCGCCCGGTGAACTGGGCAAGTATCTTTATGAGCACCACCATGCGAGACACCCGCATTTTCTCTCCACCCTAAAGCGCATGATGCTCAGGACCGGTGCGACGCCGGAAGAGAGCAAAAGGGCTGCAGTGGAGGACGAGCCGTCCAAGGAAGATCTCGACAGAGCTGCGGAATGCGGACAGTTTGGCACCAGGCCGAGCGATCTGTTCTTGAAGGTGTGTGGGCGTATGTGTCGGAAATCATTGCAGATTTGACCCGAGTTGCACAGATATACCACGACGTCCTACTAACGTTGGACGTCGACCCGTGGGCAGGCGTCGTGTCCCCACCTCTCCTCGGCTCGCGTGGGGTCATCCCGCTCTCCATAATCTCTGTCATACCGGACATCATCCAGCACCACTACGACTGCATCGTGCTCGCCGAGTCCGAAGTCTTTTTCGCCACCAACTTCTGGCAAGCATCCAAGTCCGCGACCAAGATCTGCGACGCGCTCATCGAGCTCTCGAAGCGCGCGGAGCGGCGCGGCAGAAAGGTCGTCGTGAAGCTGATGTACGACCGCGCAAACCTGAAGATGATCACTGATAGCCACCTCTCCGTTCCGGAGCAAGAATGGCTCCAGGACGAGGTGAAGCTCCCCAAGCGGAGCGACATGCCCGGCATCGACTTCGAGGTCGTCAATTTCCATCAGTGAGCACCGCGTTCCTCTGCGTGCATAGACTTGAATTCCTCGATCATTTAGGCCCATGCTTGGGACGTTCCACAGCAAGTTCATGGTCGTCGACCGGAAGATGGCTATCCTCTGCTCGAACAACACTCAGGACCGTCCGAACATGGAATCGATGGTACACCTCGAAGGCCCCATCGTGGACAGCGTGTACGACATGGCGCTCATCAGCTGGTCCCGCGCTATGGAACCGCCACTGCCCAACCTCGCGAAGCCGTATGAAAAGCCGGCAGAGGGGTACAAGTTTGGAATGGACAACCCATATATGACGACGCACAATCTCGATGGAAGAAAGGGCGCGGAGATCTTCCAGAAGCTGCAGCAGAGCGCGGAGAGTCGTGTGGCAAGTGATGGCGAACATGTTGGCCTGCCTGCTGAGGACAAGCCCTTTATTTCTGGAAAATACCAGACTATCACGGAGCACCTCAGTGCGTAACCAGATTTTTCTTTTCATATCTGCCAGTGCGCGATATCAACCGTATTTCAGATGCGGGAGATCAGGACACCCTGCCGACCGTGGAGCACGATGCGGCCACCGACGAGGAATACATTCCCCACATCCTCCACGCGCCGCACGATGAGTGCCCGATGGCCCTCGTCAACAGACCGCCGAATGGCAGGCCTGGAAACGACGACCGTGCGTTGATCAATCCCCAGGATGCCGCATGGCTCGCAGGGCTCAAGTACGCCAAGGAGAAGGTGTTCATTCAGACCCCGACCTTCAATGCAGAGCCCGTCTTGCAGGGAGTCCTGAGCGCGGTCAGGAGAGGCATCGAGTGCTCTCTGTACGTCGACGTTGGCTTCAATGATGGTGGTGAGGTGCTGCCACTCCAGGGTGGTACGAACGAGGAGATCGTGAAGAAGATGTACGCGGAACTGAAGGAGGAAGAGAAGGACAGGCTGAAGTACTACTGGTATACGGGAAGGGATCAGTGCAAGCCGATCAATGCCCACCTGAATCAGCGGAATTGTCATGTACGAGGTCGTCTATGTACGAGTGGTTCGTCTCTAACACAAGTGCAACTTTAGGTTAAACTCATGGTGATCGACGACTCCGTCGGCATCGCAGGTAACGGAAATCAAGGTAAGACTCCGGTTCTTCCTCTCGACCTGTGCTCACATTCCTCTCAGATACTCAGTCCTGGTTCCATAGCCAGGAAGCGAACGTCATGATCGACAACCCTGCCATTTGTCGTGAGTGGCTGGACGCCATTCGTGGCCTACAGAACACCCACTTGCACCGTGTTGGTTGCGATGGAGTGTGGCGTGATGCACAGGGCGTTGAGCTCACAGGCTCGACTGGGGTGAAGAGTGGTGTTCTTGGTGTGATCAAAGGTGTACAAGGAAGCATTGCGCGGGTGAGAGGGAAGGGCGGTTTCTAAGTCCTCCACACGGGGGAAGATTCAGAAACGGTCTTCCTGTTTTTATTTTGGGATGGAATGTACAGTACTGATCACGGATAAGTCCATCTCGAGAACCTCCGACAATCCTGGCGGCCATTGTCACTGCCGGCTGTAAACATAAGGCTCTTCGGTCTGCTGTATGGGGTTTATTGCTCTTCCCTGGCTTGCGCTCTCTGCAGCCTCATCTTTACATCCACCGTGACTGGCACAGGACGCATAACCCTTTTTTTCCCGAGGAAATAACTTGGAAAAATGTGTGGAAATCAATAAAGTTATACTGCGGGAAAAACATGAGGAAAAATGTGTAAAAAGAACAAAGCATTTCCGCAGTTTTTCCACTGGAAATAAGTTGGTCGCCAAATATGGTAATTTTGTCTGGGATTTGGCATGTCCTGGCATGTCCAGTTGCCTGATATGGTATGCAACTTATTTCCATGGGAAAAACCGTGAGAATGTTTTGTTCTTTTCTCACTTTTTTCTCGAGGTTTTTCCTCTGAAAATATATTATTGATTTCCATGCTTTTTGCCAGGTTATTTCCAATGGATAAAAGTGGTAATGCTTCCTGTGTGGTTTCTGTTGCACAGTCTTGGCCCATTGCTCCAGACTTGCGACGTCGAACACTATGGCTTCCTATTTGGGACATGCTGACATAATATTTTCCAGAGAGGAGGAGGTGGAGTTCCGTCCTCCCTCAGCCTGTTCTCTCCTCCCAACCTCCAAATCCCTTTTGCATTCCCTCCTTGTGCAACCCAATTCTGTTTCCGCACAAGCACTGCAGATCTTTTTCGCTCGTTGAATGCCCATTGAACAAGATCACAACAGATTGTCTGCTTTCTGGCTGAACGAAACGTCGGCGAATGGACGACCCAAGCTACCCACTATTCTAACTGATGTCACAGATGATCGTCAGCGAGTACCCGCAGAGGATGGTCTTGACCATGAGGAGAACATGTCACCGGAACTTGGGGTGCCAGTACCATGTATGCAGACCGCTTCTACTCCGCAGCCAGAGGACCCCTTCATGGTCTCCCCGAGCCCAATGTCGTCTTCCTTCTCTCAGGGCGATCTCGTTCAAGCGGGGCTCTCCATGTCCCCAGCAGCGATGTTTCTGTCTTCATTCAGTCCCTCGACACATGCTACACCGCTTCCGGACGCAGAAGGCGAGTCCGTCGGTGGTTACACCCTGGGTCCTGTCATTGCATACGGTGGATTTTCCATCATCCGCCGTGCGTACTCCGTGCAGGGAGGCACAGTGGCCGTCAAGATCGTTCGCCGCTCCGATGTCTTCAAACAGGCCGATCCCGTTGGCGCTCGCAAGCGCCTCCACCACGAAGCGGCCGTGTGGGCGTCGCTCAGCCATGAGCACATTTTGCCCCTGTTCTCCGTGACCCACACACAGTACGCCGATTTTTTTGTCACTCTGTATTGTCCGGCCGGCAGCCTGTTTGACATTCTCAAGCGGGACGGCCGGCCGGCACTGCCACAGGACGATGCGGGGATGATGTTCAGGCAGGTGGTGCGGGGGCTGCGGTACCTGCATGAGGTAGCGGGGTATGTGCACGGGGACATGAAGCTGGAGAATGTGCTTGTAGACGAGATGGGTGTGTGTAGAATCACGGACTTTGGAATGGCACGCAAAATCGGCGAGATCGAGGAACAGCGCGAAGACGACCACGAGCATGCTGACGGTGAGGACGGAGACGACCGTGAGCACGCACAAAGACCACACAATACCTGGCTATCGTCTGTGCGAAGGTCGCACTCGAAGCACAGTGCAATTCCTGTCCACCTATCGCTCTTGCGCCGCAATGGCGGGGCTCGCCACCGCAATTCTAGCCCATTCCCTGCATCGTCAACACCTACCCCTATCATGCCCACTCCGGGCTTCCAGCCCGGCTCGTTGCCTTACGCGTCGCCTGAACTACTGATGCCTCCTAGTCCATCTTCTCCCTACTTACCCAATCCTGCGCAGGATATCTGGGCGCTTGGAGTAATGTTATACGCAGTCTTGACTGGGCGGCTTCCTTTCGTCGATCCGTACGATCCCAGATTGCAGATGAAGATCTTGCATGGTGAGTGCGACTTATCTGCCTCGCGTCATCGCTATCTCTGACGTATGTTTCCAGGTGTGTACGAAGTTCCCAAAGGGATTGGACGAGGGGCGGAGCGTGTTCTCGCCGGTTGTCTCGAGCGGTCGGTTCCCCTGCGTTGGACCATTGCGATGGTCGACGAGGTTGCTTGGGGCGTCGGCTGGGGTGAAGAAGGCGACGTGACGCCACCGCCGGAATGTCCACCCTCGCGGTTATCCTCACGCTCTCGTTCGCAGTCACGGCCCCCAAAGCTGGATACAGCCGCCCTTAAGGAGAGCCAACACGCTTCGTCTCATAGAGCGCGTCCAGCAAGCTGCTCCACCTCAGCACTGCGCAGTAAGAGTCGCAGCACTTCTCGCAACCCGCCGCGCCCACACGACGGCCTACGTCACCAGCATCGTCATCCCCATCCGGCGCCGATACAGCCGTCATTCTCCGTGCTGACGAACTCTATCTTTCGTACGAGCTCGATGTCTTCGTCTACATCATCCTCCTCTGCATTGAACGATTCCGCGCTGCTCCTGACACCGAACCACTCGCATGATGTTCACCCAGAACGTGGAAGGTTACGCAGGTCACGGATGCAGGGCTCTGAAGAACGCTCTATGTCCCGTTCCGTCAGCCCGCTAGAAGCACTCATGACACCAAAAGATGTCGGCAGAGATGCTTTGCTGCGCGGTAACAAGTTTTCGGAAACGGCTGTGGGTGACTCGCCAACGCTGAACTCGGAAGCAAATAGCACAGACTTGGACGCGTTGGACGAACCTTCACAATGGACACTTGGTCCAAGCGTCTTAGGGGAGGGTCCATTACGCCCTCAGCGTCGTGTCTCATCAACTCATCGGCATGTGAGGGAAGACGGGCAGAGAAAGGGCGTCAGGCCCGGAAGCATGCCGCCTACTCCATTTCCATGGTCACTCTCGCACGTTCATGCTAATCAGATCAGCTACTCATCCGCGTCGACGCCCAGGCCGACATCCACAAGAAACCACCCTGTGCGCAGCCGCAGCGTGGACGTTGCTGTCAGTGACGGTACCGCTTTAAGGAGTCCTCGAAGATTATGATTCTGCTGGCTTCCACATCGTTGGGGCCATTTTAATTGTCGGTCGCTACGACTCTGCTCAATTTGTCTCGCCCATACCATGGCATGATACCCATTGTATCCCCTAGCTCCGCAAACATATGCGGATAGCTGCCACGCGAGTTTCCCGTTCCTCGTCATCAGGCTTCCGTCTCGGTTGCTCCGTTCTTTCTCATTTGTACGCATACCAATCTACATATTGCCTCGTTGGCTGATCATGTAACTGTACGAGATTCAACTCCCTGCTGCTACTCGTAGTTCGCATGACCCCATGGTATCTAAGTTATTGTGTGTACTTACCAGGTTTTCGTACATCCTTGTAATTCTACGATCAGTATATACGATTCTCGAAAACGTCTTGTAAACAGATCGTGAGTTTCAATTTCAGGCATTGTGGTCCTAAAGGAGAGCATGTAACGCGACGACAGCTACCCAGGCTGCAGCGGCAAGAAGCGGCCCAAATGTTCTTCTCTCTTTTGGTGTAGCAAGAGGCATTCGTTAGGGGATCAAAAGGGATGTGCCACAATCCGTACAAGGGTAGCTGAGATGAACCAGTAATCGATTTTAACTTGATTACTTGTTGCAGACACACGAAAACTGAGTCTGGGCTATCGACGTGGGTGACTTCGTGGCTCAGCGCGGCTTCAGTTCCTACGAACCAACATATCGGGTAGCAGGCTAGTGGTTGTAGATTTTTCATTCGACTCGGGAAAAGTAAGTACTTGTTTGCAAGCCGTGTTGAGAGCAATAAACTTGAATCCCGGTGAATCCTGTAAAGCACCCGAATTGAGGATGACCGAAGCGTCAGGAGTAACGTATGAAGGGCCATGTGCAGACCAAGACGACGAATCAGGTTTCCGAAAATTTGGAGATTGGAAGAGGCCTTCGAAAGTTGGCGAGCACTAGCTTACGCCACGCATGTCGCACTTCGATCTGCATAAGGAAGGTGAGTGTGTTTCGAGGAAAAGACGTCAATATTTGAAGGTCTACTGCCACTCGCCTACATTACAGGCATAATGGTATGCTTCAATCCAACGACAACAAGCACAATATGAAACTGATACCTTTGTCACTTCTCAACTTTACTGCACATCACGAAGTCACCAGCTTTCCAGCATTGGAGGTCAACCACCCCTTCCCCGGCAGTTTCAACATCACCGTAGTCGATTCGGATCAACACACCCTATAGCGCGCAGGATTGCTGCTACTCGTGCCTCCTGATCATCGGGGACATCCTCGTCTGGGAAATAGCCTTGATAATACCTGAGCGATTGACTGTCGTTCAATCCTTCAACAAGCTCAACGGAGGTGAGAGCAGGTAGTGGTTGATTCTACTGATTTCAAATCAAGGACTTAGAACGCTCTCTGAGCGACTGCGTATGCACCCGATGAACAAAACCCCACGGGTATGTAACATTTTCACAGGGAATTTCAACAAATGGCACCACGTCGCCCTTGGCGTTCATGCTGTTGTACATCTCAAATGAAAAATTCAGCGACTTTAGCATAACCGCCACTGACACCCTACTAAGTGCATACCTTGCCCGAGGTCCGTTGGGTGTTCGCGAGCCTTCGATTTGTTTCATCAAGACGACGATTGGTGTCGTCAAGACGCAGCTCAAGTTGTTGAAAACCCGCGTCCATCTTCCTGTTCAACTTCTTAATATCACGGTGTATTGGCGACAAAAGACTCCTCATGCGTTGATTGAACCAAGGAGGAGCAGTTTCTGGATGCAAATCAGACATGAGTATGGACAGTTCGAAAATACTCATTCTTACTGTTATCAGAGGCGGCCACCACAGAAGTCCTGTATTTGACTGCAGATGCGAACTGGGCGTTGTGAGCCTGTCTACGCGCTATCCATGAAAGGTGCCACTGAGTTTAATTAATTGCCATCACATTGTTTGCTCAAGTACTGTAATTGAACTCTACTTCTCTCTCGTATAACTTTGCCTGGCAAATGTCATAGTCGCTGGGAGGCACGTTGGGTTGCGACGGAAGTTTGAGTCCAGCTTGTACAGGCAGTTCAATCGCAACTGGAGCATCCTGAGGATCTTCAGCATCCGACAGAGATGACGACGATCCGGACATATCCTGTATACGACGCTGCTCTTGGTATCGGATGCTACAGTAAATGGCGCTGTTCAAGTTGATTAAATTTCTACCATACTTAGTCTCGGGATGTTACTGGAAGTTCAAGTTCGGGTGAACTTGATTCCGAACAGGCGGAGCAGTACATTTACCACTCAGTAATTGGCTGCAGGTTCCGAGAAGTGAGTACCAGAGCGATATAAATTAATTCTTCATGTCGACTAAGAGTCAAGCCAAGTCATTTTTCTGCACTCGCGTTTCCTTGGCCCTACCAATTATGCTGCCTGGTTGAAATCTTCATGAAGGTTGTTCTGCCACACGTGCACTGACGCGTTCACACAGTCATTTTGCGCGAAATAGGAGAGGCTGTGAATGTTTTAACGTACGCACCTGCCCATCGATAGTAACACGTAGTTTGCTGAAGGCATCAGATGGGCCGCAGGGGAATAGATGCCGATGTCGCCGTCGAGTCAGTAAGGTGGGTGAATTCCATGATCTCGTCGCACTCATTACATACTGACTGACCCCTCGTGGTGCGCTCAGAAAACGGGTATAAAGCTCCAGTGATGTACTCGTCTTAGCACCACTACGTAGACTCATCATGTCCGCGCTCAAACGAGAGCTGCGATCCCTCGGAGCCTTCATCACCAATAAACCCCCTTATTGTAGCGGCACTTTAGCAGTCCCCAACGAAGACTTGATCCTGTTTTACGGGAAAGATGGAGTTGCAAGGTACCGTATACCTGCTGTTTTGGAAACCTTTCTTCTTATTTTCGCAATGAAGCCGAATAGACTTATCCCACGCGTCCGAAGAAGATTTGAAGCACCTAGCGGAGGCTTGCGATGTAGCGACCTTCGGTATCGCACAGAGGGATGTCCTGGACGAGTCATACAGGAAGGCGGGAAAGCTCGACACTTCTGCATTCTCCATGCAATTCCATGCTGGCGATGCTGGCCTCCTTGAAGCGGTTAAGACAGACCTCATGGAGGCCCAGAGGCAGAGACCCATCCGTGCGGAGCTGTACAAATTAAATGTTTACGGTATGTCTCCCCAACAAAAATGTCACGCTAGCATGCTCAGCCACTAGCTATACTTAGGACCCAAGTCGTTCTTCAAGTCCCACGTGGACACTCCTCGCAGCGAAACCATGTTTGGCTCTCTAGTTGTCGTTTTTCGTACGCCCCACAAGGGTGGCGCTCTAGCTCTGCGCCACGACAACCAAGAGTGGACCTTCGACTCAGCGGCGACATTTGCGGAACAATCGGAGCCTTGCGTTGCGTACGTCGCTTTCTACAGTGATGTAGAACACGAGGTCCTTCCCGTCGAAACCGGCTATCGCGTCACGCTGACATACAATCTGTATTTTGGCTCTGAGGACCCGTATCATACCGTCCCGAACATCCACCCAAACCCTCTAACTGAATCTCCATTCAGGGACAGGCTCAAGGAGCTTCTAAAAAATCCGGCGTTCTTACCGCTGGGCGGCACTCTCGGCTTTGGGCTGCGGCACCAGTATCCTCTGAAGACAAAGGGCGCTTGGCGGTATGAAAGGAAAGGCGTGCATCCTCTGAAAGACCTGCTGGTGTACCTGAAGGGCAGTGACGCCGTCCTCCTACGCATCTGTCGGGAGTTCCACCTGAACGCTTCCGTCCAGCTGCTGTTCCGGGATACCAACGGAAAGAGGGACGTGGAGGTGCTCTGCGACAGAGTGGTCGACATGTCGGACGATTGCCTGGACACCCAGCTGTGGTTCCACCTTCGAGAGAACTATGGAGGCAAGCTCCTGCGTGCCGTCGATGGGCCGGAGCAACAGCAGGATATCGAGGTGCATTGGGTCACGGAGACGCCAAAGGTGAACTCCATCGAGAGCCCGTACATCGCGTACGGTAATGGTGCCAGTGCTGCTCATACTTACATGTATCTGTGTCTCATCATCGAAGTCGGAAAGGCTGGCAATCGTGAGACGGCGGAGTAGACAACGCGGGAGGTCACAGATGCAGGACGGTCATGTCATGGTTGGTCTGTCACTAGAACTTGTATCAGCCTAATTTTGAGAACATACATGCTTCCTTGTCTGCATCCGCTACAGAATCAGTCCAGTACTTCGATGCATGGTCGGTTATATACTGGCTTCCACAGGCCATCTTGATGTCACCTACGAATCACGCAGACGATATGAAAGACATCATCGCCTTCAGACGATGCAATTGGGCTCATGCACCCTAGTCAATCCAGAATGCAACCACAGACATTATGACATTACCACTCTGTTCTAAGTACTTGATGTGCCCTGTCCACGGAAAGGAACGCCTAACAACTTGGCTTCATGGCTCCTGTTGTACATCCTTCAACCTGAACCCGACCGCAACGTATGGTGGTGCGACAAAGAACCGCACTTGCTCGTCAATCAGACGGTATTTTGCCTTTCCGCCTATGACGTGCTTTCCAGGTGCGCCTGTGCGATGTCCACCCGGGAGAGTCGCCTGGCGCGTGCCTGTAGAGTTGTCACCGAACTGTTACATTGAGCAAATAGGGAGAACAAACCCTTGTAGTAGTCTTTGTTTCCCCGTTTCGCGGTAAGGGTGCGTCGGGACGCCTTTGAGAGTCGGACGAGGGTGGGGAACATGGCTCGCGGTGAACACGATCACTCACTTCAGCCAAATTGACCGCCAGTGAGGTTCCCACGCTCCATGGCCAAACGACGACCTCAGCCCGGCGCACGACGAGCTCGCGGGGTCTCGCATTTTGGCAAACACAGAAGAGAACCTAGAAATGATTCACAGATAGAGGTCCTTGAAGACGCGCTCACGTCGTCATGAACATCTTCGTAGATGACTCGAGATACATCCAACGAGAGGTTCTTGCACGCTCTGAGCAGTTGCGCATCCTTCCCGTCGAGATAGTGGGTCAGACCCTGTAGGGCTATGCTCCTTCTCGGTCCGAATTCCTGCAGAAAATTCGTGTCGATGGGGTAACGATGGGACAGGCCAAATCCGAGATGTCGGCCCTCAGATAAGAATGTCGGTTCGCACCGAAGCGCCGCCAGCTCGATTTCAAACTTGAATCTCGTCCCAGGGAATGGTTCCGTGGAAGGATGCGAGCGGGATGCGGGGCGGTGAAATAGAGGTTGTATGTTAGGGTGACACGATAGCCAGATTTCACCACATCGTTGAAGGCGACGTAAGCGACTTCTTATTTTTCAGACTTAGGAAAAATCTCTCCAGGGTCAAAGGTCCATGATTGACCCTCATGCCGCAACACCAGCGCACGGCCTTCGTGAGGGGTCGGGAAGGCGACGACGAGAGAACCGAACATCTTCTCACGCCGAGGCATATCCACGTGCGACTTGAACAACGATCCTGGTCCTGCAAGAAATCGGTTTTAGAATACAGATGTTCGAGTTACATACGAACGGACATACCACATACATTCAGCTTGTACAACTCTGCACGAACAACAGATTTCAGGCTTCCGTTGAACAGATCCGCGTAGACATTTTCGATAGGACTCGTCATGCACATTTTTCTGGCCAACAACGAAGAGCGCAGTGTCCCATATGTCCGCGACGCGTCGCAGCTCGTTTTCATACGGATGGAGCAGACCCACTTTCTTGCAGCAGTTAGGGATACCCTGAGATTGACTTTCCCGGAGAACTGGCTTACCCTGCGGTCTGTCCGTAGCATAGAACAATAGGAGGTCTCTCAGGCACTGCTAATGTACCACTGCTGTACGGTACAGTGCCTGTGAGAGCTGAGACGAGTTTTTCAAGCTGGGTGTCGAGACTGTACATGCTAAGAACGACCCTAGTTCAAGAAATATGAGGGTCAGCGGCATCGTGCTTGAGCCCCTTTTCAAGCAGAGTCATTGTGGACGAATGAGGACAGCGATCAAGTATCGCAATTTAGGCCTGACCGTCCACTGAAGTATAGCTACATATTAATATTATGAACTGGGACGAGCAAGTCAAAGATGTTGTACAATGGCGAGAAACAACGCACAAATACATCGGCCGCACTCGGTAGTGGTGTTACAACGGGATAAATGTCCAGGTGCAACATCGAGGTCATTCGAAGCACTTCATAATTGCCTCAGGCAAGAGGCTGTCCTCTCTATCCTTGTCCAATACCTGCAACTGGCCATGCTGATACACCAAACTGAGCCGCCCAGCTCGCCCGCGCTTGATCACAATATCCTTGATATCCTGCCTGCCTGAAGCTCGCCTGCGCTTGGCTCTGGAGACGGGTGAAGAAAGGATCGCCCAGATTGCGTTTCTCGATCGTCTCGAATGTGCCACGCTCGTGCACCGCAAAGTAGTGGTTGGGAATCTGAGAGAAGAGAAGCTGCGTGAATGTATGGATCCAGTTGTACTGGTCTTTATATTTCTTTGAGCGGGTGGCGAGTTCGACAAGGGAGTCCTGAGGTACCTGCGAGCCTCCGCGTTTGACCCGTAGGTAGGTACCGAGCGCGGTATCTGTGTCGCCTGAGGCGGAGGAAGCCTGATTGTTTGGAGAGACATTCAGACCTGATACGAGGCCCGAGATATCATCAATATTCGCAGGCGATGTCGGAGGTCGAGCTGGAGGCAGGGAAGCTGTGCATGCATCCACGTAGAAGCGCACGACCAGTAACAAGCCATTGAAGTCCTGTGATGGAAGTCGAGAGGGTTCTCGTCACAGCGTCATGGAACATAGCTCACATATTTCACAATTCTGTGATGTCCACCCCGCTGTTCGCAGCCCTCAATGGGAGTCGTGCTCTCGTGCTCGAAGCTGAGACTGTACGTCCAAACGGCTGGATCAGCTTCCTCACTTGTACGCTTCTCCCAACGACTCATCAGAACCGTGCCTTTGCCAGCCAGCTGGGTGTCAATCCTGAATTCAGAGGCGGTACCATCTTTATCGTTGATCCAGTGTAGGAGTTTTCGAAGACAGTTCCGATCCACGATGAAGTCGACTTTAGTCCAGTCAATGTTGCTTGTACCGCGCTCCTCGGCAAGTACGTCGATCGCACGGATCAAGGGAAGGAGTGGATAACGGTGTATACGGTGTCCATTTTCATCCACAAACCTCGTCCCAGTATCGCGCGGGACAGCGTATGGAGTCCGCCTGTCGCGCCATACTGGAGGAGAGCCTGAAATGACTCCGTCAATTAACTACTGCGAGAGAGTAAGAGTTACGCACCCGGAACCACGATCGTTGGCTCTACGCTGTCGAGCCAATTATATGATCCAAGGTACGCTACATCCTTTATCGCTATATCCTCCCCTGCAACGTCCTCAGGCTTTGGCAGCGTTGGCGCCACGCGGAGGCCTAGAAGAGTGTCTCGATCGGAAGGAAGGGAGGTATCATTCCAGGGGCGCTGTACGCCATGGCCACTGGCACTTGGAAGGGGGAGTACACCGCGACCGCGGACACGACGACCTGGAAGGGGAGATGCACGACCATCGCCGAGGCCGTAGCCGCGACCGCGACCGCGACTTTGACTATGATCACTACCACGACCCCGTCCACGACCGTGGACATTGTCGGCTTGGTGAGACATGATCTCACCAGTCTTAGAAGGAGACACCAGAAACAATGGGAACGATCGAGACGATGGGTACGTGTGGCACTTTCGTCTACATAAGGAAGGTGAGTATGTTTCGCAGAAAACACATTAATATTCAACAGTGACCAAGTACTGTACCTCCACTACATGCAGAATGCTACGGCTTCAATACAATGATGGCAGACACAATGAGATACTGTCGCCTTGAGCTTCACAACTACATCGCCCAGCATTCCAGCGTTAAACCTGAAGTCGCTATTTCCTGCGGTTTCAACGTCGCCGCAGTCGATTAGGGTCAACACACCCTATGGCGCGCAGGATTGCTGCCGTTCTCGTACCCTGATCATCGGGAATTTCCTTGTCAGGGCAGTAGCCTTGAAAATATTTGCGTGACTGATGTCTGGCCAGCCCCTCAACGACATCAACAGAGGTGAGAGCTGGCAATGGATCATTCTGGTTGTTTTCAGCACGTAGGACATAGCCCAACGACTATGTACGCACTCGGTATACAAGGCCCCACGGATATGTGCCGTCTTCCCAGGGAATCTGGACGAATGGCACATTATCGCCCTTGGCATTCATGCTGTTGTACATCTGAAACAACCATTCAACGACATTAGCATAGGTATTACCTATCCGAGTACTCACCTTGCCAGAAGTTCTCTGAGTATCTGCAAGGCGCCGCTCAAGTCGCTGAAAACCATCGTCTACCTTTCTGTTCAACTTCCTGATCTCACGACGCATCGGCGACAAAAGAGTCCTCATGCTCTGATTGAACCAAGGGGGAGCAGCATCTACGTATAATTGAGACAAGGGGCTGAATAGTGTCAAATCTCGTTCTTACTGTGATCAGAGGCGGCGACGATATATGCCTTGTATTTGATTGCGGATGCAAACTGAACATCATCAACCAATTCGCGCGCTATGTAGTGTATGAAAGCGTTTTTCAGTTGAATTCACCGTATCAAGGCGCTTGCCTACTGTAGTTGATCTCCACTTGCTTCTCATATAATTTTGCCCGACAGATGTCGTAATCACTGGGAGGTACGTTGGGTTGCGGCGGAAGTTCGACTCCTGCTTCTACAGGCAGCTGGATAGCCACTGCCAGTGGAGGACCCTGAGGAGGATCCGACAAAGACGACGAGTCAGACATATACTGTAGACGCTGCTCTTGCTAGATACTGTGTTGAGTGGAAGCTGTTCACACACTGTTCACTAGTTGACTTTCACGTTCTATATATATTTCGGTAGTCTCGGGATTTGCCGTTCGCCATCTGGCGGACAACAAGAACTTCAAAAAGGGAACAAAGGCATCGCGCATGTAGAAGAAGCTGTAAACGTGTTTGTGAAGTGTTCCAGCAGCTTCACCTTGAAGTACACTGACGCGAGTCATTCTACGCGAAACGCGTCAGTAAACGCCTCCACGTAGAGTCATTCCGTACAAAATGAGACAGGCTGTGAATATTTGGCTTCACGCCAAGTCATCCCGCGCAAAATGGGACTGTCATAGTTTCATAGGCCTGGACGCTGCGGGATGGGTGCTGATAATTAAAAAGCCTCGTCTCAGCTAGCCTACACCTCATCATGTCCGCACTCGGACGAGAATTGCGATCTTTGGGATCCTTCGTCACCAGTAAACCGCCTTATTGTGGCGGCACTTTAGCAGTTCCCAACGAAGATTTGGTCCTGTACCATGGGAAAGAAAGAGTTGCAAGGTACTCACCCGCTTTCATTAAGATTGAGCCTTTCTCCTTATTTTCGCATTGAAGCCGAATAGACTTATCGCACACGTCCGAAGAAGATTTGAAGCACCTAGTGGACGCTTGCGATGTAGCGACCTTCGGCATCGCACAGAGGGATGTCTTGGACGAGTCATACTGGAAGGCGGGAAAGCTCAACACTTCTGCATTCTCCATGCAATTCCATGCTGGTGATGCTGGCCTGCTTGAAGCCGTCAAGACAGATCTCATGGAGGCCCAGAGGCAGAAACCCATCCGTGCTGAACTGTCCAAATTAAATGTTTGCGATATGTCTCCAATAAAAGGTCACGCTAGCATGCTCACCAACTATGCTTAGGATCCAAGGAATTCTTCAAGTCCCATGTGGACACCTCTCGCAGCAAGCCATGTTCTGCTCGCTGGTTGTCGTTTTCCCTATGCCCCACAGGGGTGGTGCTCTCGCCCTGCGCCACGACAACGAAGAATGGACCTTCGACTCAGCGGCGACGTTTGCGGAGCAATCGGAGCCTTGCATTGGGTACGTCGCGTTCTACAGCGACGTCGAGCACCCAGGTCCTGCCCGTCGAATCCGGCTATCGCGTCACGCTGACATACAATCCGTACTTCGGCTCTGAGGACCTGTATCATACCGTCCCGAACGCCCACCCAAACTCTCTGAATGAATTTCCATTCAGGGACAGGCTCAAAGAGCTTCTAAAAATCCGGCATTCTCACCGCTGGGCGGTACTCTCGGCTTCCGGCTGCGGCATCAGTATCCTCTGGGGACAAAGGGTGCTCGGCGATATGAAAAGAAATGCATGCATACACTGAAAGACTTGCTGGGGTACCTGAAAGGCAGTGACGCCGTCCTCCTACGCATCTGTCGGGAGCTCCACCTGAACGCTTCCGTCCAGCTTCTGTTCCGGGATGCCGACGACGGAGAGAGGGGCGTGGAGGTGCTCTGCGACAGAGTGGTCGACATGTCGGACGATTGCCTGGACACCCAGCTGTGGTGCCACCTTCAAGAGAACTATGGAGGCAAGCTCCTGCGTGCCGTCGATTGGCCGGAGCAACAGCGGGATATCGAGGTGCATTGGGTCACGGAGACGCCGAAGGTGAACTCCATCGAGAGCCCGTACATCGCGTACAGTAACGACGCCAGTGCTGCTCATACTTACATGTATCTGTGTCTCATCATCGAAGTCGGCAAGGCTGGCAATCGTGAGACAGCGGAGTAGACAACGCGGGGGGTCACAGATGCAGGACGGTCATGTCATGGTTGGTCTGTCACTAGAACTTGTATCAGCCTAATTTTGAGAATATACATACTGTCTTGTCTGCATCCGCTACAGAATCAGTCCAGTACTTCGATGCATGGTCGGTTATATACTGGCTTCCACAGGCCATCTTGATGTCACCTACGAATCACGCAGACGATATGAAAGACATCATCGCCTTCAGACGATGCAATTGGGCTCATGCACCATAGTCAATCCAGAATGCAACCACAGACGTTACGACATTACCACTCTGTTCTAAGTACTTGACGTGCCCTGTCCACGGAAAGGAACGCCTAACAACTTGGCATCATGACTCCTGTTGTACATCCTTCAATCTGAAACCGACCGCAACGTATGGTCGCAACTACAACCCAGGAAGAAGCGTGAGATGTGAAGCACGCCAAGAGACGAGACGATGCGCACTCGCGAGTTTTCAATCTCCTCGATTGGCGGTGCGACAAAGAACCGCACTTGCTCGTCAATCAGACGGTACTTCGCCTTTCCGCCTATAACATGCTTTCCAGGTGCGCCTGTGCGATGTCCACCCGGGAGAGTCGCCTGGCGCGTGCCTGTGGAGTTGTCACCGAACTGTTACATTGAACAAATAGGGAGAACAAACCCTTGTAGTAGTCTTTGTTTCCCCGTTTCGGGGTAAGGGTGCGTCGGGACGCCTTTGAGAGTCGGACGAGGGTGGGGAACATGGCTCGCTGGTGAACACGATCACTCACTTCAGCCAAATTGACCGACGGTGAGGTTCCCACGCTCCATGGCCAAACGACGACCTCAGCCCGGCGCACGACGAGCTCGCGGGGTCTCGCATTCTGGCAAATACAGAAGAGAACCTAGAAATGATTCACAGATAGAGGTACTTGAAGACGAGCGGCGTCCTGAGAGCGCTGTTGACGAGGGTCATTCTTCCGGAGAGGACGACGATTCAGGCTCGGAAGATGCGGCGGAAGATAGTGAGAGCTGTGTTCATTGGGAGGTCAGATTATCATGCACTGATGCACCATCGCAGCCTCAGAGACAACAATAGATGTGCCTATTGCTATGTGGGTGAGCTCTGCATACGCTGGACGGTGAAGCATGCGTTGACTGTACGCCGAACGAATATGCAGGACTTCGATCACTGTGACCCTCGCCGATGTTCAGGCAAACGGCTTGCTCGGTTGGGGTTCATGAAGGAACTCAAAGTTGGCCAACGCTTCCGAGGGATCGTTGTATCGTAAGATTTCAGGAGTATCCCATTCTTTAATGACCGACTTCCATTGTGGCGCCAGCCCGAAGGGAACACAGATGGTCAGCCCTGCGGATCGTGATATCGTGCTAAAGAACGGCCTGGCGGTAGTCGAATGTTCGTGGGCAAGACTGGACGATGTGCCGTTTAGGAAGATTGCAAGCCCTCATGAACGTCTCCGTGAGTCTAGCTTTATACATCGTCGGGGGTGATCGCTTGCCCCACGGATGTGCTGACTGCCGCTTAACAGTCCCATACCTAGTGGCGGCGAATCCAGTCAACTACGGGAAACCGTGGAGGCTGAATTGCGTGGAAGCCATCGCCGCGGCCTTTTACATTACGGGTTTCCACCTATACGCAGACAAAGTGCTGAGCAAATTTGGCTGGGGCGCGTCATTCTGGACGGTTAACCGGTACGTCGGATATTGAGGTCTCGAATCGCGGTACTAAGAGCGGCTCGACAGCCAATTCTTCGAACGCTACTCGACTTGTGCTTCAGCAGCAGAAATGGAGGACACGCAGAAAAAAATTATGCAGGATCTCGAGGACGCGTACGTACAGTCCCGCGCTGCGGAACAGTCAGGTGTGTGCGACGCATGAATGACGCGCGGTGGCACTGAAATCTGGACCAGATTACGGCGAGGATCTTCTGTTTGAAAACCCGAACCATCAAAATCACGAGTAGAACATCCCGAACTCCCGATTGCAAGCTCTGTGTAATTCTTACCGCTTTCACATTATATCGTTAGCGTGCATCCGTGAGTGTTTCCTCCTGTGCCTTAAGCATCCTGTCCCACCCAGATAATTGACAGTCATGTTCTGTCTGTTGCAACCTCCCAACTTTGCGAAGGTGAGCCGTATTATCTACCCGTTACTAGTTTATTCAGTCCATTACGAATGCACACTGCAATCCGGAAGGTGACGCAGACATTGGCGCACCTGTAATAACTCTTCGTATTGTCATTTTCTGAGCTGCGCTACGAAGAAGTAGAGGGTGTAATGATATCACAGCAACATTCTTCCGGACCACCTTGGCATGGCAATGCACTCCCGCACGTTCTCAATTCCGCTCATCCAACTAATTAGCCTCTCGAAGCCCATCCCGAATCCTCCATGTGGCGCACCGCCGTACATTCTCAGATCAAGGTACCACCCGTATTCGTCTTCTGGCAGATTGTGTTGGTTCAACGCTTCCTTAAGCACCTCATGCCGTTCCTCGCGCAGCGACCCACCAGCGAGCTCGCCCATGTGCGGGATGAGCAGGTCGAAACACGCGACCGTCTTCCCATCGTCGTTCATGCGCATGTAGAACGGCTTGAGGATTGCGGGGTAGTCCGTCACGAACACGGGTCCGCGCACCAGCGTCTCTGCGAGCCAGCGCTCGTGCTCGCTTTGCAGCGGCTTGCCCCAGCCGGGGTCGAACGCGAACGCACGCGTCGCCCGCTGGTGCGCCTCGAGCTCAGTGACCGCATCGCTGTAGCTGATGCGTACCCATTCTGTTGAGGACGCGGCCGCCTGGAGTACCGCGGCACCCGGGTGATCGTGATCGTTCCATAGAGGCGCCATTGCGTCGCGACTGTTCTGGAGGAGGTCTTTCAGAGACGCCTCCACAAACCTGCAAATATCGTCGACGCTGCGCGTAAATGCCCACTCTGCCTCAAGCATCCAGAACTCGGCGAGATGGCGGCCTGTCTGCGAGCGCTCCGCGCGGAAGCACGGTGAGAGGGTGTACACGCGAGAAATTGCGGTTGCAATGGCTTCGAGGTGCAGTTGGGACGATACAGTGAGGTACGCAGGAAGCCCAAAGAAGTCGCTTCGCTGCGCTGAAGCGTGCTCTGGATGGGATGATGCAGCGATGCCGAAGGTTTCTCCGGCACCCTCGCAGTCACTCGATGTCAGAATCGGAGTGTGTACGTAGCAGAAACCTTGAGTCTTGCGTTCAGTGAGCACAATCGACTACAACGGAGCAGATGCTATACCTCGTAGAAGTGGTGGAGCACGCGCTGTGCGTGGTCTCGCAGGCGAAGCATTGAAGCAATTGTATCTGTACGCGCACGCAGGTGGCAGTGATCGCGGAGATAGTCAACCGTCAAGATCTTCTTCTGTATTGGATATGTCTAGAACGCAGTTATGAGGAGATCTGGCGGAGGAGAAATTCACGATGCGTACGGAGGGGTCGCAGTCTCCCAGAACTTCTACCGAGTCAACTTGAAGTTCCTTGTCCTGTCGAGCTCCTGGGCTGTCCGACAACTTCCCGCCCAGGCGCACACTCGCGCCATTCGTTAAGCTTGCGAGATATTGGCCAACATGCAGAGAATTAAGATATGCGCATCAGAGCGTACCTTTTCGCGAGATCGGTATTTGTGAAGACGGCCTGAAGGCCTCGATCTGAGCTTCCGTCTGAGATGACTGCGAATGCGATGTTCTTCTGCCGACGGACGGATTTAACCCATCCAGTCACCTCTACCGGAGCAGAAACATGGCTCGACAGTAGTTGTCGGATAGTGGGGGGCAGAGAAGTCGACAAGAACCGCCGAAATATCATACTAGCTCATCCACCTGTACTGGCAACGCGGTGACACATAAACGAGTGGGAAGCTGGTATGACTGGAAGCCAAGGTTAGAATAGTTGGAGTTTACTCGTGTCTGTCCTGAGATCAACACCTGTATGACATGTGTAGCTAATAAGTTCTAGGGAAACTGCTTGTGCTGAGTAGAGGCGAGAGGGAGGATCTGTTGGAAAAGTACACAGTTGTACGACGAAAATGATGAGTGAATCTACCAAATAAAGAAAAGGGATACTTGTTGGTCACACTAGGAGCCGTCACATTTTGGAGCATGCCACAGCATCAGCAAGACCGGGAATTTTCTCCAAAGAGATTATAAAGGTGTAATTCCATGTAACTTGCGCAATTTTTTCACCAAGGAATACATTGCATTGTAACCCTGAGTCAGATTGCAGAGTTGCCAACTGGCATAATCAGTTATAAACTCTGGAAACATTTTACAGGTTACGAAGCTCATATAACTTCCTACAAAATTTATTATGCACTTGTAGCACGCAGGCACAGACTGTCCTAAACAGACCGAAACCAATTCATTCAGATCGGTTTTATAATTCTCAAAAGTGGGAGTATTCCAAATTAATTATATCAACATATTATTATTACTGCAGCGGTACAAGACGTACAAAGTGCTCTACATGAGAACTAGTTGGGCCTACTTACGGCTACACCGCCATACCAAGGACCGACCAATATTGGTCCAGGATTGGTCCAAGACCAATCCGACCAATTTGAACCCTAACCCCAAATCGACAGACCAAAATGATCCGAGGATCATGTGATCTCGACGTACAGTTCTATGAAAAGGTATGTTCTCCGCGTTCTCGCAATTGAGACCGCACCAAAAAAAGATAGATTTTACATTGGAATACATTTCATTTTATTCAAATTTACAGAGGGAAGAAGCCAGTACTCACTTTGCAGGAAGGGCCCAACACGGCAGGTAAGGTAAGTACATGGCAGGCAAGGTGGAGTGAGTACGAATAACAAGCAGGCGAGAGCGAAGTCAGCATTTGATGCCTAGGTACACACATGCAGAAGGTGACTGACAGAGCAGGTAGGATAAGTAGTGCAGTGGGGAGAATTCAACGAGAGGCAAACCCTCGGGACAAGGAGTAAGACGGGGGAGCAGGTGCAGTGAACAACATCAGCAAAAGTGCACAATTGTTACAACGGATTCCGACGATTGTAGTATTCGCCCGCATGTGATAACAGGTTAGAATGTCATCGTAAGCCATTAGAATAATGGGGCTGCATTGCGACCTTCGTAATCCCTTCAAATTCGTTGCAATGCTCGGTAACGTAGATGACTGATTGCAATGCCATTACAATGCACTATAAACCTATGTAAGGCAGTTGTAAGAGCTTGTAATGTTGAGCGAACATGGTGATTAATAGTGATTATACTGAAGGCAGAGACTCAAGAAATATTCGACAAGGGAGCACAGAACAACGTCCACGGAACGATCCACTATCAGACTACACTAGGACAGTCATTTACCTGCCTGCGGACTCCAGCTCGTCCATACCGTTTCTTCGACTCCGAGATCCTTTGCATATCCTCGTTCCGATATTCACTGCCCATTCTATGTTCTGTGGCCGGCAGGAATATGAATAGGACCTTGAGCAAACCAGCCCCTTCACGCGGTCTTGGGTCCGACAAACTTGTGTACGTAGCAAAGTAGTCAAAGTCAAAGGCACACGGTGACGGCCCAGTCGGCTTGCGAAGTGACTCTTCCCAATTTGGAAGCTACTCAACAGTGATGACGTAGTACACTTCTCTCCTCCCGGCCATATAAGAGGCGGTCAGTCTCTTCTGGTGTCTTTCACTGCTTTGATTCCTCCTTGTATGTCGACGCATTCTTGGCGGCACAGCCGCTTTTCTGACGACAACATTAATGACAACGACGCCGCAGAAGCGCGCCTCGCCAACGTTAACACCATTTCCACTGAGTGCTTTGCTCTTCTCATTCTACATATGTGCCCTTCCTGCAGGACGTGCCTTAGGAGCTTCTCGTCCATTTAAAGTGACACACTTGTGCCCTTCCACTGCTCACACACCTATCTGTATGACTGCAGTATGTGTTCCGTCTTGTCTTTGCTGTCATGAATTGGGAACAGGATCATGGTACATGCCGTATCGTGATGCATGGAGCTAGTGCTCTCGATGCATACACCACACCAGATCGAGCCTGAGCAGGTGCATGTACTATTGAGTATCCTTTGAACTGCCTAGAATTCACACTTCGCGACCGTCCACAGTGCATATACCGAGTCAAGATTTGGACACCGGCCATACTAGCAGCAGCGGGCTCGCGATGCCCAGCCAGTGAGTAATCGTGCACTCTAGACGGTAACATAGTTGATGCACTCTCTCCGCAGGCCTGCCCGCACTGGACCGGTTTGTCTTCGCAAAGCTCGCGATGTTTCAACTGACATATTGAGCACGTATCATTGCCTGCATGACAACTTACCCAATAAATTCCTTTATTATAGACAGGTCTTTCGTGCAGATGCCAGCAGGAATGTGCGCTCAGACTGCCGCAACGACAGCAACAGTCTGTCAACTTTGAAAGAACGACACTACAGTCAGTAGGCCCCAGGTTCACCGACCTCAATGTATGCACCAAGTGTAGCACTGTCTCACAGCATTCTGCACAGACTGCCTTTGGATTTCTGTACTCTTGCTACCCTCTCCTGGATGGTCTTGTTGGCCCTCGTCGTTGAGATTTCACCGCCTCTGTTTCTCGCTGCCGCTTCTCCTTGCGGTGGCACTTTCTCAACCTTTGTGCTCTCTCGGACATCCAGCTCACCTCTCGATGGTCATCCTGCTCTCGCGCCAGCTCGTGGTGTTCCGGTTTTGTGCTCTCTTTAGGTTTTGCACTGCTCTCCTGTTCTATTTGGCACTCATGCGGACTGTGGTGAACTCTCTGTATTCATATGTAGTCACACCTGTTGTATGTTATGTTGTATTTGCCGCAATGATTACTATATTTCCTGTCCTGTGCTCTGTCCACTGGGAGTAAGTCTATTTGTACAGCCATTATAAGTTGTCCCCTGACATTGCCACTGCTTACAATCCCATCACGATGCCTTATAAACCTGGGAATCCATGGTAATGAGTCCCAAACATTCCAGGTATTCGGAATAGATTGTGTACATTGTGAATGGATTACCAAATATTTTGAAACATTGGGAAATATTCGGAACCCCCGTAGAGAAGTTACAATCCATTACAACTTTGCTCAATAATTTCGAGTGTTGTAACGGATTTCCTAGATTACAATGCTATGTAACCGATGGTAACAGAAGTGCACTTTTGCTGATGAAATAGGGGCAGCGCACACATCACAGATGAGAGTGTGGTCAACGAGAGCCCTACTAGTAACTGTATGGGCGGAGGGCTACAGGGCAGTGGGCAGGACTGTGAGAGCAGGTCAAGAGCAGATGCTGCCAGTGAGAAAGGAAATAAAGCAAAAAGTGAGCTCCGAGCAGCATAGCGCATTCGCTACGCTGCTCATCTGTCTGTCTCGTTGCAGCAATGCAAGAATTGAGGATTTACTATTTACAACTCCTGTTCAAGCACACCTGAGGTCAAGAGCTCAGGCCGTGGTAGTTTCGTGCACCTGCGGTACGGTTAAAGCTTCGCACTTGCTCAGTTGTAGCGAATGCATCATCGCCGCCAGAGGCGGCGCGCCCGAGCATAAGGCTAGTCGCATAGTCTGCAGCCACAGGGAGACCTGGGATGCCTGAGACATCCTTTGCTGTCGCGTTAGATGTAATCGAAGTGGTGAGGGCAGAACAAGATAGAATAGTTTGCTCTCGCCGATGCGCGCATCACGGTCGGCGAGAAATTCCTTGGTACGATTTTGGCGCGAAGCGCCAAAATCCTTGGGTGGTCCCCGGCCCGCCTGCCACGGGGAAAATCCTTGGAATGACCAATTTGCCCCAACTTACTGCACGAAAACCCGCGTGCCGCCATAACGCCCACTTACTGCAGTAACATCTGCATGCCGCCATAACAAACAAATAGTTAGGCCCACTTACCGCACCAACACCCGCGTACCGCCATAACAACCAACACTAGAAAAACGTACCTACACTTTCACCCAGAGACATAAAACAATAGAGATTGAAATAGAACGCACCGTGAGTCGCTCCAACCACGAGAGCCCGACCAAGCAGCGCGCAACAACAAACCCGGTAGACCTATACATATAGTTAGCCGCGTGTAACGGCACTCACCTGGCATGCACATTGAACTGACAGAGGCTGCAAATTTATACGTGAGTGAGGGTGGCGAGAATTGTCGGTGGACGGTAGTCGCGATGCATCGAGATTAGCCTCAGACTTGCCTCAGAGTCGCCTCGAAACAGCTTCGGATCTCCCCTGGGAGGGTATACCACACCTCTCAGCCCTGCGTCGACCTCTACGTGGTCCAGAGGACTAGTACCTTGTAATCCCCTGGGATAACAAGGGAAGCTAACAGGTGCAAAGACAATCAACCAACGGACACACTTGACACGCTCAGTGCTGCTCCCCTAATCCCCACTGGGATACACACAAAAACGTGCACTTTGCACAAGGACTCACGTCCTCAGACTCACACACATACACAACCACGTAACCAGCCCCAACGAAACTCATTCTGAATCCATACCCCCCCCTGTACACGACAACTCCACCCTAACCCTACTGACATCGCCCACAATGGCATCATTATGTAACTAACCACGCGGAGCGGCCTGAGGCCCCTGTGGCACGTGACTAGTTGACAAAGTACATAGGGAAATGCCAAGTTCACTGAACACCTTCTGTCGGAAACCTAAAAGAACGAAAACCATATATTCTAGAGGCCCCTATAATCCAACTCTTGTGACTGCCACTCGAAATACGTTGATGAAAAGTCAGCCAAATACCAATTTCAAGCAAACAAGCGCCTCGCGTAATTACGCGACAGACGCGCATTCAAAGAATATTAAAGCAACAATCAATGGCCATCATGAAAAAGAGGACAATGACTATGCCATCCCTCCTGTACTAGTTACCCCCCTTTCATCTCTCTACAAAGCCTCCACGCGATGAACTGCTACCCCCCAATCCAACCTTAAAGTCAATCCAAGGCCTATACATTGCACTACCACACCCATCTGACATAACACCCCTAGGGGAAATCTGCTCACGACCTGACACATGTACCTCCAGCAGACCCCTTATCGAATTCTTTGCCGACACACTCACTCTATGGATCGACAGACCACATTGAATCCCCACTCCATCTACCTCATGGACAGTTGTCTTCCCAGCATACCGACTCATCGGAATTGGATCCCATATCAAGGTCCACCCTCTGGGGAAGGGGATTATCACAGAGATATGTTATGTCGGGACTCACAACATCACCCTCAAGATCCTTGAAACAATGCGTGGAGAAACCATATACATCTCTGTCAAATGTGATTGGACGAGCATCACAGACACCGAGATATCACACTTCCAAAAACGCAAAGCACAAAACCTCTGAGCGGCCCGGGCTGCCTAGCATGACCTCCGAACCACACGTGTAAGCACCTACTCTCACAAACCAAATGCCCCATAATGACTACACGCAGAGACTACTATTCCCCACGATTCCTAGCCTGTTGTACCAGCTCGTTTATATGAATCAACCTTGCGCCCAATGCCCTATTAACGCAAAGTGAACCATCTTGTCAACAACTCCGCAAACAGCTCCCACACAAGAGAAGATGCGAATATCGTCCGCTGGCCAGCTGCCCGATCTAAAATTAGACACGACAACCTTGCATGAACAGGAGAACGACAATGACGACATCCCTGCCCCTCAGCTAAAGCGACATAACATGCCCTACCCTCCAAAATGCACGAATACTGTAGACCGTAGGAACGCCAAACTGACCCCTACAACCTCATTAAAAGCTAAGTCTCAACCACTCCGGACCCTTACCACATACCTGACGACGAGGCCTTATGGCACGGTGCAGTCGAGCCTCTACACGTGCGCCGACGGAACAGCCCAGCAATCGCATATGCCGCAGAATGACGTAAACAAATAGACATGCAAATCCCCTAGCGAAGTACGTCCCTCCCCAATGACCCGCCGCACGTGCCAGCAAACGGCTCTCCTAGCAGCAGCTCGCCAAGAAAAACAAGCCCAATCCAACCAGGAAGAAATTGGTAGATATGCCCGCTCCAATAAATTCACGTCTAATGAGAAACCACAGACACAGAAACTATGCCGCAGCCGCCGCCATTGAAAATTTCCAAAATCGGCCATCATGCCCATAAGGCAGCCCCCACAGCGCAGGACAAGACTGATACCAAGGAGGACCAAACTGCGATCGCAACAACAATGATGCAGCCGCCCCGCGTTTCCGCGAGCACTGACACTCCAGTACCCATGTCGATGCTCGTTACCATGACCGCCATCGTGCAACCCTCTGTACCTCAACAGATCGACAGCACAATCCCCCATGATGCTCGAATGACCCCTTGTCCCGTGTCAGCAATTCGTAGGATCTCTGGAGCATACGAGGCTCTGGGACAGGACGATATCCCGCTAGCAGAGATGCTTGCCAGGATCCAAGGACTCACAAAGGAACAACAAGTACAGACACTTGTGATGCTGTCCAAGTACATTGGCTTTCAAGAGGAGCCACTGAAACAAGGCCAGACAAGCATCTCAGGCCTGACGAGTCCCGCCCCACAGACGAATACCGACATTCGAGCTAACCACCAGACCTCTGGCAGAACCGAGCCGCACACCGATGGCATAGCGAAGTGTAACAGAAGCATTGAACGCGCTCTCGAGGAGCCTCAGTTGCAACACCCCCTGCACCTAACGCTGCACAATGAAGTGGAGATGTGAGAGCAGATGGAACACGTACGTCCGAACAACAATGCCAACTACCCTCACTTACCCACTCTAGTTCATCCCTGATGACCAGCTACCTCTCGAGCCTGCTACTCCTCTGCAGCAGACCAGACCGGCGCAGGAACCCGGGGAATACCAGACCGACGAGGAAATCTCTCCGAGGACCTCCTCTCCCCTCTCTCAATCCGACGACCCCTTCCTCCCCTCCTCCCCCACTGAGGACTGTGTGCAAAGGGACCCCCGCCGTCTCATACCTCACCAGCTGAAGGTCCAACTCGAGAGTGCCCCGGCACTCCCTGACACCCAGACACCCAACATCGCGCCTGCTCCAAACATTCCACCCGCGGAGCCGAGAAGGAAAGGCTTGCATGCCACGACAATGAAAGTGGACACACCGCACCCGTGCACAGGACGTTTTCTAAATGCACCGAAGGACTCATCCCACACGCATATCATTGCCCAGATCGCGGCAGCTAACCAGCAGCCAACGCAACCAGAGGATGAAGTGGACCCTCAAGTAACTAGTAATCTGCAGGATGCCGCATCTCATGCGGACCTTATCACCCAGATAGCTGTTGCTGCCTAACACCAGACATAGCCGGTGGCTACAGCAGTTCCAAATGCTCCGGCTCTGACTCTCACGCCGACGCCTGCGGAGGGCTTCCCTGACATCTACGGGCACCAGCCATACTTCTTCATCGACAACCTGGCACGCGACCTGATGGATGCCTGGGGCAAGCATGACATGGCCCGCGTTGCTATCATGCCGCTAGGATCAAGTGCAAATGACTGAGTTCTCCAACCATACCTGATGACGAAGATCACGAAAACCTTAGAACACGCACACCAGATCCCCAAAGTCATGATGAACCACCCGCACCTGCTCTACGACTCTAAGCTCATCAACGATGCCCTCTACTCCTTCGTCGCCTTCAACATAACGAAGTCCCAGAAGAGAGACATCATCGTGCAGTATTGCTACCTGACTCCTGAGGTCTCCTTCGTTGCAATGGACTTCGTCTGGGAGGTGCCGCAGTATGTATGCACCTTTGCAGGCTTCACCAACCACTCCTTCCAGGACATCCCGAAGCTCATCCTCGACCGCCTCGTCAACCCGCAGAGCATCCAACAGCTCCTTGGCATAGTCGGATATGATGCCCGAGGTCAAAAGCAGACCGATGACACCCTCCGCTCAATCCAGATCCGTACAGTAGACATTTGCGATGACATCGGTGTAATCTCACAGGCCTATAACGTGTACATTGACATACCGCCGATCAACCTCGAGCAATGGAACACATGGCACAGCTTTGTTACCAGCCTCACCTTCAACACCCAGTGGCAAGGTACTGGCCGTGCACTCCCTCCTCGCCGTTGCTCCTACTGTCATGCCGCTGACCACATTGTCGACATGTGCCCCTTCCCTACCCTCCCCGGATGGTGCGCGAACAGGGCGGCACGCAACATCGGCCGGCATGCAGCAGTTATCGTGGTCTCTCTCGAGGGCGCGGATATGATAACTGCCCGCGCGGATGGGGAATGGGGCGCGCCTAAATCTCTGACGACGCTCTAATGCCTACCAATGGCCCCTTCCTGCCTAGCCCCCTACCTTTCTTCCTATGTCTACACCCTAACTCACAGAGCTATCCCCTTACATATTTATTTTCATAGTATCATGGTGAACACAGAACGTCCTTGTAGCTCCTGCGTAGCCACATACCCGATACAATATATTACTTTGCACTTGCAACATACACAATGGAAACCATAATGCAACCTCGAAACCCGGATCTCGCTCAAGATTGCATTCTGCCACCCCTCTTCACTCTGGCCCAAATACACTGACCGTGATGGGACAGGAAAGCCAGAGTGCTCCCTCGAAATGCAACCACATTTCAAAGCGGAGGCCTATTTAGGCCCTGACGAGCCACACCAAGAGGCTGAAGCCATAGAAATGAACCACTGCTTTACCGCGGAACACAGCGTCTCTCACCACATGGCATAGTCACCTTTGGAGCCATAGGTCAATGGCGCCCCGGTCCGATGCATAGCTGTAAGTCGATACCCGGTACACTCAGCAACCACATATAATTCAGAAAACCCCACAAACCCGGTCTTGACACACGGTAATGGCTCGAGCCTCCCCCGTCCTAGAGGTGGAACTGGGCTACCCGCTGCCCACTCCCCCAATGACAGGACAGGAGAGTTAGGTGACAGGCATCGGGATCCTCTCCCTCAACAAACACCAGACTCACAACCAATACCGTCAATGGCGCACCCGATGAACAGGAGCAGCAATCATCGTGGCAGGTGCCAGCGCAAAATTCAATGAAAGACTAAAGCACACCTTAAGATTGCATCTCTAAACATGCGAGGCAAGGGACAAACACCAATCTCAACCTACAAATAAGTGGACTCAGATCCACCAACTCATGCGAGACAATAAAATAGGCATCCTAGCTCTCCAAGAAACACACCTTGACCAAGAATATGTAGACTGACTGCACAGACAATTTGGACACCGCCTATGTATCCACTTCTCATCTTCCCCAGATGCCACCAATGCTCAAGGTGTCGCCATAGTCCTTAATAGAGAACAAACAAATATAAAAAATGTAAAAATCAAGAAACTTATTCCTGGACGAGCACTTTACCTCTCCCTCCCATGGCATACAGACCTAACCTTAAACATCCTAACAATATATGCACCAAATGACCCCAGAGATAATGCAGACTTCTAGAAACAACTAGATGACACCTGGGAAATTCATGACCTCCCTTACCCAGATGTCCTACTGGGAGACTTTAACATGGTTGAGGGTGCTCTAGACCGCTTTCCGAGTCACACTGACCCAACTGAAACCATGCAAACCCTAATGGACCTTAAACAACACCTCCTCCTGCAAGACGGGTGGAGACACGAACATTCAAATGCAAGAGCATTTTCCTTCCACCAACAGAGTACAGGGAGTAAATCTCGGATTGACCGCATATATGTAAATGAGCAAATAATGGAATCAGCCTCTGATTGGATGATTAATGACACCGCAATACACACAGACCACAAGTTAGTATCTGTCCATATATCGAATAAGCAAACACCATACATAGGGAAAGGAAGGTGGACAATCTCACTACATATACTACAAAATGAACGCTTTCTCAACACAGTTGATTACCTCAGCAGGAAACTTGCACAAGATATACAGGACAATGAATCTGACCGCACCATCACAAAAAACCCACAAATATTATTCAAAGACTTTAAAGATCAAGTCCTAAAAGAAGCTAAACTGGCAGCATGGAAAGCTATCCCCCGAACACAAATACAAATAGATAACCTCAAGACACAACTTGACCTCCTACTTAATGACTCAGGCTACATAAATGATGCTGACCTACGACTATCAGCAGACCTAATCCAACATCGCATTACAGAACTCGAGATAGCTCGCAGCCACAAGGCACGAAAAATGTCTGCAGCTCAATATCAACTAGCTGCAGAAACATCAAGTAAATACTGGTCCAAAATAAATAAAGAAGTACGCCCGAGAGACATCATGTTCTCCTTGAAAATGCCTGGCTCATCACCTCCAGAATACGTAACTCGCTCTGACAAAATGGCCAAGCTAGCGCGTGATTACCATGAATCCATCCAGTCAAATGGCCCCCATGCCTCTGCACAGGAACGTGAAACTGCAACCCTACACACTCTGGGAGCAATTCCCAGTAAGGCAAAGCTGAACACCCCATCTCACCTATCTGAAAATATCACAGAAGACACAGTTCTTCAAGCCCTCCTGGCCTCACAAAATGGAAAAGCTTCAGGTATAAATGGAATCCCATATGAACTGTGGAAAGCCCTCCACTCACGCTTCCTCGCCAAAACAAATGAAGGACTCCCGGCCTTCAATGTTATCCGTACCCTGACCTGGACATATAATGACATTGAAACCCATGGAACTATACCAGAAGCAAGCTTCGCTACAGGCTGGCTATGCCCAATATACAAGAAGAATGATTGGCGAGACATTGCCAATTATCGGCCCATAACATTACTAAACACTGATTACAAAATATTCACCAAAGCTTTGTCCCTACACCTATCAGTAATTGCACCCAAACTTATTCACCCTGCTCAAGCAGGGTTTGTCCCTGGCCGGAATATACATGACCAAATTCGCTTGTCACGCCTTATGATTGACTATGCAGAAGCAGTAGAAGAAAATGGAGCCATAATTGCATTAGATCAGGAGAAAGCTTATGATCGCATTGCACATGACTACCTATGATGTACCCTTGAAGCCTTCAACCTTCCTACCCTCTTTATAAACACAATTCGATCTCTCTACCATCATGCAGAAACTGTCATTATTATTAATGGGGAAATCAGTGCCCCCTTCCATGTTACTAGGGGAGTACGCCAAGGCGATCCAATATCATGTCTCCTTTTCGACATTGCAATTGAACCTCTCGCATGCCTTCTCAGATCCTCATCACTCCATGGTTTTCACATTCCTGGTGTACCTGACCGCCTGATTACTACACTCTTTGCGGATGACACAACTGTATACCTAGCAGAATCAGATGACTTCCACACTCTACAACAAATACTTGACCTATGGTGCATAGCCGCCAAAGCAAAATTCAATGTTCACAAGACCGAAATCATACCAATAGGAAACCCAGAATACCGCACTGAATTGATCACCAGCCGGAAAATCCACCCGACAGCTTTGCCCTTCCCATCTAATACCCACATTGCCAAGGATGGGGAAGCAATCCGAATTCTTGGTGGCTGGATTGGGAACCACGTTGAGCCCACTACACAGTGGCCCATGGTGATAGAGAAAATACAAGCAGCTCTCACACGCTGGAACAAAAGTCACCCATCTCTCAAAGGACGCCGCCTTGTAGTGCAAATGATTGTAGGAGGTATGACACAATTTCTTACTACTGTTCAAGGAATGCCCAAACATATTGAGAAGAGCCTGATCTCAATAATCCGAAAATTCATATAGGATGACAATCGCATTCCACTCATCAACATTAAAACCCTATACCTCCCAACCAGCCAAGGAGGACTTGGTCTCCTTGACCTCACCAGTCGTAACCTTGCAATTGACCTTAAATGGCTACGACCCTTCCTAGACCTCTCCCCATCCCGCCCCTTGTGGGCCTTCCTAGCCGATGTTCTTATCAATAAATGTGTTGCATCCAGCTCCGGAAATGTACAGAAACACTCTCAGATTAATGTCTTTCTTCAGACATGGGACACAACCACCCACTCACGCTCCAAACTACCACAAGACCTTCTCAGAATGCTGCGTGCTGGGAAATTATACAATACTAACTTTGCCGCACTCAAACTACCCCCATCTCTCAAGAAGCAACTCCCATTTTGGTATCATATTGGAGCAAGCTCTCTACTCCGCCACCTAAATAACACACCAACCTCTAAATGCCTCCGCAGTGTACACAATGTTCAATCTGTAGGTGACCTTCTGCATGTCACTAAATGACAGCATGATCCAAACATGTCTCCTTCACACCTTCCTCGTAGAAACTGTCGATGTACACAATGTGCAACTGACTGGTCCAAAGGGTGTGAACACCCACACCACTGTATGAAGGCTGCCCTCCATGTCATCTCTCTCCTGGGCCCCAAGTGGAACCCAGAGATAAACCCGACACCAGACAACCTCTCTCTCACTAAACAGCGGAGACGATGTAACTGGGAAGCAGCACAAAATCAGGACAGAATACTCTTTGACCCATCCACCACCACCCCTGGCCCCCTAGCAAATGTCTTTCAAGTCTTCACAGACTCCACCATAGTCAGTGCACAACCCCCAAAAAGACTGGGAAGAGGCATTCCAAATGATACAGTCACAATCTACACTGATGGATCCTGCATCAAAAATGGTGAAGCAACAGCACAAGCAGGTAGCGGAATTTGGTATGGACCTAACGATCCACGAAACAAAGCACTTCGCCTTCCGGATGGTATGGCATCCAACCAGGCAGGTGAAATTGCCGCAATTCTATACACTACCCAGACAACAGCAATGAATGCCCCCCTCCACATCATTAGTGACTCCCGATATGCCATAGATGGCCTCACCAAACACCTCCCACACTGGGAAGATGAGGGGTGGATTGGGACCCACAATGCACCCCTCTTTCAAGCAACAGCAGCATCCCTCCATCAAAGAGCAGCAATCACCTCCTTCAAATGGGTCAAAGGTCATTCAGGAGAGGAAGGAAATTCAGGAGCAGACGAGCTTGCACGTCAAGGGGCCCTTAAAAACACCCCAGATGACCTTGACCTATCAATCCCCATTTCCCTGCAATTGACAGGAGCGAAAATCTCATGCCTAACACAAAAATTAGCCTACCGGGGCATACGGGCCACTCTCCTAACCCCCCCCCCCTGACCTGCAACCATAGCCCACTTAGACATCACCAGATATGCCATACTGTCCCACACGGAAATAACCCCAACAGACTCTACCATTTGGAAATCCCTCCAATCTCCTGCATTCACCAGACCCATATCTGATTTTCTGTGGAAGTGTATGCATAATGCGCTCCACTGCGGATCCTTCTGGGATAAGATACCCAACTATGAACATAGATCCCTCTGCCCAGTATGCGACACTCTAGAATCCATCGAGCATATCCTCTGTGAATGCTCTGCATCAGGCCAACAAATAATCTGGAATCTCACCCGACAACTCTGGGGAAAAAAGGACCCCCGATGGTACCCCCCTTCTCTCGGAACCATCCTAGGATGCGGCACCGTTGCCTTCCGCTCAGAACAAGGCAAAATACGACTTGGCGCCACCCGCCTTTACCGCATTCTTATGTCGGAGGCCGCTTACCTCATCTGGAAACTACGATGTGAACAAAGGATATCTAAGGAGGACGACAAATCACAATGGCATGCACCGGCTGAGATAACCAACAGATGGAAGTATGCCATAAACAAGCGACTACAACTAGACTGCGCCATGACACGTACCCATTTCGGCGCCAAAGCCCTCCCCAAGCAACTCGTTCTGCAGACTTAGAGCGGCACCTTGGACCACGAAGATCAATTACCTGATGATTGGACTCTGCACAATAAGGTTTTAGTGGGTATGGATCCTCCCCATGTCCCCAGTACTTGAGGAGGATCGAGCCCCACACTGCCCCTCGCGGTGTGCGTAAATGCATTTTCCTCCTTGGAGGCCGGGTGAAACTCCCGACTAAGCAGGCGGATGGGGACAGATCAATTATCTGGCTGCCTATCCTGCCGTTACACTCCTCCCAAAAAACAAAAAAAAAAAGAAAAAAAAAACAGCTTCGGATCTTTTCGCTGTGAGGGCCTGGACCAGAGCCTTGCCTTAATGCTTGCATTTGGTGCGGTATTCGGGGGCCTGAATATGAGCAACTCGGAGCGAGTTCTGCGGAGAGCGCTAGTAGACGCCCAATAGCCGCTCCTTACAACATTATATGTAGGCGTCTGGGAGTTCTTCCGATTGTGTAACTTGGTGAGCAACGTTTGACTTGGGTTACATCGCTCGACAACTCTTTGTCGACATGTATTTTTGTTCTAACTTGTGTATCAATTTCTGTTCTATGTAATCTTCTTTATAGACCTCTACTACCTTTACTTTGATTACAAATCGGTTTAAATATTACTAGTCCTGTGTAACTTACACAACGCTTGCTACCCCGATGTAACTGGTGTAACTTTACATAAAAATTTCCCGCTTTTGCTGATGAGCACGTGATGACTTTATGGCGCGTCAAACGCGTCTCCCAAATTCGAGCTCACCTCCCTTTAGTAGTACTACTACTAGTAGTACTAGTAGTAGTACAGTACTGTATCAAACTAGGCAGTCATAGCCCCAAACCGAACTGATTCGATATTAACATGCATCGCAGTCATGCAATGCGTATCCTCTTTGATTCCGCCGTGGAACAATTTGAAGCCATGGCGTTCACTCTTCATTCCCCCCAGTCTATGACACTTCGACATGTCAAGCCCTCACCAACGGAGTAAGTCCAATACCTCCACACGCTCTTCCTTCTCCGCCTCTCCCGAGTCAGGACACTTCAGCACGTCCTTGGAGGCTAGCATGAACTCCGTCGAGGAGAGGCTTCATCTATGAAATCAAAAATCTCATTGACTCTGGCTTCTCCACCGATGAACTGGAGTGACACGCTCATCTTCTGATTGACAGTTGAAGGAGACTGTCGAGTACAACCAACCTTCTTGGACGAAAGGCAGGCATTCCAGCCTTCGGCTCTACTGCATCCTTCAAGCTATGGTTCATCATGCCTCTGATTGCAGTGGAGAGACGGGTAGGTGGTACACGATTTCCACCATCTGGCCACGGAGCTACGTTCAAAATCGCACTCTGCTCGAGCTTAGAGATCTTGCCACCACATGGCTATCACAGTTGCTCATCATATGTAAGATGATCAGTTTTTTTTTCGAGTGTACTGAACTGCATTCTAATAGTCAGGATCAGAGGTTCACGTAACCGGCAGCAAAACGGGACACCGTCTGTCATTGCAACGCTCAGCCTGGATGATACCGCTTCTCGAGTCAAATGAAGGTGCATTAAGGTCGCCGTCCGAGATGTTCAAGCTACAGGTACGATTTTCGTGTATATCTTCCGTGGCTGCGTCTTTACTCCCAGATTTGCAGCGGCATAGTTACAAATGCGCTATTACGGGTCTGCATGATCTCAGATTTTCCGGCTACGCGGGAGATCCCAAGGATGTCACATTGTAAGTCGCGCCATCGCTGAATTTGAACCTCCAGAATTGGGAAATAAGATATCGGTCAGTCTTCAAGCTTTCAGTCAGGTATGTAGTGGATCGTCGCTAATTCTAATTTATTGATAGTATCTCTCTGTGGACACAACTTTCGATATCTTGGAGAATTATGCTTCCATGCCAATGTAAGATATTTCGGACCTCCGCTATGTCACCGACGATCCGTCGAACGGGGTCACGATAGAGCTGCACTCTCGCAGAAGGTTCGATGACTTTGCGTGGAGCCTGAAACAAACGGTGGTACGTGAGAATACAATTCGATCCTCTATGTGATAGCCGACTTTCATTGGAGAATCTAGGTCCGAAACACGTACAAAGTCATCCATCATCGTCAAGCACAAGGGTTGTAAGACCAACCAGAAGAGGTCACGTTCATCGACCAGAGTGCCGAATTTGCTGAAGCAGAATCCTCTCCGCCTTTCAAGCGCCAGCCTACACGAGTAGCCATGTCTTCACGGCAAGGCACCGGCCTGCCTGATCCTCTGTTTCTCCGAATTAACTCAGTGATCGCAGGGATACTGCGCACGAGTGGGTTTGGGGAATTTCTGGACGAAGTTCTACGCAAACACGATAATGCAGGTGGGTCCGGAGCTGTACCCACAGGGCACGACTTCATCGGCTTGGTGACCATGCAGCAGCTGAGGGCATCTGTTGCTGAGTTGGCACTTTACGTTGCGCCGGTGGCTTGAGCAGTGTAAGACTTTCATTTCTTGGCCCTTTTGTGGCTTCGATTTATGCTCATAACTTGGTCTATATGCAAGAATACTTAATTGTGTTGCAATGTTGACTATTGCAGATGTGCCTCCTTTTAAGCTTCATTTCAGCAATGTTCATGGTCTGACAGTCAACCGGATCTCAACGCGACGAAGACAGAATCACGTCCAGAGGGATTCTCAGACACAGAACGCGTTCAGCGGTACTTCAACCTCAAATTCTCCAGTGGTATTTGTGATACCAGGATCTATAAAGGATCCTGGAAAATCCCCTTCGACGCCATTTCCTGATGCATGGTTGAGGACGACCAGGACTTGGAAACCTCCTTTTCCCAGCAGTCACCTGAGTAACCGACTCAGGCTCTACCGGAGGACCGGTCTCCGTTCCGAATACATACATGCATGTTATTGTAACGGTTTACACCTATGATTCAATCGATGCCATGATTATTATGTTCAAGATTTGTCCCTATGGAGCTACACTCGCAACTGACAGTAACGCTCTCCGAAGCGCAACAGCTCTCCTGTGGAATGTACACAGTGAATTCGAGAATAATGAATGAGAAAACGCTCAACGCACCACTTTCCTCAACAGCAGTCACTAGAAATATTTGCTAGTCAGGAAACCGGAGCGCAGAACCTTCCCCATGTGCGTCGACCTGTACCCCATTCCTTTGCGCCGCAATCCTATGAGTTCCTTCACGAGTGGTATGGGGCTCTTGCTGAACGGACATAGAGATTTCATAGGCTCGATGCGATCTTGCGGTTCGATGAATCCGTCTACTTGCACTCTCGCACCCTCTGGTGGCTCTTCGGCGCAGATACCCAAGTATACGCAAAGTTGCAAATACATCTCGTGGTTGGTGAAGTAGAGCTGTCCAGCCCAAAGATTCAGCTGGCAAATGTCCATCGGTTTAGGCTGCCAACTCTTCCGCAGAGCGGGGATGCAGTAGAAGTTTAGAGCGTCAAGTGGCTTCATGCTTTGCGTGACTCTCGGCGAATACATGTGTAAGCACACGACTGTGCTCTGTCGAATCATGGGAAGGAGTATGTTGACTTCAAACGCGCTGAAAACCACCAAATGACTCTGAGAAGTATTGGAAACGATCCAATTCACGGGTGCCATGCAATCTGAAAGATGATGCAACGATTTTTTTTGCCTCACAACAGTGGTTGCAAAATCCTTCGTCGCCAGTATGCGGTCAGACCAAACGTGTTGACCCGGATACCCTGGTAGACTGTTGAGGGGAGAGAACAATGGCACGAACGCTGGGCCCAATCTGACCGTTCCAGTACGGACGAAATTCTTGACATCAGAGTGCACAAGGTGTGTAGCAGGTTTAGCCGCTAGTGGCCGCTCAACTTCTCGCTCCTGCTCGAGTTCTTGGCTAACCTCTCGTTCTTGCTCCTCATCCATACGGGGATCGAGAAGCGACGTGACGCCGAACAACTGAAATCGATCACGCAGTTCGGGGTCGTCGAACATGGCATCATTGATCGACAGTGCATTACTAATCCCTGCAGAAAACCCATACATCTCTTCCAGTGGTCGCGCTTCGGGAGAAAGCCAAGCAGACCGAAGAGAAGGCATTCGCGAAGTCGCCAGCTGAATCGAACCACAAGGAGACGCGGATGAGTGGGCTTTGAACTGGTTCCACGCTGCACGGCGCTTCTTGTAACCAATGCCTTGGTGTGCCCAGTGAGAGACATGGTGCTCGATATACGTGCATGTTTGCACCATCGCCCATCGCAGGATGTCAATCGTCTCCACAGCATCTTTCGGGCCAGATAACTCCCGTATAGCACGATCCACTTCCGGAGGAGCAAGGAATAGAACAGATTGACCATTTCCCAACTTGCGCATGCGCATGCACCCTGGTGGAACATGTCAGTGAGCAAGAAGTTATTCCTGGTAAGAATTCAAGCTTACCTTGTAGGAGACGATCCTTGGTGACTTTCGGTCCTAGAGTCACCGCAGCCCGTGCTTTAGGTGGCAGCTTTAAATCCGTTCCTCGCGTGTGGGCATCATCCAAGTAGACGTTACACTGATCTAACTGCTGGCTGTAAGGCGAAGATACAAATGCTTCTATTGTGCCGGATCGAGTGAGAACCATCAGTTCATCTTGCTCGTCGAAGAAGATAGCTGCCGCAACGTGGGGCGTCAGGGAAAGCCAATGCTTCGCCAGTTCGGCGTTCTCCATGTCAAGCATCTGTGCGCCGACGTCCAGGAGGACGCGAACTTCGGAATCCTGTTTGACGAGCAGGTCCAAGTAATTTCGACTTGACGCGGACTCGCCGCCTACACAGATGTACGTCTTGTTCTCCGGCTGCAATAAGTAGGCTAGAACTCGAGCATTGGTACTCAGCTGATCAACAGGATCGTGCTGGGTGATACTGGATGGGAGCAGGTCCTGATTGTCATTGGTACCGCTGAAGCCAGTAGTCACATGCGTCCGTGTCTCGGCCAGATCCCAAGCCGAGGTAGACAATTTTTCAGGAAATTCCTTTGCATCTCTGGGGAAAACCACTTCAGCCAGATAGAAGTCGATTACGGCATGGCATTGCCTGAACAAAGGTATGAGGAAGTGTTCCCATTGGTACGAGTCCTCGTAATTGACGCCTATGAGCTGTTGTAAGAATGGCGGTACTGCTTCATTGCAGCGGACCCATGACTGGAAATAGATATTAGCACGAGGAGACTAATTTGCACAATATTTGCTATACCTCATACAGCACCTCACGCTCGTCAGATCTGAACAACAGTTCAAAGCAAGTGTTCAACTGCTCGCTCGTCAAGCCACCGTAGTAATAACTGAGACAAGTGAGCACGATGGCGACGTCTGGATGTCCAAAATCCGCTCTCAGAGAGGGAACGTCCTTTGCCCGGTATGGCACGGCCAGCAGAGTTCGCGTTAGATCCAAACCGTAGTCGACCCGCCAACGCTTCTCCTTCAACACATATCCGATCAGTCCGTATCCGAGCAGGCCTCGCAAAAGCAACAGCTTCTTCCACAGCCCGTCACCTTTACAGTGCTGTTCAAGCAACCGGACTCCGGAGCCAGGTACACTGCTAGCATTCTCTGTAATAAACATGAGCGTGGCCTCACGGACATTCTCAGGGAGGTGTCTGAGGATGGGATCAGTGTTCACGATATGTTTGGCAACACCGATAGCTAGCTCTTCCCATGCGTGATCTCGAAGGATGCGAATCATCGGATATGTTCCACTAGGACCCGGAACGAACTCCATCTCATCTGGATAACGCCTATGAACATGAGAGGAATGATCCTTGATGAGAGACAGAACATGCTGTGTTGTCTTCCAGCGATCAGGGTGATCCTCCACAGGCCTCTGTTGACCGGCAGTATACACCAACTGGTATCCAACATTGAGCATTTCATCGCTTTCATCGAGAATATCTCTGGCGACCGTGTCCAACCAACGCTGCGACTCGAGCAGAGCTTTTGTGACCTGCCCATCCTGCGACACAGAGTCTCCTGAGTGATCAATACCCATCAATTTGAACGAAAGTATGTGCTCGGGTTGCGCAACCAGTATTCCTCGCTCGCGTATACAATCTTCGTAGAGACTCCGAATTCGCTCGACGACTTGTGGCGCCATTCGTACGTCGCGGGAAAATGGAAGATAAAATATTCTGCGATTTGCCAGGCCGCTCAGACGATCTACCAGTAGATGGAACATCTGAGAAGCCAAAGACTTCAGCACGACGACTCTGGTAAGCTTGTGACCATCTGCTAGTGCTGTCGCGACCAGAGGGGCGATGACTGCGGACTTGCCTTCACCCATGTTAAGCTGCAAGACCGTGTTTCGTCCGGAAGATGGAGCAATCATCTCACGAGCGACATGTCGCTGAAGTGGGCGCATTAAGAAATTGTTTTCAATCTGAGTACAAACGCCAGTGAGGTCAACTTCATAGCATATATTTTGAGAGATTCAAGAGCACCTGAACAAGAAGCCAGTCTGCATTCAACAGGGAGCTTGAATCATCCGGATCGATGCGAGACTCTTGATTGTCGAGCTCTTTCAGAAGATCTTCATACCGTTTCTGTTGAAGGTACTCTATCAATCGCTGCGAGCGCTGAAACTGCAAGCATGTTCGGGCGTAGGATACCAGGCATTGTTCCCACTCCTTTGACAGCATCCTGCGCGTTTGAGAGGTTGATGCCAAATTTCGCAACAGACTCTTTTCGGACAGCCGTGGCCATTGCCCCGAAGTGCAAAAAAGTTGCTCGATGAGATTGCGGGGACCTAGGGATCGTTGTATGGTGGCAGTAGACTGATTGAAAGCCTGGTGGCAGAGATCTCGATAATGTTGAAAGTATTTGAACGTGTCTGGAGGAAAATACGGCACGGTAGAACCCTCTTGAGCTTCGAGAATCGCTCGACTGCATTCCAGATGATGACCATAATGCTGTTTGAAAGTAGAGCTGTGATGATGCTCAAACTCTCGGATTAGAAGCCCAAGTTCCTCTGTTCTGAAAGAACCTGCCGACAGTCGATAGAATGTCTCTCCCTGATACACCTCTGCATCATGATCAAGGACATCCAAAGCAGGTGCTTTTCGTTTAAAAAGACCGGCAGCATCAATGAAGCATTTCGGAGCAGTTGTTGTGCGTAAAGAAGGATGAACAACATAGCGTGGTACCTTTGGGTGAGCATCTAGCTCTCGCACCTGGTGAAGCACATGCTGGACCTGTGTCAAGTGATTCTGTAGTTCTCTGTTCTGATACCAGCTTCGAAACTTCAAGTTGGCGCTGAACATGAGTTTCGTGATATTGATGACATTTGAATACCCAGAAGGTGTAGACGGTGTATGACAAGGCCACTGGCGAATCAAGCAGCCTACCAATTCACGTGCCTTGGAAGCACAGAATTTGTCGTGGTGGGAACGACGGCGTTCCGCAAATTCATCCTCTGTCTCGAGCGCTCCTCTTGAAAGAGCGAGGAAGAAAGTCAGCGGATCATATGGAACGGTGAATGTGATGGCGAGGGCATGGAGTTCAGCCTCCCTAGGAGTAAATCCGTCTGCAAGATTATACGATCCTGAGCGCATAGTTGGAAGTTGCAAAGATCGAAATTGCGGAGTCGTTGCAAACGCCAAAATGGTCCCGATCAGTTGCATTCGATGAGATGCATTCAGCTTGTATGACATTGCACTTAGAATGAAGAGCAATTTTGATTGTATCCCCGCACTTGAGGTCCGGCACTGTTCATACACTGACAGCCATATAGCTGGCAGAACTGGTGAGAGCCAATCCCTGCGGTAAGACATGGCAATGTCTTCAGCTGCAGATACTGGTTGTTGCCAAGATACCATGACCTTGAGTAGATCAGTTATCGTAGGCAACCTCGTGGGCCAACTGTGGACCAGAGCAGAGACAGCGGCAACTTCTTGCTCACTGCAACAGTCCTGCGGCAAATCCCTTGTCGTATACGGAAGGTCATCTCCATCTGTTGTGGCCCAGGTCGAGTATTCGTGCCCATATATGGTGTTAGAGCGAGCAGCAGCCCTGTTCTGCAAGTGACGGTCACTCGTCTGCTTTTGCAACGCATCCAACAGGAGCGATGTCATGTCCTTCTCCGGATAGAATATGTTCACGAGATCCTGTGCATGCTTCAAGATCGACACAGTGCAATCCCAAAAGTCGGTGCGCTGAGATATGGGGCTGAGGTCAGACCAATGAACAGTCTGCATGACGCGAAGATGTGCCGGATAGAATTGACGCTCTGGGGTCAGAGCACCAATCTGGGTCAAAAGTGTCACTTCGTCGGGCCCAAGCTTCTGGAATGACAGACAGCGAGCGGACCGAAACTCGCTTAATGCTTCCTCTATCCCCGTCCGTCCAGTCAGAGGGTCAGGAAGACAGTGACTAGTCAGAGCATGGAGGTATACTTGGTATAGCTTGCTGAGAAGAGTACCATTGCCAACTAGATATCCGAGATTAGAGTCAATTCTGTACTTGTGATAGCGTGTTCGACTCGTCGTTCCTGTTTCTACTTCGACCTTCACGTGATGTCCAGAGGAATAAAACTTGATATCGCCAATGGGAATCACCACATGGCGTTCTGGAGGAAGGGAGGAGGTGCTCGCTCTTTGAGTCAGAACGAGCTGCGACGACAGTCCAAGCATTGTCTTCGATGACTGATTGGAGTCCACAATGAGACCCCGCCAATTTCTGGACATCAGCTCCCCATCCTCCACGACAAAAGACAACTCGAAACGCGGCAGATCGACCAAGAGGCAATTACCCGCGGAAAGCGTGATGATTAGATGTTCGGCGCATTCCAGTGGTCGCAGACGCTCTGAGACCATGGCTAATGAAGGGCTGCAATTGTCCACTAGCCATGTATCTTTCCGGCACATTGTCGAATGACCATTCATCGAAAACTGAATGCGCCAATTGTCTAGCGACGGTGTCCACAAGTCTCCCAAGGGCCGGAGCTCGATTTCGGCACGCTTCGGATCTGTATCTATCTTCAACCAATGCACGTAGTCAATGATCAGAGGTGTGGGTAAATCTCCAACAAATTTGCTGTGGGGGATGACCTCGTAGACGGTTGAGTCAGATCTTGCTTTGATGGTCAACTGGCCACACTGAGGATCGAGGGCAAAGTGCACCTATAACTCGCCATCATTAATTGCGATTGAGGGACGAGAAGGACGAAAGACGCACATGGAAGCCGAAGACATCAGCTCGAGTGGCGAAAGCCATACCTGGCATGTCGGACGGAATGACATCCAATATTTTCTGGACGGTAATCAGAGCTAGCGTCATGAACACGAGACATGACTTGCCTTGGAGAAGATTCGAGTATAGTCGGGATGTGTGACTATTGCGCCCGGTAAACGCCCCACAGGCTTGCCACCTACTAACAGTTCTCCATTGAGAACGTTGATATGGACTGTTGTATGATCATAAGCCACGGTCATCCAACGATCGTTGGGCTCCTGCAGCTGTACCCAAGTTTGTCCTTCTTGAAATTCCTGCCACAGTGTAGCGACAGGTTTATCCAGCACTCCGGAGACTCTTCGAATCAGTGCCGGCTCCAAGAAATGAGAAAGACGCCGATCTCGCGCCAGTAGAAGAGATAAATCGGACGGGATATCTTTCTCGGTTGGAATGTTATCATGGAGGTGGACTGCACACTGTATGAGGACAGAAACATCCTCTTCGGAAGCCAACAATGCCTCCAAATCATCAAGATCCGCATCATACGTACTCCGGCATATCGCGGCCATGGCACAGATGCGTAGCTGCAGACTGAAAATTTCATCCTCGCGGACGGCCTTGGACAAATTCTCTGATAGCTCATGCAACCATCGGAAGGTTATACGCCGTGCGTCGCGCAACAAGCCATAGGCAGACTCCCTAACGTCCTGGTCCATGGTCGAAGGGAGGAGGCGACATGATAGCATGATGACTGATTTCGCAGACGTGGCGTTTGACCAATTGCCCTCGATGCTAGATAATAGGTCTCGCAGCTCGGTGAGAAGGAGCAAACCGAAATCACGATCACTCGGCTCTACATGCGACGTTCGTATAGCATCGCACCAAGGCCCGACCTGCCAGATGGCTTGAACTAATAGAAGGTGGACCTCCTCTCTGTCGAAGGATAGTTCTCGAGCATGAATCGATCTGAGAATATTCAACCATTGTAGTAGTGCCCCGCTGCGCAGTAGGCCAAAAGCAGTGTATTCATGTAGATCCAAGTCCGCTGGACACTCCGATTGACATGCCAAAACTTCGTTCGGACAATGCTTTGTGTCCTGAATCGCGTACTGCATGGTTCGATATCGACTTGTACCGGAAAGTGAAAAGGTACAATGCTGGACAACTTTGCTGGAATTTTGAAGGTAGTTCGCAGCCCACTCGTCCCCTTGGCTATCATAAAGTCGGTAAGTGAGGCCGTTCTTGACACAAACGGAAGTACTTGTTGCAGGAATTGATACTGTCTTGTAATGTGCCTGCAGAAATGATTTTGTCGTCGAAGCGAACGATATTCGTGTAAACCTTTGTTCAAATTTGACATACTTCATGAGTGCGGTATATTTCTTGAGAATCAACGGGGGCGATGCATGCTGAGGAGTCTTGTTCTGACAAACATCATGAAGAATATGATATGTTGCCGCCCGCCATGCACCAAACGAAACCGGGCACTCCAGCTCAAAAACAGTAGCCTGCGCTGCATACTCATCTTCCGGTAGAGGCCACTCATGAGGAACTATCTTCATGCGTTTTGCCTGATTGGTCAACGAACAGTTCTCGCATTTGTGTCCTCCGACGTGGATCCGTTTCCCCTTCCTGGTAACCATGTAGACGTGAGGATGCAAAGCGGCTTGTGCGATGAGGTCTCTATGCTGATTGTTGCTTTGCTGCAGTTCAGCACATTTCTTCGCCCGCTCTGCCTTTGCATCCAACTGAATGCGTTCCTTGAGCGTCTGTAGTCCAGGCGACTCAGAGAAAAAGCGAACAGCGAGCGAATTCGCGTCCATCTTGTCATTGAACACGGACCAACCACCGCGAGCGCGCTTGCGCCGACGATCCAAGTAACCCTCGATGCGAGACAGACGGTCGAGCAGCACACGCTTTCGGAGGAGTAGGGGTTGAAAGAGCGTGTGAGGCACCTCAGGGGAATAGTCCTGTAGCAGCGGGCATTGATTGACAGCAAGTTTATCCAGCGCAACCCAGAGTTCGAATATCGTTAATAGCGCAATCGACTGATCCTCCGGATTCCTGTCATAGGCCTTCGGAGCCGCCTCAGAATACCGCTCGATGCATTTAGCAAGCTTGACGCAAGCCCATTCATCGTGAAGGCATTCTGCCACCCAATTATCCACGCGATTCTGTACCAGCATCTCGAAGTCGGCTAAAGCCACATAAATATCGCCATCCGCAGCAAATGCAGTCGATAGAACACCCTCGTCGAACGTGCGAAAGTCGCAACAATGAGTGTCGCGCAATCGACGAGTGTGGTTGGGCTCAAAACTGCATGCTGCGCTGGCGGTACTCTTGGTCGTCAGCCGCTTGGAGATATAATCCCGAGAGTGATGAAGAGTGAGACGTGTGTCGGACTGCACGTCCAGCGTGGAGGGTGACCAAGGTGGGGATACAGCTTGCTGCTCCTGAATCTTCTGCCATCGCTGCTGTAGGAGCGATTCCGTCTCGTCCACAGCCTCCTTCACCTCTTGCGTGATGAACAAAGGGGCGGACGAACCCAGCTTATAGAGTCGCCTGCTGAGTTTCGCCCTGAAGCAGTACAGATGATCACTAGCGAACTCCTCCTGAACCGTCAGCCGCAGGAGACGTGACATGAAAAAGACCATAAACAACTTGTACTCTGAAAGGGCGTTGGCCCTGCCGAGCGACGTCTGCAACGCGACCCGGATGACAAGCCATAGCGGAGACCTCCGCCACGGCAAATATGCGTCCTTCCACAGGATGTCGTCATTGATTCGCTTAGAGACCCGATCGACATCCGCAGGACGACCAACGCCACGAAGTATCCCGGTGAGCAGCTGGGTAATGTACCTGGGAGAGGCAGAATCCCTTTTTTCCACAACCGTTGATCCCGCTTTCCTCGTCGTCGCTGCGGAGTCCAATTCATCTACACTCATCTGAGCTAGAAACGAGGACAACTCCTTGAGAAAATGGACATCCTCCACGATGTCGTTGGGTACAGCAATCGCGGGACCTGGATAAGAGCACAACAATTTCCCCGTTGCTTTCATGACGTCTGCAGTAGAGGGGGCGACTTCGAACGACTCGAACACAAACTCCTCGGCAAACTTGCGAACAACAACAGCGGCATTCTGGGCGCGAACATAGAACACCACACTATCTTTTGCGAACGCCACAACTGTCAGCCATAACACGCGGTCGATTCTCTCAGAAATTCGACATACCTCCAATGTGCATACATGTTATCTGGTGTTGTATGTCCTCCGCAGGAAGAACTTCACAAGTTTCAATTCGTCGTAGGTTCTCTAGCATGCGGATCATCGGATCCCAAAGTGTTCGGTCAACTTCTGCGCATTCTCGATACTGTTCGGCAAACCGACAGACGATCGAGCACATAGCGCGATCGTTTACGCGAGACTGGTCTGACCTCTGAGGGACTTTGAGTGGGAAGAATGTATGGTTGGCGATGTACGCCAGCTCTTCATGATCTCGATTCAGATCATCGCTGGATACGCCCTGGTAACTGGCGAGCACTTTCGAACGGTGATTGGATTTAGCCCTGGTAAAACACGATTAGTAGGTGTCCCATGTAGGATGGAAAACCCGACGCACATCCTCGCGGGCAGACCTGACAGTGGAACGACAAGATAGCTAAACAGGGGAAAGGAGCGAGAATAGGGCTTTATCCCAGTTCCGTAGATTCCCACCGACCCACGCCTACAGCGATAAAGTTTGCACGTGAGCATCCTTCCGAAGGATCGGGTAGTAGGACGGGCACGGTTATGGGCGTTTGAATTTCTTCTGCGGCACAAAACTTCCCTGGTGAACTGGTGAATGTGTCGCTCAAATAACAAGCGATATCATACTCCTTCCATGAACCACGTATGCACAGTCTATGCACTCAGGTTGAGACCAATTATTCGCCGTATGACCATGAATCGTACCTCTATAGAATCGGCAATAGCATGGCTTGATGCTGCGGATAAGAGATAGGACATGAGCATGCACAAAGAAGGATGGGCGGCCTTTGCATGTCTTCAACAGTAATTTCCAACTTCTCCCGTCGAAGGGGAATGCAACACCATATCAGAGTATGCCCAGAGTCGCCGTAGCAGCACAAGCAAATATTACGAGTGCGCAATACTGTGAAACTCCGAGCCACTATGGGCAAGCCTCGTTCCCAGTGGGGTAAGTGCGAGCGAAGGGTGAGCGGATGTACGTAGAATGAATTTCTTGAAATACGAGAGCAAAGCCAACCGAAGTAATTAGCAACATAATAAGTACGAGCGAAAATAGGTCACCTTCAGCAGGGGCCCGGAGAATGCCGAGGCGACATGTGTAGCGCTTGCCTGTTCTTTCCTCCCGCTCACCACTTCATCTTGCACTCAACGTAGACTGCAAGCTTAGCAACGTAACCTCATTACCAAAATGATGCATGGCAAGTCTTCTTAGCATACCTACAAGCGAAGAATGACACTCTTGGCAGGCTTGGTCGCCTACGGCGACGACCTCAGCGACCACGAAGATCCGAACGTACCCTCCACGTCGAACTCGCAGGAACAGCAGCAGAAAACAGTCACTGATGTGAGAGTCTTCACCGCCGCGTCCTTTTGTCCCCGTTTCCCTCTTTGCTCGCTCTTTCTTCCGTCTGGGTCAGGATAAGCCGCTTAGGGCGCGATCTGACGCGGCATCAGAATGTGAGCAGCACTCCGCCTTCCTGTTTTTTTTTTCCATCTATGTTGACTTCGTTGCACGTCAGCGGCACGCCGGACAATACCTCAGGTCGTCATCCGTCGGCCTGCACACGTAAAGCCGCGTCCGCGCTCGCGTCTCTCCGACGAACTCAATGACCCCGGCTCGAACTCTGCCGGGGTCGACGAGCACAGTTCAGAAAACCCGGAACACGCTGAGGAATATACTGATGACGCGCACTTGCAAAGCAACGAAGAGCCTTCAGATGAGCTGACGCGCGTCCGGGCGGCTCTCAGACCGCCGCCCATACCAGGCGTGGAGGACTGGGGCATCCCGCCAGAGTCGTCGGAGCCCTGCGACCCCGCGATCGAGGCACGTCACTGACCATGTAGCTGAGAAGCTCCATGAGACTGACCTTGAATCAGGCGAAGCTCACCGAGTTTTTGGCACTTAAACGGGATCCAACGAATCCGAAGCACTTTAACGACTCGCTCATGTCGAACCGTTCCTTCCGAAATCCGCATTTGTATGCGAAACTCGTCGAATTCGTCGACGTTGATGAACGCGCGACCAATTTCCCAAGACGACTCTGGGATCCTAGTGATATGCACGAGGAGTGGTACGCGGACCGCATCGGTACGTGCGTATCTACTCTAACGGAACTCACATTCATGCCTTTGTCTCTGTGCCTCTACCCGATCGCTTGCATGTTTCGCATCTCGGCGACAATTTCTTCTGCCATGCGACTCTGAATCCCCGGACCTTTTGCACATGCTAATGGCCATGCACTTATCCCCGCTCAAAGCTGAGTACCAAAAGGTCCGCTCAGAGCAACAGTCGGCCGCACACGCTACCGGCGGCAAGCGGCAGATCGACTTCGCCAGTGCAACATCCTCTTCAGGCACGCAACGGCCGCGAATGTCCGTGCCAAACACGCATCACCGCCCTGCGCGGGAGCTGGGGGGCGGACGAAAGAGTCGGTTCCAGCCCATTAGCGGTGGGTATGGCAAGGAAACGGGGGGAAGTCGGTGGGGATAATACTTGCACGTCCGTTTTCGCGGACCTCTTAATCCGTGTTTTGTGTGGTGTGATCTAGCTGTCTATTCCGCTGTCATTTTTATGTACGGCAATAATTCAGAATCTGGAGCCTCTTGCACTCGTGGCCCTGTGTACAGTGCGTTTCCCTTGCACCATATTGATGAGCCAGCTCTGCAGCCTTCCCCTACCACTATCGCCCCGCTCAATCTCATCTACGACTCAAGCCTCGCTTTCCTCGCTGGCTGAGTTATCGTCGGGAGCGCTGCACTTTCTGAATCAGCGACCGAGGTATGATGAGCGATGGAGCGTCTGAGTGCATCTTCGACGACAGAGCCCGTGCCGCCTTCTTCTACAGCTGCCCATCTCGGCTTAGCAGCACTCTCAGGAAGGCACCACCGGACAGTCTCACATGAGGGCCCACCCTGGCTATATATTTTAGCCATCAACATGGCCTTCTCGCACACTCCATTGAGCTTTCTCTCCAGCGCTCACGCAGTCAAAACTCGTACAGACTACTTAGGATGCATACGACAGCCTCGGTACTCCTTCAGACCCTTGCCGATGCAGGCGTCACACACGCGTTCGTGAACTGGGGAAATGACCACTGCGCGATACTCGAGGACCTCGAACAGCAGCGCGTCGAGCGCGGGGACACAGCGCTGGCAATCGTGACGTGCCCGAACGAGATGGTCGCGCTCAGCGCCGCCCAGGCGTTTGCGCAGGTTGCGCGCAGGCCCGCTGCGGTGATCGTGCATGTCGATGTGGGGACCCAGGTAAGTGCTATGGTGCGCTTTGAGACTAGAGGGTGCAAAGAAACTGCAATCGATATCCGTGGTTCTGCGCCCCTCTGGTCTGCTCGAGAATTCAAGGCAGTACGTGCGAGCGAACGCTCGCTGATTTTGATGCCTTCGATCTTCGTAGGCCCTCGCTGGTGCAGTGCACAACGTCGACAAGGGCCAGACACCCGTCATTATCTTCGCAGGCGCGTCCCCGTTCACAGTAGATGGTGAACTCAAGGGATCAAAGAACGAATGGCCAATGTTTCCTCAAGGTGAGGAATTCTCTCTTAATTTTCTCTTAAACGCGAATCCCCTCCAATGCAACAGTTTCTATTAGATCATAATTACTGTCGTTCACTCACCGTATTCAACAGATGCGCCCGACCAGTCGGCGGTCGTGCGTCAGTTTATGCGCTTCACCGGGCAGATCCAGAGCGGGAAGAACGCCGCTAAGATTATAATGCGCGGGTTCCAATTGTATGTCCTTCAGCGCCTCATATCTTGCGTGATCTGAAATGCATTACAGCGCGACGAGCGGGCCAACAGGCCCTGTCTATCTTTGGGCTCGCCGTGAAATCCTGGAGGAGGTGGTGGACCAATCTGCCTTCCTGACGAAGTCCCAGGTCGCCAAATGGCCCTGTGTCGAGCCATCTGCGCTGTCCCCACTCGGTGTGTTCACACTTATCCAGATCGCACTTCAGCTTTAGTAATCGCCCTGGTAGCGGCGAGGACCATTTCCGAAGCCCTGCTGGATGCGACCTTCCCCATGGTTATAACGGGCACGTCAGGGCGTAACCCGGGCACTGTTCCACTGCTCGCAGACCTCTCCAAGTTCCTCGCGATCTCGGTCTTCGACTCCTGCCCGCAGGCTCTCAACATCCCATACAGCCACCCGTACCTCATCGGGTCCTCATTTGAGGGACGCAACCCGCACCTGCAGCACGCAGATGTCGTGCTGATCCTCGACGCGGTCGTCCCGTGGATCCCCGAGACGGGCACCCGCCTGAGCAACAGCGCCCGCGTCTTCGTTATCGCAGCGGATCCGCTGCAGCGCACCACAGGCTATGCGCACGCGGACGCGGAGATGGTTTGCGCGGCAGATGCGGAGGTCGCGCTCACGCAGCTGCTCGAGCTCACGGCGCTCGCGGCGAAGCAGGTAGGGGAGCCGTACCAGGAGCGCGTGCAGGTGCGGGCTATCCGCGCAATGGGCCTGCACGCGGAGTGGTTGGGTGCGCTCGCTACCGCGGAGAAGGCCCTTTCACCCAACGGGACATCGCCCACCGCCGCGTTCGTGCTTGCGACCCTGCGCAATGCTGTGCAAGCCCAGACTCCCAGCCGTGGGGAGAAGGTGCTGTGGCTGAACGAGGGGATCAGTCATTGTGGACATGTGTGGGCGCATATCAAGCCTGAGGTTCCCGGGAACATGATCATGTCCGGAGGAGCTAGTCTAGGGTGGTCTCTCCCCGCTGGCGTCGGGTCGCATCTTGGCGCGAAAGCCACGGGTAAGGAATATGAACTTATTACTGCTGTCATGGGAGACGGCTGCTTTTTGTTCGGCATCCCGAGCACGTCGTTCTGGATGGCCAGGCGGTATGAGACGGTGTGCACCCAAATTTTTTTTTGGCAGCTTGTAATGTTTGCTGACTCTTCTGCAGCCTTTCTTGACCATAATCCTGAACAACGGTGGCTGGGCTGTGAGTACTTCAAATTTTTTGGTCACAAATGGGCACTCAGGACTTTCTGTCAGTCGCCCAAGCACTCTATGATGAGTATGCATCCAGACGGCCATGGAAGCAAGGCGTCTATGCGCCAGTTGACCGTCGGCTTTGGCCCGGAAATGCCGGATTACGCTGGGATTGCAGCCGCTGCGGGTGGTGCATGGGGCCGACGTGTGCATGCTGCGACGGAGCTCAAAGCGACCATCGAGGAGGCAATCAGAGTGGTTATAGACGAAAAAAGGAGTGCAGTCGTGGATTGTATCATTGACGAAATCTAACATGTAACAAAGAAGTATCTGTATAGGATGTAACTTACCTACTGTGTATGAAGTTCACCTCCGCACTATTTGATTAGTGACAAGCCATGACGACGGAGCTGCACACCGCAAGGATGATTCAATTCTTATGCATGCTGGGGTAGCTAACCAACGCTCAGTGCTCAACCGTACACTCTACTTCTTAATCTATATTATTATAATATCATAGATAGTCACAGGACGAACTCATTCATCGGGACTGCAGCTTGGACAGCGCGACCTTCCCCACATCACGGAACGTCTCTAAAGCCTTCCACGCCGCCCCAGAAGTGATGCTTTTCATAGCTTTCTCAACGCCGTCCTTGTAATTCTCCGCAAGTCCAGCGACGACCAACAGCGCAGCGGCATTCAATAGCACAAAGTGCAGCACAGGTGTGAGACGCTCGGGGATATCCTCCCCGGACGTGAGCAGCAGCCTGAACGTCTCCGCATTCTCTGCGGGTGTCCCGCCCGCGACGGCGGCCAGGGGGTGCACCGCCAGGCCAAACTGCTCTGGATGCAACGTGCGCTCTGTGATGCGCCCGTCGGCGAGCTCCCAAGCGTGCGTCTCGCCCGCGCAGCTGATCTCGTCGAGCCCCTCCGCACCGCAGACGACAAGCGCGCGCTCAACGCCGCCGGAGCGCAGCGACTGCGCGAAGGGCTGCCCGAGCTCGGGCTCCGCTACACCGAGGACCATGCCGCGCGGCCGCGCGGGGTTGATGAGCGGTCCGAGGACGTTGAACATGGTGCGGTGTCTGGTGAGCGTCAGTGGGCGGACTTGCACAGCACGAGTGGGCTTACGGGAGGGCCTTTCGGTAGGGCGCGATCATCGCCATGGCGGGGTGATAGTGGGGAGCGAGGATGAAGGTGAAGGGGATACGGGGAATAGGCACCGGGGTGTCGGCGGAGGGCGGTATGAATAAACAGTCGAGCGATTGCAGGAGATCGGCCGAGCCTGAGGACGACGTCGACGCTCTGCTGCCATGCTGTAGGACGGGCTCAGTGGGACAGCTATGCCTTGCTCGGGTGAATGCTCACCTTGATCACTCGCGCACCCGCTCCGGCGGCGACTACGGCAGCGGTCGTGCTCACGTTAAAGGTGTTGTGCCCATCTCCACCCGTCCCGACGATGTCGACCACGAAATCGGTCTCTGTTCCTTCGATGGTGGCCTTGAGCGCGCGCGACCGTAGAACGGCTGCAGCAGCGGCAAGGCAGTCTGGTCGCCGCTCGACGCGCTCGATGTGTAGAGCGGTGAGGAAGGACCCGATCTGCACTGGCTGGACAGCGTCGGGGGTGAATACATGCTCGAGGGCTATCCGGAGATCGTCTGGGTCAAAGTACTCTGGCGTCTTGATCAGTTTGGCGAGGAGGGGTTTGAATGTTTCCGGAGAGTATCCAGACATCATGGGCGCGGACAGAATGAGTCGACGCCGTGCGAGCAGGTAGTCGAGCTGCTCATTGTCGGACGCAGGGAGCTACGCCTCGAGATCTGCTGCACTCCTACCTTCCGCCACCACGTCGAGACCGTTCGACGCCGCCAACTGACGATGGCGGCGTGGTCTTTTTCTTTCATCCAGCGAATGAGCTTTCAAGCGCGGCGAGAGCAACACTCAGCCTCGAATATGTCATTGAAGTACAACTGTCATCGCATTTCAAGCAAGTTACTAAGGCCCTTTCCGCGCAGATACACGACGTTCGGAATCTCAGCATGCATCTGCCCGCTCGTGCCCTCCTCGGGGAAAAAACATGGCCAGAAAAACCCGCGTCGCGTCAGGACCCCTGACAATAGGTGGAGAGGCCTGATCCAAAATTCCGAAAATCAGCCCCAAACATCCGGAGAAATTTTGTGATTTTTTGGCCCATACTTCCGGACGAGATCAGACCTTCGTCCAATTTTTGGGTTCCTGTCCGGGTACCGCATCAGGCTTTTCGGCCACCGACGGCCTATATAAGGCAGGTATGGGCGCTTCTGAGAGGCGGCGGCTCCGCCGCCGGCTCGAGGTCGGCGCTTGTCAGCTTCCGGGGCGTGGATGGCCGGCTGAGGATCAGGCCTTCGCCGAAACTGACAGGAACTGCCGGACATGAGATCACCTCCGGAGGCCTTCAGGGCCCTCCGACGTCCGGATGAGATCAGGCCTAAGGCCTCAAAAATCCCAAATTTCGTCCGGATAAGTCATCAGGCCTCTCCACCTAAGATAGACCCAGTTCAAACCCGACCACTATCACGTGACCCATTTTGTCACGCTTACATTCTTTTGGCAGACGAGAAGGAAAGAATTTCTTATTTCTCAAGCATCATCACCTTCAAGGTAAAAGTAGGACCACAATCTTATTAAGAATATTTTGCTTCAAATAATTGTGGTCTCCGACTTTTGAGAAATCTCACACACTGAGAGAAATAAGATAAAATTTTACAATATGGACATGTTAAGTAATTACCACATTTCTTGCCTGTGGCGACACGATCCTTCTCCACTTTCATGGCGAAATGAAAGCTCGCGCACCGGCACTCTATTGCAAACCTCGGGAACCATGCAAAAAAAAGAGTGTGCCGAAGACAGGATAGTGAAAAGGAAAACAAAGAAAATGTGAGTAAGTTAGTGCAATCTAGGCTTACAATACTCACCATTACTACAGGAACCACCTTCCGAACTTCTCGCCCAGACCGCAGATAGTTGCGGGGATACATCACCTGCAGATAAGCAGTGCACGACATCACACAGTGCCAGCGCCAGGGCAATACCACCGAGCACCGGCACTGGCATGCATGGGCCACTTGCATTGGAACTCTCTGGCCACGAAGGTGTTGTGGAACAATATCAGATTCAAAATGCAGAGGACACTATGACTGTACCTGATAATGCCAGTGCATTCCCTACATCCAAATCACATCCCTACATACCTCCACCCACCATTGAAGATGCAAATTCTGCTTTAAGCGACATACTGGCATTGCTCCGGCCACGGCGGAAAAATGGAAAGGGAACAAAGCCATTTGATGGTGATGATTTCCTTCATCGGCGCATGGAGCAGATGAGAATGTTGCTGTGGTTCTATGTCAGTGGAGAGCCACCAGCCTGGATTGATGCATCATTCAAAGTTGCATATGCATACCAGAAAGGTGACTTCATTGCAAAGGCTTTGCGCACGTGGACACGATCATTCTTGGCTGACCGGCATAACCTTCCAACCAATTGATATGGGAAATGGAACAACTCAATGCTACAGAAGGGGGACCTAGCATCAGCAATCAGAAGACACCTGCAAAGTATTGGCAAATATGTTCGTGCTATGGATGTTATGGAGTTTGTTAACAGTGCGGAGACACAGAGTGAATTTGGACTCACAAAAGGTATTTGTCTCTCAACAGCCCAAATGTGGATGCATGCAATGGATTACCGCTGGCGCAAGACCCCACATGGACAATTTGTTGATGGACACGAGCGTGCAGACATTGTCAATTACCGGCAGGAAATATTTCTGCCATTAATAGCTGAGCTGGAATATAACGCACGTCGTTGGAGCCGAGATGGTCTTGAGGACATTGATCAGAACGAACCTCAACCTCGTAATTGCCATATGGTGTTTTGGTGGCATGATGAGTCAGTCTTCTATGCAAATGATCATCGCTCAGTGCGTTGGGTGCACGAAACTGAAACCGCAGTGCCGCAGGCAAAGGGAGAAGGTGCATCAATCATGGCAGCAGACTTTGTCTTGGCAGACTATGGCTGGGGGTGCTCTAAAGATGGGACCAGATCAACCCGAATACTTTTCAAACCGGGAAAGAATAGAGAAGGCTACTTCACCAATGAACGTATCCTCGAGCACTGTACAATGTTGATGGACATAGCATCAAGAGACTATCCAGATGATGACCATGGTATAATACTCGACAATGCACCAACTCACCTGAAACGCGCTGACGATGCACTTTCCGCTCGCAAAATGCCCAAATTCCCACCAAAACCTGGCGCTCCAAACTTTGGTGTTATGACAAATGTTATTGGCAAGAATGGCAAACCTGTATATGGCACTGATGGGAAGATCCTCAAATGATGGATGCGAATGACAGAAGGAAAGTTTGCAGATGGCAGACCACAATCCTTGTACTTCCCACCTGGTCACGAGCGCGAGGGACTCTTCAAGGGTATGGCAAATATCTTGGAAGAACGCGGCTACAAGGGTGTTCAAAATTTGAGATATGAATGCCCCAGTTTCAAATGCCCCCCTGGACAGGAAAGATGCTGCTGTAGAAGAATGCTGTACAACGAACAAGACTTTCGAGATGTCGAGACATTAGTGGAGACTCACTGCAAAGCTCGTGGTTTCCATGTGATCTTTCTCCCGAAATTTCACTGCATCAGGAAAAACCTCCCAGCGCAATTGTGAAGAATTGTATGATAATTGTGAATAATTCACGAGAATGAGAAAATTTGGAGTGCATTGTGAGGAAAGTCGCTCAATTTCTCAACTTCAATGACATCAAGAAAAACCTCCCAGCACAATTGTGAAGAAATGTATGATAAATGTGGATAATTCACGAGAACGAGAAAATTTGGAGTGCATTGCGCACTGAGGAAAGTCGCTCGATTTCTTGACTTCAATGATGATCTGATTTGAAAACCTCATAATTACATGTAAATTGTATGGTAATCAGAAACTCTACTGGGGGGCTCTTGGAAAACAGTTCTTCTAGAACACTCTCAAAGAGAATTGTCAGCTGAACTACTGCTTACCATGATCACACAGCAAAAGCAGAAACAGCAGGGTTCACCGGCTCGACACTCAGCAAAGATGGCCGTAAATGCAGTGCAGCCGGTTCGAAGCGATCCGAATGGTGTATTAGATGTTGCCGATGCGTCCAACTGAGTGAGATGGGTAAGAACACGAGGCGGGCAAAAATGCGATACAGCAGATGCAAGGTGTACGAAGACACGAGGTGGGAGAGGTGGAGGAGGCAGGATGCAAGGGCGAGATGTAAGGCGAGATGTGGAGGCCGGACAGACGCAGTCAGCGATGCAGGTAAGGCGGGGGTATGCCGGGCGAGGTGGGGGATACGAGCTGCAAGATATCAAGAAGGGAGATATGTACAAAGTGCAGGATATGGGTAGAGGTGACCGGTGACAATACAATTTGCAAGGGTGAGGCACGCGTCGTCGCTCAGGAATTGCTAAAGTCCAACGGCACGTGATGACGTTGATTGGACCAAACAGGAGCAAGCACTGGTTCACTGCCGTCTTTTCTCTTCTTCATATTCACGGCTTTGTTGTGGGACCCGCAACACTTATTCTATGGTACGTGCTTTCTCTGTTACTCCTCACGGATGCATTTAACGAAGCTGATATTGGCATGCAATGCTAGGCATAGTCTTGTGTAGCAGCATAAGGGTAACACTCGAGGTGTGTCGTTACGCTCTATGTGCCTCGCTGAAAGACTAACTCGGATACTAGTAAAATGAAAATATGGGGCTTCTATGGATGCTCCGACTCCGGCCCCCCTCAACACATCAAATTCAGTCGGACGCTGGAGTCGACCAGCACCACATAAACCCCCGCAGCGGTTACCACCCTCTTGCATACAACGACCCCGAGCCGTCATCTGCGAACAGTCCGCACAGGCACATATGACTTCGAGGCCGTTGACTATGACTACGCACAGCCGCCCCCTCGCTCCCCTCCTGGTCCATCAGATCGTGCACTGCTGAACAAGTACGGCAATTCCAGCAGGCTCGTCCCCTCTATCGTTTCTGCCGGCACAGACGATGCGCGGAGAAGGGGCGGCTGGCTCAGGAGGTCCACGGCTGTGATTTTCGCTGAGCTTTTATGTCGAGAGGTTTGGGCTCATACCGCATGCGCCCACTGGTGTGATCGGAGAGGGCACCTCTAACGACGTTGTCTTTGCGAACGTGACTGCGAAACCCTCATGGCCTCTTAGGATACGGGATAGTATGCTGGCAATTTTTCTCCCTTGTTCACTGTACTGATGATCCCCGCCTCAAAGTAATCAACATGCCATTGGGAGTGTCCTGCCATTGTACGATCCCCTTTCCTTCCGTGCATACCAAATTCACCCTCTGTTCAATATTTTGTAGATTGTATTGAGGCATATTGAACACACTCAGGGTGATCCGCAGCAGCGTGGAAATGTCAACCAAGCCCCGCAGTACCAGTAAGTTTCTTTTACTCCGCACCATCACACGCTCAAATGCTCCAGGTAATGAGTACACTGCATGTGTGTCTGCGTCTCTCGGCATGCGGGTGCAGGGCCTGATCACGTTGGGCCGAGCCCGTCGCCTTCGATGTTACCTCCTCCATCCATGTCAAGCACTTGTTTCCTACACCCGGTGCGTCACACGAACTCATGTAACATGTTTTCTAACCCCTCTCTTCGATCTTTTCGGTGCATAACATCCGCCCCCATTGTTGTGCTTCCTGTTAAGTACTCATGCAGGGCTATCCAGGGCAGTATGCAAGTGACCTGATGATGACTTACATATCTCTTTGAGAATTGTACTTCATACCGTCTAATAACAAGTTCGTTTTCCTACTGTATTGTTGAGTAAATGAGGCCTGATTCATTGCCACAACATGTATAATAGCAAGAATTGAAGAGAAAACCCTGTAACAAATGTGTCTAATGTTGAGAAATGTTGAGAATTAAGGGTGAAATCGGCAGGGGCCGTCTATTTCATGTAATTCTCAACAATGTTGATAATCGCTGGAACGCGGAGAATCTCGACTATTCCTGACAATTAATATATAATTCTGACCAATTTGCGCGGGAGGTTTTCCCTGATGTGTGAGCTCAATCCTATCGAACCTTGCTGGGGATTTGCAAAACGTGTATACCGCCAGTTCCCGCCTTCAAAGTTGGAGGCCGATCTTGAGCGCAACGTGGTCAAGGCATTGGATGCAGTCCCACTCGAAAGCATGCGACGGTGCGTTCATCAATTCTGATGTGATGTGATGTGACTCAGATCACACACAGCTTCTACACTCGCGCACAACGCTTCATGGATGCTTATCGCAAAGGTTTGAATGGTAAGCAAGCTGCATGGGCGAGCAAGAAATATCGCGGCCATCACATCCTCCCAGAGAGCATCCTCAAGGAACTTGAAGCTGCAAAGATATAACTTATATTCATAGTTCAACTATCTTGTATACTTTCATTCTTGTGTATATTCACTATGTTTCTACCTCATACACTGAGAACGCTGACTCATTTTATGTCGACGCTCCTGCCGCTGTCGTGCATTCAGTGCCTTTTCGGGACTTATCCAGGCGCTAAGTGGGTTGCACGTGAGGTGTCACAGTGTGACGATAGTGGTCGGGTTTGAACTGGGTCTATCTTATAGTCAGGGGGGCGGATGGAAGTCTTCAGTTCACGATAATACCTCAGAAGCTGGACACCTTGAATCTTACGAGCCTGGAGCTTGAAGGTGAAGCTGAGCACTGAATATTCAGGCTCTCTGTTTGAAGCTTGATGAGGACGAAACATGAAGCTCGAAGCCTCTAATTATGAAACACCACGGCAATTTGCTCAACGTTCAATCCGGCTCACTGATCCTGGATAGTCTGCTTGAATTAGCGGGGGTCACACCGTAGTACACGCTTTCGGGAATTGCCGTTCGCTTCGAAGCGTCCTGACGCGTCCCATTGGCTGGTCACAACTCCGACACTCAGCTGTGGCGCGCTCGTTTTTGAGCTGGGGTGGGTCTTCCGTAGTGAATATCCTCTTGAACTTGCTCGGAGCACTTTCTATGTGCATCTTGCAAATTTTGCATGGTAGTTAAAGTGAACGTGGGCAACGAACGAGCAAAATGCTTTCCGGGCTCGGCATCTTCCGGACGAAATCGTGTACTACGGCTCAGGGGGCGCGTATTCAAGCAGACCTTTATAACCCGTCCTCCACCCACTCAATGAGGATTATATTGTAGTCTGCCTACGGGAGACTAGATCCTGGATGACTGCAGTGCCAAGCGTCATGATATTATGGACATCATGCATGCCACAAATGCGATGCCGATAACCTCTACGTAGTAAGTTACTTGTTTACATGCAGCCAACGTGCGCGATCTGCAGACCATTGCCGAAATTAATCTGCAGTGGGAGTCGGCGACTGGCACTCGCGTGATTCGTGGACGACCGTGACGAGGTGGCGCTCTGCGCTCGGATGGCTCCACTACTGTGATCGGTTTGACAATATTTGTTTCCCGACGACGGCAAATTCGAAGCACTGTGTACGGTTTGTTTACTGTTCATTCCATTGCGACCCAACCTGCAGATCCCAGGCATGGCGGAGGTTCTGTTATGCTTGACGACCAGGAGCTCGAACCTGAAGTGTACACCGGTTTCAGCAAGTACGAGAGGGTGCGGCATAATTATGTCACGAACCATCCTGAGGCGGTCTCTATACTGGGATGTAGACCTTGGACGTCCCGAATGGGACCCACATCAATGGGAAATGTAGGTCCTGCGACCTTCGAATGGAGTGTTTTCGACCATGGAGCATGTTTACACCACGATTTTACCTATTTTCCTCATCGTTTTACTTCACGGAGAGAGGGTCCTTTCCTTCACGGTCAGCCAATTGCCGAATCGTACCATAGCCGAGCGTACTACTCGTCTCTATCTATAAAAGCGTAGTACTTGTGTATCTATAAATATTGCTAGTACCATAAACTCCTGGTCCGATGTATAGGAAGCATCTGATTAGTTTCTATTTTAGAAATACTTTCTTCGTCACTCTCAATCCTTTTCGCCAAGTTCCAAAGATAAAAATCAATCAAGACACTGTTGATATCTTGCAACAAACCTTCCCTCTTCTGATTTTTCTTTCCTCCACAAAGCATCACAATTTCTTCCTTCATTCTCTCCACTGCCATGATACTGGCTGCTCGAATACTGAGTTCGACTCTAGAACCAGATGCCAGCATTGTGTGTGCTTCCAGTAGCTTTTTGAGAGAAGGGGGGTAAGTCAGAATTTGCAGGTGATGCAGAATTTGCGGTAGACGATAGTCGGCAAACATTGTTAATTGATGAATTGCAGACCCTTGGGGGAAAAGAGGGTGAGGGGAGGAAGAGCACGGATAGAAGGCCGCCCAAGTTTCCGCGACGAGAATCTGAGCGCGTTTCCAGATGCAGACTGGAGTGATGACTGTCAGCATACTAATTTATTCACTGAATGCCATGCATACTTTTGCGACCTTCGTAGACAAATTCATCTCTAAATGAAGGAAACGTCTCAGCTACCATCTGAACTAGCTGGAGTGCTGTGCCTCGTCCATCGTTCACGCGGTGAAATTCTTGATAGAACCCATAGAAAGATCCACTGAAATGCTAAGGGAAATCTGTCAGTTTGGACTGAACGGGCAGAAAATGGATTCGTTTACTGTGCATAGAATATTACCGACTTCTCGAAGAACTGCTATGCGTTCCTTGAGGAGAGGGATGCCTTCACTTGATTGCGATGCTGGCCTGAAGACATGCACGAGTAGCGAATCAGGGCACAAGATCTCCGACGAATAGAAGGCAGGGTCCGTGAGTGGGATACCTTCTTCCAAGGCTGACGCATACATGTTAACACCAGGACCGAGCACATAACACCAGCTGACCTCTGTCAACGGCAGCAACCAAAGACCAGTAGCCCGTGTGTACTACCCTCTCCTCTAAGGACCACCCTGCACGCCACTCCACACCATAGCGATCGGTCTGACCCTCTTTTTCCGACCAGAAACTGAAGTTGAGAGAGGATATGAGAAATAACCAGTCGAAGCACTCTCGTGTGGAAGGATCATCGGGAGCGTATGGTTCATGCGGGCAGAGGTGAAGCGGGTGCGTTCGCCACGATCGTGGTGTATATGATTCGAGCTGAATTCTCTCGTATATCTGGGCAAAGGATGAGCACCTACTACACCGCAAATTTGGTTATCAACTAACATATTTTGCAGCCGCTTTGATACCAGTCTCGTTCAACCCGACAATATCTGAATGCTGGAGAGTCGTGAATGTTTGCATCGGACTGTCAGAGGATAAAGGACACCTTCAACACAAATGCAGCGCTGTCTGCCACTGGATTACGACCGAGAAACCGACCACCACTTTGATCGTCGTAACAGCCCGAAAATAGGTCATTGCCAGTCGTTGGCGAAGTCAAAATGGTCATAGTTCAAGAGCGCTCAGACGCGGCCAGGGGCCGGCGACGCTCGAACAATAAATAAAGTTTTAGAGTACACGAGATTCAGAGATTTGTTGTGCCTGGACGCTCGTTATTGGAAAGTCTCCCGGCGGTTTGGCAACGAATTGTATCGAACTTCCAGCTGTAATTTTCATGGCTTACTCACCTTCCACAGGATCTGGGAGAGTAGTGCCAATGGATTACCACTCACCCGGCAGCACTGTAAGTGGGCAACCCTCTCCCCCCCCCAACCCCGAAGAGGGAAATTTTCCGCATAGCCGGGCATATTCTCCGGTCAAATTCCTGCCGCTTAACGCATTCGACCCAACACCTCCCTATAGATGGGAAACTGCCGACTTATACGAGTCCCAGTGCCGAGCGAGTGGTAACCCATACTACTATCGTTCCTGTGTGTAGTTGAGCTGCTCCGCGCCGAGTCGCTGCTGCACCTACTTCTACTCGATGCAATACCGCGAACAAGTTGCGCACCGACTCGTTTGAGTACGTAAATATATTATTTTCCGTCGAGTGTTGAACAGGTCTCGTCAGTACCAAATCAAGATTGACCAGCATGTTTGAACAGTATATATCATTCGACTATTCTGTCGCCGTTGCCCGCTCGCCAGCCTTGCCAACATCGACGATGAGACACAAATGCATGTAGGTGTGCGCGGGACTGGCCTCGTTCCCATACACTGTGTAAGGGCTGTTGATGGAATTTGCCTTCGGAGCGTCCGTCACCCAATGCACCTCGATGTCTTTCTCTTCGTTCGCCTCTTCGACTGCACACAGCAACTTTCCATCGTGCCTCTCACGGATATAGTACCACAGCTGGTGATGCATGGTGATGTCCGACATATCGACGACTTCTGCGCAGAGCACCTGCACGTTCTTCTGCTCGTCGTCTGCGTTGCCGAAGAGAAGCTGGATGGTGGCGCGCAGGCGAAACTGCCTGCAGATCCTCAGGAGGATAGCGTTGCTTCCCTTCAAGTACCCCAAAAGATCTTTCAACAGGTCGATGCCCTCTTTCTTCAGCCACAAAGCCTTCTTCGTCTGAAGTGGATGCTTGTGGCGTAACCTAGCAAGCTGCAGAACAGGGAGGCATCGACAATTGGTCATATCAACAAATCTTGTCGCATCGCCGATGTGGGTCCACTTGCGTGGCCTCAAGCAATTCACCGAAGATAATAAGATTGATATTCCCAGAAGTCGGGATGCCTTGTCTGGAGGCGACAGCGTGGACGAGCCGCGATGATGGAACTTCGAAAGGCAGCTTTGCTTCCGGTAGCCCTCGTGCGGGGGCGAGGACTTCAAGTTCAGGTCTTCCTCTGAACAGGCAACTGCTCCCAAGCATGCTGTATTCCCTGGAATGTCAAAGCGTTAGTTCACTCTTAGCTTTCCTTGCACGACGGTGTAGTTTATCTCGAGCATCGGCCCCTCAAGCTATCGTGTTGAGTGCAAGCGCCTGATGTTCCTGTGAGAAGACGTCGCATATTGTTACTTATGGCATGGGCCCTGCAGATTTCAGCGGTGTGCCAACCGCCGGGTACTGCATTCGTTGAGGTGGAGTCTTCAATCTGATCTGGAGTGATGTCAGCGTTAGTTCTCAGCAGACAACTCGCTCTAGAGTCCAACGCCAGCCTGATTCATTCCATTGGGTTAGTGTACGTACATGTGCATTCAGTAAGATGTGTCCGCCATTCAACAAACGGTATATCTCGAAACGTCCATGGAGCAACGAGAGAAACGGTGATCCAGCTATGATATTCCACTCACTCACGCATATGCCAAATGCGCATCGTGCCATCATCCGACGTGGAGACGATCCTCTTCGCATCGGGTGAGAACTGCATGATGTTAACGCTGTCCTCGTGCCCCTCGAATGCCGCCAGAGATTTGCCGGTGTCGAGGTCCCACACGCGGATGATATGGTCGCCTGCAACCGTGCAAGCGAGTTTGCCATCGTTCGAGAACGCGGCGGTATTGATGCCGTCACCGGCCTCGATGCTGAGGATGACTTCGCCGCTGTACGAGTCGCACACTTTGACGAACCCGTCTCCTGCGGCAGAGAGCACGCGCTTCCCGTCGGCAGAGAATATCGCGGACCACACCGCACCTGCGTGCTCGCGCAGAGTAACAAGTTCCTCCCCTGTTTCCGTGCGCCATACGCGCGCGCTCCCGTCGTCCGCGCCAGTCAGTATGCGCCGCGTGTCCGGCGAGAATACGAGCGAATAGATCACACCCTCGTGCCCGCGCATCACTGCCAACGCTGCACCGGTCTCTACGTCCCACACTCGCGCGGTACAGTCCGCGCCCGTAGATGCGACTTTCTCCCCGCCCGGGGAGAACTGCACCAGCATCACCATCGCCGTGTGTCCCCTCAGCTCGTGCTTCGCAGCCCCGCTCATCGCATCCCACAGCCGCACCGTAAAGTCGACTGAGCCCGTCGCGATTGTGCGCCCATTTGGCGAGAACGCAATCGTGTCCACGAATCCATCGTGCCCCACCAGAGTCGCGCGCGGCTGGTCCGCGTTCGTACGTGTCTCCCACACTTGCAGCGTGCCGTCGCGCGCTGCGGTCACGAACGCGCTGCTGTCTGGGTTGAACGCGATAGCGCAGATGGCGTCCTCGTTATCTTTGCGCGTGACCAAGGGGTCCCCTCCATCTGCGGGCCAGATAGTGATCGAGCCATCCTCGGATCCGCTCACGACGCGGCTCCCATCTGGCGAGTACGCGAGAGAGGTGATTCCGCCTGCGTTTTGTTCAATGTGATGTTTCGAGCTGCGCGTGGGTTGCTTGGACGACCCTTCCACACCGGGGTCAGACGGTCTAGCGGTCGGCTTCTGCGGTGGAGAGTAATCGCTACCACTTGGATCTATGGGGCCTACGCCGCCGGTATTAGCAAGATTGCCACTTGCACTCTCTACTGGCCTGTTTTCTACGCTTGAGGTGGAAGTCTGCTCAGGAGCACTGGCTGCGGGATTGACCTCGAATGTTTCGAATGAGAGTGATCCGACTAAAACATCGTTGGAAACTTATTGTCAAACGCGGAGACTATGATCACTCACCACCGTCCTCGTTTACTTCGATTTCTGGTAATGTTCTCTCCAGGTACTCGCGGATGTCATCGGGAATTTGATTGTCCTTATAGTCAACGTAAGAGACACGAATGGTAGCGGAAAATGACGACTGCGCCACATACACAGAGAGTTACTATGTCTTCCGTACTAGCGACCGCAACTTCTGCTTCTGAGTGCTGCCATGTACCTTGTGAGCCTGACATGCAACGGAGAGTTTCGAGAGTGCATACCACAAGGATATAATCCAAAACAAAATCGACCGGATCCCAAGGCTGCACGTCTGTGTGAGTGATCAATGTCGTCCCATAGCTTCAATCTTACCTTGTGCGGCGCCGGCACCTCTTCGAGGATGTCAGAGTCATCCGAATCAATGCTACTTGTATCTGCAGCCATAACTTGATCGTCGTCTGTACCATCTCTGTGGTAGTGCAGGTCTTTAGGCTTTGCAGCAGCTTCCAACTTTTTCAGGAAGAACCAGCGTGTCCTCAGCTTGAAATAGTGCAGGAAAACACACTGATCCTTTGGAAAATCTGTGGGCTCATTTGGTTGTTGTGAACTCAGCGCGCCGAGGCGTGGCCCAGTGCGATAAAAGGACTGTGGACTCGCCAAGCGAGATGCGGTGACGTTGAACGATGCATTTCCGTATCCGATGGCCGCATTGAAGTCCACCGACGCTTCACGACCATCCTGAGTGATCGCGCCCACCAACCATTGTGAGGTTTTCACCCATCCGGACACGAATCGAATGTCGTCTTCTTTAAGTTCACCATCCTTGAAGTCAATCCATTTCTGGCAGTTAGGGACCATGTAGTTCTTGATACGCCTTCTAGCATTGTGCACCTCCGATTTGGTAGCGGAATCGCTCAAGACTAGGATGGCACCCTGGTCTTCTGTACACTTGTAGTGAAGCCCGCCACCGGCAGAATTGCTGGTGCAGTGAGCATATCATTCAGTGCGACGGTATGAAATACCTAGTGGATCCACTCACGTTCCGATATTTGCGCCGGCGGATGCACTGACACTAAAATTTTGAATAATCCTACTGGATATCGTGCTAGCCGGGATCCAGTTCTCTACTGTATTCAGATTCTCCTCCGGGAACTGCAGAGGTTTGAAGTCCTCTGGGGCACCATACTTGTTGAGTTCGGGATTGATGGCATTGAATATGCGGTAGAATCCGCCTTCCTGAATGTAGCCGACGTCGCCAACGACGACTTCACCGTGTTTCAGAGGAGGCTCGGGGATCCAGAGCGGGTAGCCATACTTATTCTGGAAGAGGAGTTTCGAGTAGACATCAGCGGCACTGGTCATCTCAGCAACCATGGGATATCGATCGCGGGAGGATTCGATGAGAGAGACAAGAGAGAGAGAGGTGAGTGCGGCCTGCAAGATGAGATGCGATAGATATGGGAAGAAGCGCTGAGCATGAACGCCCGTAGCGCAGAGGGTACAGCAAGGCAGTGTGAGAACCAGAGCATCGACCACTGCACGCAGTCTCGCGCAACCACCGGGTTGGCTTTAGAAGGCATAGCCATGATTGCCATGAGGCATGCACTGACCTTCTACCCGCAGTAGATTTTTTGATATACCGCCATCTGGAGCAGAAACAGCGATGCCTCCTAATCCTAGTAGCTGGTCGGATACATAAAATGAAGACGCGCTTGCGGTACGTTTAGAACATGGGGCTCGACGATGACAGTCGTTGGCGTTCGCGCCTGTCACATCCACGTGTATCGTCACGTGTCACGTGACAATAGCTACAAGTTACCTAGCCAACCGTCAATACGCCGCACCTGCTTCGTCTACTTCTTCCGTTCCCCGGCCTTTCCAATCTCGACAATGAGACACAGGTGCATGTAGGTGCAACCAACGCTGGCCTCATTCCCATACGCGATAAAGGGCCTGTCGATTGAGTTATGGTCAAGTGCCTCCGTAACCCAATGCACTTCCATATCCTGCGGAGCATCGAAATTTTCTATAGCGGACAGTAATTTCCCTCCATAATACTTGCGGAGGTGCTCCCGAAGCGCCATGTCCAAGTAGTCGTCCGACAGATTCACCGCCTTTTCGCATAGTATCTTCACGTCCGCGTGAACATGGCTTCGCTGCGAGGGGTGTCCACATGGGACTTGAAGAACGACTTTGGGCCTATGGCGCCAGTGAGAAATCTGGTGTCATCGGTACTACAGAGACACATACCATAGACATTCAACTTGTACAACTCAGCACGGACAGGCCTAGGCCTTTGCGCCTCCAGGAGGTCTGTTTGAATGGCCGTGAGGAGACCTGCGCGAGAAGCATTGAACTGCATAGCGAATGCTGAGGTGTTGAGTTTCCCCGCCTTCCTGTACGACTGGTCGAGGACGTCCGTCTCAGCGACGCCGAATGTGGCCGCATCGCAGGTTTCCGCGAGGTCCTTCAGATCTTCCTCGGATGCGTTCGACAAGTCCACTCGCCTTCACGACAGAGGTAGTAAGAAATCCGCATTCTGTGGAGTGTACAAGGCGAGTACCTGGCAATTCTCTCCTTTCAGTAGAACAGGATAAAATCATCAGCCGGCACAGCGAGAGTGCCACTACAATAAGGGGGCTTGTTATTGATGAAGGATCCGAGAACTTCCAGTCCTTGTTCTAGCGTAGGCATCGTGAAATGTAGACAGTGGTGCTGGTGCTGGCGGAGGCAGTTATGAGATGGCTCAGGCTTTATGCTCACCTGCAGTTCGATGCGTAAGGGATGAAACAAGGTAAGGAACCAATCGCGAACAAGACGTACTCATCACGTGGACGAACGCGCTCACGCATAGTCATTCTGCGCAAAATGTGAACGGTCGGATATTATTGTCCATCAATAGTTCAGTCTGCTTCTGCGTTCCCGACCGTTATTGAGTAAACTGGAACTCGATGCCCTCTAGAAGTAAGAGGTAAGAGTATGATCTCAAGGGGCGTCTCCGACATACCCCCACCATGCTCCAGGAACGAAGGCATGACCGAACCCCTGAAAATATTATCTCCCAGAGACCGCTTTTTTACGCCGACAACGAACTGGCGGATTAGAATGTCATAGCGAAAGCACTAGTGGGCCGCGATTTACATCGCTAAGATTGCTGGACTAAACAAGCTCTGCGAATTAGATGTCACATGCTGCAATTGGACCAGATGACAGAACTGATCACAAGTGGAAGGATGACTTGTGTGATAGCAAAGCGTAGGGTGCAAACAGGATGAATTCATACCCAGTCATCTCGATACTTCAGGCAAACATGTCCAGCATGAGTACAAGAAACTGCAACACGTCCATTCAAGTTCTTCTTGAAACGAAAATTCTCTGACAACGATTCGACTAATCAGAAAGGAAGAATCAAACGTGCACGTAGCTTCGATTAGGTACACGAGTCAGATGTGTCTTCCACGCATAAAACATGTCAGTCGTACGCATAGCGGCCTCCGTCGGCATATTTCTCGCCCAGAAGCCAAACTCAGAGCCTTCCGGGAATTCACTCGTCGTCCTGTAGCGTAGACAAGTAGTGCTCATTCCAGTTTCTCTAGTTCTTCAAGGCGAGATAGTACCACATCTTTGCTTGTCTCTTCGATCTCCCCGGCTAGAAATACCTCATCCAAAATGGCGTAAACCTGGTTTAAGTCGCACATGAGGACAGCTCCCAGGAATGACAAGTGAAAGTAACCTTATAGAAATTGAACACCAAGTCGAGTTCGCAGACATTATCAAAGAATGAATCTGAAGTGAAGGTCAGCATTGAATTGTACCGAAGCGCCGATGAACCCACCAAGGACTTCAACAAACAGATGGATGGCCTCCAAATATGCCAGCTCGTTGTCATCCGCATCCACGCAGACGCAGAAAAACAGGCCGGCGTAGCGTCTGTATACTACTTTGTGGTTGCGGAACTATCGTACACAAGAGCGTCAGACTACACTCCGCAGACAGAGACTCTGACACACCTCGACGAAATTCGACTGATACTTTTGGTCCCGCGGCGCGACCAGCCTGTGGACTTCTCCACGAAGGCGAACCTAGAGCTTTTTGAGTATGACAGATTTATATCTCGAGATATATCCATACCTTCTCATCGTCATCGTAGGGAACGTACCACTTCGACAACCGCGTCTTTCCCTGGCGATTCTGATTCTATCGTGAGACCCGCTCTTCAGCCTCAATGAGTGCCGCATCACTTACTGACCTGAACCAGGATGAATCTTATCATGGCAAGGTTTCTTGAGGGTCTTCTGCAGTGGATATGCGCCAGGCCTCTGGCCGGTGTAAGTCAAGGTGCAAATAAGGTTGCCGACGGGCGCCAATATTTACAAAACAGCTCGATTTGGCAAGTGCAGTAATTCACGCCCCCGAGGCTCAAACAGCCGCGTGCGACATCATGGATCAGCGCGCCAGCTATGACGATACGACAAGCAGCATACACAGGGAGTATTCTTAAACTTAGGTCTTCACATCGCCGATCCTGATATGGGCCCTCACATGCACACCTCGGACTGTACATGTGGTCAAGCTTCGCGAGCGAACACAAATTTGACAACTAGTTTCGCTTCCTCACTTGATATCCCGTTCCCCTGCGCCGCGCCTTGAAACTTGAAGCTTGAAGCTTGAGGTCTTGAGAGTGCACTGACAAATTAAACTTTCAGCGAAGACTGCGACAAGGATGTATCACGTCCACATCTAGCATCCTATGTAATTGCACATGTCTTTTACAATGCACCCCATGTCCATCGGTTCGCCATGCTGATCATCCGTGCCATTCGATCGCTACCCGAGCCAGAACCACCACGGTCCATAGGAGTATTACGGGGAATTGTACCACTTTTCTACGTGGGCAGAATACCCAGCCTGCCTACCGCTCGGACATATGCGCGAGATAATCAGACAGCTTGACAAGGTAGACGTTAGTAGCTAAACCCGATTAAGTGAAAGACTGCACACCTTTAAAGCCGAACTCCTGATGTTCTCAGCAGCGTTCTGAACGTCTGGGTTAGCCAGCACGCGTGAGATCGCGTCTTTCGCCGCCATCTCGAAGCCCTGCAGCGAACCGTCACCCAGCAGGCCATCCGAGCCACCCCCCATACCACCGAGATCCTCATCCTCCTCGCGTCCGAAGTACTGGTTCGAAGAAATAGAGGACGCGCCCTGGAAAGACTGCAGTCGCGATTGGGCCTCGCTGATCGCGTTCGGATCGTACGCGTTCCGTCCAAAATACATGTCGGACGATATCGCCTTCTGGTTGCCGAACTTCTCCCGCGCCGTCGTCGGTGCATCGTCTTGTACAGATGGACTGGGATTGGTGCTGGTAGTCAGTGACACATCGGCGTACGGTAGGTATAATCTCACCCAGCCTTCGGAGACGCAGCAGGAATAGCGCCGAAGCCCAGCCTCTTCATGCCCATGCCTAACCGCTCCATGTCGTGCGCATTGCCCTTAGGCTTAAGTTCCACAGGTGCTGCAGAGACCACGGGTGTCTTAGCCTTCGCACTAAGCGGTGTATTGATTAGCTCTTCTGCCGTTTTCCTCTCCCGCTCCTCTTCTTCCGCCTTCTCTCGCTCACGGTCGTATCCTAACTGCCGCACACGCTCAGCCTCCTCTGCTGCACGCCTTTCAGCCTCTGCAAAGTCGAGAGGGGCAACGGCCTTCTTCGCTCCGAGTCCACCGAGTTTCGACCTCTTGGGCGCGGGGGCTGAATTGGTAGCAACAGAGCTTGTGGAAGAGGAGGTAAGGCGGGATGCGCCGAGCTTGGACGTGGGACGGGAACCTGGCACGGATGAAGTGCCAGAGCGGAGAGAGGATGAGCTGATGGTGCGGGGTGTGGGAGGTGGGCTGTCGGAAGCAGACTCGCTCAATGACCTGCCAAGCGAAACCGGAGCCGGCTTGGACGCGAAGAATGCAGGTGACCGTGGGGTTGCGGGATTGTTCCACGAAGCGAAGAAATCGTCGTCGTTCTCAGCTGAGGGAGTAGATGACGTAGAGGCATCGGTGACTCCGTCGACCACTATCCGGGTGGGAAATCTAGTGCGCGATGAACAGATATAGCAGCATACAGCGACAATATACACACTTGGTAACATCCTCTTTCACTCGTTTCGCAAGCTCTTCCTTGTACAGCTCTGCAATTCGGCTGGTGTATTTCTTCTTCGGGTCTGCATCTTGGAGAATCATCGAACCACCATGTCTTGTGAAGAAATCCTTAGCAGATGCATTGCCACCAACTTTCATATTCCGCAACTGATTAAGTTGCCAGCTGTCAAGGTTGGTTGATCTGGTAGATTTCGGGCATGAGCGCACGGTGGAGGGAGGACACGTAGGCTGACAGACGCTCACCGGACAAAGCTGATGTGTACCCCCATGTTACGATGCATACTCGAGCAGTCAAGACAGATATATACTGCAAATGTGACGCTAGCCCAAGTCGGATTGCGGGCTTGGCAGTCGAAACACATCTGCTTGATGTTAATGTAGGTCTGGCAGCAGGTGAACATCAGGACTCGCCTTGTTCCCCTTCTGCGCCGTCAAAACTTTGAAAACCTGTGCCGTCTCGGCTTTGGAAGGATCTTCCATGTTCATGTTTGCAGGATAATTGCGTGGCTCGCAGGTAGAGAGTAAGCCGAACGATGTCGAGGAGGTTGTTGATCAAGCAGAATTCACAATGTATGCAGTCTCGGCAGCAGCCGGTGACGAAAGGTCGAGCTAACTACACTAGAAGTGACGTAAGTAGCTGTTCTTACCATCCAGCTTTCGGAGCGTGAATATCCTGCTAACCCTTGAACGTTCGAACCCAAGAGCACTGTCCAGCTTACCGCTGCTGCTGTGCTGCTGCAGGACTTCGTCACGAAATGGCCTCAGCTGAACTTGGCACGTATACATGAGTATTTCTACGACCATTTCTTGTCTGACAATGCTGTTTAGAGGCAGTACAGATCTGGGTGATCTCCGCTGACCAGACCATTCCTCTGCGTCACTCCGTTCTCTGGCCTGACCATCCCTCGTCTTATGTCCGTATTCCAGAGGACGATCTCGCATACCATTATGCAGCATTCATCCCCTCCCGTGACGAACCCGTGGCTGTCATATCTGTCTTCAAAGAGTCCTTGCCGGCTCTGCCAGTGTCGTCCTCCAAAGCTGCGGAAAGCCGGGAGACTTACAGCAATGCGGCTCGTTTCCGCAAGTTTGCTTGTGACCCATCGTACCAAGGTCGCGGTATTGGCACGAAGCTTTTGGAGTACGTATTCTGCACCGCGCGTGCAGAATTGTCATGCGGCACGGTCTGGTGCGATGCGCGGGTGTCGACTGTGCCGTGGTATGAACGGAGAGGTATGACACCATTTGGAGAAATATTTATAAAGAGCGGCATGGAATACATTCGAATGCAGCGGCGTTTGCCTGATTGATGTGTTTCTCCCCATCGCCTGTTATTCATTGGTAAAGTGACTTCTGGACCCGCGCGACTCCCCACCGAATGTACGATACCAAGATACCATCTGCAAAAGTTAGTGCTAGTACGGTGCTGTTTCTGTTGTGACTGCCTTGTTTGGCCCTGTTCATATCCAGTATCAGGCTCCTAAAACCAGCCGTCGCTATAGTGTTCTCGCTTTATCCCACCATATGTTTTGAGAGATCATGTGATATATATATTTTATGAGACTTACCCGATTGAGCGAGAAAATAGCCGAACAAGAGGAGGAGAACACTATAGGACGGCTGGCCTATAATGTCAACCGAGGTTTCGCCGCTGGCGGGGCGGGTGGGCGCTTATCCGGCTACCTGAAATTAAAAAAAGAATAATCTATTGTGAAAAAGTCTTTATAGATTTCGAATTTGAAAATCTAACAAAATTTAAAGAAGAAATAAAATTAAATAATTTTGAGTTACAAATAGTTTTTATAATAAGTAAAAAGGGCTCTTATTAAAATTAAGAACTATCTCTGTCTTACTTAAGACAATTAATATGGAGTATATTTCAGTATCGCGCCAGCTGGCTACGCACAGCGACTGAACATCAGTCTAAAAATCTTTAGTGAATATCCATTCTCCGTCGAAAGAATATTTTGGGCCAGTAAAATAAAGACCTATTTTCTTTCTTTTTATACTTTAGGTCATTATTATAAAAAATATAGAGTGAATTACACTAAAATGCGAGATTTTTATGCCCCCTTCACTGTACGGCGAAACCTCGGTTGACATTTGTCGGAGATTTCTGCGGCCCGTTACAACGGCCGGCTTAGGCCCTGTTCGGGTGCTCGGTGTGGGCGAACCGGGCCCGGTTTGGGCTGGGTCGGATCAATTGGAATAGGACGGAAGCGGCCTTTTAACGTAGTCGTCATTTACATGTCACTCCAAAGTCACAATGATGGAAAAGTACACGTGACACAAAGCCGCTGGGTCTCAAGCGTACAACCCTATTCCAGGACAAGGGTGACCAATTGATTGGCTGATCCAAGGTGGCCCGGTCTAGGCAATCCAAAAATGAGTCTGGATCTCTTTCGAAATCAGTCACAGCGTGATGCTGCTCAACCGGTCGCCAGGGCACATCTGCTGGGTCGGTTGGTGTCCAAATCTCACGGAACCTGTTCGGAACCGGCCTCAAAACCCGGTGTCACATTTTGGCAGGGAAACCGAACTGGACACCGGGCTACCAAACGGGGCCTTATTGAAACGCCCAGCCCGGCGTTGGGAGCCAATCATAACGCCATTATCACGCAGCAGTCCGAATCCCCAGCGTCTGAGCCGGCAGGTGCCGGCGCTGCAATGCCGGGTACACGTTGCAACAGCGTTGCAACGAGTCGTCGTTTGTCTGCTATACCCATGCCCCTAGGGTTACCCCCTCTAGCTGTGTATTGACTGGTGTATCATCACTGTACTTGTTACTGTTCATATCTGTGCTTATCATGTTATATGACAAGCCCCGCAATGCCTGCCAACATGCCGGCTCATCGCTCAAGTGCTGTGTCACTCAATATGCCAACTTGTCGCTACAACCCGGTTGCGTCGTCGAAGAAGAGATGTAACTTCTGTGGGCAGTCTTTCAATGCACGAGGATTTGCCAAGCACCAACAGAGTTGTCAACGGAAGCACGAGCAGGAGGTGCTGAATGCCGAGTTTAGGGAGGAGGAACATAGATTGCATATGCAGAGGGGAAGGCCAGGTACGTTAACTGCACTTTTGTGGGTTTCAGTGGTGGCGGGTCATTTTACTGTTGTATTGTGTCTTCGACACTTCCCGTCTGACCTACCTGCATGAACAAAATTGTTTGGCAATTTTGTACCATGATGCTGTTGATCTGTGTGCTAATCTTTCTGACTCCAGCTCACATGCGACGTGCAATGTCACAGAGTCTCAACACTCTAGGTATTGTCTTAGATCCTTTGTTACATGCATACACGTACTGAGATAATTGACAGATAACCAAGGTCCTCCCCTGAGTATTGACATCAGTGTTGCAGATATTGATGCTATGCCAGCACCAATTGAAAGTGGTGAGTTATAAGCTTGTCCAAAGTTTGGATTGCCATGTTCTCATTGAGTCTTTACTCATTATGGGCCATATAAAGTCACAGAGCATGCAGCTGGCCCTCAAAGGGATGATATCAAGATTGAATATCATCCTCGCAGCAATCTATCACCACGTGTAGTCCCCTTTGAAGACTATGGACATGAATTGGATGTTCATGACACATCACTGCAAGACGATGAGCCATGGAAACCTTTCCGATTACGTCTGGAGTTTAAATTTGCAGAGATTGCATTAGAGGCTGCACTGAACAAAGAACAGACCAATCGGCTTTTGAAACTTATTCATTGTTGCATTTTGGAGAGTGGTACATCATTCAAGTTGAGGGATAATGATGAAGTTTGTAAATTTTGGGATGCAGCCTCACACATTCTCACTCATGCAAGTGTTGTAACCTTGTAGATTAAGTTGCATATCTAACCTGTTGTATTGTGATCCAGTTTGAAACCAAGACAATCAAAGTTCCATATCACAAAGAGAGTTACTCCTTTGCTGTGCAGATTCACCCACTGTGGGATTGGGCATTGGATTTGCTTGAGAATCCTCGCCTTGCTCCTCATTTTGTATGGGATGCACAACATCTGTCAAAGTACAATGGTGATAAATTTGTATGTTTCATCCATGAACCTTGGACCGCTGACAGGTTCTGGAACATTCAGGTATGTAAATTAACTACTATAGTTATCTAATGACCTACTTGTTATCATAGTCAAAGTTGCCTTCACCAGAAGGAAAGCCTTTCTGCTTCATACTATATGCTGACAAAACAAGATTGTCATCCTTTGGTACAGCGAAAGGTCATCCGGTGGTTGCTCGATGTGCAAATCTTCCTATTCATATTCGAAATGGAGAAGGTGTTGGTGGTGGTCGTGTAGTTGGTTGGCTTCCAATTGTAAGTATACAGATTAGACTGTTTCTCAGTGCATTATTGATATAGTATGCAGCTGGAAGATGAAGAATCTGAGAAGGGTAAAACTGGCTATGTGAACTTCAAGTGTGCTGTGTGGCACAAGTCCTTTTATATTTTATTAGAGACCATCATGGCACTTTCGAAGACTGGGTTTTCCTTTGCATGCGCTGATAAAATCTTACGCTTGCTATATCCTTTGATCTTGATCTTATCAGCTGACTATGAAGAACAGTAAGTTTGCTCACTATTTTGGTTTATTTCTAGCAGTGAACTTCTCTCAGATGTGTTATGACATTAATTCGTGGCATCAATAGCAAATGTCCATGCCCTGTCTGCTATATTCCATCAAACGAACTTCATGATCTATTTGTTGTCTACCCTTCTCGCACTGCTGAGAACACAAAGGTAATAGTGGCTAATGCATTAAAGATGCACTATGAAGAAAGAGAAGAGCTATTAAAGGCTCATAGTCTTCGACCAATTATGGTAAGTGAGCCATTTTTATTTACTAAGTGCTGCTGGTTTATAATTATATAGAATACATTCTTCAATGTTATGTATTCAGATCCTTTTGAAGCAACATGTTTTGACCCGCTGCATTCTCACAGTGGACTATTTGAAGATCATATCTGGTCAGAACTCAAAAAGTATGTGCATGGCTTAGGACGTGCATTTGCAGGACAAGTAGATCAGCAGTAAGCACTAGTTCTACACTATATATATATATATATATATATATGCTAAATGCCATTATCAGAATGTCAGGTCTTGCCCAATAGCGTAATCTCAATCACTTTGACAAAGTAATGAGTATCTCATTTACCGATGACACAAAAAATCAGAATATTGCAAAGGTATATATTTAAATTAATATAATTACTCATAGTCTAATGTTTTATAGCTTGTGATTTATGCAGTACATAACATTCTTGAGCAGTCAGTGGAACCTGAGGCCTATCTTTTATTAAAATGTCTGCGGAGCCACCTGAACTTGGTCATGTATGTTGCATTGGATGTTCATACAACGGAGACTTTGAAGGCTGGCCGAAAAGAACTATTACATTATTCAGCCTTAATGAAGGTGAGTCTTAGTTCAGATCACTGCCTTGCTGAATTTAAAGAAGGTTTCAACAGAGTTATATTGATGCAACAAAGGATGACCTTACAAAGAATTGGAATTTTCCAAAAGCACATGCTCAACAGCATGTCTTTGATGATATTGAAACAAAAGGTGTCACATGAAACTACAATACAAAGCCAAATGAAAAGATGCATGGAGCTCTCAAGAAAGCATACCTACTTTGTACAAATTTTAAAGATGTAGCGAACCAGGTATTGTGACTTTTTGATACTTTTTTTACTTCATCTGAAAAATTATATTTTAGATTTTACGTGTAGATCATCACTGCTATGTCTCTGCCTTGATCAGAGAACAAGTGGATGAGTTTGACCACACTGGACAAGTTAATTCAGATGATGCGGTGGATGAGAAAACTGCCAGTCAACACATAACTCTTGGTTTGGGACAAAAACCAATTACCTTTGCCTTACTTGAGGAGGAGAAAAAAGAAAACACGACATTTACGAATTTTTGCAAGAGACTGGCCAGTTTCTTGACAAATTGGTTACCTGCAAACAACATTTTACTTCCTGGGAATAAACGAATTAGATTTCACGTAAAAGATAAGGTAAGTGTTTTAATCAACCAGAAGCTAATAAAGATTCTCACAATTATATAACTTAATAGATAACTGAATACCGATTCCTCAAAGTTAACTATGAATCACTTGTGAACTGGCGACTGACAACAGACTACTTACATTGCAGTCCAATGTTTTATGGAGCCCCACGATATGATGGTGTCCTTATTCAGACTGTCGATGGACCAATCTTTGCACGACTTCTATTTCTATTTCAGTGCATGGTTAACAAGGAAACATACCCTCTGGCTCTTGTTCAGCCACTAGATGCACGATTTGCTCGTCATTGCAAGGATAAGGATTTAGGACTCATTCGTGTTTAGGTGAAGACAGGTATAGTGTCAGAGTTTATCTCTCTCCATTCTGTTATATGTGGAGCCTACATTGTAGATGCATATGACAGAGATGGGGACTATTTTGTGGTGGATATTATAGATACAGATATGTTTCTTCGGCTTAGACATCTAACTTCACCGTAGTGTTCTTTACTTGTACACGTGCGGAGATCTAGAGATTAGTCATCAATTATACGCCAATTTTGTCCTGCATGCTCACCTTGATCATCACTCTCTTGCTACTGCAGCATGCTGCAACCAAACCAGCGTGCAAGACCTGAGGTCAACTAAGATGAGGAATTCAATCTTGATGTAGGTAGCAGTCAGACGGATGACAGTGATGAAGTGGAAGAGGCCATAGAGCCCATGCAGATGTCAGGTGATAACGCAACAATAGAGGAGTATCGTCATGTAAGTGGTCAATTGAGCATTCAAACAAAGCAGTAAATAGGATTACAAGACAAGTAATGACTTTATCCTTGCAACAGGTTGTTCGGCAACTTCAGCTCGACAATGTGAACCTTCGCAGAGAGATGCGTGCACTGCAACAGCAGAACGGTGCTCTGATTGCCAACCAACCGAAACGATGCAACAAATCAAGCAATCTTCCTCGTGAAATTGAAGATAACTCAGTAAGAATTGGAAAACTGGGCTGCAAGTATTGTGTTGTGGTTGCACCGTTCATTCAGTCCACTATATTCTTGAAAGCACGACCAGATGGAGTATCCTCATACAATCCTCACCGCTACGACACTTCCCGCTCTGAGGAGCTTGGCAATATAGCCAAATTATATGAATTCCTCCCAGTCGAGTTCCATCATATGGCACACAAACTTCCAGCATTCGGCAAGGAGGTCTGTTTATTATTCTCATTTTAATTTCACTGTTAACCCCCAATACAGTTTCGAAAGAAGGTGAATGCTCAAAGATCAACAATGATCAACACCCTCCGCACCCACGCTGCATCGATCTTCACCGGTACACCTGCAGAATATTTTGGAACTCAGTACGATCGTGCTGCGATTCCCAACTTCCAGGCAAAACTCAAGGCTCCTGCTGATGCAAAATACCCATTGTGGCCACCCATCCTCTTTCCAGACTTAAAGTACGATATGAGGGTGGTATTTCACAATCCACTTCTTCCTCGGGTATGAAAAATTGCCTATTGCTCATACAGTCACTAATTTGCCTCATGCCGTTGTCTGTAGATCATGAAAGTAATCTTATGAGGTGCAAGCTCAATTCAAGCAAGCGACAAACACATCGGCAAGCCAGCTGATCAGGCCTCACAGTGGAACATCACGACCATCACAGTGAGCATGATTGCAGTTGCGGCAGTCCTCGTCAGTCAGTTTTATTCGGATTCACACAACAACACTAATTTGCACCTTAGGTATACTTTTTGCATTCTCCCGATACATCCATGGACCAGAATGGAATTGGCGATAAGACCAAGCTCAACTATCAGAGGTTTTTTCATGCCTACAAGAAGTTGTTGATTACGGCATCGAACCAGGGCCGGGTGAAGGAACTTATTAAGTTCTACAATGATGTCATTTTCAACGACACGCGAGAGTCGAACACCGGCACATTGGAGGAAGATAACTTTATTGCCGCGATGGAGGGTGCAGCACTAGCATTTGACTCAGATGGATTGGAGGATGTGGATATGTGGCTTCAAGAGATAGCCTTAGACGATGAACACGGAGTGCATGTGGATGAGCAGCCCATAGCGGGACCATCGCGTCATCTTGACGTGCTGAATGTGCCGGCTTTACAGGCAGACAACTTGGAGTGCAACCCTCGAGTCATTCCATCTGTTGCTGCAGCTCTTAGTGACGACATTGCCGCCGACCCAAAACCTGCCAACCATCGCAATACCAGTAAGCGGGGAACTCGCAGTGCTGGTGGTGGTTCATCAAGCGGAGTTACTGCTAATTCACGGGCAACTCGCAGTTGACCGGTTGTGGCTGCTGATGACCCAGTGGCAGAAGATCCCACCACAACCACAGGGACTCGCTCGAGAGGGAAGAGTCGTGCCAGGTGATGGGACAGAATATTTGAAGCCCTCCAGCAATAACTTGGATAGAGCACTCGCAGGTTCGAGCTCGTTAGTGACATTTCTATCTTCATTTCCTGACAGACACTCCTTCACCACTCCGGAAGATTGTTGTGTTTTCAATGTACATCTCCATATTGGTGTTTTCTGCCGCTGTCCCACTCTGCTGCCATTTTCCTGTTTCACCCATTCTCGCTCTACCTGGCACTTCGTGTCATGCCGCTCCTTTTACATGTGTTCAGTCTGTTGTCATTGGATACGTCTCGATGAATGGCAGTGTCATGATTGCTTCCCGTGACTTTGTACTAATGGTTGGCTGCACCATGGTTTGATCTCACTGTCCTCCGAGTGGGCGAAAAGTATGTTTTCTGTCCTTCTATTCTCTTCATTCGAGTTCATCGGCATTGCTGATGGTCGTGATGCTTGGCGTAACGTGTCTTGTGTGGTTTTCTCAATCGGCAGGGAAAGTGAAGGAGAGCGAACACTGGAGTAGTGCGAGCATAGAAGAGGGTGCCTAGGACTCGGAGCGGGACGAGAACGAGCAGATGGACGAGGCATCCTCATTCTCTCAGCCTCACCAGCGCATACTATTACATGTTCCGACCGTGCGGGAGCACCACAAAACCCAATGCAAGCGACACCTCGAGCATCCCACCACGATGTGTGGCCCTTGCCTGGCCGTCACGGGAGGTACTTGCTTTACAAGGCAGGCGAAATTGCGAACACAGACGACACGCTCTTTGCGGACGTGTGGGCAAACACGGTGGACTCGTCACTACACAACCTTGTGTGGGTGCGTGCCCGTTCCCTTTGTTTATCACTGCACTGCTGAGGTGTGGTTGGATGCGACGCGTGCGGGTTGACGCGGACAGACCTCGATGGTAGGGGTGGCAGTATGTGGCTGACTGGGACAATGGAGCGATAATCCACATCGGGCCGCACCTCGAGTGCTACAATGCTGGGAACTGGATCCTAGGTGAGCTTGGCATCTCTGCCGCTTGGGATGACATCATCCGCTGACCCGGGAGCACACTGGCAGGTGGGAGTTTGTTGAACAACGTGACAATTGTGAACTTCGCGCTGGACCTGGTGGACGCGTGCTGGAACATGTACGTGAGCACCGTGTAGGCCCCTTTTCCCGTGACTTGGTTGAGGTCGCACTAACGTTCACCGCGGCATGCAGCACAGGCATGGCCCTGAAGTCTTCAGGTACTTCTCCTCAGATGGGAACTACATGGGCTCCTCGCCAAGCTCGGTGAACTTCATGTTCCATGAGCGACTTGGGTTTTTCGTGTACCCGGGTGACAGCGACTACTACCTGCGACCCGAGGTGCTCGAGTCGAAGTTCTACGTGTGGCGCGCAACAGGGGCCGTGCGCTACTATGAGAATGCGGTGAGCACGCTCAAAAAGTTCGAGACGTGGCTGCCGGCACCCATAACGTACGCGGGCATCGATGACGTGGACGCGACGGACTCGGCATTCATTGATGACATGCAGATGGCGCTCGTCGAGCTGTCGAGCTAGGCATCACCACCACTGCCGAACAATGACCGTCACCACTGAGGAGCTAATCAAGTCCTTAGGTGAGTGTGGACTTTGAGGCTTTCACTGAACCTGGTCCATTTCTAGGAAACTGATGATGCTCCCGTTGTCGTAGGCGGCAGAAAACTTCAGTAGACGCAATCCGCATTTTCACGACAATCGCGAGTGTGTGCTGGGCTGGAGGCCCGCTCATTCGACCATCAACATGATTGCGAGCATAGCCCGAGATCGAGGCGTTGATCGTGAACCCCTCGTACAAGGCCATTTTCACCATCTTTTCCCCCCGGACCAGCAGCGCCTCATCTTCGCTGGTAAGCAGCTTGAGGATGGGCGTACGTTGTCAGACTACAACATTCAGAAGGAATCTACACTTCACCTTGGTGAGCACCATCACTGCATGAGAATTTGGATTTGAACTAATAATTTTGTCCTTCGTCTCCGTGGCAGAATGTAAATCTTTGTCAAGACCTTAACCGGCAAAACTATCACTCTTGAGGTCGAGTCTTCCGACACCATCGACAATGTGAAGGCGAAGATACAGGACAAGGAGGGTATCCCTCCAGACCAGCAGCATCTCATCTTTGCCGGTAAGCAGCTGGAGGATGGGCGCACTCTTTCTGATTATAACATCCAGAAGGAGTCCACTCTTTGCCTCGTCCTTCGTCTCCATGGTGGCATGCAGATATTCGTGAAGACGCTTACCGGCAAGACTATCACTCTTGAGGTTGAGTCCTCCGACACCATCGACAATGTGAAGGCGAAGATCCAGGACAAGGAGGGTATCCCTCCAGACCAGCAGCGTCTCATTTTCGTGGGCAAGCAGTTGGAGGATGGGTGCACTCTTTCCAATTATAATATTCAGAAGGAGTCAATCCTCCACCTTGTCCTCCGTCTGCGCGGTGGTATGCAGATCTTCATGAAGATGCTTACCGGCAAGACAATCATGCTAGAGGTTGAACTGTCAGACACGATCATTATCGACATCAAGGCCGAGACTCAGGATGAGGAGGTACTAGGTACTACACTGGACAAGATCTTGGCTTGGGACACTCACAACTTTGGAGGTAGCTCGACAGATTTCTGGCACATGGTCAGTGTGTTCTGAGGGCTCCACACACCAACAAGAATGCTCTTCGATTTCCTCAATTTGTTGTTCAAGACCACTGATATTGGCTTAGCACCTCATCACACACTCAAGTTCCTTGAGATCCGCAACAATGAGGCAGAATTGTCGTTATCTGCATCGGCATGGGCCCAGTTCGCATCAGTGTTCTCCCCGTCGTCGTCGACATCTTAATGGCCTGCTCTACTTCATCATCTATGGAGATGCACCCAGTGCTCCGACTAGCCCCAGGTGGTGATTAGTCTATCATATAGATTTAAGCAGATATAATAACATGGAGCTCCCTGGCGGAGTGGAAATGGCTTAGTTTAAGTTAGATATCATTGTAACTATAGTGCCTACTGCTGGTACGACATTCGAATCGGGCTGTTGTCATTACAACAGTCTCCGAGGGGTGTAGAAAGGGTTATAAGATGGTAGTTTCTTTTGTTGGAAGCGTCACCATTAGTACGTGTAAAGTCCCCTTGTAAGTAGCTTTGCGCGTCACAACGTGACGCACCCGTTCCAAGCCGTTGCAACCAGCCAATCAGCGCTCCCCTTAGCTGCATTTGAGATCACGTTACAACATTGTTGCAACCTTCGTGACAACGACTGTTGTGACGTACCAAGTTCTTATTGTAACGCTCACGTTTCTCTTTCAATCCAATTGTAACGGGCCCTGCCTCCCCGGTCGTTACAAGTGCTTGTGACAGGTTGTGACGAGACCTAGATTTCTCCGACATTATAGGCCAGCCGTCCTATAGTGTTCTCCTCCTCTTGTTCGGCTATTTTCTCGCTCAATCGGGTAAGTCTCATAAAATATATATATCACATGATCTCTCAAAACATATGGTGGGATAAAGCGAGAACACTATAGCGACGGCTGGTTTTAGGAGCCTGATCCAGTATGAGAGTGGGGAACGCGGCTGCGAAACCCACCGCCGCCGCAGGCAGCGGCCGCCACTCGCTGCTTGGCCATATGCGGCAGGTGTCGTGGATCATTGATCATCTTTAGATGCAAACAAACTGACTCGAATGTACTGTATAAACGACGACGTTCCGCAAGTCTCGTCTCGCAGTATACATCCCATCTTGACCAGGTCCATCCATGTACCGCGTAAGTATCTATATCGCCTCGTATTATCACGTACAACCTCGTCTTCGCTCTCCCCATCCCCATTGTGTGTGCGTTCCTGAAGACTAGCGTCTCACCTATGGTCTACTCCATACCCATTCCTTGTGGATCCTCCTCAGCCTGCTTTACTTCCAACCTGCTCAGTGGCAAGTGCAGGTGTATGTGCCAATGCATACATTCCTCTACCCGGTTGATACCAGCCATACTTCTCCTTGCGATCACCGTCGTCATCCTTGTCGCAGTCCTCTGCTGGAGCTCTCGCGAGAGCGAACCACAAGATGCTATCTCCAACTTTAGTACTACTTGTCGTGCTCGTTGCTGCATACGCCGTTTCCGACATCGCCGTCCATGGCTCTAGGACGTTGCTCGCCGTGATACAAGCTGTTCACATGCGCGACTTCATGCGCGACTTGTGCAAGGACTTGTACTATCAGCTTGTCCCTCTCTTGGAAATTGCTTCGATATTCGTGATGGTGCAAATCGTTCAAGTACGCGACTTCATGGGCGGAAACCTAGCTGCTGCGCGGATGCTCATGGTAGTGCAGGCTAGTATTTACAAGTGTAACTTTATGCATAAACTGGGCGAGAATCTGTTCGATCAGGCGCTGCCTCGTTTAAAGCAGGTCGTTCCTCCGATATATCTGCACACTGCTGCGCTGCAGGCCTCGTTACAAGAACTTGTCCCAGTTTCGGTTGTCGACTACCGCACGGTGCTAGCTGGCATTCTTCGATCGTTGTGGACTGTGCCCACCGCATTGCTGCTGAAAATATCAGTGAAGTGTCATTTCGGATATTCTCAAATGGTTCTTGCTTTGGTCTTTCCGTTGGTCGACGCCTTAGGTCTGCAATTGTGTGTCATGGCAAAATAGTTTGTAAAGTAATGTTACTCTCAATCTGTCTTACGTCAGTGCTCATGCTGTTGCAGACGAATCTTATTGCATGGCCATTCAGTCAAACTCTGACCTCGTTAGAAGCTTCGGGTGTGCAAGGTATTGATATTCCACCAACGCACTCGGACTCGAACGATGACGACACCATCAGCCGTGATGGTACGGGGGCCCGGTCGATTAAGACTTGGAAGGTTTATCGGCCGAGGAATGTAAGTCCTCTTCCAGTGCAATTGCAGCCTAATCTGATCGTCCCTTAGAGACCGCTGTATAGGTCCGTGTGGCTGTGGAGGATTCTCGAAAGTCTGCGCAGCGCAAGATCTAAGCGTCGATAGACTGGTAGCGATCAAAGGGTTACTTCCCGGCGACGACAATAAAGAGTACTACGAATGGGAAACAAGAAATCTTGATCTCTTGGGTAGTTGGGTGAATCCATCAGACGCAGGAAGACACCTCTTCCAATGTTCTATCATTTTCTCACTGGTATGACCCAGTCTTGATGCTAGATACTTCCCATGTTTCGAGAGCGGCGAAAGATCCTTCATCGCGACAGAACTTCTCTCACCGCGTTGTTGCTACAAGGGTCCTTCCCCTCTGAAGTTAAGTCTACCGCAAGACAAATTCTGGATGGCGTGACTTGTGAGTCGCTGAAGTTTCCCGCTGCTTGCCAGATTCATGGTTGTTTGAGTGCATTGCAGTCATCCACTCAAAGGGTCTCATCCACAGCGACATCATGACGAGCAACATCCTTGTCGTTGATCCTCTTTGGCATCCTGGCGACATTCAACCTCTAGAGATCAGAATCATTGGCCGCCATGCTGATCACTATCACGAAGACACTACAGACCCTGGATCTGAAGGAGTTGCGTTTATCTTGCACCCTTCTTGTCTCCATCTGTCGCGATCGTCAACGTACTTAAAAGAATATCTCGAACCGCGTATTATACGGATTCAACGTCACACAGCCTGGTCTTGTATCTTCTCTGTTTCCTGTCTCGCGCCAATGTGCTTACTAGAATATCCCGCACCTATCTTGTCTCCATATGTAGCGAGGTTACTGTGTCTTACCGCTTTCATGTCTCGCATCCATGTATCTTGTGTCGTCTGTATCCGTCTTATTCAATAATATCACGATTTGCAGGTCATCAGCTTTAGGCTCGATCACAGCTGAAGGGAAGGGTCAGAGCAGAACGAGCACGAATAGTTCGCCTATGATTATCAGGCTATGATCCATCCAATAAGCGGAATAGCAAACGTATACGTCACAGCGTAGAAAGAGGACCTGAATGACCTTGCCACTTTATGCGGTAAATACAACAGACTTGTGAGGATCAATAAGGAATGCAAGATCGTACAAAGTTGAGGATACGGATACAGCAGAACATGCAAAGTCATTTGAGGAGCTCCTCTACGATCTTGTCATCGTTGATCTCCGCCACATTCCTGCCACGGTAGTTCAACCGTCGCAATACGTCGATCTGAACAGTGACGAAGAGTGGACGTGAACAGTTGGTCAAGCAGCGCAGGAAGCGGAGAAGACACGAATAGCACGCACCACCTTTGCCTGATCGAAACCCATTGCCTGAAACCGGTCAACATGCGCTTTGTCTAGCCCGGCCATTGCGATGGGATCGTTGTGACCTCCACTCCGCGCCTTCCCACTGCTCTTGTCACCAGGGCCACCTGCATAAATCATAGTCCAGTACCGCGCGGTGTCCTCGAAGCTACTCTTGCTCGTCATGTAATGCTTCGCAACCTCTGCATCCTGCGGATCGCGCGGTTCTGGGGAGCAGAGAAGAGATTGGAGGGAGATGAGAGTGGATTTGAGCGTGAGCACTGGCGACCATGCATCCTTGAGGATGTCCAGACAGATTGCGCCGGAAGCGGAAGAGACGTTTGGGTGGTACACTCGCGTGATGAATTTCATCTTGACGGGTTGGAATGGATACGAATCTGGAATCACGATGTCCTGCGCGCAAACGTTAGTGGAGATATATGGTTGAATAGCACATCCGTGCATACGACTTCGAAATGGCCACCCTCGTAGGGGGTGCCTTCCGGACCATCGAAGGAACCGATGAGGTGATATGGAGAGTTCTCGACAAGGTCGATGGCGATTTGGGATGCCTTGTCATTCTTGCAGTCTGCCATCGCGTGAGATCGCACGGTGGCTCGAACGAACAACACGCACCTGCAATCTCTTTGTTTACCCGGCGAAGGCGGGCGTCCATGTCTGCTGAGGAGGAAAATGTAGTCGGCGTCGAGAGCGACCGCGGAAACGGAGGGCGTTGAGACAACAAACTTATGGAGAGAGAGTAGCAGTGAGGTTCATGTCGTCGGCTTTCTCCGCGACGCGCTCAGCGCTCATTCAACGAACGGCGCCGCAGGGTCGGCGCCCACCTGGATACCTCGATGCTGAGATTTTGTCGGATAGCGTTCATGGTACCGAAGAGAAATACTCATGATCTTGCCTTCGCATCAGTTCTTGGACATGAGCCTCAGTTCAAGTGAGTCCGCGCGCTCGACGGAATATTGTCCGTATCACGCTGATTAGTCCATTGTCTTTGTGTAAGGTTGATGTGTTCCTGGGCTCTCACTGGCCGAGGGTAGCAATATTACTGCAAAGTGCACCAATGGAAGAGGTTGTACAAGGGTGACTTTGGCACTTGTCTTCCAAATCTCATTTCGGGAGGAGCCTTTCTCTTATCCCCAGGATCTAGCGCTTCGCGCGCTATCGCATAAGATGCTGTTTCTTTCCCGGTCGTCGAGTGAAAGAAATGACGGCGCATACTGGCTACTCTACCTTTCAACCAAATCCAGGACGTCCACAAGCTGGACGTGCAGCCTTGCTGCGGGTAGCAGGAACGGAAATGGAGACGCTGTTTACGTTGTCCATTTGCCACCTCGAGGCAGCCACAAGGCAATCGACAAGACGAAGGTGACAGCCCTTGCCCGCCAGGTGCCCTCGTGCAAACCTGTCATTGTGGGCGCGCGTGAACCTCCACGTCGTGAAGGATACTTAAGACCCCATATCTGCCCTTCTACTGCTGTCGGTTTCCTTCATCTTGATATTTCCACCGTGAAGATATGATGTATGTGGACCAGTTGACGCAGTCTCAGCACTCACAAATGGCACATATCAGGAGCAAGTTCGATTTTTCTAGAGTTACTGCGGGCTATGTGCCATCCGATGGCTCCGTCCACCATGACCAGCTAGCGCTGGCGTACATCGCCAACCACATATTCTTCCCACTCAAAGTCCCTCAGAGATCAGACCAGTCTCGCGTAAACGATCGCGCTATGTGCGCGATCGTCTGTCGGTTTGCCGAACAGTATCGAGAACTCGCAGAAGTTGACCGAACACTTTGGGATCCGATGATCCGCATGCTAGAGAACCTACGACGAATTGAAACTTGCGAAGCTCTTCCTGCGGAGGACATACAACACCAGATAACATGTATGCACATTGGAGGTATGTCGAATTTCTGAGAGAATCGACCGCGTGTTATGGCTGACAGTTGTGGCGTTCGCAAAAGATAGTGTGGTGTTCTATGTTCGCGCCCAGAATGCCGCTGTTGTTGTTCGCAAGTTTGCCGAGGAGTTTGTGTTCGAGTCGTTCGAAGTCGCCCCCTCTACTGCAGACGTCATGAAAGCAACGGGGAAATTGTTGTGCTCTTATCCAGGTCCCGCGATTGCTGTACCCAACGACATCGTGGAGGATGCCCATTTTCTCAAGGAGTTGTCCTCGTTTCTAGCTCAGATGAGTGTAGATGAATTGGACTCCGCAGCGACGACGAGGAAAGCGGGATCAACGGTTGTGGAAAAAAGGGATTCTGCCTCTCCCGGGTATATTACCCAGCTGCTCACCGGGATACTTCGTGGCGTTGGTCGTCCCGCGGATGTCGATCGGGTCTCTAAGCGAATCAATGACGACGTCCTGTGGAAGGACGCATATTTGCCGCGGCGGAGGTCTCCGCTATGGCTTGTCATCCGGGTCGCGTTGCAGACGTCGCTCGGCAGGGCCAACGCCCTTTCAGAGTACAAGTTATTTATGGTCTTTTTCATGTCACGTCTCCTGCGGCTGACGGTTCAGGAGGAGTTCGCCAGTGATCATCTGTACTGCTTCAGGGCGAAACTCAGCAGGCGACTCTATAAGCTGGGTTCGTCCGCCCCTTTGTTCATCACGCAAGAGGTGAAGGATGCTGTGGACGAGACGGAATTGCTCCTACAGCAGCGATGGCAGAAGATTCAGGAGCAGCAAGCTGTATCCCCACCTTGGTCACCCTCCATGCTGGACGTGCAGTCCGACACATGTCTCACTCTTCATCACTCTCGGGATTATATCTCCAAGCGGCTGACGACCAAGAGTACCGCCAGCGCAGCATGCAGTTTTGAGCCCAACCACACTCGTCGATTGCGCGACACTCATTGTTGCGACTTTAGCACGTTCGATGAGGGCGCTCTACCAACTGCATTTGCTGCGGATGGCGATATTTATGTGGCTTTAGCCGACTTCGAGATGCTGGTACAGAATCGTGTGGATAATTGGGTGGCAGAATGCCTTGGCAAAGAATGGGCTTGCCTCAAGCTTGCTAAATGCATCCAGCAGTATTCCCAGGCAGCCCGAAAGGCCTATGTCGGAAACCCGGAGGATCACTCAATGATGCTCTTAACAGTTCTTGAACTCTGGGTTGCGCTAGATAAGCTCGCTGTCGCACAATGCCCTCTGCTACGGGAATACTCCCCGGAGGTTCCCGAGACACTGTTCCATTCCCTTCTCTTGCGCAAGTCCGCGTCGTTGGAGCGACTGTCGCGCTCTGAGAGTCACTTGAAGCACCGTCGTAAGCGTGCTGTCCCAGGATGGTCTGTTTTCAGTGACACGGTGGACGCGCACACCTTTTCTGTTCGTTACTACCTAACAGCTCTTAAAATGCAAGCACTGAAACAACGAATCGAGACCGATGCAGAGCGTGAAAGGGGAGAAAAGAGGGCTGAAGTCAGGAGGAGCAATGAAGATCATCGCAGACTACTGCAGGAAGCAACCTCGCTTGACCACACGCACGGGCGACGCGATCTGGGTTGCGCAAAATGCCAGCTGACGCAAGACGCAAGGAACATGCGAGTTTACGTTCATGAGTGGCCTCTTCCTGAAGGTCGATATGAAGCGCAGGCAACTGTGTTCGAGCTCCAATGCCCGATTCCATTCTGCGCGTGGCGTGAAACCACTTATGGAGTTCTCCATGACATATGCCTCTATAGGCGCTCCAGGAGTGCATCACCTGAAGTCGTTCTGAAGGACTATAGAGCGCTCGAGAAGTATCAGCGCGATATCTCCAGCCTAACTATTGCTTCATTCACCAAGTCGTTCGTGCATTCCCATTACAGCTCCGTACCACTTCCAGCGTCAGAATCTTCCGTTTGCGTCAACAATGGTCTCCGCTATCGACTCTATGATACTCGGGATCATTGCTGGGCGGCGGACTTTACTGAAGAGCCCAGCGAGAACTTGCAGCACTGTACCTTTTCACTGCCCCCCACCGGTTTTTATCGAGACATGCAATACGCAATTCGGGACACGACACATGGTCCGAACAAGGTTCTGGCAAACCAGTCGGACTGTCCAGTAGAGTTGGATCCACACGAATATAGTGCATTTGGCCTACTGCGCAGCGGGGCGCTACTACAATGGTTAAATATTCTGAGAGGGATTCGCGCGCGCGAACTTTCTTTCGAAAGAGAGGAGGTCCACCTCCTGCTCATGCAGGCCATCTGGCAGGTTGGGCCTTCGTGCGATGGTGTCCGAACATGGCACATAGAGCCAAGCCACCCTGATTTCGGTTTGCTCCTTCTCACCGAGCTGCGAGGCCTATTATCTAGCATCGAGGGCAATTGGTCAAACGCCACGTCTGCGAAGTCAGTCATCATGCTATCATGTCGCCTCCTCGCTTCGACCATGGACCAGGACGTTAGGGAGTCTGCCTATGGCTTGTTGCGCGACGCACGGCGTATAACCTTCCGATGGTTGCATGAGCTATCAGAGAATTTGTCCAAGGTCGTCCGCGAGGATGAAATTTTCAGTCTGCAGCTACGCATCTGTGCCATGGCCGCGATATGCCGGAGTACGTATGATGTGGATCTTGGTGACTTGGGGGCATTGTTGGGTTCCGAAGAGGATGTTTCTGTCTTCATACAGTGTGCAGTCCACCTGCATGATAACATTCCAACCGAGAAAGATGTCCCGTCCGATTTATCTCTTCTACTGGCGCGAGATCGGCGTCTTTCTCATTTCTTGGAGCCGGCACTGCGGGATGTGATTCGAAGACTTTCCGGAGTGCTGGATAAACCTGTCGCCATACTATGGCAGGAATTCCAAGAAGGACAAACTTGGGTACAGATGCAGGAGCCCAACGATCGTTGGATGACCGTGGCTTATGATCGTACAACAGTCCATATCAACGCTCTCAATGGAGAACTGTTAGTAAATGGCAAGCCTCTGGGGCGTTTACCAGGCGCAATAGTCACACATCCCGACTACACTCGAATCTTTTCCAAGGCAAGTCATGTCTCTTGTTCATGACGCTAGCTCTGATTGCCGTCCAGAAAATATTGGATGTCATCCCGTCCGATATGCCAGGCATGGATTTCGCCACTCGAGCTGATGTCTTCGGCTTCCATGTGCGTCTTTCGTCCTTCTCGTCCCTCAGTCACAATTAATGATGGCGAGTTATAGGTGCACTTTGCCCTCGATCCTCAGTGTGGCCAGTTGACCATCAAAGCGAGATCTGGCTCAACCGTCTACGAGGTCATCCCCCACAGCAAATTTGTTGGAGATTTACCCACACCTCTGATCATTGACTACGTGCATTGGTTGAAGATAGATACAGATCCGAAGCGTGCCGAAATGGAGCTTCGGCCCTTGGGAGACTTGTGGACACCGTCGTTAGACAATTGGCGCATTCAGTTTTCGATGAATGGTCATTCGACAATGTGCCGGAAAGATACATGGCTAGTGGACAATCGCAGCCCTTCATTCGCCATGATCTCAGAGCGTCTGCGACCACTGGAATGCGCCGAACATCTAATCATCACGCTTTCCGCGGGTAATTGCCTCTTGGTCGATCTGCCGCGTTTCGAGTTGTCTTTTGTCGTGGAGGATGGGGAGCTGATGTCCAGAAATTGGCGGGGTCTCATTGTGGACTCCAATCAGTCATCGAAGACAATGCTTGGACTGTCATCGCAGCTCGTTCTGACTCAAAGAGCGAGCACCTCCTCCCTTCCTCCAGAACGCCATGTGGTAATTCCCATTGGCGATATCAAGTTTTATTCCTCTGGACACCACGTGAAGGTCGAAGTAGAAACAGGAACGACGAGTCGAACACGCTATCACAAGTACAGAATTGACTCTAATCTCGGATATCTAGTTGGCAATGGTACTCTTCTCAGCAAGCTATACCAAGTATACCTCCATGCTCTGACTAGTCACTGTCTTCCTGACCCTCTGACTGGACGGACGGGGACAGAGGAAGCATTAAGCGAGCTTCGGTCCGCTCGCTGTCTGTCATTCCAGAAGCTTGGGCCCGACGAAGTAACACTTTTGACCCAGATTGGTGCTATGACCCCAGAGCGTCAATTCTATCCGGCACATCTTCGCGTCATGCAGACTGTTCATTGGTCTGACCTCAGTCCCATATCTCAGCACACCGACTTTTGGGATTGTACTGTGGTGATCTTGAAGCACGCACAGAATCTCGCAGACATGTTTTACCCGGAGAAAGACATGGCGTCGCTCTTGTCAGATGCGTTGAAAAAGCAGACAAGTGACCGACACTTGCAGAATAGGGCTGCTTTACGCGCCAGCATCATATACGGGCGTGAATACTCGACCTGGACTGCAACGGACGGCGATGATCTTCCATATACGACTAGAGACCTACCGCAGGACACCACGTCTGAGAAAGAAGTTGCTACCGTTTCTGCTCTGGTGCACAGTTGGCCCACAAGGCTACCTACATGCTCTGAACTTCTTGTGGTCTTACGAAGTTGGCGGGCGCCTTTGTCCGCGGTGGATATCGAGTTATCTTACGGCAAAGACTGGCTTCTCCCTGACTTGCCAGGGATCTGGATAGAACTGTATGAGCGGTGTCGACTACCTTCGGGTGCGGATAAGCGATCACAGCTATTGTTTGCTCTCAGCGCGATGTCATACAAGCCTGAAGTTCCCTACATCATGGAAATCATCGGAACAATCTTGGCATTCGCCATAGATCCTCGATTCACAAAATTGAAACCCCCGCTCAGATTATTGGAGCAGTATCTCCTTGAGGACGGATTCGAGCCCAGTGAGGAGAAACTCCGTGCCTTGGCAATGTCGTCCACTATCCCATGCCACAACTGGCAAAGTGAACTCACCAAAGGCACGATCGAGACCGAGATGGAGTTCGCCGACCGTCACCGTTCTCATTATGACGAAATCTGCGAAATGGAAATGCACAGATTGGTAGCAGCATTGAAGGCTCAGTGGCCTTGTCATACGCCGTCGCGGCCAATGGGGTCTCATCAAGTAATCGAGATGGAGAGTTTCATGGAAGATGCGGAGGTCAAATTTCGTAGCTGGTACCAGAACATGGAGTTACGCAAACATCTGATCCAGGTCCAGTGTATCCTTGATCAAGTTCGATGTCAAGGCGCTCAGGAGATTGCTCCATATCCTGTTATTCTTCGTTCTCCACAGTCCTCGACATACCAACAAACCATATTAGCCAATATCGCAGACCTTCTCAAGCGAGAAGCACCTGCTCTAGGAGTGCATATTTCAGGGACCCTGTGCCACTCGTTGATGATCGCAAAGCAAGCTATCAGGACAGATGACCTGAAGGTGCTGATTGCGAAGTTCAAAGATCAATCTAATTCTACTTTCAAGCAGCACTTTGGACATCGTCTTGAGCGCAGTCGAGTTGATCTTGAAACTCATCCACTTTCCACCATGCCGAATCCGTCTTCATACTCAGCTACGCATTTTATTCGCTATCAACATCTGTGTCACAAGGTCTTCAAGGATATGACTGCCATCATACAACAATGGTTAGGGCCTCAGTCAGATGTCGAGTATATTCTTTATACTTCAGGGCAATGGCCTCGGCTATCCACAAAGAACCTATTGCAGCATCTAGCATCAACTTCCCAGACACGCAGGATCCTATCTAAAGAATGGGAGCAATGTCTGATTTCGTACGCCCAGGCATGCGTGCAGTATCAGCGCTCACGCCGTTTGCTGCAGTACCTGGAACAGAAACGGTATGAAGATCTTGCTAAAGAGCTCGATAACAAAGAACATTGGACGGTCACTGATTTGGATGCTGGTTCCGTGATGGACACAGACTGGCTCCTTGTTCAGGTGCGCTTGAATTAGGAAAAGCAAACATGTTGAAGTTGACCCCATTCGTAATCAGATTGAAAATGACTTCTTGATGCGCCCGCTTCAGCAACGTGTCGCTCGTGAGATGATTGCTCCGTCTTCCGGACGAAACATGGTCTTGCAGCTTAACATGGGTGAAGGCAAATCCGCAGTCATCGCCCCTCTGGTCGCGACAGCACTAGCAGATGGTCACAAGCTTACCAGAGTCGTCGTGCTGAAGTCTTTGGCTTCTCAAATGTTCCATCTACTGGTGGATCGTCTGAGCGGCCTGACAAATCGCAGGATATTTTATCTTCCATTTTCCCGCGACGTACGAATGGCGCCACAAGTCGTCGAGCGAATTCGGAGTCTCTACGAAGATTGTATACGCGAGCGAGGAATACTGGTTGCGCAACCCGAGCACATACTTTCGTTCAAATTGATGGGTGTTGATCACTCAGGAGACTCTGTGTCGCAGGACGGGCAGGTCACAAAATCACTGCTCGAGTCGCAGCGTTGGTTGGACACGGTCGCCAGAGATATTCTCGATGAAAGCGATGAAATGCTCAGTGTTGGATACCAGTTGGTGTATACTGCCGGTCAACAGAGGCCTGTGGAGAATCATCCCGATCGCTGGAAGACGATACAGCATGTTCTGTCTCTCATCAAGGACCATTCCTCTCACGTTCATAGGCGTTATCCAGATGAGATGGAGTTCGTTCCGGGTCCTAGTGGAACATACCCGATGATTCGCATCCTTCGAGATCACGCATGGGAAGAGCTAGCTATCGGTGTTGCCAAACATATCGTGAACACTGATCCAATTCTCAGACACCTCCCTGAGAATCTCCGGCAAGCCGCGCTCACGTTTATTACAGAGAATGCTAGCAGTGTATCTGGCTCCGGAGTCCGATTGCTTGAGCAGCACTATAAAGGTGACGGGCTGTGGAAGAAGCTGTTGCTCTTGCGAGGCCTGCTCGGATACGGACTGATTGGATATGTGTTGAAGGAGAAGCGTTGGCGGGTCGACTACGGTTTGGATCTAACGCGAACTCTGCTGGCCGTGCCATATCGGGCAAAGGACGTTCCCTCTCTGAGAGCGGATTTTGGACATCCAGACGTCGCCATCGTGCTCACTTGTCTCAGTTATTACTACGGTGGCTTGACGAGCGAGCAGTTGAACACTTGCTTTGAACTGTTGTTCAGATCTGACGAGCGTGAAGTGCTGTATGAGGTATGGCGTTGTGCAATATTCAGCATTAGTCTCCTCGTGCTAATCTCTATTTCCAGTCATGGGTCCGCGGAAATGACGCAGTACCGCCATTCTTACGACAGCTCATAGGCGTCAATTACGAGGACTCGTACCAATGGGAACACTTCCTCATACCTTTGTTCAGGCAATGCCATGCCGTAATCGACTTCTATCTAGCTGAAGTGGTTTTCCCCAGAGATGCAAAGGAATTTCCTGAAAAATTGTCTACCTCGGCTTGGGATCTGGCCGAGACACGGACGCATGTGACTACTGGCTTCAGCGGTACCAATGACAATCAGGACCTGCTCCCATCCAGTATCACCCAGCACGATCCTGTTGATCAGCTGAGTACCAATGCTCGAGTTCTAGCCTACTTATTGCAGCCGGAGAACAAGACGTACATCTGTGTAGGCGGCGAGTCCACTTCAAGTCGAGATTACTTGGACCTGCTCGTCAAGCAGGATCCCGAAGTTCGAGTCCTCTTGGACGTCGGTGCACAGATGCTTGACATGGAGAACGCCGAACTGGCAAAGCATTGGCTTTCCCTGACGCCCCACGTTGCGGCAGCTATTTTCTTCGACGAGCGAGATGAACTCATGGTTCTCACACAATCTGGCACAATGGAACCTTTTGTCGTTTCACCCTACAACCAACAATTGGACCGGTGTAGCGTCTACCTGGATGATGCTCATACGCGAGGAACAGATCTGAAACTGCCACGTGAGACTCGCGCTGCGGTGACTCTTGGACCAAAAGTGACAAAGGATCGTCTTCTGCAGGGTAGGTCCCAACCATGAATGGCCTTTTGCTTGTTAATGTGTGTTATCAGGGTGTATGCGCATGCGCAAGCTGGGACATGGTCAATCTGTCTTATTCCTCGCCCCTCCAGAAGTGGATCGCAGCATTCGGGAGCTCGCTGGCACAAAGGAGACCGTTGAGACCGTCGACATCCTGCGATGGGCAATGGTGCAAGCGTGCATGTATATCGAGCACCATATCTCCCACTGGGCGCATCAGGGTATGAACTTCAAGAAGCGCAGCACAGCGTGGGAGGAGTTCAAAACTTTGTCTCCTGGCGGCCTGCTTCAAGCCTCAGATTCCGGACTGACCGCTAGATCCCTTAGGTCTACCTGGCTCTCACCCGAAGCGCGTCCTCTTGAAGAGATGTATGGACCTTCAGCAGGGAATCGGGGAGCACTGTCGACTGATGATTCCATGTTTGATGATCCCGAAGTGCGTGCTCGATTCAAATTGTTCGGTGTCACGTCGCTTCAGGACCCTAGTATGGACGAAGAGCAAGAACGAGAAGTGAGCCAAGAACTTGAGCAGGAACGCGAAGTCGAACGGCCCCCCCGAGCCCAGCCTGCTGTGCACTACGTGCATCCGGATGTCAAACGTTTTGTTGACACTGGGTGCATCAGTCTGGGATCGGCTTTTGTCGGTTTGTTCTTCCCCCTCGAAGGCACATCAGAGTACCCCGGTAACGACGTTTGGTCTTCCCGGCTTCTGGCCACTCGAGATTTTGCGACCACTATTGACCAGCGAAATTCGGCACATCACCCTTCGAACTATATGGCACCGGTTAACTGGATTGTCTCCAATGCTTCTTGCAGTCACTTGGTGGTATTCAGCGCATTTGAAGTCAATGCACTCCTTCCCTTGATTCGACGGAGCAAGGTTGTGCGCTTACATGTGTATTCGCCGAGAGTCACGCATAGTATGAAGCCGTTTGACGATCTAAACTTCTATTGCATCACCTCTCTGCGAAAGATTTGGCAACCAAGATTGATGGACATCTGCCAGCTAAATCTTTGCGCCGGACAGCTCTACTTCACCAACTACGAGATGTATTCCCAACTGTGCATGTACTTGGGTATCTGTGCCGAGGAACGACAGGAGGGAGCCAGAGTGCGGGTGGATGGGTTTATTGAACCGCAAGATCGCGTCGAGGATATGAAATCCCTATGCCCGTTCATTAAGAGTCCCATCCCATTCATGAAGGAACTCGTAGGATTGCGGCGCAAAGGGATGGGGTATCAATTAACGCACATGGGGAAGGTGCTTCATTCAGGCCTCCTCACCGAAGAAGACTTTCAGAGACCGGAAGTTGGGATACCGTGTGTGGCGACGCGGAACGGCGTCTTTATTTCCTTTCTTAGACGCTTACCCAATGCCGTTCGCGCTCACATGCATTTGTTCTTTCTCCTTCTATTCTGTTTCTTTTCCATCCCGACTCATATTCTCGGCTCAGTCTAGAGACTTCTAGTATTAGGGTCTCCAGACATATAAAAGACTCGCTCCTCGGAGAGTAGAGGTCAGCGTATCGTAAATCGAATATCAGCCTTTATAGCTGTGACCATGTGCGCCCTTCGTGTGATGTGACCTTTCCTATTCGGTTAGCCAATGTCACACTGTGACATGTGTGCTTCAATTCTGGTGCACGAGTTCTTTTGCTTGAATATGCACGTCCTGGGACTTTCACACTCGCAGCGAGTCGCGCGGAGATGTTGAGGGTAGAGTGAGATTTTTGGGTCATGAATAATACATTGTCAATTTAAAACACCGTAGATATGAAGTTACGCACTTGTACATGGTATAGTAGAATCTAATTCTGACTACTTAGTCTCGATGTGCCATGCTCTGGAGCTTCTAGATGGTCTCGTAGAAGTGGCGGCTTTTGTCTAGGTCTCTGGCACTGTACATATACAGCGGAGGGCAGTGGGCGCTTATATCTCATAGGCGCGGGCGGGTTTTACCTTTTATGCCCCCGACACGGGCGCTAAGGTTCGTTGCCTCCACATAGCTATGGATCGCATTTTCCTTGAGAGTTACTTCCGATTAATGTCTAAGCGGTCTACACGCGGCCTGGTATTTTTTTGTCTGTGCTGGAGTCCATCTCCGCCATGTCTAGGCTCAAAGGCTGTTGCTATTGTCTTTCCAAAACAATAAAACCAGCTAAGAGCTGACGCTTTCCCGCCCTCAGACAACTTGCGAGAAGGAATGCGAGCTCACCAGACTCGAGCACGACTATGATGACGCTTGTCACTATCCTCGCTGGCGCGATACTGCCGCTTTTTGCGTATGGAATCTACCTCGTCTTCATACAGCCTCGATCCAACCCGCTGAGGAATCTTCCTGGCCCGCCAACACATGGCTTATTCCACAACCACCTTGGTCTGGTCATGGAGTGAGTGAACATTGTGGGCGCACGTCGCGCTCTATGCTTAATAATTACTCCCGTCAGCCCATCTCGGTCGCCAAAGGTTCATGAAGCGTTCATTAAGCAATTTGGGAGGACGGTGGTGATTCATACTGCCGTTCCTGTGCGTATTTACCGAATCTCTCTGTGCATGGCTCACGGTTACACTCATAGTGGGATCAGCGTCTTTTTACACTGGACGCGATTGCTATTACCCACGTCATGAAGCACTCCACCGTATATGAGAAACCATGGCAGTCTCGGCAGCTCATCACATCCCTCATTGGTTGCGGCATGCTCGCGGCAGAAGGGCTAGTGCATAAGCGTCAACGGCGCGTCGCTACGCCTGCGTTCTCCATCCAGAATCTGCGGGAATTGATACCTTTGGTGTTCGCCAAGGGGTGGTCGCTGAAGAATAGGTGGCTCGAAATTATTGCGGACGGGAAGATGGGGTGCACCAAGTTGGATGTGTGCCATTGGGTCAGTCGAGCTACTTTTGATGTCATTGGGTCCGCAGGTACGTTAGTTTTTGTGAATCTCTAAGTATGGTCAAACAACCGCTTGTAGGATTTGATTATGAATTCAACGCGATTCAAGACGAAACCAACGAGCTATTCAATGCATACAAGGAGATGTTTGAAGTTGCCATATCACAACACAGCACAGACACGTCGGCAGTCATTGCCATGTACTTGCCGATTATTGATATATTGTATGTGAGTATGCGGTTTGTTGAACGTTGCACAACAATTTATCCCGTGCGTAGCCTAGTGAAAGGGTCCGCACTGTACGCAGGTGCCAGGGTGTTATTCGACGGGTCGCAGGCCAGCTTATCCAGGAGAAGAAGCGCAAAATCACGGAGGCCGAGGAGAACGGTACTACTTACCACGGCAAGGATCTGCTCAGTCTGCTTTGTGAGTGGACCCTATCTTATACCTGCTCCATCCACAGCGCTCATTGATCATCCAACAAGTGAAATCCAACGTCGCGGTCGACCTTGCTCCCGAGCAACGAATTTCCGACGAAGATATCTTGCACAACATCAATACTTTCATGTTCGCAGGCTCTGACACGAGCTCGCTCGCCATCACATGGACGCTCTTTCTCCTAGCCAAGTACCCTTTCATACAGACACGTCTTCGCGAGGAACTGCTCGCTGTCATGCCCGCGGCTCCGATCGAGACCCTCACCCCCGAGGAGGTAGACTCCCTCCACACCAGGATTGCCGAGCTGCCGTACCTCGACAACGTCTTGCGCGAGTCGCTCCGCCTCATTCCTCCTGTGCACTCCTCGATCAGAGTCGCGACACGGGACGATGACGTGCCGACATCGACGCCGGTCAGGACCCGCTTGCCAGACGGGAGCTTTACGGAGCTGCACAGTGTGCGCGTGCCCAAAGGAAGCTTTGTGCACATCCCGATTGAAGGCTTCAACCTGGATCGGGAGGTTTGGGGTGCGGATGGGTGGGCGTTCAAGTAGGTGTGCCTTGCGTCGACGTAGGCGGAAATTTATCAGTACCTTTTAGTCCAGATAGATGGGATAATCTACCGGAAGCTGTGGCTTCACAGCCTGGACTGTACTCCAACACCCTGACGTTTTCTGCTGGCCCTCGTGTAAGTTCTTTTCGGTGTCGATTTTTTCTACGGGACTCTGACCTCTCATAGTCATGTATCGGCCTGCGCTTCTCCATGATCGAGATGAAAACCTTCCTCTACATCCTGCTTACTCACTTTGCGTTTGCCGAGTCGGATGAGAAAGTCGGTAAGGCCAATGTGTGCGTACTTGTATTTTGGCAGCCCTCTTTCGCCATTCTAATACTCGTTTGCAGCGTCTTGACGCGGCCGTATGTTATGGGGAAGCACAGAGAGGGCAGCCAGTGTCCTCTCTTGGTGACACCCTATGTCCGGGAATAATTGCCGTGAATGCGCTTGCTTGAATTGCGCCCCTACTCTTTCGTCTTATTAGCCACTGATCCGTCCTGTTCATTTTGGGCCTGGATCAGGTGGAATGCAGACTAACATCCTGCTGAGACTTTTCCAGGGATTGTTATCGGTTGTATGTGCTTTCCCGTCTAGGTGCTAGTCAGTGGGTCTGAGTTCTCACGCGCTACAATATGTCCATTTGAGCGTATCCCATCCCTGATTCATTGAGTAGATCCGTATTTTTGCAGTGTCAGTAGCCTTCACGATCCAAACAACTGTAACAGCCCTATTGGATGGCGCAATGCCAACGCAACTAGTAACCATAAGTGGCTTTCAGCCTCTCCTTCACGTAATCCCCCGCTGTGACCACCTCGTACTTCGGCGGCCTTTCCGCAGATACGCAACTTGGGATGGGCTGTTATTAAAATGCGACCATCAGACTCCGCCAACGAGGATATCTTGCCCTTCACCTCTAGCATTACGTCGTAGTCGGTGCCAAAGAAGAGGGGGATCGAGTATCGTCGGACACCGTTCCGATTGATCGCGCGATGTACAGTGGATTTGAATACGTCGTCTGTTGCACGACAACGTCAATGATACGAAGCCGAAAGTAAAAGAGATGCAACTTGTCCAGCGAGCAAATTGATCGCCCAGGCTATGAACCAGCTATCAGCCAACAGGCGGCAACGACGGACCACCAAACATACTTGACTACAAGAGTGCCGGGTATCGGGGGAGCATCTATCCATTGCTTCCGGGCATTCAGGACTTGCAGAGCCTGGATGCCTGGCTCTTGCCACAGGAGGGTAAAACACTGGAGCAATGGTTTTCAGTGGGTGAAATACACTGCACCAAGCAGAGTTCACGGACCTCGAAGCTGGAGTCATGGGACTCTGTCAGCAATGTCGTAGAAGAAAGAGTAATGATCGTCACTCTGTGTGAGCACCAATGCCAATGACGCGGGCGTCCACAGGTCCGGTTTGAGGCGGGTAGTGTAGCACACGCATGATAGCAGCGGAATTCCTCGTCTGCATTTATCCCGTTTGGATTAGCTCCGAGTGCATTCAGAGATGCTTACTAACCTTATCGTCGAAGTAGTTCTCGGGAAGATCGAGCGCGAGTGCAAACAGAGGAAACAGCTTCTTTCCAAGAGCAACTGCAGCATGACTGTGAAGAAAAGAGGCGGTGAAAGAAATGGAATATGTGATGCTGGATGAAGTCATACTAATACTGGAGAACGGCGCCCCGGAAGTTGGGTAAGTCTTTTGGCCAAACATTAGCGCCTGCCATAGCACCATCGTGTGCTCTCTTCTCATCGTTGGTCTTCACTTCGAGCTCCTCCCAGCCAAACTCGAAGCCTTCGTGCATGTCGCCTGCATTCTCTGGATCGTTGTTGCTGCTCAATACGGGGTTATATCCCTTAAAATTCGAAGTCTTAGTTATGTCTAGCTAATGATCAAAGATACATCATTGAACACATCTGTGAAGAAACGCAGACGCTGACCTGCATCTTCCGCTCAAGGGTAAGAGAGAAGAATTCCTTCGATGCCTTATAGGCGTCGTCGATCGTCTTCTCCGAAATGCCATGATTTGTTACTAGCGAGCACATCAAGTCTCACGCAGGAAGTTGCGGTCTTCTCTATGCGTACTCACTGTACAGAAACCCTACATTCATGCATGCCTCGCGGACGGCATTACCCAAGGATTTCCTGGTGGCAGGGTCAGAACTGGACACCGTCTCCAGATCTCTGCCACAAGATCGAACTCAGTGTGCCCATTTAAAAAAATCGCGAGTAAATACATTATCGGAATGTGCTTGAAAGCCTCTGCGGACTCTGCCTGTCGTGCTGCTTGAACTAGAGACATCTGTCGTGCAATGTAGTTATCATGGAGACTGGAGGACAGTCGGACGGGATGAGCGCTTCAGCAAGCCGGATCGCTGAGTTCCAAATTGAATCCGGCCCGGGGTCCTCGTGAAGCACAAGTTCGATGAGAGCTGATGAGAGTCATTTGCACCGAGTGTGGCCTGAGTCGTCGGGACGGTACGACTAGCGAGTTACTCGCTAAGTTCTTCTCTATGGATGAGTCATTGAATCTGAATTCAGAGCGATAGCGTTTATCGTATATGGACCCAGTATTTTGTTGAGTTGCTATATGCACACGCTTCGCCTCACAACTGGAATATGGTGCGTCTTGCGCTCAGATTTACAGCCAAAACTAGCTTGACAACATAGATTTGCGTCAGATAATTAGGACATGCATAGTGAATAGATCCAGCTGAAAGTGCGAGCTTCTTGTTCACAACTTGCCCTTGCTCTCGTCTTGTCTGAAGACTGGCTCTACTGCGCGCGTGCTGCGCACACCGCGCAGCACCATACTCACCTCTTCAACAAGGCCAGGACGCGCAAGAGCGCATGGGTTTATTGCGCAGAGGTTGCTGCGTATTGCGAAATCCGGCGGTTAATACATAACCACCACCGGAGAATACTGATATATGGATGTTGAGAGAATATTGGTCAGGTAGACAAAGTTACCAAATACTGCGGATAACCAACGCCGAGTCACTGACTAGCCCTCGGTTCCGCACCTACTCAGGTACTGGATATTCTGACGCAGGCTAAGCACACGCTAGGTGTTGTTTTACGTGTCTTTAGGTATTTCCTTCACGTTCGCAGTCGCTGATAGTTCACAGGTCCGCAGTTCTTCTTGTACAATGTGACCATGTCTGTCTCCCTCGACACATGGTGTCTCGGTCGGATAAGTTGTAACCTCGGTGAAGACCAGCTTATCTTCTTCCCAATCATTGTGCAGCTGCGTCAACTCACGCTCATACAGTCTCGATGGCTGAGTCCCATGAGGGAGAATGATGATTGCACTGTCGCGCACTAATGTTTCAACCTGTCTGATTTGGCGCTCACTTCACTTTATAACGACCTCGAGAGACGACTGATTCTATATCACTCTCGAGTGCTGTTCAGTACTATCCAGCCCATTTTCATACCTGCTACAGCATTTTCTACGCCCCCATGGCAGATAATTCACCATCTGCGTCTACCATATCTCTGCTTCCCGATTCCAAGGATGCCGCTTCACCGTCGGCATCCACTGCACAACTGATACCCAAGGTGCGGCTTCTGAAGCATCATTACCTCGTCCACGAGCTGACACACATCGACTGCTCTGTTCTGGCTGGCCACTCGAAATATTCGCGATACAGGCACTGCCGAAGCCAAAGGACTATGAGGCCGCCCTCGGAGCCTTGGCAACGTCGTACGGGTGGGGTGCCGGTATGGCCCCAACCACCGCACTCAAGCAGCCGAAGGCGAAATCGAAAGCACCTGTCAAGCCTGACACTGGATCTTCCGGTGCTCAACCATCTCGTAAATGAGGCCGCAGGGGATGAGTCGAGACGGTGTGTTGCGGTTATTTCTTTTCCGCGACCCGTTCGATCCACCTTATGTTGTGATATGCTCAGTATCGCAGGCTAATTTAGGCCATTCCTTGCAGATTGTTTAAATCTATGCCGCTGCTCTTTTGATAGTGTGTGATGACCCAGGGTGGACATGGAGCGAGTACCAACCGATGTTGTTTCGTCTTTGGCGGTATCCTGTGGTTTTTCAGTCTGTATAACCTTCTCAACGAAGCATAGCTGCTACAGGATTATTGCTACTCTGCAGAAATTTTACTCTGCGATGTCTTACAGTCTTCCCGCAACAACCATCTAACGAAAGGAGAGTGATAAATGGACAACTCCAAAGTTTGTGGGAAATCAGAGTTGGGTGTCAACGTTCCGAATTTGGTGGGGGGAGATGCGAGATAGCCAAGCCAGCCAGTGCGATGGACAACATCTTTGAACTTGTAATATTTGGGACCCTCATAGTAATACACACAAAAACGCAGTTCTTGACACACGAAGCCTACTGCCAACCTACTGCGGAACCCTGGCCGTAAGTCCATTAACGAACCTACTCAACTTCCTATTCCGAGGCGCCGTCGGCTTAGTCAGCGTGCTAGTTGCCATATTGGAACACATTTTTGCGTCTGTCCGTCACGGCCGAACGTCCGTTGGTCCTGCTCGTCAACCTCTCTCATACAGAGCCGCTCGTCCTGTTCATTTAGACACGAAATAAAAGGGTGAGTTGCTCCTGCTTGTCAGCCGGTTCGGCAAGCATTTTGCCTTGGACGGATGTTCGATGAACGTTGCATGACGGCGGTGTCATAACGCGTTGAGCGTCTTCCAGTGTATGCGTACGTTCGCTGACTGTGGAACAGCTGAGAGGCGCCGTTGTGTCTCCGGACATGCTCCCCCGCACCGTCCTCGCGCGACGCCTGCCCCGCCCTTCCGCGCTGATTGTCCACCTACATCACCTCCGCCCACAATCCACTGCTTCAGTTGCTTTCTCCCAACCCGCTCAAACGTCTCCTCCACCAGCACCGACACCTAGACCTTCACCCGTCCCACATAACCCTCCCCCTACTTCCAAGCCGGCCCAAAATGCCGCGCCGCCCCCAGGCAAGCCGCGGCACCCAAAGTCGTGGCTCACGAAAAAGCTCGAGGCCAACCCCGCTGCGAAGAGCGCGTTCCTGAAGATGATGGGCATGCTCGGCTACGGCAGTGCGAAGCAAGTCGCAGGGAGGCGCGCGTTCCTCATGTATGAGCGACTATGTGTCGTCCGTCCGGATGAGGATAGAATGTTTTGGCAGGAAGGTACGTCCTTTCTTGTGCCTATTTTGTTTTATTCGACTCTGCTGGGTGTTGTCGTATGAGTGCTGGTTGGCATCGACGCGTCCATCGGCGCTGTCATCTGCTCGTATTGCTCCCCCTTCTTTACGGGATTAGATGTAGGTGGTATATATGTGTGTCGAAAGGCACCAGACTCTCATACGCAAGCTCTGCATGAATGATGAGCCCCATTCGTACAGATTTCGAAGATGTGATGCAATTGCCAGCTGGAGTGTTGGGCTAGCGGGTCCTGTCCGTGAACCATCATGACCTTTCTAGGTCAATCTGCGACTCAGAGTTTGATGCAAGTCCGATTGCTCAATAACTTTTGGTGAGAGCTTGCAGTACGGATAGCCCTTTATGGCTCGTTTGATGGACGTCTGTTATTGTTTCTGATGCGCCAGCCAAATAACAATTTATTCTGATGAATGTGTCCCGACCGCCTGTCATGGCATGCTCACACCGCTTTATCAGAATGTCACCTACCACCGACATTTCAGTCGTGGTTCACCGTCGTGAACCTGCACGTCTGGCTCCTAACTGTGCGGCTACGCGCCCTTCCACCGCCACACGGGATGAATCACATCCAAGCGCTGATTGACCACTTCTTCCTCGACATCGAGGACCGGGTGCGCGCAGTGCTACAGCCGGCGTCGCCGGCCTCGTCAGTGCCGATGACGCCGTACTCGCAGGGCCCGTACACGCCTACGACGGAGTTCTACACTATTGCGAACGCGGACGCACAAACTGAGAAGCGCGCGCGCGCTCCGGAGCGGCTCGTCACAACGCAGATGAAGATCTTCCGCGAGCAGTGGGCCGGCATGGGCCTGTCGTTCGACGTTGGGCTCCTCCGCGGTGACGCCGAAATGGCCGGCGCGATTTGGCGAAACTTCTTGGGCGCGCGGGGAGCGCGGGGCATCATGTATCCCTCGGCGGGAGAGGAGAAGCCGTTCTTTAGACGGACGGTGAACCTCGCGGGGGGGGAGGTCGAGAAGGTGCGCGGGCCGCTAGAGGCGGAGGAGGCGCGCGATGACGGGTCGGGTGTGCACGACTATGCACCGACCGAGGTGGACAGGTACGTCGCGTACCCGGAGCTGATGGCAGCGCTCGTGGCATATATCCGCCGGGAGCTGATGCGGCTGGAGCGTATACCGGACGCACAGATTCTTGGTCCCGGCATGGTGGGGCGGGATGGAGAGGGCGTGCGGGATCTGAGGTTCGGGCGTGTGAGGGAGGGAGGCGTGCTGCGGCCGTAAGCGCAATGTGCACACGTCGCACAGTGTGGTTAGAATTTACTTAGCGTGTATATTCTACTAATTCTCCACTCTTGCAACGGGACTTTAAGATGAGACAGCAACGTTCGACGATGCGGCTGTATTTACCGTAAGATGAATTCAGTGAGCATGTTGCTCGAAGGTAGTTGTTGCAAGGACGAATAACGACGATAGCCAGCACCGTAGAACATTTGGTCAACGACGGTAGCGGTGGCCCTATAGGGAGAAGCTGAGCAGAGGAAGTAGCGTCCATGAGTTGGTACTTACCCAGAACAAAAATTAAAAAATAAGATGGTGGTCGTCTTCGAAGAGCGAATTATCGAGAAATACAACGCTATGAACCTGATCATTGGATAATTATAATGTTAATCTAGTGAGAACGAGCTCGACTGAGCCCGCCATTTCTCCTGACCTCAGAGCAAATCGCTGGGTTGGCGTTGCGCCTCGCCAGTAGCTAGGGAAAAAAGGGAAGCACATTCCAGTTTCGCTTGAGCCACTTCCGCTCTCAGAGGAAAAACAAGGCAGAGCTAGTTGAGGAAAGCCTGAGAGAACCGACAGACAACAAAGTGAGAGTCATCATTACAGCGAGGGTGCTGGATTCACTTGACAATGCTGGGGTATTGTACGCGCCGGATGTCAGGGAGATGTTACCGCCAGTTGGTGGTAGACCGCGAATAATAGAGCGGCGCAATCAGTGGGTGGGGATAGAGAGATAAATAGTCGGGCATGGGAGATATGTCTCTTCAAGTGCTACTAGTATGCACAGCAGGATGTATGGTATCTCGCATCGCTTTTTGGAGGAGGGCTAGAATGCGTGGATAATTGACCTCGTCAGATCGTCATAGTAAAGGGGAGAAAATATCGTTATATACAGTGACCCAAACTTTTAAGGGCTGTGAGGCCGGTACGATACCTTTCCCACACGCTCGCTACGGTGGTCGGTCCTACTGCTCGCGAGGAAATAACGTATCCAATCCGAGTTTGAGGGTAACTCACTTCTGTCGATGAGCATGTTGCTCTGTGTCTAGAGGATTTTGCGGCGTAGTACCAACTTGCACTCGACATTGTAAAATATCATCGCCTGATGGAGGTAGTGATTAGCGATACCAGTGTTCCTTGATCGCCCGAGTGGTGTGCGCGTAGGGAATACATTCTCCAACGCCAATACAGCTTTCACAGTGGATTTTTCAATGTGTAACACCGACTTCGACATCACGATGATACTGCACATCCGTACTGTGCCGGATCTACGGCAGGACTGGGAACTTGAAGGGGCTGGCCCAAATCAAAGGAACACTCTCAAAGCGACGTTCAGTCAGCACTTGCGTTTCCGAGGCTACTGTCAGAGTCCTTCCACGTCCCAGGTTACTTTATGACTGAGAGTAGAGCAGGGGGTAATTAGTTGCCCTTTTTGGCACCTGTTTACTCACCGCAGTATGTTGGTTCGAGGCCGGGAATCGCTACATTGCATTGTACGTGCATCGCTCCCTGCATTAAGTCATGCATGAGATGATATTGGAGTGCAGAGGTACGCATCTGGGTGCGTCGTTCGGCTCTCTCGCAGTAAAAGCGGATACCGCCTGAACGTAGAGTCCAGATTGTTGACGGGTGACGGCTTTGGGCATGGCAGACAACAAGAAGATGAACCGGATACGTAGGTGGCGTGAGGAAAGAGATTCAAATTAGTCATGCGTCCCGACACACCTGTACTGTTGCCAGTATGCATTCCAAATGACTTAAACGACTTCGTGATATTGTCTGCAGACGCACTGGCAGTGAAGGCTACTACCAATCAATAGGCTACGGAAGTGCTGTTGATCAACACCCGCAGGAGAAAATAATTTCCCGTCACCGTCAAGACAGGCGTGCGCACCGCCAACGATATGTTCATCTGGAGACTGCACCGATATCACAGGAGTAACGCTGGGGGGTTGCAGCGATCGCGCTTGGTATCAACAACAAAACCTGCCAAATACGGAATATGGATCGACCAGCCACCTATCTGCCACAAATACAGTACCAATTTGAACGGTGACCGGTGACCCGCGCGGCCGGTGTTGCAAAGGTAGAAGTTCTCTGCAGGTTCTGTTATAGCACTCAGATTGACGACGATAGTTCAATTGTTCTTGCCATCACAGGGCCCTGATCTAGAACTCATTGGCTTCAAGTTCGCGATGTGGCATTGTAATCTTCACTTCTCATACTGACGTCTCGCCTGGAAGCCGAACGGCGGAAGATCGCAGCAGGTGCCAACGCATCCAGATTTACGGGTAGCTTGACCAAATCCGTATACAACGTTACCTTCCAAAGCATGAGACCGTGCACACATGAACCATCAAAAGCGGGTTGTCCATGTGTACAGAGCTCTTCCGAAGTCTTCGCTGCGATGCATCAGATTCCAGCGGGATGTCAGGTGAGTGTCCTGTTCGAAACTATTAAATAGATGGTAGTGCGAACATTGACATGCAGAACCTTTTGACGCGATGGTGTTACCCGAGAATCCGACGTTGTGGTTGTGCGCCGCCCTCTCTGTGTTCAGCTTCCAGGGTGCGTATGCGGCGAACTCCTTTGCTGGATCAAGCCTGTACTATGCCACGGGCCTCTATCCGGACTCAATTACTACTCTGCTGCAGTAAGTTTCACCATAGTTTACTTCTCATCGCATGGGGAAGTCGGTATGACCTATGGAATCAAATATATAGAGGCACGAATAGTGCCGGGATGAAAGTCCTCCGCTTTGGATTGGGGGTCAGTCTGAAGACCAGAAAGTAGACAGCCCTAGGACAAAAGTTTGTTTCTGAGTCACTCACTTCGGCTGAACCACTGTAGGGCACTTCCATCTCTCCCTTTCCGGACCTGGAGCCCAACTTGGTTTGCTATGGCGTGAACGCATGCTACAACGACACTGTCCTTGAACGGCTCGATGACTTCATGATTCAATCCAATTCGTAAGGTGTAAAGGCAGCACATCCTTGTGACCGAATAACTCCTCTTAGTGCTGATGCAACTCACTCTTTTCAGCTCTTGATCACCATGCACAGCTACAACGCGCTAGGGAGCAACGACGCGTACGGCTCAGCGTACGGTACTGGCGATTTCTACACGGACTCGACTGCGCAGTGGGCATTTGACGACCGCCTTAAATACATCTTGAATCATAATCATAGCACACTCGGGACGCTATGGAAGGAGCTGAGTGACTAGTACATTTTCGGCTTCGAGGCGGAGAACGAGGCTATGATTGGTGATGTGTGTATCTTGTTGGGTTGGTTCCTCAGTGTGCCAAGGACTCATTCTCTATCTTTCCTTACCAATCAGGGACAATCTTTCATTGAAGGTCATCAGCAGTGGTGAGACAGTCTCGCCGCCACGGCCGATATAGTTCAATCACTATTCTTGACAGGCAATGCCATCGGGCTGCGACGATCAAGAATGAGCTCGGAGACAACTCTGGGGTGAGTCGCGCACAACATATTTCAAGCTCAAAATAATGATTGTGACGTCTTTTTTCTTGCACCTTGCATTTGCCAGATCCTTGTTCTGACCGGAGGGGAGTCTTGTATGAGCGAGTCTGTACAGCTCGACTACCTTACCTGTGACGCACTGGATGTTATCTCGATCCACGCGTACGGCGTGACGGACTATAACACGTCCTCAATCGAGACGTACGTCCAGCAGGCGCAGGCTGCGGGCAAGCTGCTGCTGATGGAGGAATGGTGAGCGCATCGTACCGTGTTTCCCCGGCCGTCCACGCTGTACATGTCTCTGGATCGGATCGCTAACTATGAATTGTACCTCGCTTCCAGGGGCGCATGCTACTTCAACACGGACAACAATAATTGTCCTACCGGCGACGCGCTCTTCACGTCCGCCCGTGACGCCAACATCGTCGGGTGGGCGGGCAATATCACCGCCGCTGGGCTGCCGTGGCTGTACTGGGAGGTTCTTCCCAACGCGGACCCGTGCATTGCATAGGAGGGGAGTGACTTCGAGATCGGTATCGGTGATCCGTCGTGGCCTACCCTCCAGCAGGTAGCGATGGACACACTCCAGGCGCCTGCGGCGTTTGACTTCTCGCCGTATTTGTTGTAGGGTTTGATGGAGTAGTAATTTTGGTTTGCCACCTTGATCATAGCTTTGCATTGGTTCGTATTTACTGTGGGGATGTAATAAGTTAACGTAGATATTTAAAGCAATCGTTAACCTTCTCGCCCTTTTCTTGCTGACGAAGTGTGATCGCCGTCCAGGCGCCATGGTCCTTTAGAAGACATATCTGAAGAGACTAGAGCTATGGAGTAAAGCGGGGGTGGCTCCACTGCTTACGGTGCGTGCACGAATCTCGGTGCTCCAGAAGTGTTCAATGCAATTTGAAGGGGAGCGCAGGACCCGGGAAACTTCACTAGAGGTTTATCCCTAGATAGCATTTTTGAGACACCTAAATAGGCCGTTTCCTTGTCCCAAATAGCATTTTTGAGACCCTCGGAGAGCCGGCAAAATGGGTGGCCCTGTCCCAACTTAGCATTTTTGAGGCAGGTGGCCGTGCCGGTCACCGGCGCTAAGGTTACTGTGAGGAGCGCTGTGGCGCAAAACATTCACTTTCACCAGGTTTATACTATGGTGACAGACCTGTCGGATTCCCAAGTTCGACAAATCCGTGATATCCAGTTCATTCGTCAAGATCTCGAGCCACTCCTCCTCACCAAATACAGAAGTATCCCTTGCGCCACCATCGACGCATTTGGCGCTTACCTGCAGGAGGTGGCCGAGAACAAGGGTGCCATTGGCAGTGACTTCTGCATCTTCTCATCGTGGCTTCCTCCCGTTGTTGCTGGTAAGGCCCCTGATGGAGGACTATCTGGCTCAATTGCAGGACATATATGTGCTGCAGTGTAGTGTTGCCGAAGTTCAGTTCAGAACCAAGGTTCGAACCCTGAACCTCTGAACTGAACCTAGGTTCAGTTCTGGTTCTGGTTCTGGTTCAGCCTCTGCTAGGTAGGTTCAGTTCAAGCATGAACTGGTTCGAACCTGATAGGCTAAAACCCATTGGAAAAACCAAATATATGGGCATCCTTATGACTTCGAGAGTTGTCAGTGCAACTAAAGACTGCAAAATGGTATAGAATATACATGTGCTGACTATAGTCTCTTATATTCTGCTGAAATTGCACAGACATACCCTGTATAGCATCCTCTTATGTAATACTCACTCTTGGTCAAACATGAGATTACCATTCTACACAGTTCACTGCAGCATTTTGATGGTGGGTAATGCACCAATAATACTAAGAAGCATGTAAAGTAAAGGTGGGAGGCCCCCATTGTCCTTAAAATTGCTAGATTGAAAAATCTCAGGGTCAGAGGTTCGAACTGGTTCTGAACCTATGGTTCAGACTTGGTTCTGGTTCAGCAGGTTCACTGTAGGTTCAGGTTCGGAGAAAATGGCTTCTGAACCGAACTGAACTGAACTTCGGCAACACTACTGCAGTGAGTATATCTGCCTGTACTGACATGTGTATTATATTAGTATCGTAGTCTCTGACAGGTGACATAGTGACTAGGAGTTAATAAGCACAAGAAGAATGTGCTGGGCAATTCCTCTGTGCTCGCCATTGCACTGGGTCCCTCGGTTGGGTTGACTTTGTGTCGGAAGACTATGGGATATTTGACAACATTCCCGAGAATCATGCGAGCAACTGGGCAAAGCCAGTAAGGATCAGCATATTGAAATGCATTGTACTGCACCATCTCGCGAAGCGAGAATTGTCGATAGGATGTCTATATTTCAATGCCGAAAGGCGTAATCAATGCGTGACATTCTGTGTGATAATCTGTGATATGCGTGATTTACCTGTCCCACATAGCATTTTTCAGACCGAAAACATAGCATTTTTGAGGCTGATTTCAGCGGATTCTGGGGATAAACCTCTAGTGAAGTTTCCCGGGTCCTGGGAGCGCACGAGGTAATTCTGTATGCACAATGGGGCGCTGCTGAGTGGTTCATAAGTGTGGAATGAGCACTGCATGGATGGCAGGATGAATGTGACGTTGGCTACCAGGAATGGGAGGTCACGTCACATGGGAAGCGCACACACGAGTGTCACAGCGTTGAAGGCTGGGATTCGATTTACTAGTACGCTGCCTCTACTCTACGAACAGCACGTTCTTTTATACGTCGAGAGGCCCCGGTAATGGAGGTCCCCAGACCGAGACGAAATGAGAGGAATTGAGGGGTGGTGAAAACAGGGTAAGGAAAAGAGAGGACGTGAACCGGTAAGTAGTAAGGCCATCTGACTAAGAACGCTGGGGAGACGCCAGTCCGTACCGTTACACACGCCCTCCGAGGATCGTCCTGCGATTCCCTAGTCACTCATCGCGTTCGGATCACCTTTCTCCTCCTGCTCGACATCCTTTTCGTGATCGCCATCCTGCTCCTGGGCGGCGGTCTTTTCGAGGTCATCCGGAGTGGTGCCCATCGTCGAACTACCGCCCACGGACTGGGGGTTACGCGGCATTGCGTGCTTCTTCTTCCCCTTCTCCTTCGTCTTCCCCTTCTTCGAGCTCGAAGCCATCTTCGCACCCTTATCCTCGTCGGGCGCACCGAAGACGCGCGGCTTCTTGGCAATCTTCTCCTCCTTGGCGGCAGCGCGCTCCTTGCGCTTGGCAGTCACAAACTGCTGGTTACGACGGATCTGGCCCCACAAGATCACGCAGATCGTTTGGATGAGCTCCTCATCGAACACCCCATTGGGCGCGAGAGCGGCTAGCGCCGGCGGAAGGGCCGGAGGCAGCGGAGGAGGAGGAGGAGGTAGAGGAGCGAGGTAGTCAATGTCGATCGGCTCACCGCTCACGGTGACCTCATGCGAGAGGAAAGAGAAATCAGTGAACTTGTAAGTGCAGGCTGCGTCGCGATTCCACAGCATGATGAACATCTTGTATCCCCCAGGAATAGGAATATCGGGCCATCCACGGTGGAGGAGCACGTCAAACTCAGAGTAGCTGCGGAGCTGAGCGACAGTGAAATGGTGCTCGTGGGTGTAGCCATCGCAGAGGATGATGTCGTGGTTCTCGAGCTGGGTAAGGAATGCGTGGGGGGCCATGACCTCAGCAAAGAAGAGTGCGGGGTTCAAGTATAACAGGGTAAGAGGATTGGTGATGGGGGCAGGCGAAGTGCTGGAGACACGGACGGGCGTAGGAGTGCAGGCGGGTTGCTTGCGCTGGTGTTGAGAACGTCTTGTGCGTGTATTTATGGGTTTGCCCCGCCCTCCGGGGAACTCTAGATTGCCCACAAAAATTTGCGGGTCGGGAGGAGGAGTGCCCGTTCCCGGGGGTAACTGAGTAATACCGTCCAGGCCAAGAGCTTCCAGGTAAGCTTGTAGTGCCCCAAGGTGTGATATTGACCCATAGGGCACCCAAGAACGATCTCCCGATCTCCAGACAGCCTCGAAAATTGCGTCTGTACCGGCTCCAGCGTGCCCGACAATTTTGTCGATCACCCACTCTTCATCTCGATCCTCGAGCTCGGCAATCTGGCTATCAAGTCGCCCGGGGAAGAGACGGTCGTCGTTCGGCTCGTGAATCCTCAATAGTGATGCATGGAAAACATCGTGCACACCACGTCTCTTCAGATTTCGTGGTAAGTCAACCTGGTAAGAATTGTTCCCATAGTCCTGCAGGATTTTATAGGGCCCAATATACTTTGGTATGAACTTCCGAGCAAGTCCCTTTGGGAGGGAAAGGTTCTTCGTTGAGAAGTAGATCAAGTCCCCAGCCGCAAAGGGTGCTGGTCACCGCCGGCGATTCACATCCCGGGTCTGTTTCACCCGAGCAGCAATCACACTGTCGTGCGCCGCCATGACCGCGGCTTTGACGCGCTGAGCGTATGCCCGTACACCGGCAAATTCTTCAGTCCCAGCGTTGTTCCAAATCATAGGCCGCGGCATGCGCCCTGTATTCAGAAAAAACGGTGCATAGCCTGTGCTGTCCGATCGTGCGAGGTTGATCGCAAACTCGATTGCAGGAAGTCTGCTTACCCAGTCCTTCTGACTGGGGCTAATGCACTGGCGCAGCATCTGCGTTACCGTGCGGTTGGCCCTCTCTGTAGATCCGTCAGATTCAGGGTGGTAGGCACTCGACATACGGAGCTCTACTCCGAGGAGCCCGTGCAAGTGCGACCAAAATTGACTCGTAAAGAGAACATCCCGGTCACTCACTATTGCCTTAGGCATTCCGTGGTGTTTGTACACCTCCGCAAACACCAGCTCAGCTACATTCTTAGCCGTGTATGTCGTGCGACTGGGCACGAGGTGTACCATCGCAGTGAGCAGGTCAATTATCACCGTTATTGAGTCATAGCTAGCATCTCGATCCTTCGACTCGGGCAGGGGCCTGACGAAGTCGATGCCAATGGCTTCCCAAGGATGACTTGGAACTGGCAGCGGGTTCAGAAGCCCGTACGGCTTTTGATTAGAAGGTTTACTACGTTTACATGTCATGCACGTGTCGCAGTACTTCTGCACGTCTCTGACTAATGACTTCCATCAGACGTGGTCCCGCAGAAGGCCTGCTGTCTTGTACACACCAAGGTGCGCCAAGAGTGAGTGTGCGTGAGCAATAATGATCTCTCGCACACTGCGGTTCTCCACGAGAATGTCTGGTATGCACAGCAATTCCAGATGCTTGTCTCTCATAAAGACTAACCTGCCCTTTACCAGGAAATTCTTATACCGTTTAGGGTCCTCAAGAATAATCTTGAAGAAGGAATCCTCACTATATTGTCCTCGAAGGACTTCTGGTAAGTCAATCCCTTCTGCAGCTTCTGATATGTGGTGCAGGAAATGGTCGCCGTCCATTGACAGGCGCGAGAACGCGTCCGTAGGGCTGTCCGCTTTCGCGTGCGTGCTCGGCGCCTCTAAGGCGTCTGGCGTGGGAGCGCGTGGCGAATCTTCAACATCGACCACGTTCGCTGTCTCGCCCTCCATCTCAGCGATGGGACTGTTTGGTTCAGGCTCGGGCAAGGGGAAATCAACAGGTGAGTCTTGTTCCCTGATCCCGCCCTCCTGTTGTTCTGCACGCGGTCCGTGCAGGACGACACGTCTAATTCATTTCGAAAATTCCTTTGCAGTCTCAGCGCGGCCTGTTTCTGGCGGCACGAGAGGAGTTCGAGGTCAATGCAGTCGGCATCGTTTGCGCTCGCCTTCAGTCACGGCTGGCGTGAGGCTATTTTCTGCCACAGTCACAGCGTCGGCCCGCATTAGGGTGGTACCCACAGAGTGATTCTGCGGCGCGGGGACAGGAGCAGTTCCTGTGTGCATCCTGGAGGCCTCGTGGCCCACAAGGACGGGGACCGAGATGGCGTGTGCCGCGAGGCGTAGACCAAAATCATCGCCATCATCGTGTTCCGTATATTCGGACTCGGCGCAAATGGTGCCCGGCGCGTCATGCGCATAAATGCGCGAGAGAGCGTCCGCGAGGACGTTCTCGATGCCGGGTACATACTGGATCTCAAAGTCGAACTCGGAGATGAGTTCTAACCAGTGGGCCTGTCGGCCTGACAGGTTCTTCTGTGTCAGAAGGTGAGTTAACCCTTTGTGATCCGTTACCCAAGTGAAATGACACCCGAGCAAGATATCGCGGTGGCGGCGCATCAACTCCACGCCTGCCAGCATTTCAATCTCATGCACAGGATAATTCGCCTGTGCCGAACTTAACTTCGCGGAGAAGAAGGCGGCGATGCAGCCATCCCGCCAACTGTTCCCTTGCGCAACAACACCTGCGACGCCACCATGTGAGCCATCGGTGACGAGCCAGATCGGGGCCGCACTCGGCGAGTAATCGAGGGGCATGCGACTATGCACGCGGTGCCTCGAGAGCAAGTGTTTAATCTTGTCGAATGCCCGTTGGTGAGTATAGTCCCACTTGAAACTTGCATCGGATGCTGTCAGTGATGAGAGGATCCCCATAGGAATACGAATCGTTGCGATGTCGTCAGCGAGATAGCCAACGGAGCCAAGAAAACCCCGCACAAGTTCCTTGGTGGTGGGGGCCTTCCAGGTGAGCACCAAGTCCACCTTATCGGGGTCCATGTGGATGCCATCGTCGTCCACAATACGACCGAGGATCTTCATTTCTGCACATAAAAAATGCAGTTTTGTAGCACTGAGATAAAGCTTCTCACGCTGCAAAATGTCAATGACAGTCCTGCAGTGATTGACGTGATCCTGCAGCCTATCTGAGTAGACAACGATATCATCCAGATACACATCCATGAAGACGGAAATGTAAGGTCCGAACAAGTGGTTCATGAGAGACTGGTAGGTTGCCACAGCATTGCAATCTCCCTGTTGCAGGACCAAGCTGACCATGCTGCAATCAGGTGTGGCCATGGCAGTTCGATCCACATGGTCTGGTATGATGCGGATGTGCTCATAAGCATCCTTCCCATCAATCAAGGTGCAATACGGCTTGCGCGCGACGCGGCGCAATATTGACGCCATATCCGGTAGTGGGGACGTGAGCTTGACAGAGTTCTCGTTCCGTGCGCGCAGGTCCACCGTGACGCGGAGCCAAGGTGGAACTCCCTTCACGCCTGTGCCTGCCTTTGTCAGCAAGAGCATAGGGCATGTGTTCCATGCGCTGGTCATCCTCCAGCGACCGGATTTAAGGTAAGCATCCCGCTTCTCAACCCATGCAAGGCGCAGAGCGTCCGGGCACTTGCTCGGACGCCACGGGTAAACTTTATTGACATCTTTTAGCGGGACCGAGTGATTGATCTCGTGAAGTGGTGGGAGAGGTGCGTCACTCGCGTCTCTGCAGATGGGGTCGGCATAGTCATGCAGAAATTTGCGCGCTGCCTCGATCGTTAGTGCAAAGATGGCCGCCGCGCGAGACTCGAGGACGTGCAGGCGCTTCCCCTCAAGTGCGAGCGCAAGAGGACTCCCGACTACAACCGACGTGGGATTCAACCCTACAGAAAGCTGATGTTGGAACCAGAAGGGCGTGCCGAGGATAACATCATAATTCAGTAAGTTGATAATATCAAAATACCATGTCTCCTTGATTGACTGATAGGCTATCACAGCCGTACACCCAAGGTTAATCTTCGCGCGGGACCCCTGCACTGCAAGGTGGACAGGTAACGGCTTCTCAAGCTCGAACACCTTGACCCCAAGCTGATGCGCTAACTTTGCAGACATGAAATCAGCAAGAGATCCCGAGTCAAGCAACACGCGCGCGGGGTGCCCGTTGACATGCACGACCACGACGGCCAGCTCTGGGATGATGCGGTTGAAGTCGCGCGGTGAAGCGGCGTTGCGCTGTACTGCTGGCAACGAGGCTCCATCATTACGCGGGAGCTGCACAGCACTGAGCATAACACCATCACCATCATCAACATCATCATCGTCATGAAAGAGTGTCGCGAGCTCGCCCTCCAGGTCTTCAAGCCCAAAGGTGGGTGCGAGCGCCCAGCGGACTCGACGTATGTATGTGCGCGCGATGTCGTAATGTGGGTGCATGAGGCCTTCATTGTCGAAATGAGCGAAGATGCCCATGTAATGGTCAGTGACTTCCACGGCATCGTCATGCTGTGCACACTGAAATCTCACTGTCCCAGTGTCCCCTGCGCCAATGGCATCCACTGGGATGGGCAAGTACTCATTCAGAATGCGGTCGAGCCAGAGGCGTGCCAAAGTGCGATGCATTATCACAGCAGTCGCACCCATTGGGTTCGGAGACCACGCGAGTGCGATACTCCGGCTGTCGTGAGTACCATAGCGATATGTTAAATTCGGGATCACGTAGCAAGTGCAACGGGACCAGGACATCATCTGCCGGCGACCACATCACACACCACTGAGTGGGTGATGTGCGATAAGCCACCGGTAATCTGATCTCGGGGCCGTTGTCAATATTAGCGGTGTGATCATTATTCGGGAGCCAGTGGTAAGCTAGTATGCCTCCCATCGAGTCAAGGATAACACTAATCCTATCTCCGTAGGTGTCTCCCATCTGTGTCTGCTCTGGCCCCAAGGGTGCCAGCGCACTTAAATCAGGTGGTACGAGGTGAGCAAAGTCATCGTCCTCTCGCGCCGCTCGACATAAATAGTCGGACGGCTCATGGCGTGTGGAGTACCAGTCCGGCAACCGAGGCGAGGCAATGGTGCGCCGAACTGAAGGTATGCCTGACCGACTCAAGCTAGAGTCGCCAGGCTCGCTTGCGCTCTCATCGTCAGTCCCTGATCTGTTGCTGACACTCCCTTCATAGGCTGTATCATGGAGGTCTCCCCAACAAGTGGTGGGCGAATGTGCCATGGTTGAACAAGCCTGGCACTGGCATCCGAACTCAGTATCGAGGCGTGGTTCGCCATCACCAACACAGACCGCATGGAGATCAACGCCGCCCGCAGTGGACTGCGCGAGCTCATGCAGTTGTTCCGCAGCGTGGAAGTCTGGCGTGACATGGTAAGCCGCTATGCTGGGAGGCTTCCCTCGCTGGTTGGATTTGACACGGGCAGCATTTGGGCACTGGCGAGCAAAGTGTCCGGACTCCTTGCACAGGAAACATTTCCCTGCGGCGGTGAGGTCCGCTTTCTCTTTGTCCGACATACGGGGCCGACTGGCCTTGGGATCACGGTTGTCACTCCCGCCACGCGGGCTCGGTGTAGTATTTGTACCGGACTTTGTATTCGCACGATCATGATGATGGTTGGCTGGGCTGCCTTCTCAGGTTTAGCACCACGCCGCATGGCCGTGTTGCCAGCGTTTTCAGCGATCTCAACCACTTCAGCAGCCTCAACAACCTCCTCCCAAGAGGAGTGCATCGGAGACAGCATGTGGTGCCACAATCCCTTCTGAATGTGGGCATTGAGACCGAACCACAGCTTATCAACCTGTTCCCGCTCGTTGGCAGTGCCGACCATTTTGAACATGTTCTCGAGGTCATGAATATAGTCACGCACACTCCGTTCACCCTGGCTGTGCCGGAGTTGCTCGCGCATTTGGACGCGGAAATCCACGGGGAAGCAGTAGTTAAATAGTCCCTTGAATATTTTCTTAGCGGACCATTCTTTCGGTCTCTTCGAAACAGTAGTGACATAGAATTTGTATGCTGTCTTCGTGAGGAAGTGCGCAACATTTGTTGCATGCTGCGACGGGCCTAAATTATAACCGTCGAGGTACTCAATCATTTCACGCATAAATTTGTAAAATGTCTGAATATCAGCGGAGCCATCATATGCCACCGGCTCCTTAGATTTGAGTACGGGTACTCGCTTTTTCTTCGTAGAAGATCTCACCCGCGGATGATCACTATCATCCTCGCCGTCAGCTCGTCGCGGGCGCGACCGTCGCCCACGCGGGGTGATGTCATCATCGGAGGCAGTGTCTGAGCTCATAGAGTCAGGTTCTGAGGACGAAGAACTTGATGAGCCATTGGGAGGCCCACCATCTGAACCCAACCCCATGTGCTCAAACGCCGCTCCGAGGTAGCTACCAGGCTCAATTTGAGCCACCGGCCTCATAATCGAGTACGCCTTGGGTATTTTTCCCTTCCGGCCCTCTGCATGCTTTTTCTTAGCAGCTGCAGGGCGCAGTTGATTGGCACTCTGCTGAGACGCGATAGCTTGTTCCAGCATAGTGAGCCGAGCGTGAAGCAGCTCCTTCTCGCGAAGAATGTCAGCGGGGGGGCGGTCGCCCCACAAACCCGAGTCATTGGCTACGGGGGCATGCCGTCCTGGATCTGAGGACAGATCATATCGCGACCGAGGCTGGCGGATACTTGCCGCGGGAGAGGCCCATGCTGTCGAAGGAGCACGTCCTCCCCGGGCTACCTTACAGGCATGCCAGTATTCGAGCATTTCGCGCTGTTCCTCCAGGCTCATGCCTTCTTCGCGGAGGACTTCAGCAGGCACTCCTGATGCCCGCCCGCCGGAGTACATCTCGTACTCCCGGATCTGAGCCTCGGGATCCAGCTCTTCTGGCGGGATTCCACTACCGCCCCATTCACGGGGGTCAATGGTCTTGCCCTTGCGCGAGGATGGTCCTTCCTCGAGATCAGGATCGGTCTGGGTCGGACCCTCCCGGGCAGCTGGCATGCAATTTTCGAGGGCACGCTCATTTTCTCCAGGCGAGTTCGAGTGCCCGGGAACCGGTCCTTGCACTATACGCATCCGGTTCTCGTACCGAGCAGGACCCCTGAATATACCCTAGGACGTCGTTTCTGCATCCGGACAAAAATTTCGAAGTTTTCAGCTGGACGCCGTATCCCATCCGGACAAAAACAGGACAAAAACGGTCGACCACCGTGCGGTTCATCCGGACATAAAATTCGAGGTCCCTCGGAGGCCATCTGACCGTCCGGACATTTTTCGGGCCTATAGTCGTATGTCGTAGCGGTTGGCTGGAGTGTGTACTGGAGATCTGCTGGTTTGTGTGAGCGTGTGTTTGAGTCCCAAGAAATGCACATCGGGGATATGTTTTATCTTTCCACTACTGAGAGCCTAGGTTCACCTTAAGCGGCAATGTTCAGTTTTGCATCAGCATCCAATCATTGAACTTCTCAGCTTCTCACTGTGATTGTTGGGCACAAGATTCCTTTTCTATATCGGAGGAAACAGAGTGAATTGAAGTAGAAGTACCCTAGTAGTAATCTACAGTACATGCATTCTACCACTACTGTGCCAACTGATGCTATCACCTGTTTCCTCTGTGCTATCCGGACAAAACAATCAGTTCTTATAGGCCATTTGTGCCATCCGGACAAAAATTTGAGGTTTTATAGGCCGTTTTCACCATCCGGACAAAAATTTGGGACTTGTAATGCCGTCTCCGTTGTCCGGACAATTTTTCGGAAAAGTCGCCATCGTCTCCGCATCCGGACAAAAAACTCCTAAAACCTGCTGAAAAAAGTCCGGACAAAAAATTGGAAAATCGATGATTTTGGATACGACGTCTTAGGGTATATTCAGGGGTCCTTACCGAGTCCGGTCATCTGGACTCAGAGTTCCCTCAGCCGCAGCAAAAACACTTAACTGCTCACGGCTTGGCAGGCCCGATCCTCCCGCAAGTTGGCGGAGGCTTGAAGTCCAATCTGCAGAATCGAGGCTTCGAGGGCGGCGTCGTGGGCCAACGGTGATCCACGCTCCCTGTCCGTCGTCTGCATCAGGCTTGTCAGCTTTGCGGACGGTATCATCGGACGAGGAACTTTCGCTGCTAGCCAGGCTGGTAGGCGCCGCTAGCGAGCGAGATATATTTTCTGACTTCACAACAGAAGCCTCCTTCCCGGCGTTAGACACCGGCGAAGGGCTACGCGACGTTACTGCCTGGCTATAGGACAGTCCAGGGATCACGGCGGAGGGGCTGGGTGCGCGCGAAGGCGTCCCGCTACCGCTGCGATCAAGCGCAACATCAGTGGTCTCGGCTTCCGGAGTGTTTTGGTACTCACCGGGAATGGAGTGCGCGGGCGACACAGGCCTGTCAGCGCGCGAACGGAGATTGTACCGGCGAGACATAGTTAAGGGATAATGTAGACTAGCAAGTGATAGAATATGCAGTAGGTCGTCGCCGACGTCGGAAGGTCGAGTTGATCAGACCCGAGGTGATCCAGACAGAGGCGAGCAAGAATAAAGTAGAGGAGTTTCGAAAAAGCCTAGTCTGTGAAAAATATGTGACGTTGGCTACCAGGAATGGGAGGTCACGTCACACGGGAAGCGCACACACGAGTGTCACAGCGTTGAAGGCTGGGATTCGATTTACTAGTACGCTGCCTCTACTCTACGAACAGCGCGTTCTTTTATATGTCGAGAGGCCCCGGTAATGGAGGTCCCCAGACCGAGACGAAACGAGAGGAATTGAGGGGTGGTGAAAACAGGGTAAGGAAAAGAGAGGACGTGAACCGGTAAGTAGTAAGGCCATCTGACTAAGAACGCTGGGGAGACGCCAGTCCGTACCGTTACAATGAAGATGCCCCTGGATGCGAAGAAAAACTGAAGAACAACAGTGCTCTGCGAGTGAAGTTTGTGGATCGTGCAGGAACTGTCAAGGAGCGAGACTGGCACGAGGCGGCGGCTCGGAGGATGCGAATGACAGGCGGCACTGATGATCCGAACATCATATTGCACGGTAGGATGGAGCTCTACTTGAGGAGAAACCAGCAGAAGTAGTAGCAGGAGCCTTGACAAGATTCGGCAGTCCACGACAGGCTACGGAGATTTCCAGCTGAGCGGAGGGAGGCGAGGGAGGAAACATCGACTCTGGCAAGAGAGAGATGACATTTGTGCGCTCGTTCTCGGTGAACGAACTCCTCAGAAAGGTCGTGTCCAGGAAGTGCTATGATATCTACGTTAAAAAGGATGATAACCCGCGCTCGACCTCAGGCCTCAGGACTCGGATGGAACATTCCGCGACTCCCACCAACTTCCACGGTCTATTTCGGTCGTGGTACGATATCTCAGTAACACGAAAGGCAGTGTCGAGGCTGCGCTGAGATGAAGGACGGAAGAGGACCCGATGCCGTGTATTACTCCTCGTTTGGGGCTTGCAATGGCAGAGCAGGTGTCGAGGACATGCAGGCAAGACCGAGGACGGCCAGTGGACGTCGGCGAGCTGTTGAAGGCGCCCACAGACCGACGGCGAAGAGCACTAGTGGGCGCCAGCTTTGGAGGATCGTCGTTCCCGTGGAAGACGCCAAATGCGAACTGCGCACCATTCAACAAGCTTGAAATTGTACCGGTCGACAACACCATTCCGCGAGAAATAAGCGGGAAAATAATGGAAGAGAAGAGTCTGTCTCTTCTGAGACGCAAGCACTGGCACTGTGTCGGTGGTGGAGAGAACTATGCTGCTGGCGGCCTCCGGCCCCAGACGCGAATTTGCGCAGTCTGTTCGTGGCGCTGGCGACTGTCCACCGCCCACCGCGTACAGTATTTGGTTCACTGAATAACCGATATTCTCTCTCGGGGACTGGCCTGCACGCGACCACTCCACTCCTTCGAAGTCCGTATTGCACCACCCTACTAGGGCGGCTGATAAGCAGCAAGAATCACTCACACACCTGGGAATACTTGTTCTAGCGTAGAGCTCCAGTGCACCCACTTCCGACTTTGTCTGCTTGCAAGCCGCGGCCCATCTGCGCAGTTTGGCATGCCCAATCTCCACTCAACGCCATCCATCAGATATCCATTGTGTGTAGTGTTATGCCATTGTGCTCCACCAGCCCTGGGAGTTCGAAGACGATTCTAGGAACAAGGATGACAATGCGAGAGAAGTCATGCACAGGCCTACGAGTATGGCTGTAGCGGTCAATAACGATCACTGACGGTGGCTTATCGAACCCCAAGTCCGATTCGCAATATGATCAAGAACGGATGTTTTTTCTCAACGCACTCTCCAGCTGCTCAGCAACTCCAGTTCCCCACGCGTAGCTTGCTATACAATGCCGAACATCAGCAGGACAGCCCTGTAAGTCCGCTGCATCCACTGGAACCACCAGAACGTCAGCTTTTGCTAATCTTCAGGAGCACTTGGCCAATGTCCGGAGTGATGGCGATGTCAGACTTTGTGCTGCGCCATACAAAATACATATGCCGACTGGCAACTACGTCCGACAGCCGATAAGTAACTGCACAGGCGAGCATTCGGATTCCATGTCACTGATCATGATTCGAATGGAAATTCCAAGCGTTGTATTCTGCCCAGGCCTCGTCGCATCGATACGAGACCACAGCTAGTGTGTTCTCTGAATGTGGGGCTGCGGAAGATATCCCGGGTCGCCCTTCCCTGCACAATGATACTGTAGCTCCCTCTTCTGATGACGTGCATCGCCACGCCCCGAATTCCCTCCCAGGCACCAGCGACCCATATTCAGCTCCACCTAGCCAGCTTATAAAGTTCCCTGTACGCCCCCCTTCCTCTCATCATTCCACTCACCTCTCGTAGCACAATGTCAAACGTCCTCATCCGCACCCTCCCCTTCTCCTCCCGCTTCACCATCGGGAGCGGCAAGGAGCTCGTCGCCCGTGATTACGACCGCGCCCAGAAGCTCTTGCAGGGCCTCCACCCCCACGGCCCTGCCGCAGCACACGAGGCCCGCCGTCGCCGTGATCACCACCACCATCACAAGCACCAAGAGGGCGCCGTCCACGAGGCTCCCGGCTCTAGTGGCGGCGGTTCCGGCGCCGGTTCGACGACGGGCAGCACCACTAATAGCGGTAGTGGCGCCGGCGTGGACGTCACGGACGCGAGCGTGAACTACAATGCCTCCGTCGGCGTCGGCTCCCCCGCAACGACGTACACGCTTCTCATCGACACCGGCAGCTCCAACACCTGGGTTGGCGCCGGCCAGAAGTATGTGCAGACGAGCACCAGCCAAAGCACGGGAGACTCTGTCAGCGTCAGTTATGGTTCCGGCTCGTTTTCCGGTACCGAGTGTATGTATTCGTCTTCGTCTGTCCCACCCTTTATGAGCTGACCTGCGCGCACAGACGTCGACACCGTAACCATCTCCCCGAGCCTGGTCATCGCGCAGCAGAGCATCGGCGTCGCGTCCACCGCACAGGGCTTCTCGGGCGTCGATGGTATCCTCGGCATTGGCCCCGTCGACCTCACGAGCGGCACCGTCTCCAACACGGACACCGTGCCGACCGTCACGGACAACCTCTTCGCGCAGGGTACGATCACGGAAGATTCTATTGGCATCTCGTTCGAGCCCACTACCAGCGACGGCCAGAGCAACGGCGAGCTGACGTTCGGCGGGTCAGATAGCACCCGGTACGCCCACGCCTCCGAGTAGCATGTTCTGATGTGTGTCTTTCGGGAGCTGACGAGTGCCCTGCACAGGTACACGGGCACGATCACGTACACGCCGATTACTACGACGTCGCCAGCGTCCAATTACTGGGGTATCAACCAGGACGTCACGTACGGTCAGGGCGGCACGACGCTCTTGTCCGGAGCCCCGGGCATCGTCGATACCGGCACAACCCTACTCATGCTCGCCTCGGACGCGTTCAACGCGTACCAGCAGGCGACCGGCGCCACCATGGACAAGTGCGTCCCTCTTACCTCCTTACTTCTTTCTCACGCAGGTGTTTACTGACTGGTGCTCTAGCACGACGGGTCTGCTGACGATCACGCAGGAGCAGTACGCGAACCTGCAGTCACTCTTCTTCACGGTCGGCGGTACGACGTTCGAGTTGACGGCCAACGCACAGATCTGGCCGCGCTCGCTCAACACCACGCTCGGCGGGAACGCGGACCAGATCTACCTTGTCGCCAGCAGCACCGGCACTGCCAGCGGGTCCGGACTCGACTTTATTAGTGCGTGCTCTTTTCATGAGGGTACGCTGTGTGACTGACTGACGGGGTGGCGCAGATGGATTTGCATTCCTCCAGCGCTTCTATAGCGTGTTCGACACGGGCAACTCTCAGGTGGGCCTTGCGACCACGCCGTACACGGATGCCACCACCAACTGAGGGCCCCCTCTACGTGGCGTGCGAGTGCACGGACTGGGTGGACGGACTGGATGGACTTCTTGTAACGGACTTCTTGTATGAATGACGATCCTGCAAAGTGTACATACAGTGTTCATGCAGTTCGGACGTACGAGCCAAGTAGTATACCACGTTATGAAGACTCAGTTGGAGCCTTCGATGTTTGGTTGCTGACGGGACTTATGAGAGATGCTAGAAAGCTGAGGGTTTGAAAATTGGGAAGGCGATCACGCTTTTGAAATTTGATCAACGACGATCCTAACAAAATATGACAGCGTCTGTCGGAACTTCGACATCGGAGGGCGCCAAGTTGCACACTTTCGACTCGGAAGTGAAAGACGAACTCTGTAAGCTCCAAGCGCACCATATTATCTAGTGTTGCCCGTAGCATTGGTTTGGAACCTGGACCAGAATATTCCCGTAGACCTCGCGCCCCGACGTTGACGTGTAGAATTTCGTCAGACGCTCACAAGCGCTGGCAATCCGCGAACCTCAAGATGGATCTCGGGAGATGTGGCGCCTCCCCGATCAGTAAGCTCTTCAGCAGAGAGTAAACATCATGCGAGCCCCACATGGATGAGTGTAACAGAAACCCCTCCGGAAAATAACCGACTTGCTTTCCCTCGAAACTGCTGCAGAGAAAAGACAGAATTCCTCCGATCCGGTGGGCGTCAGTCAATCACTATGATAAATACTAGGCGTTCCTGAGGTTGCTCATCGCGTCGCAGCGCGGACCGTTGGTCGTTGGAGACGACGACGAACGCCCTGGCAGTCCCGCGGGCCGAACCTTCTTGCCAACCTTCATATTTTTCTTCTGGGTAGGTCTTTAAGCCAATGCATGCGCTTGACGCAAAGCTTATTCACATTACTGTCGTTACGACGGTAGTGCTGACATGAGGCACCCGTTACACAGACAGCATCGGACACACGACTGGCGCGAAATTGTCATTAGTGAATTGTGTAAACTGGCAAACCGACATTCGAATAGACTAATCCGCCCCGTAATAAGTACATGAACGGGACAGGTTTAGCATGCCGTCACTTCCCCCGTTACGCGTCCGAATTTGTCGCAGAGGAATCTTAGACTTTGCCCATCTCGGCGTCCTCCTTGGACTCCATCATACCATCAAGCGAAGCAAAGGCCAACGCGCCTCCACTGCGGATGCGTTCTTCGTGGGCCTTGTTGGCAGTGATGATGTCGCAGTGCTCATCGGAGATTGCTAGAAAAAATGCCGAATTGAGGCAACCTGCGGTCAACGTGACAGATATGAGTTAACGCACTGCGGCTATGGTCGCCAAGCACGAATTCGTAGAAGAGGCCGCCCGCGATTGTCGCTGGGATGTTCGTCAGCGCTGCAATGGCGGCATAATGCCCGCCGCCAGCCTTCATCCCCCAGATGCTGAGTGCGGCAATACGCCCACCGATATCGCGCGCCGAGTTTGCAGATAAACCAACCCCTGCGAAGCCCCAGATCATGATACCGCTGAGAGAGCAGAATGAATAGATACTTTTTAGGAGAAGCACGACGACCTACTATGAGAGACCAATCATCCATGGCATCACCGCGGGTGGGCAAAACCGGTTCGTGGGATCGAAGCCAGCCACGATAACGATCGCAATGAAGAAGTCGCAGACAAATTCGTTGAGGAAGATGTACCCCAGGTTGGCTGTAGGGTTGGCGTAGAGAGCAAGGATCCCGGCGGGACCTTGCGGGGTGAACATGACGGCGTCGTACTCCCCCTTCGCTTTGAGGCCAGCAACGACCGGCTGATCAAACGAAATGGCTTTCAGTGGGGGAATAACCAGCAAATGCGAGTTGACGCACTGAAATGAGATTGTGGTACTGCAAATAAATGAGTAGACACGCGATGTACGATCCAAGAATCTGTGCTACGATCAGCATGAAGCCCCGTTGGACGCTGCATTTTCTCATGAGTATAGAGTAGATCGTAAAGGCCGGATTGAGATGGCCGCGAGACGTAGGCTTTAAAGGCGAATGAGCAGTAACAGCGAAAGAATGTCACGTTGTACAGACCAGACATATTATAAGTGCCATCGCGACACCGACCGAATATCCCATACCGATCTGGAAACCACCTGCGATGCAGAAATAAGATCAACTAACGTCGCTGAGATACAACATAGACGCCACATACTGCCGAGGTTCGTTATTTGGAGGGTATTGCCCATGAGCCACGCAGCTGTGGCTCCCACCCCAGGATAGGTATACATGAATGTTCCGGTCTAAGATGCTTTTGAATCAGCCCTCATTCAGACTCGAGAGCGAAGAGAACGAGCGCACAGCTTCAGCGATGAATTGGACTATCAGAGATGCCTGGCTATGTTTCCGCCTCTCCCAAAGGCTCAGAACCTTGGGAGGGGGCTCCACATCGGACAAGTAAACCACGGGCTTTGTCTGCTCGAGCGACATGGCTTGTTGTGGACGAGAGCGTGTTAGGACGGAAGAGGGCGAAGGCTGGTGGGCAGGCACCAAACAAGGCGCTGGGGAAGGGCCATCTTATAGAATTACTCGAGATGGCAGTGGGGGTACCTGTATAGAAAGCGCTGAAATCGAGAGATCGGGACTTACAAAACACCTGAGCGGCCGGAAACCTACTTTCAGCGACCGGAGAGATGCTACGGACGGTCATGAGGGTCTGATTGGTCGTGATTGAGATGGTAAAGCTCTTGCTCAGATGTTCACATGTAGTCCACATGATGACACCAGATCTTGAAATGGCTGCATTGCTACTACACGGGACCATGCTCACAAGGACAATGGTTGGCCTGGAGCACAACAAGTTCGAGCGTGTTCTAGTACTAAGCCTGATAGCCTCACCTGCGCCAGTGCTGTGAGTCGTGCATTCGCGTCACGATCGCTTGTCAAGAGGTCCCCGGCTTGGAGATCGACATAGGCTATGAGCTTCGCCGTCCTGGTGACGTGTGACGTGAGCGCAATGACACTGTCCGTCAAGGTATCATGGATCGCAATCTTCTCGTTCTCCACTTTGATGAGGAAGGCGGGGGAGGTTGAATGGTGAATCTTGCCCACGGTGCCGCGGACGGCGACAAAATTATTATATCCGTGATCGCTATCTTTCCCCCCGCACTATAGTTCCGATTGAACCAAAGTTGCGCTAGGTTATGGCACATGTCCCGAGGATTCCATGGGGAAGTCCAACGCTCTCCCGTTCCGGCCTTACAGTCATTTGCAAACCTCAGTAGATCCCTCACCGAGAAAATCGGATATTGAAATAAAGACCACTGATTGGCGAGCTCTCTCCGAATATTTGAAATGTGCCTTGGCCGCGAGTTGGCAGCGAGGTCGCCTTCGAAACTTATTTGTTTGATGTTACACTTATGGCCTGATTTTTGCTGGGGCCTATACAGTCGTTTGCGTACGAAACTTCCGTCCCTGATTCACGGAGTGCTGTCTCATATGGAAACGGCTAGCGCTGTAGTTTTGCAAACGGCCGTTCTACAAGTCGTCTTGATTACCGAAGCCAGTCGGATCGATGGCATGGAGAACCTGCAGCTGCATCCAGGTTACGTCGTACAGTACCAGTACAAGGCCTTAATAAGAGTCCTTGAGCTCTGCTCAGTGTCTCGACGCGGAAGAGGGACAGGTCTGCCCAGCTAAACATTGTCAGGGCTGCAGTTCCCGCCCACGTTGATTTCATCAGTTTCCGCCGTCGTGCCCTGAAACGTCTTCACATCCTTAGGTATCTTCGGTGTGATCATCTGTAACAACGCCCTCTTCCTCCAGGTCGATATCACGATCAACGTCAGGATTCCAGCGGCGGAGAACGAAGACATCAGCGTCGCCCTCTTGCCGAATGATCCTGATAAAAGCATGTTCAGTGCACAAACATCGGGCCAACAGAGCTAGGAAGACGCACTCATCAAACAGAGCAATCGCTCCCGTATCATCGTCAGGCTCGTCCATTGCGGGCCCCAGCCCGATCGCATGCCTGAACAGCCTGTTGGAATCTAGATCACTGTCAGGTAACGTACGGACAGCGGTGGGAGTGAGTGTCGTTCCGTCCAGGCACGGCGAGGTGGGGGTTGGACCGTGGATGAGTATATCACGTTCGATGCCGGCAGTTGCAATGTGGAGGTTACTAGGGTGCATCAGTGTCGTATTGACGATCGATTGGTGACCTTCTAAAGATCAAAACATGTACGAAATCCTACTGTGCCAGCTATCCTCACCTGTCAATCTGCAGAATGGCGTGGGCAACTCCATCGGTACCACTCGTGATTGCGAAAGGCCATTGGCGAAACCTGTCCAATTTGCATGAATGAAACTGTATCAGATTCTTGGTGGATCAATGACGGACCTACGGTACTCGAATGTTCATCCCAGTCCTCTGGATCAACTTCAAGCCTGCCATCTAGTAGCCTCGGGGTATCTGGGATTTTCCAGATATAGGCACAAAAGTCGTCCGACCCAGCGCCGTAGTAACAATCATCTCCTAGACCTGGGCCTCCGAAGGAGCCATGCTAACAGATAATCAGAAAATGAGAAGACAAACTTTGCCATGACAATGACCTTGATGGTGCATGTATTAGAGTAAGTGCGCACTCCTGATGGCACGGGAGTACCATCAGGCTGATTACGACCATTACAGATGGCCAAGGGGTAGGGATCATTCACAGAATATATGACGGGATAATAATACTGATGTGATCGTGAATACTGCAAAAGAATTAAAACACGTGTTCGCGCTCACCAGCATTGTCGCCGCTAGCCTCGTCCCTTAAGCAAGTCTCAGTTAATGCCCGTAAGAAGGTTATCACGGCAAACCTGTATAATCGAAAGTGATGCTGCTGACTTCGGGCTTGCTCAGGTGCGAGTGTTTCAATAGCGTTGTCACGTACTGCACGAAGGATTAGACAGGCTAGACGAACAACATGGAGGGAGGCATACGGTCTGCACGATGCCTTTCTGGCTCCTCCGTGATAGTGGACCAAAGGCCATACGTGCGTCGCGTAGGCACACTTCTCCCCGATTGTCACTTGTCGCAAAAATGTGTGCCATGTTTGGATGGTACTGGACACCTGTGAATTCGGCATCATGTTGGAGGACATTCTCGGCTCGGGAATGTCGGCCGGTTGGTGTTCGTGTATCATGCAGGATGATGCGGCCGTCTTCTCTACGGACACATCTTCTGAGATATTTTCAATCTCCGAGTAACACCACTCACCCTGCGCTCATAAATATATGGTCATACACTGGGTGAGAGGAAATTGCGCGGACGCTGTCCTGTACGTCATAGATGATGAATATACACCGCATATTCAGGTTGAAACTCACATCGTGTTGCTGAAATACCGCACTGGAGAACCTGGAGTGCTGCGTACCAGCCGACGATAAATATGAAAGGTCGTACTGGTAGATTTTATTGTCTGTATCACCTCTGATACACGCATGAGCAGAAGAATTATCAAAATGATGGTACTGACGAGTAGAGATATTGATCCGTGGCAGAGAATGCCAGTGAAAAAACATTGGCCTGCGGAAAAACGCTCGGCATAAAATCAAAACTACAAAAAAAGTGACATCTACCCTTGGCCCGGTGAATGAGAATGATGCCTCGTTGACATCATCCTGGTGAAAGTCCCAAAGGAGAACATGTAGATCTAACAGCAGAGAAGCTCAGCAGGGATATCAGCTCATCGGCCACGATACGGACCATCCCCTGCACTCGCGAGCCACCGACCGCTGCCATGCGAGAATGCGAGCGCGTTGACGCAAGAGGTATGCCCCGTTAACTTTCTGTGGACATCCGTCAGCGACGTTCTCTTCCATGTACTTATGGAAGCGCGCTACTTGGAGTAGGGGAACCCTTCCGTGAGTAGGTGCTTCAGTGCAGATTTGCGGGAACGAGCGGAGTGAATTGGGCTACGGAAACCAAGTGGGCCAAGGTCTGTGAGTTGACTAGTACTTCGACATGGCAAAGACATATCCAAAACATATTACGAGAGAGTATGGTAGCTTGGTGGCAAGGGAGGAGGACCTTCGCAGTTGGACGAAAGCTGGTCTTGATTTGTCATCACTGATTCTCCATCGTTATGCTCATCATCTAGCCACCGGCCATCGCTTTCTTCTTCACCTTATCTTTCTTTCTCCAGGATACAACATATCCCTCCAGACAGAACAACTGGTGTTGTTTTGGCATCCGAATTATCCTCAGTCGCACCTCGAGGGCCGACCGACTTTCCAATTCTCGATTGGACCCCTACGATATTCACGATGCACACCCATCAGACACTGGCTGTCATTTTATGCCTTTTACTTCTGTCGACCGACGGTCACACACCACGGAAACGCCATCTGGACATAGACCCTTGGCAGAGTGAGTGGAATTAATGCCCCCCGACAGGGCTCGAAGTCGCAATACTGACGGGCATCATAGGTCTTTCTATCCATCCCATTGTACCACGCGATTCAGATTCTTTTGTACGGGTCGTCCCTGCCGTGCAGAAGCGTTCGACAACCTGCGTCCGAAGCGAGAAGATACGGCGTTCCCTACTCCCTCCACCATCAACGAGGCGTCGGGCGGCAGTCTGTCGTAATGGGCCTACTGCACCAGCTGCTGTCGGCGCTGCCCCTTCCAGTACTGGAGCTGCTGCAGGTGCCGCACCTAGCAACGGAAATGCTGGAGGCGTTGGTCCTAGTGGTAAATCGGGTGATGACGGTGCTGGGTCTTCGAATGCTGGATCTTCTGCTAATGCGAGTGTTCGCACTGCGTCTGTTGCTATGAGTTCGTTGATTATCAGTATTGCTATGGCTTGGGCACTGGATGCTGCTGAATTACCTTTGTTCGCTGTTTAGTTTCTTGTAAACCGAACATTGTCGTCACTCGTTTGGATAGCGTGCTAACTTATATGTTTGCAATCATACCGGGTTGAAAATTCTGGTGCGTCGCCTCATGCCAAATTGTTGCAAGCAATGTCTCCAGGAACCTTCCAATGTGGCGAAATGCCAAATGGGCGGCCTTATCCGCTGATCGCTGTGATGTAAGAGGAAAATGTCTAAGACTGGATGAATTATATAAATTCTGGAAAATGAAGGTACAGTCTTGAATTCAAGAAGCTCATCACGCAGTCAGCCATGCTTGTAACGCTTTCAACTTTGCGTAGCCTCTGTCCCCTGTGAACCCCTCAACTACAAGGACAAAGTGTGCCAAAGACATGGCAATAATCACAGAGATGACAGTCGATATGCGATGGGAAATTCCACTGCGTCATGCTATACAACTTTCGCTTCTTGAACGAGCGGTTCTGACTTCATCGATGTCTCGTCAATAGAAGGTATAGCCCGTAGCGACAGAGGATAGAGGAATGACACAGTGAGCCATGAAAGTAGATCAAGGTAAGTCGTCCTGACCTTTGAGCTCCGCTCTCTCGCCCACTGCAGCATCCATACCATCGCGATACCACTGCTTGATTCTCTCATTTCACACATTGTATGAGGCTCATTCCCTTCGAGAGGATTAAAGTCGTAGAAAGACAAGCCCAGCCCGCTCTCTAAGCCATATGCCTCAGCGAGCTTGCGCCTGATGAATTATCCACCACTGAGATCACCCAAGTAGCGGACATACGCGTGTGCTAGGAGGGGGGATGGATCTGAGGAGTGCGAGACAGACTCCAGGCGCGAGAGATAGGCGGTCAGAGCGGGCGGCGGCGGGTCCATGAGGGCGACATGTGCAGGATGGGCTCGCCAAGACGATTCCGCGACTTGCAGGAAGTGGCTGATGTAGCCGTAGGTAGAGATTTTAGCCGCTCTGGCGAAGAGTGCAGGCTTGTACGTTGAGCTCATCGGGTGCATGGAATGCTGCCCCAGTCCGTGTTCGAGGGTGCTGATAGTGAGAATTCAATTTGGCGGACAAGAGTATCGTGCGACTCACTCGTAGACGTGCCAGAACATCTTGCTGATCGAGCTGTCCAGTGGCGAGCCACTCCGCACCTTGACTATATTCCACTCTCTCGTTCGTCAAATGACGGACAATGGCCTCGGTTGATCCAACATTTGCAGGTGCATTGTGGCGACGGAATTGTCTTTATGAACATCAACTGTCCCATCCACGCTGAATGCACCAGTGGTGGACAAGGGTGTAACTATGATCTGCAGGCCGAACACATCCTGTTGTCAGAAAAACTATATTTCGGGTGGCCATCAGGATGCTGAGAAAGATGCTTTTAAGACAACCCGCTCTATAGTCGCGGCTGGTGGTAAGCCATTGCCTCTCGTTTTGTAATCGTAAGCGCTGGCAATCGATCTAATCGACACTCAAAAAGGCAACACTTCAAGTTCGTCAAATATTGAAATATGAAGCATCGTTCTCGCTAGGGACGACGGTGGCAATGTGGGTTACAAATGAGTACTAATGTACAACACACAACGTGAAAGTGGGTTTCGAAGGAAAAATAATTTCTATGCCCCGGGATTTCACGGGAAACATACGAGGTCTATAGTGACACACTGGCAGAGCGACAGGATCGACATAATGGAACAGAAACGAATGTCATGGCATCTCAGCAGAGAACAACTGTGGCAAGTGCGCATGATAAGCCGACAGAACATGCGGAGCAAATCAACACCACGCACCCTGACCATGGAACTGCCCCGAGAGACTGGGGTGGGCGGCGTTGACATAGGTCTAACCAACAATCTCGCAGATAGCACTGCACTGTCCTGCGTCACCGTGGTTTCCTTATACGGAGTGGCATCTCGCTCAAGCAGAGTGTCACCGTCGAAGACTCTGTGAGATGAATATCCCTCCTCGCCATGCTGAGTAGTCTTGAGGATGGTGAGTTTCCTGACTCTCTTCGGGCGAGGTGCACTTTCGATAGATATGGGAGGAAAGAGGGGTACAGATGGATACACAAAGTCTTCGGACAGAGTTGGTGAAAGAGCAAATGCGTTATGGGGTGCAGGATGAGAGTGTTCTGTAAGCGAGTTCCGTGCCTGACCGTCTGTGATACCGAACGATCAATATGTGTCCCGACAACTCGCGGACCCCTGCCGAAAGCACAAACAACTCACAATTCTCCAGATGCGCATATTTGCAGTCATCACCTTCTCCACAATGGCCGGCCATGAAATCGCTGCAAATCTCTCCTGTTAGATTCCGCGCCGTTAAAAATGCTGAATATCTGTAGTGTCGTGGAACCTACTTTTGCCGCTCATCATTACCCCACCACCGATGACTCGCCATGTCACAGGGAAGAAATTCCTCTCGTGATTTTCTTCCCTTCTGATGACAGACTTGGACGGAAGTCTGTGCTGCGTACGGTCAGGACCTTTGGCATCTGTAGAGGCCACGTCCTCAGCGAACGCATGGTCTGTCCTCTCTGCAGCGGTATCGTGTATGCTGGATGTCTTTATCAGTCTCGACATGTGATATAAAGCTATATCATCTTACAAACTGCACTGGTCCCCTTTGATGCACAAGCCATTCTCATGGTAGAATTTGCATGGCTTGGCTAAGCGCCCGTCAGTGCGCACTCGAAATATGGGATGCGGGACATACTCTTATAGAATAGACTCCTGTGCGCCAACGAGTGGCGAGGCTTATGTTCAATCGGGGATAAGATGGTTGACACGGTGCTCGCAGACGTGGGTTCTGGTATAAATTCCCACGACAAATCAGCCGTATCAACGAAATTAGGAGTGCCTGGCGGGGGCGGAGGCGTCTTCTCCGTGAAGTCGAACGCGGAGAACGTGAGAAATTCGTCCGCACTGGATATATCGGACGCAGAGTCGAGTCTCCCGGGCCTCTCTGGGCTCGGGGAAGAGAAGCAAGAGTGGGTCTGGGAGGACTCGGGCTCAACTGCATGGTCTGGCTCGTAGTACACTCCGTAAGGAGGGTACGCCAATGGCATAGAGAGAGCCGTCGCTTGCGGATAATGGGAGGGGATGATGTGCAGGTACGAGCAGCGGTCACCGAACCTGCAGTTTCCCAGTGGATAATTTCGACAAGGCTGGGCTACATTACCAGGGCTCAGTGAGATCCTCGAACAAGACCAGCTCAGCTCAGAGGACACTCACTCCTGTACTTTGAAGGACGCAGAGGGTGTCGGGCAGTGGTACTGCCGCGGGCATCGCGCTCTGGTGCTCTACGTTGAGGACGGTATCCCATCTTCGACTGGATCATAAAGAAGCAACTGAGAGCAGGATACGACAGATGCTGACGATCCAACAATTAGAAGCGAAGCACAGAACGGCAGGATGGACAAGACATACCTGGCTATGTTTGGCCCTGGTATGAGGAGGACCACGAAGTGCATATAGACGAGACGGAATTGTTCTTCGCTGTAATCGTAATTCCGGTCGGAAGCATAGACATAGGTTTTTATCCCCGAGCACGCTCAAACGCGTATCGGGCTAGGCCGATGAAGCACACAAGGATATCGGGGCGTTCAGTGTCTGTTCACATCGCACGCAGCTTTTTGTATGCGAGCGTCATCTCCGCCTTGTGTACGCCACTGCGAGGACGTGATCGAAGTCAGACAAGACAATAGGACCGTAGGGAGGAGGCCCCGGCTAGACGGAGGCTACCACCACGTTGCTGAAACAATAACTACGGCCCTCTCCTGTGCGAGAATCAGACGGAGTTGATCTGCCCGGTGTACGCTACGCGCGGGGGTGACTCTGCGACTCTCAGAGAGGGGGCTCACAAGGCCTAGCTTTATGCACATCGAGAGGTGAATCTGGTATGCGACTCTCGATAGCTCCTCTGAGGTTCTTGATCAGGGAATAGCGTTCCCTTCTGGCGGAAAACAATAGCGACAGGTTTCCTTTTGGACACAGAGGGCTAATGAGAAAAAACTTGTCAATCCCGGAAAGCGTTGTGAAGGGTTAACACACCTACTTGTACGTGTCGGGGTCAGAAGAAGTAGAGATGAGATACACTAAATCGATATCGCCCTTGTTTGCCAAATCAACGGTAAGATCCATATGCCGTATTACCACCACCGTATTACCACCGTACTCACCGCCAAATTTGGTCGGTGGTAGTGTCAGTGACTCGAACGAGGGCACTCAGAAACGCTGCAGCGCGAACCTTTTCATGCGCACGTACGCGTACATAACTCACGACTTCAAGCTCAAGTCAAGCCCGCAGACTTACAGTTGTCTCTATACTGCGCTTGTGTTGGAACTCGACGCCACCCGATAAGACCACGACGCGTATGCAGTGGATATCCTTTATCTGATAATTTATGGCTAGAGCTGGATGCGCCAGGCTTGCTACATTGTAAGAGTACTTCGCACGTCCGCAATTGCATATATCCTACATTACAATTACTGTTTTTGGTCCCCTGTGGTTGAGAAGCCCAGGGAAGGGTAGCCGGGCGCGGGAGTACGTGCGCATTGGGTATGGGCTTGGTCGTGAGGGTCGTGAACGATTAGGTGATTCTTATTAGTGGACGTAGATGTTATCGGAGAGACGCGTCGTAGGTGCGGTTCGAGGCATCCTGCAGTAGCGGCGTGCCTTCATTGGATATTGGATGGGGAGAAGATGGAGCTGAAATCTGATCGCTCGCCGAGTATTCCTCTGCTCGGGCGGGCGCCAGCGGCTGCGGTGCTTGCGCATGTGCGTGGTGCGGCAGCAGCGGAAGCGGCAGCGTGACGTCCATTTTGCACACGGGACACTATCACAAAAGTATCCTCATCAGCCTCTCAAGCACACCTGAGTAAATAGCTGGAACGCACCAGCTTTTTCTTGTGTATCAGCCATTCGTCGATTTCGTCCATATGATACATATGATAGCAAGGAAGGACGCGAACACGATCGCCTTTGGCAAACAGCTCGAGACAGATCGCGCAATCTGTCTGCTGCTCGGCCCATGCGGGAAAATCGCCGTCGTGCGAGCAGGAGGGGTGGCTAGGGCCTAGCGCATCCAGGCCGGTAACACCGCACTCGAGGTCGGGTGTGCCGGATGCGGTGTCTTCTGTATGTGCATATGAAGTTTCGTGCTTTTCCCAGCCGGTACCGGTCCAAACGCGCCAGGGGAAGTTGTGCACAACATTTTCGGGAGCGCGATCACGTTGGGCAGCACGCGCGGCGCGGACGCGGTGGATGAGGAGAGTTATAAAGGTCAGGATAGATGGTAACAGAAGAATGATCACGAATGTGATGATGGGCCTGGATTGGCATGAGCCTGGGTCCTGGGTATATGTGGCGAGTTACTTACGAATACCACTCCCAGGCAGAATACTCCGTGCTGATTAGGAGAGACAGTGTGCGCAGGCCAGAATGAGACGTGTTCGAAGCAGCGATCAGCGCGGTCAGCTCGAGATAGTCCCAGTACTTGATGTACGTAGCGGCGATAGTGACATCAGAGGACTCGCCTGAAAGTCAGATTAGCGACAAACGTCACGGATGAATGGATGTGTGCACTGACGCTCGCTATACATGTTGAGTAGGGCATCTGGATTCTCCTTGTCCCCGCCCACGACAACAGCCTTGGCTCCTAACCGCTGGGCCTGCCGGGCCTTCTCTACGAAGGGACAGCCACCCCTCTGCACGAGGGCGATCCAAGACTCATTAGGCTCCGGTTGCTGAGGTCCGGCGATGCAAAGGTCGGGACACCCGAGAACTGGGTCAGGGTCGTAGTAGTGGTGCGAAGAGTTCGACGCCGCGCATGGTGCGGTGAAGGCGGCAAGGGGAATGACATAACCGAGGAGAGGGTCGACGAGGTCAGCACCGAACGAGGCGGGACGTGCGGGGAAGGTAACTGGGGGTGATCTGTCGACGATAGAAACGCTGCCGTCTGAGGCCCATGCCCAGCCCCAGAGCCAGCTAGCGTCGTCGCGGGCGGAGCTGGACCACTTGCGGAACCACTCGGCGGGGTGTGCGTGTACATGGGCAGCGAGAGACGAGAGGAATGCGAGCAGGAGAATGAGACGAAACATGGAGAACGAGGGCAACGAGGGCAAAGGCTGGGGAAGAGGACGAGGACGGGGACGAGGACGAGGAGGCATTGCTCAAATATGCGACCTTGGCTAGACGCCTGGCGTCTTGGCTAGAACTACCCGATATGGCAGTCACGCGCAAACTCGGTCTTTGCCGGCTCCAGCCAAACTCTGGCCGCTCGTCGTCGCCGCCAGCATCCTCGACCTCGTCGGCGCACCGGTCATCGGATGTCTACTCTCCGAAGCCGTTCTAAGGCGCGTCGAGCGAAGGAGAGAAGGCCCGGGAAATCGGAGAGATCAGTGCGCGAGCGAGCGGTATGACATTATTAGCGTATATGTAAGTCCACGCTGAGCAAACGACGTGCATAGATACTGTACGTAGCCTATAGCGCCGAAGACAACATTCCTCTGGGTCACTCACTTGTCCGAATCCATCCAGCACCTCCTTCACTACCGCCGACCGCGATATGATCTGCCTCAGCCAGGGAACTGGAACTCCGGACATGCCTCCTCTGGCAAGATGATTGGTTCAGGATACCCTGTGCTCACATCCCACGGGTCCGTCGTCAATCGGATGGGCACCACCTGGCGAAGCTCCCCGAACGGCGCCTTCGATGGGTCAGGCGGCGTCACACCCAGCACTAGAAAGTCCTGCACACGTTTCTCAGCACGGCGCGCATCGCGATCTTCGACAGCGGCGAATCGCACCTTTATCGAAAAGCCTCCTGCCTTGAACCCGCCGATCTTCACCTCGGGACTTAGGCCAATATCCCCGTTGTATGCAATCCAATTGGGGCCGTCTCCCTATCAAACGCCGTCAGTTGGTTTGCACGACAGAATACGTAAATCACTCACCGCATGTCTAAATATCCCTTCGCCAATAGCCTGGACTCGCCAGATATCAGTTTTCGTACCAAGGACCGTAGTATTCCTGCATGGACGGAGTCAATACGAGTTGCAATGCAAAACTCGAGGAGGACACAAGGACGTACCTGACATCCACCGTCGTCTGTCGTAGGATCTGAATCCGGGTGGGTTGCTTATCGGCCGGAAGCGCCGTGGTCGGTCCCAACGGCAGGAACGCCGCCAGCGAAAATGCGGACGAAGCGAAGATGAGGTGGAATGGGATCGACTGCGCCATGCAGTATACCCGCAAGGCAGGCACGTACAACTGCACAACTATCAACATCGCCAGAGCCGCGACACCGTCAACGTGTAAAGCTCACCTTGGCGGTGATGTCCTTCCCGCCCTGCGTCTTCGACGTGAGGACCGACTCGTAGCATTGCCACTCGGTAACCTGCACAAGCGATGTATCTCCGGGGTTCTGGCGCATAACAAACATCGTAGGGAGCGGAACAGCAGGGCGCGACCGTGGGTAGTACACAAACGGGGTGGAAATGGTGCTGGGGAATGGATTTTAGCAATCGGGGCCACGGTGAATCGAGACAGAACACACCTATTTCCTAACCGCAACAAACTCTTGTCCTTTTGGACGGTCACACTGACCATGTAGTCTATTGCGGCTCGGAAGCCGGGAACACCTGAGAGATGCGCCTCGTGTGTGGGCGGGAGAGGCTGCGAGTGGTCACTACCGAAGTAAGCGGGACGAACCAAGTGGAGAACGTACATATTCATCCCTTCCATCAGAGAACGTAGCAGGGAGTGTGAGACTGAAAGGAACAGACGGAGGGAACGAACCCTCGAACGTGTCCTTGGTCCACGACGCGGACGACACACATAGGTTGCGCGTGGTGGTCCCGCCCTCTGCGATCTCCTTCAACCGCAGCGTGCCTTCGATCTGGGAGTATAAATAATGTGAACATGCACGCGCATACCCCGGAGGAGAGCGCACCTTAACCTCTACACTCGCGACGCTTTCCGGCTTGACAAGCTCCACGGTGCCTTCCACCGCCTCCCCGCAGCCATACACTGGGAGTATTACGCCGCCGGGCTGCTCAATGAGACGCAGGCTGAACCCGCCAGACCTGGAGTACTTGATGAAGTCACCCGAGGGTCGCTGCCGCACACCGTTGAGCGCGAGGCGCTGCTCATGCGCCTGAGGCTCGGCGGTGTAGGACGGGCTGCGACCAAAAGTGGGGGGGATGTAGGAAGGCAAGCTCGTGGTGGACATGAAGGGATGGAGGGAGGCTCCGAGGCCGTTCAGCGTTCAGGTATTCTCATGAACATGGGTCAGGAGAGACACCGAGACGAGGACCATATGGGTCTCCACACGGCACCATTCTCGCGACTGTCGCCGAGCAGAGGTGCATATGGCCCAAGTTGCACGTGTGAACGTGCACCATGAGGCCCCCGGCAGTCTCCTTACTTGGGTTGTTCGCGCCGTGGCGGCGCTCGTTCCGATCTCTGACGGGAGTCTGCAGGATAGAATACGACATTTCTGACAGGAACACTATACTTGAATTACAATTAAAACCTATTATCTACACAAGAGTCTCCGAGCGAGCACCATCGCTGTTCTCCATCCTCACATGGTCCTCCACAGCCCATCTTACCACACTGTGTGCCCGGAAGTTGGTGAAAAGCCCGAACTTCGTTCACTAGATATCTTCGGAGGTATTACTACTTTACATATGGAATGTCACTAGGTTTTCGAGGGTCTACTATCTTGTTTCACCAATTTTCTCGGTGAGCGAAAGCGGTAAAAATCACCCAGAAAATGTCCGATTTCACTACCTTGCGTCGAAAGGCGAGTCGTGAGAACCCGGTTGTTTATTGTTGATTTCTACTAGGTTCCGCTCAATCACTGAATTCACTACCAGAAACATTGAATATAGATTCAATTCCAGTACATATATACAGATCTAGAGTTCCGGTAATATATAGCAATGAACACATACATCCTACGCTCCCTCGTAATTTGTGAAACAACGTCTGCCTAAAACCACGTCCGCCTAAAACCATGTCTGCCTAAAACCATGTCCGCCTAAAACCGCGCTCTGCGCTGCACAACAGAGCCGTCTGCTGGGACTGGCATAGGATGACATCAGAATACCGTAGCAAGGCTGGGAGGTCACTCGTTGCGTCAAAATTTGCACATACCTGTCTGTTGTTTGCCATGGTAAGGATTGAACCTTCCCCAGAGAGCAAGCCATGGAGCCCAGCAGACGAGACAACACCAGAGATCAATTTGACTAAGCCAGTCCAGATTAGCCGGCCCGAGCAGAGCACTGGAAAGTGCAAAGCTAGAGACAGTGTTGAGCGATGCCAGCGCACGACGAAGCTCGACGACGCCATGTTGAAACTTGAACATTTAGGGCAGGGTTGATTGGACTTGGTAGTTTAACGCAACAGAAAATCACCAACAAGTAGGTGGTGAATTCCCGAACTGTTTCGACGCGGATCGTCGTTGGTGAATTTCACTACCATTCTCGGTGGATCAGAAATCAGGGGAAATCACATCCAAATCACTATCCACTAATTAATGCCGAAGTTTATTGGTGAAAGGCGGTTTTCACCGAATAAGTTCAGACAGTTCACCACTTCTCAGGCACACAGTGCCAATGCACCACATCACGGTTAAGCCATACGGTGGAACGGTCGGTACACGCAATGCAGGTTCCACTTCATCGACAGAGTGGAAGAAGCCGACAACTGAATGATCATCGCCAAAGAAACGGGTTTCGTTAAGGCATGCGGGGCCGCACCTGAAGAAGTTGAGCTCGCCTATCCGTTCAGTGGTCCATGCTGCAGGATGAGTGGCGAAATCATATCCCCTGGTGCGGTATTTGGTGAGTGCAGTATTTTCATTGACACCCATGTTGGTACGGGTAAGAATGCCGTGTTTTGCAAAAGTGAGAGACAGCTGTGGTGCCCCAGATTGTAATACAATGCCCCCACAAAGGTGTTGTGTATAACGTGACCACCTTGTAATTCCTTGTAATTCATTGTGCTACAATGAACAATTGACAAAAGACAGTGTCCACAGCAGAAATTGAACCCTGAACCTTACGGAGTTTTGACAATTTATTACAATGACTGGCGTTTTAGACCACTAAACCATATATCCTTGTAATGTTATATCTTACAATCAGATATAAGTGCTTCTTCTTATATTATATATAAATTAAAGTACCCTATATTAAGTCTTTAACTAAACAATGATATAAGTGGTTTCTATAATAGAGTTATAACTGATTAAATTTGTAAATAGTGTATAGAACTTTTAAATTAGCTGTTTAAAATTAGTAATTGTAGAGAGCTCTGACTTATTAAAAGTAAGTTGAATATGTGGAAGGTTATAGTATAGTCACAGAATATTTATAACAAAGTTCTAAATTTATAAAAAGAATTATACAATTATTTAACTAATTTTAATCAGTTAATTTAAAAGTTTTATACAGTATTTACAAATTTAATCAGTTATAACTCTATTATAGAAACCACTTATATCATTGTTTAGTTAAAGACTTAATATAGGGTACTTTAATTTATATATAATATAAGAAGAAGCACTTATATCTGATTGTAAGATATAAGATTACAAGGATATATGGTTTAGTGGTCTGAAACACCAGTCATTGTAATAAATTGTTAAAACTCCACAAGGTTCAGGGTTCAATTTCTGCTGTGGACACTGTCTTTTGTCAATTGTTAATTGTATTACAATGAATTACAAGGAATTACAAGGTGGTCATGTTATACACAACACTTTGGATTCCTTGTGGGGACATTGTATTACAAAAGGAGGCACCACTGGTGTGAGAGAGGGATAAGTGCATCCAAATGAGTCTGCACTGATGAAGTTTATGACAAGAGTAGACCAAAAGTGTGAAATAGGATAGATTGCAGAATCGGCACGACTGTGAATGATCTTGATGACCGCTTTTCCTGTAGTGACTCGGGCTATTTGACAAATGGCACGGTCATTGTCGTAGCGTTGACTGTTTCCAGTGATGTCGATATCGAAGTGTCGGAACTGCATTCTGAGGTGGTGGAGAATGTTTTCCCATTAGTTGTGGGCAACATATAGGTCGAGATCCTTTGGAGGCCACGAAGCAGAGCACTCAAGGAACCACAGCGCGGCTGATCCGGAGATAACACTTTCGGTCAATTGCATTACAACTTTGAATAGCTGGACATCTGCCGCAGGCATAAAATGCGATAGCAGTGCCGTGAGAGTGCGATCGAGTTCCCGGTTGACTTCTTGTCGAGCACCACTTGTAGTCTTCGCCCAGCCAAGTAAGGTAGGCATGTCAGATCGTACAAGTAGCACACGAACAAATTCGATGTCAACAGGCAATTGCGCGGTGAGGCTGTATGTAATATTAGCAAATAGTATGAGAGTATGGCAGATAACGGCTCACTTTTGTATAAGCATCAATCTGGTGATAGTAGGTTCATCATCAACATCGATGTCAAGGCTACAGGAGATAGACGATGAGAAAATACACATTTGGAGTGAGGAAACACACTAACTCGTCTACAGGTTCGGTGACACGTGAAAATGTGCCCAGATCACGGTGTTTGAATCTGGAGAATAGCAACACATTAGTGGGGGGGAGTTTATGACTGTGGAATATCCACTTCAGGGTACCCTTCCGACCTAGCTCTTAGCTTCAACATAATCTATATTGTGTAGTGGCTAAGAGCCTCTCAGGTGTCAGACAGACCATGGTACCAATACATGTCCCAGGGCATTATATGGGATTACCCAGGGCAAAGGCAGGGCAAAGGCTGGTCTAATGGCACAATTATCATATGGGATGTCCTATAGTACTAGGGCATTGATATTTATATCCCAGTATTACTGGTTGTCCCATGGTGCCAGGGGTACATAGGGATGTCCCACTATTAGTAAAACATGTATTTTCAGGCTATTGTATGGTAGTTTTTTTATACTTTGTTCCACTATCATATTATCTAAGCCTTAATTATAAAAACAGTGACTATAGTGATATAAACAAGCACTTTATTTGCATATTATATAAGGTGGGATCTCCCATTTTAAGGACATCCTAAGATGTTATTTTAAGATTCACAGATATTTAGTCTCTTCTTTAGCCTGAAGTTTCTATTTAACTACTATAATTATCTAGAGATTTATACTAACAGTTGAATTACTAAGGTTTAAGAGTGACAGGTCCTTACAAGGGATATCCCATCACATAAAGGGACATCCCATAATACAAAGGTGTCATTCAGTGAATGCATTTCTGAGTGTGACTTGACTGAAGTCTTAGGTCAAATGCCTTTCTTTTTTCATTTAAATACAGTATATGATAGGAGACATGACAAGAATATATCTCCTTTGCTAGTATATTAGTGAACTGAGTAGTTCTATTTCTTGAGACACTTGGTGAAAGTTGTAGTATAGCTATGATACATATTATGTGCCAAAGATTATATCATGTTAGTCTGAACATTATGTCAGAAAATGTAAAATTAATTTTGAAACACAAGAATAAACATTGTTGTTTGACCTGTATTAGTTGTTATATGAGCTAATGAAGTTGTTGTACATGCTACCAATAGTAATATAGTCTTTATAACATTACAAATATGTACACAATACTTGATATGGGATATCCTGCTTTCTATAAATATTTCACCATATATAAAGTGCAAATAAGGCACTTATTTACAGTATTCTAGTCACTGTTTTTATAATTAGAGCTTATACAATATGATTGTAGAACAAAGTATAAAAAAACTACCATACAATAGCCTGAAAATACATGTTTTACTAATAGTGGGACATCCCTATGTACCCCTGGCACCATGGGACAACCAGTAATACTGGGATATAAATATCAATGCTCTAGTACTATAGGACATCCCATATGATAATTGTGCCATTGGACCAGCCTTTGCCCTGCCTTTGCCCTGGGTAATCCCATATAATGCCCTGGGACATGTATTGGTACCATGGTCTGTCTGACACCTGAGAGGCTCTTAGCCACTACACAATATAGATTATGTTGAAGCTAAGAGCTAGGTCGGAAGGGTACCCTGAAGTGGAATATCAGGTACTTTGGTACGTTGTCAGACATTGTTACAAAGTTTGTGATCACAAGGAACAGGGATACAGCTTGGAGAAAGAAAAGAAAAGGGAGGACTAAAGGGGGTAGAAGTACTTTTGTCAGAAGTGAAAGAGATTTGATTGGTGGTGTGAAATGTGTGGATATATTGAGGTTCAGTTCGATCATGGGTATATCTGAGCTCAAATTTGAAAGCAGTTATTGATCACACATCGGCGCAAGATCGGTTTTCTCGGTGGTAGAGATAATCTGTGTGGTTGGGAACCATGTGAGCTCGGGGAGGCCAAATGAGATCGATATGTATAGATTCAATAGGTGGTGTGGTTAAGTACTGCTCTTCCATTGGCGCTTCTCCGCTCTGAGACACCTCATCAACAGTGTAGCTTCTGCTCACGCAGAGGTGATCCAGATATTTATTAAAATGCCTGTCCATTCCAACACGCAGTGAGTATTTAGTACAATGTGATGCTAATGAGTACTTCACGTTGTTGTCAGGTTTTCATTGGAAATTTGCTGGGAGGTCTGTGAGAAAATGGACCTGAAATCACTCTTGCAATGGCACGGGTGCTCCTCAGTAACACTCGATGTTGGCAATCAGGAGTTATCGAGTTCCTTCAATCATATTCTGGAGGCATATATTGCGAATACAGTGGGCTTCCATCATGCTATGAGGTCCACGGGATCTGTGGTTGGCGGTCCAGCAGCTCTTCAGTTTGTAGACCGTGAGGCGACGTGGGTACCTTTGTGGCTGGATGTAATCGCTCCCAGGAGTCGTTCAAAGATGTTCGTGGCATATCTGAATTGGTGAGAAGAAGGCTGAGTTGCAAAGGAAATCAAGTATTGTTGGCACATCATACGGGTGATGGGAATTTTGACTACAAGCGTCGTTCATACCAGGCACGGTGACGTACACATTCACACCAGCATGGCACCGACTGCACTTTATCCTATTGCTCGGATGCCCTCTATGGTGCTGATGAACTTCATTGCATCAAACCGCTTTGTGGTTGCATATCCAGCACTCACATTGACTCATTGCGGTATTATGACGTGGAGGCCAACAGATCCATTCAGAAATTTGTATGAGATGGAGACCACACTCAGTTTGAGTGCTCGTGAATACAATATTGGATTGCATGCTAATGCTTGGTTAGGCGCTGCACAGTTGGGAGTAATGAGGTGCTTTCGATGGAACTGCTATAAAAGGAGCGGTTCTTTGATGATCGTGGCTGTCTCATGGTGGATTTGAAGACAGAGGATGGGGATCCTCCGGCTTCACCAGGGATTGGTCTTCCATATGGGTATTCAATCCGATGGCGTGTTGGGAGGAGAACATTGCAATATTCACTGTCGGTGGGTGTGTCGTCTGATATTTGATAGTGTAGCGCTTTTTATCGGTGGATTGTAGTATATGATCGGTGGTCTTTCATGATGTAAATAATAGCATACACAGCACAAGAGCACATGCATAAATGAATCTTCGGTTGCTTCACCTGTGGGAGTGTGAGCACACAGAAAAGATCTTTTCGAGACTTTTGACCTAATGAAGAATGAATAGAGATAAATAATTTAACTTACTTGCACGAGTTATTTCAGTTCCATTTGGGAGAACTCTAGGTTGTTGTAGCACCACAGAAAGAATGCAGGCAGATGCTTGAAATAGGGATCGATGACAAACACAGTGCACAATTTGCTAGGGTGTAAAAAAATAGAAGGCCGAGACAGTAGATGATTCAGAAATGATCGGATGAGAAAGTTGGCTTAATGGTAGCGCAGAAACCTTGTTCAGAACATATGTGAACATTTTTAAGAAGAATACTAACAATCGTGATGGGATACTCACTATATATGGGACAGGGTACAGAAGAAATTAAGAAGATTTGTGAACATAGATTGTGGAAACATAATTCAAGGGGGAGGCAGCGAGACGAACAACGTGGTATTGGAAGATTATCAGAGGGGCTTACCTAGCTGCGATAGAGTAAGTGTGGAGTGGGATCACTCAGATTGTCATGTTCATACACTGCATTGTGAAAAGGGGCAGACAGAAGTATACAAATAACTTAGCATCGGGTAGTTCTGGTCAGACAATAGTGGTGTTACTGATCTGGATGAAGTATTAGTGTCGAGTTGGGTTCGGTCAGATTTTAGGTGTTTCTTACTAACGTTCTTCTAGTGAGGACAGTACAATGCATTGGTAAGGTGTGAGGTTCAGGTTCAGAGTATAACACCGAGCAGTGCAGCATTGAAGAGCAATGAGGAGATGACAAAAGACAGTTGGGCGATCTGAGTGAGGGGAGAGTGTACGACGACTGTCCCATTCAATTTCATTACTACAATGGTTGAAAGTGCTAGGTGAACATCGACCGAGTCATTTATACCATAGCGTGTACTTAGTGTATGTTTATGTTCAGTTCACGCAAGCATAGCCGTGAAGAGAATGAGGCAAGTGGTGGAAAGAAGAGAAAGCAGTAGGAAATTCTTGTAACAATCTTGTATTACGCTTATTTGATTTGGTTGGTTAATGCAGGACTTCTACCATTGCTGATGAAGGAGCAAACCGTGACAGTGTTGGAGAAGGTGTAGAGTGCATGAGTGCCGAAAATCGAAGGTGAGCCGTTTATTACAATATGTATGTATGGCTTACATAATTCCTAATGAATTTGAAGCGATAGTAACATCACGAAGTGCAGTGGCAAGGAAACAGCAGATCCTACCGCCACTGGATTTGTAAGTGTACATATGTTGAATACGAGATCTATATTCAATGGGTTGAATTTGCAGAAGTCTCCTCTGTCGACGATAATACAGTAAACCATGACATAGAGAATGCTTGCAAGGAAGTCATTCATCGTCCTTATTTTACGCATGAGCTGATCAGGTAGGCTTTTAAAAGATTTTGACCTTTATCTGTCAGTGTCTAAGCAACTACTGTGCAGACAATTTGCGTCATTCACTGTGTTTTTGGATACAGAGAATGCGTAGTTCTCAGTGCAAAAAATCCCTCATTGTGCTCGTTGGGGTGGTCAACGCAGTTTGCTGCTGTGCATCAATGAGAACACACCAGTGGTAGTGTGGCTCATTGGTGAAGCAGAGAAACTGTGGTTTTTTAAATGTTCTGGTCTACCATTTGACCAAGTGAGTATCGGAGTTAGGCTACTTCGTGACGAAGATACTGTGAAGATGGTTCGCTTATTAAAAAGGCTATTATCCCCTTCCGTGATGAGCATTTTGTTTCAGTTCTTGCACGGTTCATTATTCAAATGTTGTAACTTATCAGTGCTAGTTGCTTCATGAATGAGCGAACTCATGGTAAGGGACGTGCAAATGTACGTATATCATTTTCTCCTGTTGGAATATGTCTGTAACTCATGCGTCAAATAGGTTATCCCATTTCGGCATGTCTACAATGCAAAAGAGGCATTTACTGTTAAGAAAGACATAGAATGGATGAGTGTGGCATCGTTGCTCCTGAATGATGTCGTTTTTGTG